ACAATTTAAGAAAGAAATTCTCAATCTTTCAAGAGCACTGAGTCATGTCGTCGAGTAGAAAAGAATATTATGCTAGTAGAGATGCCTCTAAAGTGTATTTGTTGGGTTCTTTCCCTCGATGGAGAGCGTTTAAGGAGCAGCATAAATTGAGAACAGACAAGGATGTGGCGGATATGCTTCTTGACAGCTATCTTGCGATGAATCGTATAGTTTGGTAAGTATAAAATGATAAAACCTCTGATCTTTTTTGTGTGTTATTTGTTTACTTGATTTGCTTTTTATGTATGTGTTGAACTCACTTTAGCAATGCAGAGACGCAAACCGAAACGGTAATGGAATCAACGGATATGCCGCCAAACACCTTCCAAATATTTTTCTTCTCCCAGTAAGAACATATGTTTTAAAGTGCTGCTCCAAAAACGTAAACATTTATTATTTTTAAAATATTCGCATAAAACATTTGTATGAAATATTTTAGTTAAAACCTCAACGCCAAGCGCGCACTCAATCCGCGTCCATTGTCTGCTTTGTCGGATGTTAGAACATCATATTCTATCAGGTAATTTGAAACTTATTGTGATTACTGAGTTTATAATTTGAAACCCATACATGCAAAGTTTCGCGCAGAGAGTATTACTTTTTAAATACGCAATATGTGTTTATATCTCAGGTCGGGTCAGAGTGTGATTTCTGACAGTCGAACATTGACAGCCAAAGATGATAGTTCTGATGATGAAAGTGATGATGATAATGACAATTTTGGTGAACACACTATCCAGGCAGACCAGGTTTTGTCGGACTATTCTCTTGAGTAAGTGATGATGCAAAACCTCAATAATAATCTTTGTGACATTCCTACTGTAATGCTTATTGATTTAAAACATAAATATACACATTATATATCACTGAATATGGCATAAAATATTTCGTCCAATAATATCTCTTACTGCCATTTTACTGTAGTGTATGTCCCCCGGGTTTTGACGTGCCATTACTGGATGACTTGCTCAATGTGACAATCCGTGGACATGATGGAGATAAGCCCACAGAAGATGTTGGAACCCAACAACAACAACAGCAGCAACATAAGACGACTCAACCAGAATACATCTCTACTGTGGAAGAAGTCAGTCCTGAAGATGCAATCAAGAAGGAAAAGTGTATTGTGTTTACAGACACTCTTATAGCTTTGATAACATCATTACATGGGAGTGTTTGTAAACGACAAGGATGTGGCCGTGTGTTGAGCTATAAGAAAACATATGTTGGAACATGCCTGGTCGTATCCTGGGGGTGTAGGTCTGGTCATGTTGGAGGCAGATGGGCAGCTCAACCCTCTTGCAACAAGATTAGAGCAGGCAACCTTGTGCTTGCTTCTGCTTTGTTGTTTCTGGCAATTCCTACGCCAAGGTGGGGTTGATGTTCAACTTCTGTAATCTGCAGTATTTCTCATCAATATTATTCAATCAGTATCAGAAGTTGTACATCATCCCTGCCATTAATGACTACTGGAAAGAACACAAACAGAAATGTTGGAAAGAAAGAGAGAACAAAGAGGTTATATTGAGTGGTGATGGAAGGAATGACTCGCCTGGCCATAGTGCACAATATTGTACTTACAGCTTGGCTGATACCAATGATCGTGCCATACTGCAAATGAATGTGGTTGATGTGAGAGAAGCTGCTGGTAAGAGCAATAATATGGAGAGGATTGGGTTTGAAAAAAAGATGGACACACTGCTTGCACCACCAATAGTTATGAAGGAGGTGGTAACTGATGGTCATATTGAAATTGCTGCATTGATGAGTAAGTATCTACATTATAACAATATGGCAATTCCTGAAACTCTAATAGTTCAACCTGTTATAATCAATATTGTCAGACTTTCAATATATTAACAACTTCATTTGCAGATTGATTACAATGTTATATAATTAATTGTGTTTACCCTTTAAAAGACAGTGAGGGAATATTTACAACATGCATTTGTTTATTAATTAAGCATTATTGCATTTTTTAGAAAGGGAAGAGAAATATAAGGAGGTCACACATCAGAATGATGTGTGGCATGGAGCAAAGAACATTGCAAGGAAAATCACTACTGTAAGTGTTGAAGATATCAACCAGCAATTAGTTAAAAAACTTTCTTTATTTAGAATTGATTTTATTCTTTAGGCTGCTAAATCTACAGACAATGCAGATTTGACCTTGTGGGCACCATCAATAAGGAACCATTTTTGGTATTGTTCAAAAACATGTGCTAATGACTCAAAAAATCTCAAAGTAAGATTCACATTGAAGTACTACTGGTTTTTGCAGCAATACTTATCTAGTTCGTGCAAACTGTACATACATGTGTTAATATGTAGTCACTTTATGTTGTATTTTTTATATTTTTTTAATAGGATAAGTGGATTGGTATTTTACACCATGTTGTTGATGAGCATGAGTGGGTGTTGGAGGAAGGTGTAAATGGTGGAAAATGTGAACATGATCCTCTTAATGAAAGTGAGAGAAAGAAGCCATGGCTTAAGAAAGAGTCTTCTGCCCATAAAGCACTGGCAAAGATCATTCTGGACACTCGCTTTTTAAACACTTTGGTGTATTATGTTAACTTCAGGTAACAAATGAGATTGGATATTTGAAAATTTCAGATACGTTATATCATCTCAAAGTTTGAAATATTTTTTAGGCACACAGGATTTTTAGAGTACTTTCATAATGTAATTTTGATGTATGCTCCAAAGCGTTATGCCTATTCGTAAGTATATGACATATTATTACAAAGGTAACAGCTAATAAAACTCCTATCATGATAAAACTCTTATAGAAACCAGCTTGCTGCCTTGAACTTTAACCACCACAGAGGCCGAGCACCAGCAACTACAGCTGATGGGAAAGAAAGGTACTGGTATTGAAATTTTTGCCTTAGTGTTCCCATCCTAAGTGTGAACAACTTTTCAGGTCCTGTGCATTCTTATAGTGTAATGGTACTCATATTGTATGGAATTGTAAAGTTTTTTTTTAATTAGGTACGGTCGGAAGTTCAGTAAGCGTACACAACAGTGGTGCCGTGTTCGTGTTCTTGTACCAAAAGAATTTAGTTACATTCCTGAACTGATGCAGAAGGTTTTTATAAAGAGGATCACATCAGATGGGAATGTAAACAAAAGACTTGGTATTCCAAGTGATGATCCTAGACAAATTGCACCCAATATTGCCCCTGTTCCTCCTCCATCAGTACAGACACTTGTCGACACACATAAAACAAGATTTTAATGGTTGTGTGTAAAATCAAGTTACTTTGGGTAGGTGGAGCTCATTAGCCATGGTAGGTAGTTCACCTAAGAGAAGGAAAACTCTAATTTCAAACCCCCAGACCCTAGGTCAGGCTGTCCATGTCGGAATCATTGATGTTATCATCATTTCATTTGTGTTTCCTAGGCATGCTGACGAGTTCTGATATAGAGCGAAACAGCCATAAATTTAAGAGCCCATTATCAATGAAATATGGCACATAATATCTTAAATGGAATGTTTTGTTAAATTATTATGATATATGTATAGGGTGTCCCAAAAAACTAAACACTTTGAAATTGGAAAATTAGCATTTAGGTTGATGCTAATCATGCACATGGACAATTACAACAACTAAATCAGCAGTACAATGTATGAAAACTAAAATGAAAAATTTACCCAGCTATATATTTTTTACCTTGCTGGCTCAGCCCAATTCTAAAAATGTTCACTTGCATTGTATAAATATAATATAATATATAATAATATACTTTATGTTTTTGAGCATTAATATTTTTTGGGCCTGCTATAACATCAGACCAAAAACATATTTATGCCCACAAACATCGATTGTGGTTTATTTTGGTCTACTTTTTGGGGGCACCATTTATACTTTAAGTGCTAAATTATCTAAACACGTGCAGGCAAATATCCCCTGTACTGTCCATTAGGTGAAGGATAACGGTTACGAATAGCAACCACACAACAGCTTGGTACTACTCTCCTATTTCCTCTTCCTAATCTACCATGTTGCCATAGAACATACTGTCTATATGCAGCATGGCTAAAGTTTTCATTGTTCCTGACATTGTTCAACACCAAAACATCTTCTCTGTATCGCATTGAGATCTCCAAAACATTCCCATCAAGGATTAGTTGACTGAAAAGATTTGTTCTTGAGATACAAGGACGTCTTGATCGGGTGCAGCATTTGTTCTCTTCTTGAGTGGGCATAATAATGCAGCACCCACACTTGCACCAATCTGGAGCATCATTATCAGGTTCTGGGTTTGGTGGTTGGGGTTCATTTCCGCTCACAAGCTCACCATTAACAATGTCAGCAAATGCTGCTGGCTGTCTTCTTAGCAATTCAAGAGCAAGCCTTCTCAGGTTGTCTATATTCATTGCCTCAACTAGATCCTGAAATCAGCATAAGAGTAAAATATAAGATATGCTGCATGTGTATTATGTTTTATTGTTTTTACACAAAGGCTTTTAAGAATAATTGTATGAAATCAAGTGTTGACAAAGGCTCATCTTACCACTAAATGCTGCTCATGATCTGCTTGATTTTCAGCAATATTTGGCTCTTCTAACAAACGCCCTCTCCCGCTACCTCTCCACGACCTCTTCCACTACCTCCCCTTCCACGTCTCTGTGAAGCAGTACCTTGCCCTCTTCCCTGACCTCTTGCTCTCCCCCTTGGACGACCTCTTCCCCTACCACGTCCTCTCTTTTCAATCTGCAGCTGCTGCTCGCCCTCATTCTCACTTTCCTCTATAGTGAACTCAGAGTCCTAGATAATTGCAAATCACAAAGTAAACAAAGTGGAAAAATATTTCCACAATGAAACCAGCCCTCTTGGCTCTCTCCCACCCATATATTTAAAGAATGACATAATCTTACTTACACTCTCATCACTATCGCTTTCTTGAACAAGTCGGTTGTTCATGCAACAGCCAAAGTCTTCGCCATGACACGCGCTCGAACACAAGCTATTGATGCTTCTGCACGGACAGAAATTCCGTCCTTTTTCACGAAGACAGTGCCCTCTACATTTGCACACTGTGATTTTGTCACGGTTAGGCATAGCCGCTGCGTTTTCCAAAACATTAGCTTCGAAATCTTCAAGCGAAAAGCTTCCTTCAATTGCTCCTGCCATGACTGTGACCACCCTGGTATGAATGAGTTTTCGACGGCGGAAAGATACCGCACAGTATATTTCATTATTAAAGACATTACTAACACTTCCAAGGCTATCAAGTCCCAAATATAAACAAACCAAAAGCGAACCGATTAGAACTCGCGCCTTTGTATGACAAATTCGGCCGCCGCTCCAGCTGTTAATCTACGATTTCAAAGCGGCTTTTCATCCACTGTTGTAAAGTGTTTCCGTAAAATGTTGTATTTGCTTATTTTCGGTTTTTTCTATAGTTTTTTTCCGCAAATATATTTTTGAAAGAAGCGTCGCTCCTCTCTTTTTTTGCTAATAAATCATTGCGAATATATGATATACTTCATGTTGTAGAATCATTGCGGATCAAAACAAAAAATGTAAACAAAGCTCGCACATGCACAGAAGCCGTTGTAACCTGTCTTTAATATTTTTAAAATCGATATCATATACTTTTTATAAAGCATGCACAATACAAAAGAAAAAAAAATTACGCATATAAACTTACATATAAACTAGAGAAAACTACTTCATCTTATATCTTTATCTCCAAGAAGGACTACCACGAACACACACACAACGTGTTTTTTCAAGTCACAAATGCAAAATACACACAAATATTAATAAAACAATACCTATCATTCGCTGCGAGCAAGCCTTTACGTTTCTCCTTCCCCATCTTTCGGCGCCATAGTTCGTTCTGAAATCAAATAAGCAAGGAAAATTTTCTTGGAGGAGGAGATGCCCCCCCCCCACATCTTCGTTCCCAGGTTTTTGGAGTACAGGAGATGCCCTCCCCCTTGACAGTGCTCTATCCCCGCGGCCCTGACCATGAGGACCTATTACGTGCTAATCCCAATGCCAGATATTTCCTATTTATTACGTAAATTACATAATGATTCCACAACCATCTTTTTAAAATTCTTTTACGACAGTGTTCTGGGAATCGAACCCAGAAGCCACAAACGCGTTTTTATCACTATCAAACAACACGTTTTGGTTTGGCCCCAGGCCTGGACACTCTTTTTTAAAGCCAAACGAAAAGGAGGGAAACCGGAGTGCCCGGTGAAAAACCCTCCAAAGGTAACCTGAATATCTGGTTACCTGAGCGGCGGTCCGAATTTGGTATTTTTATTAGAAATCGTTCGCAATGACATGCACTTCAGTTTTTATCTATAATTCATCGTTTCAGTTCCGCTCATTCAAACCGAGTCCCAGGAATTGCCACGCAATTCTAGATCCTCGTTAATTCGATTCTTCTGGTGGTCTAACCTGCGGAGCGCGCGCATATTTAGAGCGCGCAAAACATCATGCTCTTAGACATTCAACTGCGCTTTGTCCGACAATGGCAACGAAAATTATTTCCGAATTATTCAAATGTTAATTTTATGATAAAAAAATACTTCGTATTCACGACTTGCATGCTTTTTCATATCAAACTGATGTAGACAATAACACTTTTCTTCTACCCCTTTTTTAAGACATGCCTCATGCACTGTTTTTATTTTTATTTTATACGTTCTGGATTACGGTTGACCGAATATGAAGGAAATAAACGTAATCGGGCTGAACATGCAACTTACTCAATATGGCTAATCAATAATGTTCCCTTACCTTTAAATTTTCGTAACGTATAATTACCTTTGGTAAACAATGTATCGAATTTCACTTGCTTCGTTGCTCCACTCCAAACAGTTATGTTCTTCTTCAACAGCATCTCGACGGTTGGGCGTGTAAGAAATTAAACAACATAGTAAGTGTGTCAAAATGCAAAGGGTTTTCTTTAAAGGGTTGGCTTTTCAGGGAAGAGAGTACTATACAATATTAAACCTACAGTTTAAACATTATACCTCGAGATACCCCCAACTATAAGTCCAGTTATCATGCAATGCAATATGGGAGGTATATTTTTTCCTCTTATACAAATTTCATCAAGTTAGTCAAAGTGATTAGACTACGTTTATTTCCTTCATGTTCGGGATTAATCGGATTTTTCAAAGCTTACAACTGCCAACCAAAAAATTAATACGAACAAGGGAAAAAGAAGAGTACTAGTGTCTAAACAGCAAAGCACTCATTTTTTTTTCATTTCAAACTTCAAGATTCCATGCTAAGGTATAATTTTTGTTGCCACTGACGGACGGTCCTTCGAAACGCATTATAACAGGCTGAACAGAGAACTTATATAATCATATAAGTACTCGCGATTACCTTCGTATTAATCTAAAATTAGGCTAATACGAATTCAATAATTTCTCTAACAAATTGCATTTTGTTAGTTTCTTTTGAACGCTTTAAAGCCATCATGCATACGCAGACACTACGTCGTTGGATTTCACACGTATTCACACAAGTGACAAAATTAGGATTTTTTTATTGAGAAAACTCGAAAAATGCCCTCATAAGACCTGTGAGAAATTTCCTGTTATCATGCATAGTCGAAAAGATTGAAATGTCACTTGATGTGTGAATATACTAGGTTAGACCACCAGGAGGATCCAATGCCATGCAGCATGCACTAATCATGCATACCTATAGTATATACCTCAACCAGCTTCCACTTGATCCTGCGACGAACCGTCTGATCCTGCGAGGATCCTCCAACATCTAATTCATCACTGATCCTGCGACGATCCTCCAACATCTAATTCATCACTGATCCTGCGACGATCCTCCAACATCTAATTCATCACTGATCCTGCGACGCTCCTCCAACATCTAATTCATCACTGATCCTGCGACGCTCCTCCAACATCTAATTCATCACTGATCCTGCGACGCTCCTTCAACATCTAATTCATCACTGATCCTGCGACGCTCCTTCAACATCTAATTCATCACTGATACTGCGACGCTCCTTCAACATCTAATTCATCAACATCTGATCCTGCGACGCTCCTCCAACATCTAATTCATCACTGATCCTGCGACGCTCCTCCAACATCTAATTCATCACTGATCCTGCGATGCTCCTCCAACATCTAATTCATCACTGATCCTGCGACGCTCCTTCAACATCTAATTCATCACTGATCCTGCGACGCTCCTTCAACATCTAATTCATCACTGATCCTGCGACGCTCCTTCAACATCTCATTCATCACTGATCCTGCGACGATCCTTCAACATCTAATTCATCACTGATCCTGCGACGATCCTTCAACATCTGATTCTTCAACATCTGATCCTGCGGCGATCCTTCAACATCTGATTCTTCAACATCTGATCCTGCAACGATACTTTATCACAATGATATGACATTAATTTTCAAGTCACAAATATCACTTAGGTAGCAATACCATACCATACCATACCATACCATACCATACCATACCATACCATACCATACCATACCATACCATACCATACCATACCATACCATACCATACCATACCATACCATACCATACCATACCATACCATACCATACCATACCATACCATACCATACCATACATACCATACCATACCATACCATACCATACCATACCATACCATACCATACCATACCATACCATACCATACCATACCATACCATACCATACCATACCATCTGATCCTGCGACGATTCTTCAACATCTGATGCTGCGATGATCCTCCTGATCCTGCGACGATCCTTCATCATCTAACAACAAAAGTATGATATGAATAATTTCCAAGAGAGAAATGTCACTTATGTATAAAGCACTCAGGATAAATTATATCGAACCTCCAACACTCCAACGTCAGTCACTCGTGGCCTTCGCATTGCGCACGCGAATACAAAATGTCATGCACGTTTTAATACAAAATGTCATGCACGTTTGAATGCAAAATGTCATGCACGTTTTAAAACAAAATGTCATGCACGTTTTAATACAAAATGTCATGCACGTTTTAAAACAAAATGTCATGCACGTTTTAATACAAAATTTCATGCACGTTTTAGTACAAAATGTCATGCACGTTTGAATACAAAATGTCATGCACGTTTGAATGCAAAATGTCATGCACGTTTTAATAGAAAATATCATGCACGTTTTAATATAAAATGTCATGCACGTTTTAATACAAAATATCATGCACGTTTTTGTACAAGAAAGCAAGAACACTGGACTATCATCTCCTTCTAGAAATACATATTTCATGTTTTTATGTTTTAGGCGCTCTCTGAGCGATATTTTTGTCCGGACTATATAGTCGTCAAGATGGAGAAAACACAAGTGATTGGGGCCCCAGAATCACTTGTATTCACTCCGCATGCGCTTGATACGACCAGACTTCATGCAAAAATCATGCACAGGCGGAAAACTTGAAAATGAAGGAGGTAAACAGAAGAGTGTTCAGTTTATATCTCAGTCAGAAAAGCCAAATTCCATGCAATTTTACTCATGCATATTGTCGAAATCGAGTTTTGTATTTGCGTGCATAAATGTCCCAAGGCATGTCCGATATCTCTTTACGATTCTTTCGTTCTACAAAAACAGAACTTCGGTAAAACAAAAGGACAGGGAAGTCTAGCATAGTACAATCATATACCAATACAAATAATTATATAGGCATTGAGTTTCAATCTTTCCCTTTCAAAACGAGCATTCCCTTTGGGCAACCCTGTCCCAAAAACGAATAGGCCAGCCGGGATAGTTACAGTCATAAAGTTCGAATTCCTTTCTATATATCAAAACTATTCTAGTTTCGTCCACCCTGATTGTCCGTAAACAAAGTGCAAACGTGTTTTTTCAAGTCACAAATGCAAAATACACATATATTAATAGAACAATACCTATTATTCGCTGCGAGCAAGCCTTTACGTTTCTCCTTCCCCATCTTTCGGCGCCGTAGTTCGTTCTGAAATCAAATAAGCAAGAAAAAACTAAATTAAAGTAACAGCTCACTTGCATTGGACATTTTCAATCGAAATATACATAATAAAGCAGTAATAATCGGCAAGAATATGGCTCCACTCACTAACGTCTTCTCACGCTATTCAAATCAACACAGCGATCAGTAAATTTGTTTACAAACAGGGTTGGTACGTTTCTGAATAAATAAGCCAAACATTGTTATTGGCGGTACTTTGATTCCTTTGTTTTAAACAAAGGAAACGAATGTTATGTTAATAAATTTGGCTTATTTATTCATAAAATCTACCAACCCTGTTTACAAAGCCAAAGATCAAGCCAAAAGCTGCTCAAACTAACAATCACCATGTACCTACGAGAATCTTCCAACTTTTCCTGAACTTCGTTGACTGATGCTTCCTTTTCGAGACTGCAAAGACTGAGTTTCGTCCAGGGTTGGTAAGTTACTGAATAAATAAGCCAAACATTGTTATTGGCGGCCCTTTGATTCCTTTGTTTCAAACAAAGAAAACAAATGTTATGTTAATATATTTGGCTTATTTATTCATAAAATCTACCAACCCTGGTTTCGTCTAGATTCAACCGCCTTTTATTACTTCAACAAACAAAGAAAATTCCAACGGACAAGTAACGCATTGACAACAATAGATAATCAACTAACTCATGCCAGACTTGCCCGGAATGGATATAAATTAGCCAAATAAATATGTTTTGCATATTTCTATTGTCCGTTGTAAGTGATTAGTAAGTAAGTCCGTTGTAAGTGAAAATACTCTTAGCTTGATATAAAAGCCTTCTCTTTTCGCGTTAATCTTTTCAAACTAAAACTATAACAACTTTTTTTCTCGGTTCCCGGTAGCAATTTTCTTTTACCATTTCTTTTATTTTTCGATATTTGCAAACTCCGAAATGGAACCACCGAAAATACCTGGTTAGTTTTTGAGTTATTTCAGGGTCTGGTTTATTTTCTCAGTCTGCTTTGTCCTTTATAAGATTCTGAGTGTTTTGTAAATGGAAAATAGCCGTCAGCCGACCCTCTCTGCCCGTGGAAAATTGCACACCTAACTAAACAACTAAAAAAATTGTATCCTTTTCCAGTGTCATTCCAAACATCTCAGGTATTCAGGGCAAACTTGAAATATATAATGATTTAAATTTCAAGTACTTCATTAGTTTGTCTTATAACAACAGATATACACCCAAGCTTGATTTTTGAGTTCCCCTTTCTTTTTTACTACAATCTGGCACTTGTTTACTGCCATTTCAAAAATCTCATTGTTTCCTTCATTAGTAACTGATGAGCACTCTTAAAAACCTACAGCACCAATATATTTTGCAAGTTTTTTACCTTCATTAGCTTTCACCTACTCAGTTCATTGTTTGCCAGGACGAAGCTCCTTTTTTAGTTCAACAAATTAAAATGGTTTCCTTATGCGAGCAGCATTGATCTCTTGCCACCATACAAACTGGAAAGACTTTCAAAACTTTCTTTTGACTCAACTGAATAACATTACATTAAAGATCTTGTGTATTATATCATATCATAAACTCCTTATATTATATAAATATAAGTTATATAATATAAATATAAATTATATCATAAACTCCACAGGAATATTATTCACAGCCATTAGCTTGTAACAAGACTCAAGAGTAACAAGACACAGAGGAAATTGATGGAAATTTACCAGCATTGAATGTATCAATAAGGGAAGTTTTGTCACATGCGTCCTTGGTTACCAACAATGTTTACCTGAAGATATAAAATATTTTCCTTTGATTTCTTCAATGCGGGATTTCCTAAATGAGTTATCCAGAATAAATAAAGTTAGTTTAGTTTAGGTTTCCACCTGTAGTAACAACAGTTCAGAACTGATAAAATAAATCATCTTGTTAGAATAAAAGCATATAATGTTGATATTAACTATTTCCCAATATTTTTCCACGACCTCTTGAGGTGCTCTTTGATCACCAGCACTTCGACCCGACCTGTATTTTAGAACTGATAGAGCTATCCAGTATAAATAAAGTTAGTTTACTTTAGGTTTCCTCCTGTAGTAACACTACATCAATAACAGATGATTCTTACTGGAAAGGTATTAATTTATATTTGACATCTAGCTGCTATATATATATATATATATATATATATATATATTATATATATTATATATTTATATATTATATATATATATATATATTTATATAATACCTTAATTGCCTCCCTGCTTGATGCTCATCCACACGTGGTGATTGCAAACGAATTGAATATTTTTGAACGGTGGACAGAATGCATGAACGAAGAGAAGACATCAGCCTTCTTTGGGGTGGCAAGTGGCAAACCAGCAGGCTAACAAGCGCGCAATGCATTTAGAAAGGAAAGAAAGAAAAATAATAATATCCATGGCAAAACTATGAGCTGACGTCATTCTGACGCAGCTAAATATACAGGAACGAAAGTTTGGAATACACTTGAGGAGGGGTTAACATTAATTCAAAATTTAATTTATATTTGCATTATACTTACAAAGACGGTGAATAGGTGGCCACTGGAAAAGATGTGAAAATAATTACACTTTTTTGTGTTCATAGTACAGCACTCTTTGCCATGTTCAAATTATGAACTATTATCCATTTCATTGTATTGCTAAACTCAGGGCAAAGCAATGAGATTTTGATGAACAATTGCTGACGTCTATATTAGCCTAACTACATACTTCCATGTTATCATTTGAAGCCGTCATACTCTTGGAAGTTTGCCAACATCGCTTTTGCTAAAACATTGCGGGGCCATGACGCTGTCCAGCTGAACTCTTTTGTCGCCTTTCTTCACCGCCAATTCCCGTGGCTTGAACGACCTCCTCAAGAAAACTAAAATATCAAAACAACAGAGTTTAGGACCTAAAACATTCCCACTAGAGGTAAAAGTTTATCAATTATTATTAATTAAATAATACTACAAGAACCAAAAATCTATTCTCTTCGTCAAAATACTGATTTCCGCAAATTTTCCAAAGCAGGATTTTACCAGTTTCGAACCCATTCTCGTGGCGGAGAACAAAAACATATCTCGGCTGCCTATGGGTCATGTAGTTTTTCTCTTTTCGGTTTTCTGGCTAGTTACCTTTTACAATTATGTATGGTCGAACCAGCAAGCACGATCCTTATTCCGGGAACTGTTTTGTTTAAATTATGAACAACTAACACCTCCTCGTACGTAATTCCACCAATCATAAACACGATGATATCTTGAGGCCTAAAAAGATTAAAAAAGATTGTTTTGATAAACAGTACAGAAGCCTCGGACCGGTTCACAAAAGTTGGATAGCGCTATCCACCGGATAGTGTGTAATTGTAAATTTCATTAACATCAGTTATCTTAAATAATTTAACTTTCAATTCACACCTTTCTCTGAGTTGAGATGGCCCAAGATATGGGAATTGATTCTCTCTCAACTTTCCTTTGATAAGATTGTCCAAAATTTCTTGGATTAATGGAACATGTTGTGTGTAGATGTTTTCAACACCCTAAAAAAACGTAGCTAGTTTTTAAATCATACAACTGCCTGGGCCTGATTTATCACGTCAATATCGAACAATATCTTACTTTCAATCCTTTAAACAGTCGTCGACTGAGCGACATTGGTGTATTGCTCTGACCAAAAAGATCACTTGATCTGACATTTTTACCACCATACTGAAGAATTGCGGAAACAATCTACAAGGAAACATATATTTTCAGGCAATTGTGGGCTGACTTCCTGAATCCGAAGTTGTCAAAGTATGAACTTCTCATATCTGACTATCTGAATCGAGAAAGAGTGAATCGTACATATAGAAAACTCACCCTGCGATAGTGATCACTGACTCCACGCCTTGCTAACAAGCTCAGAAGCCCCGAAACATCATTACTGGAGTGTTTCTCATATCGTAATGCATACAACAAGACAGTTCTCATCAAGTCAATATCACGTACTCTGCTTTTCTCGATCAGATGTCGCACTCGCTTTAGAGACAAATTACCAGAAAAAAAATTCAGAGAGATTCCTCCATGTTGAGACTTTAAGCTCCATTAAATTTACCATTAACTTCAAACAGTATGACAACTTACTTGTAAAGCAGTATTGTGGTCTGATTGTACAGTCAAATCTTGCTCGAGTTCAGAAACATCAAGAAGGCAATGTTCATTTACAAGACGTGATAACTCGCTAATCACAGTCACATGTTTTGTCACCGTACCAGACATCTTACGAAATTGAGGATAATTCTCAACAAAAGCCTACGAAAAGAAAAAAAGTCAAAAAACTCTTCTCAGTCATACACAGTTGAGTGGTGGTTTGCACAGACTACCACCATCTTAACTAAAAAAACAATGCAGCCTTATTTAACATTATTGCTATGGTACATAGTGATTGTGGCATCCATGGTGAATCACTGTTAACATGGAGGGATGAATTAGTCATTAAGTACCTTCATGTCGGCAATTGAGTCTAATTTTTGATTGCTTTTGACAGTTTTTTGAAACTCCTCCATCAACTCCTTACTGTTCTGAGCAATCTCACCAAAGTTTAAATATTTATTCTGGAAAAATACAAAAATTGGATACTAAATGCTGTTACAAGGCTTTTAGAATCGTTTTCTTGTTCCAGAAAGACCCACCAAAATATAATTGAAAAGTCAACCAGCTAAAGATAAAAAATAAATGACCTTATAATCTGCTAACCTTTTGATAAAATTCATCATGCTCCGAAGACAGAACAACTTCCTGATAAATCAGAAATATTTCTCTCACAACAAAATATGTAAAAAGTGAATTCCCACAATTACCAAGTATATTATATACACCATTATTGATTTGAAAAGTTAATTATATGTCACTGAAGATTTACCAACCACAAATAAGGCTCTGGATTGTACCCCTCACCTGAAGATCTTTACTGATCCCTGGAACGTTTGACAAATCAATTCGATTGTTCTTTATACCAAGTAGTTCATGAACCATAGCTTGATAAGTCCACTGGATTAGATATATGAAATTCATACAAATAATTGGGTTAGACACTTGCCTGTAGGCTCTATGAAAAACAGTTCAGACAATACACTGAGATTAAATGATAACCTGGTTGAGAAGAGGTGTCACAGGATCATCACACCGATCGAGGATCAACAACAATGGAGGAATATCTTGACGACGGAAATCAAATATTGTTGCATTCTTGTCTATAGCAAGCTGAATGAAAGTGATCAATTGTAAACAAAACTAAGACAACAGCTTATATAATAAAAAATAAATTGTTTGAACTTACTCTGATATTTCCAGCAAGTCGTCTGGCCATGTCTGAGAAACCATGATATCGTATGAGAGGAGACTTGCGCAAAGACAACAACATTGCACACAGTCCATCAGTTGTTCGATCAAGTGCCTTCACATCCCATGCTGAACCCTTGAAATATATTTTAATTGTTGGACAGAAGAAGCATGATTGTCTCATTATGAAAGGAGTTTTTGATCCTCTCATTCACTATTAATGCAATCACTTACCCCAGCTCTTGCACAAAAAGGTAAATTTAAAGATACAACATGTGGACTGACGGCAAAATAATCTGCATAATATTCCTAAAAAGAAAAGTAAGTTAGGACTAAATCTAACATTTCACTAACAATAACATAATCGTTAAAAATAGTTAGCACTAGGAAAATGTGAAGATTGTATAGAAAAATAACTGTTTTGGTGCATCTTTTGACAGTTTCATCACAATAAAAATTTTTCTAAGACACCTGCAACTCTTTCACAGTCTCGTCACAGTCAGCTTCAGCCATTCCTTTGATGTCTGCTTGTTTCACAGTGTTGGAAAAATCTTTAAAAGAGATTTTTATTAATATTAGATAAATACTGACATTTTCGGTTCTCTATGAGCGAATTCAAAGATGGGGAAAATAATATTATAATATAAAGAAAACCTACAAATATAATAATTTCCATATTTTGGAGACTTCAATTCTTTTATAAGATGTTCAATGTTTTCCTAAAATAGTAAAAGACTGCATGAAATTTACATTGGTGAAAAGATTGTCATAGAAAGGTTGTTTATATAAATATATATTATATATATTAGATACATATATATACCTTTGTAGGTCGCAGAAATGTTATAGCCTTGAGATGTTTCATTGTCTCCCGTGTTGGGACATCAATTCTTTCAAAAAGATAAACTTCTTTTTGAAGAATCTCACTTTGTGAGTAAACCATGCTTACGATGCCAGTCTAATTGGAAAAAGAATTTAAAAAATATATATATATTAACAACAAAATTGCATTTTATTTTTATAATTAAACTAATAAATATATATGTAGGATGTTACATACAGTTTCCTTGTCCAACAACAAAACTTTCATGCCACTACCACTGTCCTCAACCATCTTAGTTATATATTGTTTCACAGCTGTGATCGTATTCATCTTTTATTTTCCTGGATTGTCCAAAAGTGTTGTTTTTTCCCTTTAAACTTCCACCGACTGAGCTCTATATAATCACTGGTTTGTTATTGTTGTTCCAGTTTGCATTGCGGTCAGGCGCACGACATACTTCATGTTACACTAGTTTTTTATTGCTGTATAGCCTTCGCACCAAGAGCCGGACAAGACGGACAAGAGGCCTTTGATCTTTGATCACAAATAATCAAAGTAGAGAATATCAAATTCTAGTCTCCCTCGCAGCCGCTCTTTGCGAGGTCATTCTAATCAAATTCAAGTTCTGTTTTTTTTATTGTTGACTACCATTTATGACGGAATGTAATGCACACGGCCTGTTGAATACGTGTTCTAAACAGCTGAAAACGATGAAACTACCATGCAAAGCGAATACGCCGAAGAAGTATCTAGCAACGATGGTCCTATTATCGCTAATTATCATGACTTATATTATCACCAGAAACTCGGGAGAATGGAACTCAGTGGTATACGCGCAAAGCCGTACAAGTAAGTTCTCTTCGTTATTTGTATTCGAAGGTCAAAGATCGCATAAATGATCGCATTTCGCGCACGAGTATTTCTACAGGAAGCATTACTTTGTCATAAATATTTCATTTCAGTTAGTAAATTTTGCGCGTGTTACAAGATATGGTGTTACAAGATATTTACACGAGCGCGCAGAGCTTTTTTCGTCAGTTTCGATGTAGACGTGACATGAAAACTGCTACAAGTGTGAGGAATCCAGTAATTTGTTTTACATACGGCTCTGACTTTCTTTATCAAAAGGAGTCTATAATTTCCATCGCTGTCGGGAGACTGTTGAAATTTGAGCAGTATTACTTGAATGACTCTCTTCCTCGACGTATAAATAAAATGAAATTACGCTTTTGCTAGCAAGATATACACCCGGCCACCCATCATTGAGTGCCAGCAATAGGACACTGGATATGTTACTATCATACGTAATCAATCATTGGCAAACAGCTGCAAGTGCTTTCTCTATGAAAAAAAACGTTTGTCACCGTTTTAGCCACAAGAGCTTGATTTAAATTCACTCTCATATATCTCATCCTTTCAGAGCATAGCCACCACGAAAACACCTCAATGAAACTCAGCGCAGATATTCAATCGAAAATCGAAACATTGGTCTTGTTTATTGGCTACCCACGTAGCGGACACACCTTAATTGGCTCCCTGCTGGATGCTCATCCACACGTGGTGATTGCAAACGAATTGAATATTTTTGAACGGTGGACAGAATGGAAGAACGAAGAGAAGACGCGAGAAAATTTATTAAACAAGATGTACGACAACAGTTACAAACAGTCTGTCTCGCACAAGGGTTATAGGTCGACAGCGAAGAATAGAGGACGAAGTTACGCCGTACCAAACCAATGGCAGGGAAAATACAAAGATTATATAAAAGTAAATTGAATTTTATCGCTATCTAGCAGTCGACAAAGACTATAGGCTAGTTGATTTTCATTTTGAGAAACGTTGCTTTTCCACATTCCAATTTCTCTCTCCTGTTTTCCAGGTGATTGGCGACAAAAAAGGCGGAAAAGCAACAAAATTTTTCAGCTATAAACAAAAGGTCGCCAAAGAGGTTCTGGACACGATAAACCTCCCAGTTAAGCTCATACACATGGTGCGAAACCCGTATGACAATGTCGCTACCATGGTATTTAGATATCTCAAATTAGGACCCACTGAATCAATTGCTTTAAAGGAAAAGGTAAGGTTCTCGATGCTCTGAATCTCATAGGATTCTGGCAAGAATTTATAAAGCTATACTCGAATAAAGCAGAGCAAACATACACAGGAAACCTATATAAAGAACATTTTGATATTGCGCATAATTCATACAAAAATATTATTCAATTTTTCTTCCTACAAAGAAAAGTCATCAACGATTATTTTTCTATACATCGACCAAGATGACCTGTTTGGGGCAACCACTATTTTCAAGACATTAAAAACAGAAACTTATCTAGTCATTTCTTAAAAATGTCGATCCATTATTTATAGATAAATAACACAGATGCGTTGAATATGAATCTACGTCTTCACCTCATTGCCGTAAGGAATAACTACGAATTGATTAAAAGATTCGGGCGCAGCGTCTTTACCTTACACAGCGAAGATGTCATAGCACATCCGACGGAATCCCTTAAAAAACTGTGCGACTTTCTCGAGGTCTCTTGCTCAAAGAAATACTTCAAAGATTGCGAAAGCATTTTATACACGAGTACTTCAAAAACGAGAGAGAAATTAGTTTGGCCATCTTCACAAAAGAACAGGATTGAACAAGCTATTATGACCGTTCCGTTTTTGAACAAATATACCTTCGAATCGTGAAAAGCGCCGTAATGCAAAGGAAGGATTTTCTATCCAGCGATAGAGCTTCGTATAGCCAAGAAATTTGATCATTTGATGTGTACAATCTCTCGTGTTTATTTTCCGTCATGCGTGGAACGTGTTCTGTGGCTTGTGCATGTTCATGTCGACATCATGTTAGTCGTATCGTTGGGTATGATCGATGAACAGAAAAATCAAACGTTGGAGGCATCTGTAATATAATTTTAAAGAAAAATCTATATTAAAATTCAGTTACATTTCAGTTATTTATATATAAAAGTGTTTTCGGTGACTAAACTGCATGAGAAAGATATGTCAAACGTGGTGGTCTAGTGTAGGTAGTATTCTACAATAAGCTGTCGTGGTTTGGGTCTGAACTACCTGAGAAAGTTATCTCAAACGTGGTGGTTCAGTGTAGGCAGTATCCTACAATACGCTGTCGTTGTTTGTGTCTGAACTTCTTGAAAAAGATATCTCAAACGTGGTTCAGTGTACAGTGATTATTCTTTGGTCATATGTACCTGTGAGTCGTGTTTATGACCGCCAGCTGCAAGCTTCATAACAACAAAATTTGTCTTGGCTACTTTTAACAGTTCATCAACCTTGAACAGCAACAAAAACAAAATGGTCACTGCAAAGCCGAATGATGGCTACTTATATAATGAACGATTCTTTCCAACAATCTCCTCAAATCTTCCAACCTAAGTAAAAACTCTTGAAGTTAACTTATATACTCTAGGCAGCCCAGAAATATTTATGAGAATTATGTCCTGACTCATGTTGCAGTCAGCGACACTACAATACTATATGCGTGTCGTACAGACCGCAGTATGAAACTGGACACTTTTGGACTACCTAAGGCTATAGATACTACCTTTTGTGGTGCATTAGATAATCCTTCGAAGGTTGTTTTCGCCTGTTGAAAACTCCTTGCCGACATCCCGAACAAATCTGTTTCCTATATGAATCAATTTTAGACTTCAGCCTTAGGATTATAACTGTTGTTTACACCATAGTATCAAGGTACATAAGGAAAGCTTTACCTTTGTTATATGTGAAAGAGTTATGCTCAGGGTTTCTTGATATTGCGTAAACAGACGAGGTTGTGGCGTGTCCAAAGTTTGAAATGGAAAGAAACGATGTTCAAATCTCATCTACAAAGAAAAAAATCCGTTTTCAAACGCAAAATTCAGCCATGGCTAGAAAAAATGGAGAACATACCCTTTCGCTGTCAAACTGTTCGGCAGGATGACACATCTTACCACAAATAAGAAATCCTTCCAGCGCCTAAAAGATCAGGAAATGCATTCAACAAAAGATCCCGATCACCCACAACTACAGCAAGAAACAACCTACTTTCATATATCCAGAACACAGGTTTCTCATTCCTTGATAGAACTGCTTCATTTCCTGATGTTCTTGAATATGCTTTCCGCTTGCTACAGTGAAAAAAATAAAAAAGCCTACTAGTGCAGTATTTCTCCTAGCACCGTAAAAATTTCGACAGCTATCTGGTGTGAATGAACATAGTTCAACCTCGTTTCTTCTTTTTATTCTTCTTTCCACTTTTCCCGCTTTTTTGCTCTGAAATACAACACGCTTTCATTTTCAATCCAACATTAACCGCACTTTGTAATTCAAAGACCTGCTTACCCAGTGCTGTTTCGTGTGACTGGAGTAACTCCGTTGCTCTTGATAAACAAGTTGATTGCCAGTTGAATAAATAATCCAAATACCTGGAAACAATATTCAAGAACTCATCAAACTATCCTTCCGTAGTAACACAGGATCAATAAGAGATGATCTTTAGCACGAATAGTTTAGAATTGATAGAGCTATCCAGTATATATAAAATTAGTTTAGTTGAGGTGTTTCTTCCTGTAGTAACACAGGATCAATAAGAGATGATCTTTAGCACGAATAGTTTAGAATTGATATAGCTATCCAGTATATATAAAATTAGTTTAGTTGAGGTGTTTCTTCCTGCAGTAACACTGGATCAATAAGAGATGATCCTCACTGGATCTCTAGGAAAAACAGACCCTCACCAAAATAAATAATGATATTCATGAGCGCTGAACAGTTGTAATTCCATTCCAAGTGATAAATACTGAATCATTATCGTCAACGTACGGTTCAAAACCCACGATCCAAAACAAGCAAAATGCTCTCTCTGAAAAGAAAAGTATTTTAACAGATTTTAGATACTATGACTGCTTCAGTCTGCGTTTAGTCAAGGTTTCTACCACTTGGGCATCACGTGAACACTGCAAGAAAAACACGTGAATAGCTGTACCTTGGGTTCAACAGCGATAACCATTTGATGAAGATCTGCGTCAATTTTGTCGGCCTTGAATAAAAGGAATTTTCTCGTTTAAATTTCATAAGTGAGCTATCAGCGTGTATTTCGTGGAATAAGTACCTCTTCTTGCAAGACAGAAAAATCCTCCAAGAGAAATCCCAGCTTGTCTCGCTGCCGTGCGCGGTTATGACACATACAGCGGATTAAAGACGTGATTGGCTAAACGAAAACGAATCAAAGACGTGATTGGCTGAAAGAGAACGCATCAGAGACTCGACTTGATGAAAGAAAATAAATCAGAACGTAAAAAACCTATTGAAACAACCCTAGGCTCTACTTACTCCCCCAGCCATTTTTAGGAAGATCTCCACAAATTGCTGGGCTTTCGGATTGTTCATTAACGGCGATCTATAAAACAGGATTTGTTTCAAAGCTGACGTAGCAATGTAGCATCACCTACTTATTAAAATACGTCCCAACTTACTTTTCAGCAATGGACGGAGGGCTGTTAAATTGTTTTATTGCTTGTTGAATCACCTCGGATAACGAAGTTTTCCCAAAAACTTTGTTGTTATTCCAGAATATTATCTAAAAATACAAGCGTGATTTTTTCGATAAATCTACAACCTATAGCTATAACCAGGGAGCAGCGAGGCAGCGTCTTCAAACAACTTAGTATCAATACTAGGGAAATTTACAATAATTGATCATGCATTAAAACTAAGTAGCTATAACAGTTCTACAGACTATTTACAAAAACAATTTAACTAGACTCGCTAATGTTCGAGTTCCATTCAGACAAAGTAATGTCATTAATTAGTAATGTGACAGCCTAAATTTATATTAGGACAATGTTCAGTACAGTACTCTGTACTGCCGTGTGCATTGCTTATCTTGGTTATCTCACAGTATCATTCATACCTGTAGTAGTGATCTCGAGAAGACACATGGACGAAGTTCGCTAAAGCTCTCAAAAAAATCCTGAAAGCAAGACACAAAAAATAGTTTATTATAGTTCACATTCTATTTATCTTTAAGTGAATTTTTTACCAGCAGTTGAGGAAGAGCTGTATTTTCTATGCATGTGCTGGCTCTATCCAGCCTCTTTATAAGTTCCCCAAGATATTGGAATGCCTGGAGTAAAGGAAATATACCTCAGTTAATTGGTTCCTAAAATGTTATAATCTGCACAGATATATATGTTTTATCAGTTCTAAACTGTTCTTCCTAGAGGTCCAGTAAGGATCATCTCTTATTGATCCAGTGTTACTACAGAAGGAAAATTAAACTAAACTAACTTTATTTATACTGGATAGCTCTATCAGTTCTAAACTATTCTTCCTTGAAGAGTAGTAAGGATCATCTCTTATTGATTCAACTGGTGTTACCACAAAAGGAAACGTAATCTAAACTTTTTGGACTGTGGTCCTACCTCAGATCGGTTGCAAATTGTTGTGTGACGTGGAAATGATGGAGGTAATAGTCGTTGATTGACCAATGGTTCAAAACCCAACATTTTTCCTGGAAGAGAAAAGCAGTGATTATTGTGGTTATTATATTATAGTGAGGAGTTACTACAACCAGAATATGCCTAAACTTCACCGGACACAGTAAAAGAAGAATATTGATACCCTCATTATTAGAATGCAAGCCTAGATCCACCGTTTCTTTAGCCAAACTTAAATGTTTCAAAGAAGAAATAAATAACTGTCTTGCCATGCCAAGACTTGTGACCTAAAATTGACAAAGGTTGATATATGTACTATATAGATACCATGTACAGATCTTAAGTGAAGAACCACACTGAGATAAAGTGTAATGGAGAGCCTAATTAATATAATTAGCAGAAACGTCTCACTACAGTGTATCTGGCAAAAATACTATAATACATTTTTTTTTTACTTAGGCAGTTGAAATCAGGTAATATTTGGATATTTGAAGAGATTGCTGGCTACTTACATCAGCTTTTTCTAAATGTGCAACCGCAGTGTGAAAAGATTTCCAGAATTTCAAACGAAACCAGAGTGCTTCTAGTTCCTTCATCTATTGCAGAATAATAATTAAAAACAAGTTAGGCATGCAATTAGGGCATTATTCTTCAAAATATATCCCTATAGGAAAACATTTTCTCAAACCTCTTTGGAAAGTGCTGTTGATTGACCAGATGCTCTTTGACTTTTTGCAACCTAGAGTATAGCAATTGAAATGTCAGAAATACATCACTCATATTTTCCTGCTATGCAATATTGACTGGAGGTATTAACCTACCACTCTATAGAGTACAGAATTAATTGTTGCTGATTTTACATCCCATGCAGAATTTTATTTTATAATCTCCCTGATGAATTAGTCAACTGTGAAACCAGTACCTTTAACTTGCGATTGACTTCATCTTCAGCTTCTTTTAGCATTCCTATAAAAAAAACAAACACAAAAATTATCACAATTGTGAAAAAAATTAAAAAGTTTTACACAACAAAACCTACGACTGTGAAGTACACAAGAATTTGTTTCAGAATTACCTGAAACTCTCAAATCTGTGACTTGTGATATCAATTTAAAACCATATGTCATTGGTTGAAAGTCCTCCTATAGACATTTAAAAACAATGTGTTTCATTACTAGACAGTTGAACTAAATTATGCTGTTTGTTGTCTGTATGGGTAGCAATACAATTACCTCTTCATAGACAGATGCTCTGTTAATGATGTTTCTTATTATTTCACAAAGGCGTAAAATGACAACACAGAAAGCCTAAATTAACATGAAAAAGAGATTGACTAAATGATTGTCTTCGTTCCCATGTACCAAATTGCTTGCATTTCCTGCTAAAATCTGACAGGAATGCTGTCGATATTTAACGAGATGAACTACCTTAACACAAGGATCCTCTATGACATATGGGTCATGAACATAAAGACAAATAAACACAGTCTGAATTAAAGAATGGCCATCCAACCATGTGACCTGCAGTAAAAATGATAGGAAATTTTATGCTATGAAGCAATATGGTCTACATTTACACCAAAGACAATTACATAAACACACCAAACAAGAGGTCAATTCATCCATAATCCCAACCACTTCTTCAGCTGTGAAATCTTTTATTTTTATTCTTCCAAGCTTCAAACAGAGATAAAGACCATTCAATCATTCAACATGGAAATCATAAAATACAGAAACACCAAAATCAACCAGGGCAAACCTTCAAAGCTTCCTTAAACGACAGGATATCTTTATCCTTACTAAAGATCATCCCTGCATCCATTTTGGGATCCATCATTTCAATGGCAGACATTGCTTCAAACAAGCCAAATCTAAAATGCAGATATCCCATTAGATTTTTATAATGTTTCCCTAGAACAGTGTCAGCTGACAAACTTGAAAGTTGCATTACTTACGTATGGTCATGCACAAGCTCCCCAAGCTTTAATTCTGGAAAAAAGTGGACTTTCTTGCATCACACTTATTCTGTGATACATATTATTTATTACATATTATGTACATATTTTAATATCTTAAAGCTACGCCAAAAAGCTCTGGCCAAAAAGCAAGTACAAAAATAAAAAAGCATTAAAAAAAACGCGTATTTAACACCATACATATTGGATAAATAAAACACATTTAGGTTGAAGGATGAAATTTAGTTGTTGAAAGCTCTTATGACTTCGGTACAAATCGATTCACTTACCACTTGTTGCATGGCAAAATTCTTCTGTGATGTTCACCCAATTGTAGCTCACCTGATTTGATGCTAAAAAGAACCCTCGCGTATAAATGGTGAATCATAAACACAGGTATTCTGACCAATTTATCAAGGGAATATACTGCAATATTAAAGTACTAAGACATACAATTATGGTAATTTCTTCATCAGATTATCCCAACAGTACAATTTTATTTTATGCATTGTAAAATTATTACAACTTCACTCACAAATCTTTGTAGGAATAAACGCTTCCTGGCTGGTATTTGTTGCATTCTCATCTTGATTTTGTTGCAACGTTTCTTCTTCATTACTAAAAAGGACAACAGATTGTCTAAATTTCGTACAAATTAAATAAAATAGAAATATTTTTCAAATATCACTCACTTTGAGTCCGACATCTTGGACCGCAAACTTTATGGTACTTCATGAATACTTCGTTAAAACGGCCATTGCACTTTTCTGACACTCACTCGTCAACTGAGCTTTACGCGTGCGCACAAAGTTGCAGACGCAAAAACTGCAAATTGCTTGTGATGTCATAAAACAGGTTTAGGCACAAAGTTATGGTCAATGAGGCAAACCTGTCATGAAATATGCCTTTGGAAATAAAAGATAACCTCCTTGGCACTGTAAATCTATGCTTTCTCAATTCATTTTTCTTTCGACCAGAAGAGAAATTGTTGATATGAACTATGACTAGAAATTACAGACAGAAGGGCGAGAAAGAGAGGACAATATACTATCGTGTTGTAACAACGATCATCTTCATCGCTTCGTTATCCATGTGTGTATACCAAACATACCAATTGATCCTGCTGTACGTCAGTGACCCCATTGAAACGCAAATCAAAGTAATAATGCGTGATGCAATTAAATTTCCGGCGGTCACCATATGTAACCTCAATCCAGTCAGAAGATCCAGGTCAGTTCTCTCTATCAGTTACACGTATAAGGATGAAATTTTAGTAGGATAATACATTAGGGCTTAGGCAACCTTTGCGAGCTTTAGGGGCAAATTGCAAATTAAATTGGAGGTATATGAGGGTATACCATAAGGAAACTGAGACAGGACTTTTAATCTTTTATTAGATGGCAAAAGAATATAAACCAAACTGGTAATCCTGGAGAGCCAGAAACTAGTCTATGGAGGAAACTAGCCAGTCGTAAAGCAAGAAGTAGTATTTCATCAAATACAAGACAATTGAAGCTTAAACCTGACATTGCCGACGTTGAAGAAAACATTCGAAGCAATGGTGAAAAGTTACGGAAACGTTCTAAACGACAGGGTTATATTATTGGCAGTAAAATAAACAAGGATATTAACTCCATAAAAGAGCGGTTGGATATGATTGAAGCGTCTATGACGGCTCACATCAATACAAGTGCGGCATCTGGACCGCAGAGTAGTAATGATTCAGTGATATGGGCGAATTTAACTGAGAATTATGAACGACAAATGGAGCTCAGGAGCCGAGTTGACGATTTGGAACGAAGACTTCGCGTTACAGAACTTACAACTTCCGAAATAGCTGAAGAAATGGCAAGAACTCGAAGCTATTTAGATAAATTAAAAGCTAACATGAGTTTGACAGCGACGGAAATTGAAAGCGTTAATGATACTACAGTTAATGTAACAACAGAGGGTGATGAAAAGAAACTACTACCCAGTAAGGATTTGAAAGCGTTTCAGAATTACCTTAGAGAGATTGGAGAAATAACTCGGCAGGATTTTCAAGAGTTGGGAAACCAGAAGGAGGATTTTATCGCAAGTTGTACTTGGCAGGGCACAATTTGTGACTCCAGGTGCGGTAATCATTGTGATCATAACATAATAAAGATGATCAACGAATAGCTTCCCATGATGTGATTCATAGAGAACGTACTATAATTTCGCCTTTGTTTCTAGTCACTTTGAAGAATTTCAAAATTTTATGTATGGCAACTGTTTTACGTTCAACACCAGCAAAATTGGTAGTCACGTAAGCGGAACTGGTCCGTACAATGGTAGGTTTATTACTATTCAACATGCTCTATGAAAGAGAGAAGATGGAGTTGATTATTAAGGTCTTCATTTCCAGGCCTTAGTCTGTCGTTATTCATTGAACAAGATGAATACATGGATCGAATTGCGTCAGCAGCAGGAGCCCGCGTTGTTGTGCACGATTTTCATTTCCAGCCTCTCCCAGACGAGGAGGGATTCTCTGTTCCGCCAGGATATACCACAGCCATTTCTTTTCAGAAGGTGATAAATAATACGTTTGTTAAAGTATCGCAAGTTCTGAGATTTCTGCTTCTATAGTTAGCCGTATTTGTTTTATCTATGTCATTTAACAGGTAACGACGGAAACAGTAAAACCCGTCTGCGACCCAGATATTGAAACTTCGGTGAGAAACGGAGAGAAATACTTGTATTCCCAAAAGGTAAACGCGAAAAAAAATCAATCGCAATATGCACATGAAATGTCATCAATCATTTACATTATAACTATCAAAATATGCCATCATCATTATCATTATTAAGGTAATCAAATATTTCTCCTGCAGGGATGTCTTAAGAAATGTCTGTCTGACGAAATCATTCGTCAATGTCATTGCGCTGGAATGCAATTTTTTCTCAATATGAGAACTTGTTCAGTTGATAATGAAAATGAAGGTTTGTTTTAACTTTTGTAAAAGAAAATCCCTGCATGTAACTTGTCGTAAAAAATTCGTGCTTGTCGTTTCCAGTGGAATGTGTTAAAGGGTTGGAGAGTTTGGCTCGAAAGAACAAACTACCGTGCCACTGTCCGTTACAATGCAGGTATGCCGGCATGCGATTGTCTGATTTAGAGGAAATTGTGCTCCTATGTTTCCCAACGGATCGAACAATTTAAAAAAAGCCGCGGATATTTCCGGATGAAATTTACCTAAAACAATATTTCTTCCTAATCATTTCCATTTTCAGAGCAACAGCGTACATTCCAATTATTTCTTCAGCCATTTGGCCGGCCGAAAAATACCTGGTAAGCTGTTTCAGAGCGTGATACGAATACTGAAAGATAGTGATAAAATTAAGCCATTTGTTTGCTTTGGTTCTTCAGCCATCATTGTTGGAGGAACTTGTTCGAGTCAGACATAAAGTCCTAGATCTATTCGACAATATCACAGACTTTAACCAATACTTCAGGTAACTTCTCATATCTTTCATCTTGAGTTGACCAATCTTCTATTTTCAAATCATCTCCGAGTCCTGCATTTTAGGAAAAACTTCTTGCGTATAAACATATTCTTCCAAGAGCTCAAAGAACAGGTGGTCTTGCAGCGTCGTTCCTATGGGGTAAGCCTGTCAAACGAGATTCAAACAAGCCGTTTACCAGATATTTCTAGAAAAAAACATTCCTCGCTGTCGATGGTTTAGTAACATGAACGCTGTAAACACAATTTGACATCGTTGCTTTAATTTATTCTAGATAGCAAGTTTGCTATCGGATATTGGTGGACAGTTAGGGTTATGGGTTGGAGTGTCCGTGTTAACATTGGTCAATTTCACTGAGAACGTTTCAATGTTTGTGATGATGTTATATCGTCGTATTAGAGCCAAATTCGTGCGAAAATCTAGACGCCTTTCAATTGCCAGTGGAGCGGTTCGACCGTCACTTGACGTTCCTTATGCAATCGATGCGAAGGGCAGCTGTATTTTGAGTCTAAGTTCTTCAGCATTTCGTAGTCATGGTAGTCTTGGTTTGGCTGCCACGGCGAGCGGCTTAAGTACTAAACTCCCACACGTTCATTTTGAGGAGCCAAGCAGCGCCTCTAAATACATGAAGTAGTTGTAGATAAATAGTTTATTTAAGTACACGTAAGTTCATTGTGAAAAAACACTTTTAACCCTTTCATTTACGAGAACATTCCTTTGCAACTAATTAGATCGCTCTTCCATAAAACAAAAATCCTTTTCATCCAATTTAGTCTCAACTATAATTTAGGTAAATGGCTAAATGCGACCTCCTGTATGAATGGCAAAAATACAATATGTAGAATATGCATAAGGTAGGGTAGAATCCTGAGATATGTTTCGTGATAACTCAGGCAAGAAAAACATAACAAAGACATCCGAAGCGACATTTTCAACTTTCGTCAGGAAGTTGAGAAAATGAGACAAAGGCGCTTTTTTGGCTTGCAGACAGACCTTAAACCTGAACTATAGTACTCGGTGACCTAGTATAGTCTGGTTAAATGAAGAGAATTTTGGGCTGGTTCGACCTCTGTTCGTAGATGAAAGATTTAACCCATGCACATATAATATTGCGTTATTTCAAATATTAGCATTCTGGTAATAATTCGTCCGTCAATAGTTTTGATTTCCTAATAATTTTGATGGATTCTTAACTCAAACACATTTAAAGTCATTACCATACTATAAGAAGAAATGAGATTTCTTATGCGTTGGCAATGAAATGCTCTTTGCGTCACAGAGAAACCTTGGCATTCTAAGCATCATGGGCAGTTCGAGGACGCAAAACTTGCGGAAATGCTACTTAGCCAATTGGCTCAAGCGCACACGAAATATGAAACAATAGCCAGTTTAAATGCCTGGGTGTTCCTCTATCCTTGATCCAGTGTTATACAACAGGAGGAAAGCCAATACCACCAACTTCATTCATACTGAAGAGCTTTGTAAGTTCTGAATTGCCTCCCTTGACGTCCAGTAAGTCAGGTCATCTCTCCTGTTTATCAATCCAGGATCTCTTCAGGTAGATCAGTTTAGTGTTACTTCGCTAATTGAGTGCCTAACGGCACGCAAACTCTAGCACGAATATAATGATTTTGCGCACGCAAAGTTTCCCCGAAGCATTTCAACATATTAACACTTTTGCTGCGGAGAAATTATATCAAAAACTTCCCTGTATTTTGACAATTTCTAATTTTATTATCACCTGGGCTGAAAGAAATTACACAGATGCATAGACATAGTTATTTCAACAAACTAATTTAGAGCGAAAATTGCTTTAATAGATATGAGAAACCATTTTGGTACTACCAAATTTAACATTTCATTTTTTCGATCTATCACTGCAAGGACTCATTTAATTGTCCTATGGCTATGTATTATGTAACTGTCTTTTTTCAGTACGAGAAAACCGTCTGAGTATCAGAGCGCTTAGAAAGAAAGAATATGGTGCATGATTGAAGTAGACAATCGACCTGCGCCATATCTGTAACAAGTCCAGTGACATTAGTTTTCATGATCAACGTTTTCCATATTTACAAATCAGGGAACCTTTAACCTCAAAAAATGGAAGAATCTTGCCTCGCGGCTATAAAATATTTCTCTAGAGAACCAGGCCTTTAAATGAAATACATGAAAACAATCTTTATAGTATGAAGAGAAGTCAAGAAAGAAAGTTATAATATCACAGTCTGTTTCGTTGTATAAAAGACCGTAATTTTTCATCTGGCATTCCGATCATTAAAACCAGATTTATCAGACTATAATGGGGTAGTTTAGGCGTGGTATAAACCAAATATTCATTAAAACACAGAGGCAAAGATCTATTGACGGACACTTGGTTGACCTTTTCACGAAAGAAGATAACGAATTCAGAATGGTCATGGCATGGACATAGCGTTTTTCTTTCTTTGACATCCGCCCGTTGTAATTAACTAACCGAGATCTGTCCCATGATATACTGTTGACTCGTAGTAATGAATATTTCTAATCATCGCAGAAATCACGGCATAACTCGAGCAATCTGTGCTATGATAAATCATGACAGAAAACGATCGAAGACACGATGTATGACGAATGACATAAGGCAGAAACAAAGTGTTTCTTTCAGACTTCAGTTCATACAAAAGGATGAGTAGGTCACTATAGGGCGTGCAAATTATCCTCTGCCTAATGCCTGCTCGTCAAATTTTACCATTCGTTGGACAGTTTTAAATACCTCATACCAGCATGCCTTGTTGGCTTGATCTGAAATAACGCGTCTGAGTGTATTAAGACATCTTGTGCAGATTTATTCATCATCGTGATAATGATAGTTATGAATGTATTTTTAGAGAGGAACTCTTAATAAACAGCAAAATGGCTGCATGACAATTGTTGTCCTCAGATCTTCACAAGGAACTTCACGTGAATTGCTTATGACGAAGGCCAAACACGTAGAACTAAGTTAAGCTGCTTAATATTCAAGCAATACACTCAGCTTGGCTTAACAAACCTCGCTACCAGGGTGATCTCCTTCTTACGTCTGGAATAATTGACTCAATTACGCCTGTTTTGGCCATAGAGTTTTGACTACAATAAAACAGCACCAAAAATGGGCTTCCTATTTTTAAAGAAACAAATGAACATTCTCAGGGCTTTCAACACCCGGAAATAAGCGCGCGACTAGAACGGATCGCGCCATGGCGGGAAACCGATACATCCACACCAGGTTATTAGGAAGGTCGCGCGCTCAAATTTGGCGCACAATTTGGCAATGATGTTCTCGCATGCGATGCGAAACTAATGACTTCAACTGTCTAATGTGTAGCAAAATTGGATGTCTAATAAAGACAGGCATGTCATAAGCTATCGCTCGAGATATCAAGCTAATAGTTTTACCATCTGCTGTGTTTCGAGAGCTTTTGCGTAACTGTATATCGCGCGAGGTTAGACGTAAGTCAGACTTGACGGAAAACATGCTAAATAATTTTTCGCGTCCGCTCCGTATAGTCGGATGTTCTCTTGCGTGGCCTTTGCTTACGACCGGAAAGTATAAGCTATAGTGTTAGCCAAGCGTTACCGCGTAAAACCTTGGCACGAAACCCATACATTGACATATTATTTCGTGAAGAGTTCGAATGACTTGCCTTAAGGCAACCTTTTGGCAGAAGCGAAATCGATAAAAATTTGGTACTCGCAGAGTTGAGTTCTGTGGTCGGTGATTTGCGCAAACGACGCAAAGTGGGACAGTGGCAAATTTTCGCGCGGCAGGTGGTATCAGCATTAAGTGCGTGAACACTATAGATATCACACAACACTGTAGGGCATCTTAACAGCGAGGTTTTTAGAACGACGGGAGTGACGGTTAATAGGATCAAACAGCTCGTTGTCCAGGATATGAGGAGAATGCACGTCGTCCGTGTGTCTACTCCAATTACAAGGATATAAATGGCTCCAACGCAATAAATTCCGAACAGAGAAACCCCCAATGCGCGGTTCGCGTGCTTCATACAGTAGCAAGGTTTATCGATAGCACGTACAGTGGCCAGACGAACTCAGCATGATCTCGCTTTGCCTCCGTTTACCGTTGCTGCTAATCACGCTCTGTGCGGGAAAAGCTCAATTGTTACAGAAGGAAATTTTCGAATCTTATAAAAACTTCATAGGTATGTATATTCGTTACTTGTACATTACATGGTTACGCCCTTGGGTCGCATTCCAATATGCCGATGCGGTGCGTAACCAGCGCGGTGTTGAAAATTTCGCATACAAGTCGAGTACTTTGTGGTATAGAATCGTAAGATGCCTAATTTTCCAACGCTGATGATTGTCAACACCTATAAAATCCGACTACCATATGCTGCCCAGTATATTCCTAAATCTATCAATATTTTGCCCAACAGTATCTTAATCGCTTCTTCGAGCGTGATACATTCCCTCGCAAAATTTCACAAAGGTTGATTTACGCGGGTCACCAAATTTGAACTGGAATGAATGGATAGGTTTATCAGGTTCAGTCCAAAAGACTTCTAACGAAAATCCTCTAACATTGATACAGAATGCTAAGTATGACAAGGGTTCACCACTGGGATATTATTTGGATATTAGATCCTTAAAAATACATCTCCATAAATGTAAACATGTAATAATCTTTCGAATACAATTACACAGGCAGATTCTATTTGGCGACAAATAATATTTTTTTGCGTATCCGAATAGGGAAATTGTGATAAATATATTGGGGTGATGCATTTAAATAAAAATCAAATTCTATTTTACCATACCAAAAAAATTTGCAATAGAAAATTTGCTCATGTTTTTTATATAATGGCTGAAGTTGTAAGAAATCACAAGTTACAATATGCAACTCTATTTGTCAGGAGTGTTATATTACTAATCGAGCAATCTTTCCTCATTTAGACGCAAGTCCTTTAGGAGTTGAAAGTTATGAATTTGTATTATTACAAAATGACTCCTCAAATGCGTCAGACATTTTGGTACACCAGCTTCGAATATTTGATGAAAAATTTACACTGAAATTTAAAAGATTAAAAGACGTAGAAAGCAACGCTTTGATTGGTTCACTCGTCGAGAGTGCGGATGTCAAAAATATCGACTGTTATTGGTCGTTGGATGCACCACATACACGCAATGCTAGCGCAATTTTAAATACTTGTAACGATGAAATGGTAAGTCAGTTGGCCATGTATTGCTAGGCAACGGTGTTTAGAAAACACCGGTTTTAGCAATCTTGGATATAAAGTTATTGACAATTCAAATACTAGTGTTTCGGTTTCGAAAAGGTATTAAGACGGCTCTACTCAACGCTATTAGTCACACATGATTACAGTCATCAGGCGATTGTGATCAAATCGATACAACAGGACGGTTTGTGGAATAATTTCAAATTTGAGAAGAAGAAGAAGTGTAGAAATTGATGCCGCAGAAGCTACACTGCGATGCACAGCCCATTATTTTCATTAATGCGTTGCGTTGCGTCAACAGCTTTGTAACTTGTGCGTTCGTTTTAAACATTATTAGCCAAAGAGCCATCAACGAGAGGTCTGTTTTGAAATTCAACACCGTTTTCTTATCACCTTGTCATTGCTTCGCATCTGCCAATCACTGAATCACAAAACTGTGCCAGGACTACAAGGCGAAACTAATTTCTAAAAGGTCAAACAATGAGAATAGCTTTGGGGAGACCAGGACGGCTTCCGCTGATGTTACCAGAGGTTCGAGCAATGCCGAACTAATGGTTCATTTACGGTAGCTCGGTCGTTTCTTGAGGTCAGGGTTGTAATTAGCTATCAAAGAAACGCTTACACAAACTTTCTTGTCTTAATCATAAAATAACATCAGAATTAACTTAAGCAGGAACAGGTTAAGTATTGAGATGGAAATAATACCATTCATAAGCAATCAGTGCGCGATAAATGCTAATCGTATTAGGACATCCTATCGCGTTAAATACCGTGCGCATTTCTCGCGCGCAACTTGTTTTAGAGCAGATCATCCCAACACAGACGGAAATTTACATTGGCTAAACAAATACGACGGAGGAGATTCTATATTCTATTGAAAATCACCTACAAAGTTAGGAAAGAGTCGTATTATTTTAGAAAACCACATTAACACAGCACACTTTGCGGCGTTCGCGAGCGCTAAGCTGCGCACACAGCATACGCAATCTGCTGCCAATTAGACACATCATTAGCATACATGCCGACCACGGGCTTTGGAATGCGTGTTCCTCATGTTCGTCATGATGTTTTTTATACGCTCCTGCGAAAGATATCTCTACGAATAACTGTAATCCCGAGTGCTTTTATCAGCGCAGTGTTTGCAAACGTTACAAACATACATCTGGTAGATTGCTGTCAACATGAAAAAAATTGACATGCGAAGTTCAAAATTTCTGGACAATGCTTTGTTGTTGTAGTGTCTTTAACACGAGACACCTTTGACATACTTTCGCTTCCCACAAACTGTGCAAGAAAGCCTCCTGGTATTTCTGTAATTTTTTAATGAAGCGACATCCGAAAGTAAACAACATTTTTAGCTGGTGTTAGACGCATTGATAGCTGCTGTTTACTTTATTGATGTGTGAATTTTAGCTAATTCTTTTTTACGCGCGACTGTTAATGTTCTTAACCACGGCGAGCAATTTCCGATATATCCGTATCCGTGCCTGGGGCACGAATAGTTAACTTGACATGAAAGAGAGTAGTCAGGGGGGGAATGGTAAACCTGAACGAATGTAATCATAAAATTCTGCATGACTTTAAAGAAGTGAAAGATTTTAAAAGGCGTCATGTGAGGTATTCTGTGATCTCAATAAGTATAAGTTTCTCGTTCATAGGTAGTTAGGGATTCTCCCGTTTCCACTGGAACCTAATTCCAAGTAGAAATGGCATATTGCCAAGTTGTCCTGTTGCCTAGAATTAGCGCATATGTCTTTCAACTCTATCATAAGAGTTTCATTCACACAATAAGCTGTTGTCTTCGTGGTAATGGAGGATGAACATAGATAGGATGGATCCTCGTCCCATTCCCCAACTGAATCTGTAGGGAGATGTTATCCTAGTCGGATATTTTACTCACCCCACCACATGTCACCAAAGCCAGCTTATATTTTCTGGATATACATGCAGCCAAACTCGAATACAGAATTTACGAATTGCGAGGACTCCAGTTTTGTCTTTCATTGGGAGCACAAGTTATAATCTCATTACTGCTGATTTTAAAAAAACGACGCAAGTTCTTTCTTAATAAATGCTCTTTAGCAAAGTAAATAAGTGTGAATAAGTGTTGTAAACGTTGCAAATCAGCCATTAGTCAACAGAACTAAATGGAGATTGGAAAGCGTATTGAAATATTTTGTCAACACACAACAGTTCCTTAAAAGACGGTGTCGTTTGTGAGATCGATGCCTAGAATGAACCTTTCTGGTTTAGATGTCTGCGTTTCTGAGCCTCAGACTCACGACTCTTACTGAGCCTTTGGAAATAACAGTTTTTGAGAGAGGTGAAGAGAACTGACACGTAGACAATTTCCTGTGGCAAATTCAATATGGCAACCTCACTAAGTTTAGATTGGATCGACAAGGACGTGGGCAAACACATTGGATATTACAGACTTTTATGATCAGATTCGTAGAGCCGAACAGCAGCATCATAAACATTTATTAATCATCGTCTCTTTCAAATGCCATAACCCTAACCCTAAGCAAACAGCACAGTGAACTTAGACGTTTCCGTATTGAAGTTAAAAGACGATTTTCGCGACAAATAAGGAAATACTAGCGAATGCAACATGACGAGTAATACAAGCTTAAAAATAATCTTGTTTCAACAAAAACTGTAATCGCTAAAACTATCAATATATTCATTCATTAATTAACCTGTCAATCAATGATAATGACTAAATGTTAACAGGCGATTGGCTAGAATGTTTTAGGGACGTATTTTGGCGCACGCGCGTTGTAAAGCTCGAATAATTTCCTCTAAGTTGTTTCGAAATGTGAGGTAATTGTCAGACGTGGAGAAGTTTCACTTTAGCAACAGAAGCTTACAGGCTCAATCAAATCTAAACTATTCCTATCTGAGTATTTTTAACTATGATTCTCTACGCTACAATTGTTGCTTATTGGAGCTTATTGCAAGCATTTAGAGAAATCCGAAAGCATTTTAAAGTGTTCTGCATCTAAGTCACGGATGAGATCTTTCACGTAGCACTTAATAATGTAAGAGCTGTCTCGTCGCTGAATTAAGTCGTAAATCCTGGATGGGCGAGATTTTATTCCAATTTTGATTCCGGCAGACTAAAATGATGACTGTTGAAAACTTTGCGATCAGTACGGAATAACTTAGTTAAGTGTAAGTGGTTTCCCACAGGTCCAATAATGACCACGCCTCCTATTTGCATGGCATTTTGATAGGAGGATGGATTGAAAATTTATCAAGAAAAAATCACAGCTTTTACAGGGGTAAAAAAGGGAACAGAATTAGTATACCGTAAAGAAATATCCTCTTATATAGTCACAGAAACAGCCTATATTTGCATTTTCATTAATCTTATGGCTACAAGCTTTGTCAAAATGACTCATTTCATATTTTAAACACAGTTTGCGGTCGTGAACGGATCAAAAGCCTCTTATGTCATTGAACCTGTCTCCTCAAGTGAAGAGCGTGGAAGACTTATTGTGTATCAACTCACTTCAAACGTACGACCATGTATTGCACTGGAAGGTAAGGCTGCCTATATGTATCCCTGGTTATAAGTATTTGTCAAAGAGGAAGCTAATATTTTGAATCATCTCTGACTTTTAAATGTCGACCTTTTTTGTATTTAAAACATCGTCATCCGCTGTCAACTAAGACACGACCTTGTATGGTCCGATTCATAGGTTTTTCAATATAAATTCCGTCGCCCATTGTAGAGCGTAGCCTACCCAAACTTCTTTACAAACTACAACACTATCCTTTAAAAAAACATAGACTTCTATATCTAAAAAATTTCAAGTTCTGATAAAAAAAGGAACTTGACTTATCAACCTAGCATTTTCCCCAGGCAAACTTCCAACAAGCTTTCAAATGAAATACTTGGCAACAACGACAACTAAGACACTTTATACCAGTTAACAGAAATATTCTATTCATCACATAGCCAAGAAGGAAGGAATCCCGAAGGATTCTCAATGAACTATATCCAATACAGGAAGAGTGAACAAATTAATAAAACAATTGTCTTTTAACTCCCGCACACGTAGACATTGTCTGGAAGCTAAGAGGTCTCAGAATTTCAATAAATTCATTCAAAAAAAACATTCTTCACGTAAGCAATCTATCATGTTTCGAAGTTCTTTCCGGTGCACCAAAATATACATTAAAAAGCCATTTATCATGTATCCATAGATTAAGAGATGAAAGAAGGTTAGCTTGTGGAGCATTAAATTAACTCAGCTAATTAAACAGGGAATCATAAGAGATTAAGCGTTTCAATAACATTTACTTTGGAAACAAGGCTGGAATAAACGAGATTTGATTCGGACATTTCCAAATCGGTTAAAATATCGGAAATAGGAAAGATATCGTTGGAGAAAATCGCCAATTATTGCATAGCTGTGGGAGGCAAAGAGTTACCGACCTATTTGAGTTTGTCTTAAGGCAGAATATTAAGCTGCTTATATCCTTGCCATTAGGGAGGGTTTTTCAAGTGAGGCGTTCGCAAGATCATACAGCTACAAACACATGAATCCGTAGGCTATAAAGTAATATAGAATATGCTTTTCAAAAAAAACCGTGAGCCAGTACCTGGCAGTGATATCGAGGAAACATAAATGCAACACATAGTCAATGAACAAAACAATTTCAACACAAAATGACAAGCCATAGCACTTTAACTTTACAATGCGCTGTTTTATATTTCTCGAAGTACTTAGCATGTAGTGGACTATAATTCTATACTTCGTATGCCGACGGGCCACTGTATTGAATCTGAGAATAAGGTTGTAAAAAATGGTGTATATTAGGGTTACATGAAATTAATTAACTTAAATTAATTAACCTTCAGTCGCCTGAAGGTCGGTGATTTTCATCGTCTAAGGTCATTGGTTAAAAAACTTTTTTGCCCATTGGAAAATATGATAGATCTATGATTCTCGAAACCATACTTATAACCTTTGGCTTTAGAAATAATACATTTCCGTGTCTTCATCTACACATTAGGTCTAGAGAATGATTGGCACAAACCAGACGTTAGTTTAGGAATTGTTACCGATTAGAATTTTTACACTTGCCGTATAATAAATTTGTGATCTGTGAAGTTTGCACAACGATTTAGATTTGCAGATAACAATTACTATATTTTAGCTTGGCTAAAAAATGAATTAGAATTAAATAAACACTGTTGTATATTCTACTGTGTCAACAGAATGTTTTGCATATTTCTATTTATGTATAAGTCTTAAAGCTATAACAGCTTAAAGGCGCCAGACAAACTCAGCCGAAAGGACAGTCGCTAAATATCTACGTATAGTTTGCATGGCTATAATTGGCCAATCGTTTTCGGGATCCGTAACGTTGATTGGCTATTCGCCAGGGGCATTCCTCCAAAACCAGGGCAAATCTAGGCTATGATAGATGGAAATGTGTTTCCTCGTGTAACATCGTCTTTTTCTACGGTTTTTCTACACCGTAATGGGAGAATGCTTTGGGGATTTCATAGATCATGAGAAGCAACGTGTCGAGCATAAGAAATGTAGTATTTTATCCAAAACAAATCATATACGTTGACTGGTATCACTATATGGCAACGATATGGCCTGTCACACGTTGGAATCGAACCAATATCTAAATGGGACAAGCTCCATTCAAATATTTCGTTGCCATGAAAGGCACGTTCCTTTTTTGCGCAATCGTCAGTGTTCTGTGGTCTGCAAAAGAACAACATCAACGAAAAACTCGGAAGATATTTTTATCCATTTTCTCTGCCGGACAATGTTTCCCAGATGGCCTTTTCTCATTTTACTTGTTTCCTCCTTACATGTAGCGGCTTCTCGGAGGAGCTCTCAAGACGCTCAAAATTATCGAAGATACACACGGGCAATCAATACGCAACCGACTATTGAAGTTCTGCTTGTGGCTGATGAATCAATGGTAAAATTTCACGGAAATGAATCTGTCAGACGATATGTATTGACCATTATGGCCAAGGTAAGTTAGAATTGCAAACCACTTGCTTTAATTTCTGCTTTCCGTTGTATTTTGCGGTAAAGCAAAACCTCTAGTTCCACTTTAAACCAACAAGAGCTGTCCTATTCCTCTTCCAATATACTAAAATGCGGTTTATGGAATCATCTTAAATGATCCAGATCTTTTTAGGGTTTGTATAGTTAGTTGCTGGAGCAATAAAGTAAATATACTTTACCTAACCTCTCCTCGCGATATGCAGATATGTCAAGTATTGATGAAGTCAGTTTAGCTTTTCTTGAGTCACCCACCTGACAGAGGCGATGAAATGAATCATGTGTAAAACGATTGACCCATGTTTGTACAAATGACCTGCAAATGGTCTGTTGTATTGTAGGTTAAAGAAATCTTCCGTCACAGTAGCCTCGGGCTGCGCGTGAATTTAGTGCTGTCAAATCTAATCATCTTGACTGGTGAAGAGGTACGCAAAAGAATAATTACAAATTTTGCTTTTTTTATTTAATGATAGGATCAAAGCGAGAGCTCTTGTCCTTAACCTCCGCTGTATTGATGTTTGTTTTTAAGTTATAATCAATTTTATATTGAATTTGTTTGACGACTAATATTCCCACATAACTGGGGCAGCGTAGTTTTTTAACTTCGTTTAGTTCTTCCGTATAACATCTTTACACATCACAGTATATACGGCACAGCTTGGGTATTTTTAAGAAATTTGAAAAAACTTAGGATCCAAAATATACTAGAAACTATTTGCTCTGATAAAATAAAACTATAAGCAGGGCTCATATAGAACAATATAAGATATATTTCCTAAAATTTGGACGGGAAATGCAAAGATATGTATATTCTATAGTTAACTTTTGAACTTTCAACATTGGCTCTGTCTAAAAGATGAAGCACGTCGTAGTGGTAGTCTAGAACCCGTCAAACACGCTGGTAAAAGCAGTATTTTCCTGATAAAAGTCTTCAGCCCGACATTGATTCTCCGACTGAGCTTGTCTACATTTGAACGCCGAGGGGAGAAAGAGATTAATCCTTACGCTAAGCCCTCTAGGCTCAGGGAAAAATCGCTCTCCAGTATCTCATCAGATCAACGTACCAATCATTCCAGAAAAACCACAAACATTTAGTCTTTTTTACTTCCGACTATTAAAATTTCAGTTTAATTTGACGAAAAAAAGTTTACAAAATTTCTTGCATTGCAAAATGTGTTTGAAAACAGGCTGTCCATCCAAATCAATAACCTGGCCGCATTATAAATTGCGATTCTTGTGCAAGCTGAGATTCATGATTCTCACGAGCGTTTCTTTGTTGATCCACAGGAGAATCTCTTCGTCAGCCATAATGCACATAAAACAATGCGAAGTTTTTGTCAATGGCAGAGTGATGAGTTTAATCCAGGCGGAACCGATCATGACGCGGCTATTTTGCTAACGAGGTAACTATGAGATCTCGAGCACGCCACTACCATCCAAACCCCACCCTCCGAGATGTTTTACCCCCTGTCCTTTATGAATCCTATACAAGCACTAAATCAACGAATAAAGTCCAGTTTGAACCATCCGCGGCGTTTCTTTAATTTGAACTGAACAAGGTTTATATTTTGTCTAGACTCAACATCTGTTCGGATAAGGACAAGCCCTGTAGTACCGTGGGTAAGATAGCATAAAACTATTTATAGTCTAATAAAGTAGAGAAGCAGCTACCTGCTTGTGGCGGGCGCCATGCCAACATTCCACAACAGGTCATCGGAGGTTCTCATCCGGTCACAGCTGCTGATGTAACTCGAAATGCTTATTCAAGTGTTTTCCATAGTTGTTACGTCAAGGTCACAACTAAATACAGTGTCAATATATCACTTAATTCACTTGTAAACATGATAAAGATCCCAAGAAGACGCACAGGTCCCCTGTCTATTGCATTCAACTTTCACGCGATAGATATGGTCCTTATCTCCCAATAGATTTGCATGAACAGCGCACAAAGGCAGACAAACAATTGCAACTTCCCGGCAAGATAAGCCTGCAAATGGCAACCAGCTGAAATTCCCTACTTTATCAAGTGAAAAACTGCTCATGCACGTGCAATCCCACGACCTCTGTAATGTTAATTACATTCCACATCATCTATGGTGTTAATTACGTAAAAATCTGTAAACTATCGCGTTGATTCCATGTATTGATACTTGGTATGAAAGCATTCACCTGAAACGCTTTTATCTAAGTTATCTTAAGAACTACGCGTGGTTCATTATTTCATTTCTCGTGTCATCTTTTGCTCAGGAATGGCTTATATTTCTGGAATGTGTCAATCCCATAGACGATGCAGCATTGCCGAGGATACTGGCCTCGATGTAGCGTTGACGATAGCACACGAATTGGGCCATAAGTATGTAGCAACGCCACTTATCTTTGTCACGAAGAATCTTCAGTTGTTTAATCATTCCTCAAATAGCTTAGAATAATTGAATAAATTCCCCCTCCTAAATTTCCCCACTTATATTTCTACGACGTACAAGGAGAGACAGGGGTGTTTAATTTGGAAAACACTCAAGCACCCTTTCTTACGATTGAGACAAAGTCTTTAAAGAAAAACAAAGAATGAAAGACTGATTTTGATTGAAATCGAGGAGGTCGCGCAAGACATCCAAACACCATATATTGATGATTTGCACATTTTTGGTTCGTTCTTAATTTATACAGCATTGGCATACGTCATGATGGCTATGGCAACGAGTGCGCAGATCAGACACGTGACATACCACACGTGATGGCGTCGACGTCATTGAAAGCGAATAAAAGGGGATTAGCCCAGTGGTCGAAATGTAGCAAGAGAATGCTCAAAAATTACCTGAGGTATGTTAGGAAATTTTTGTTCATCCTACTGACATCTCAGCTGGATCACTCTTCCATCATCAAGACTTCATCTTTAACATCGAGCATCGCGTGCAACTATTCTCTACCGTATAAGACAATCGCGCGAGCCCCTCATTACAGAACACATTTGTCTTGTATTATCATCGTTTTCAATGACCAGCGCATGATAGATCCCGTCCTCTCTTCAGGCGTTCAAGTAGCTGGTGTTTGAGAGAAACCCGCAGCGGGACAATTATTCCCCTCCCTACCACCCTCCCTGGTGTAACATTCAGCGCCGATGAACAGTGTAAGCATCAATATGGAAACCTCGCCAGACAATGCAGACGATATCAAGTAAGTTAAAAAACCACTAAAACAACGATTCATTGTTGCTAAATATCTTTAAATATAAAATGTTCAGCATGATTTAGAAAGGAAATCTAGACCACATTAGTATGCAATTCTGCAGCACAGAAGGAAAACCAATTTCAATTGTTTTTCGTCAGTACTGTCAAGCAAATGCACGCTTGTCTTACAAGCACTATTTCTTTATGTAGTATCGTCTATGTCGGGAACTCTGGTGTGAAATAGAGGGCGAGTATTTCTGTCGGACAAAGTTGAGCCCAGCGGCATTTGGAACCGAGTGTGACAGTGGAAAGGTAGGGTTGGTTCCAGTGGTAACCACCATTTGTCGAACGTAAGGTGTCAGTGAAGGTTGACAAGTTTTTTATGGTTTTTAGTGGTGTATGTATGGCAACTGTGTGAATAACACATCAGTGTTAGAAAAACAAGATGGCGGGTGGAATTCCTGGGGGTCCTGGGGCAGGTGTTCAAGGTCGTGTGGAACGGGTGTTTCAATCAACCGCAGAGAATGTGATAACCCCAGGTAAGAGTCTAACTTCGGTATTCTCACTCATTCAGTGTGACATAGAAATTTGGTTATTATCGAATAATGCAAAAGACCAATCCTGACCAATGGAAAGATTCCAGGTAAAACACTTATTTGAGTGGAAATACCGTTACGGCAAACGTTACAACATGATTGAGATCTCCAACAGAATGAGTTTGAGTGTGAGCGAGCTTTTAGAATACACGCACAAACCGTCGTCTTTGCAACTCGCATCGGTCGATATTGGTTGCCTAAACGAATTTTGGATAATTTCTTTTCAAGGCCTAAAAATGGTGGAAGATATTGTCTTGGGCCACGGGAAAGATACAGATTGTGTAATCAGATGGTAGGTTTATCAATGGAAAGAACAATTTATTTGATCACACGTGAACACTAAATGAAATGAAGACGTAGTCACGTGCACGAGACCAAGGGAATATCATTGCCCATGCAGACACTTCAATCGTTGTCCTTTTAGGAATGTCCAGCGAACTCCAAAGAGATCAGGACAGAACAGTGCGAGTCGTTTAATAATCAAGTATACAAAAATAAATCATACTCGTGGAAGCCTTTGTTGAGTAAACGTAAGTTGAAGAAAACAAATGATGCAATCTCTAACGATAGAAGATATTAACATGATGCTATCAAACATTTCTTTCTACAGATAAGCCGTGTGTATTATTTTGTACTCCGACAACTGAGGAAAGATTTTCCGTACAGTTCGCGTCAAAGGTTATTGATGGAACCCCGTGTATGCCCGGGGGAACTGATCTGTGTGTCGACGGCAAATGTCACGTAAGTAGCAAAGGTCTCTCGATGCAAAGCTTTGGGCATCACCACATCGCCACGAGTGCAGCCTTGAAAACGGCGAAGCACAAGCGAACTTATCGACACAATATTTTTTGTTTTAGAGAGTTGGATGCGACAATAAGATCGGATCTGATGCAAAGGAGGATATTTGCGGGGTTTGTCGGGGAAATGGAACAACTTGTCAGAAAATTGAAGGAATTTTTAACCAACTTTCAGGATCAGGTAATTCTTCGAGTTATCTTGATCCCAACTATAAATTATAAATATAATGGTGCAAACGATATACGTTTCATTTTGTTACTCTTAGGCTATGTTGAAGTTGCAGTTATTCCGGTTGGAGCCCGAAATATTCAAGTGATGGAAACTAAGCCATGTACTAGCTTTCTAGGTAGATATTTTCACGATTCATTTTTTAAATTTTCGTAAGCATATTTCCAAGTGATATTTCTGCATCTCGTGACAGACTTAAATCGGTGCTGATGAAGATGGAAGTTTGCCACAACTTGATTTTTATATTTGTGCTCTCCAAACATTGATATTTATTCTTCCTCAGCGCTAAAAGGCAGCTATGACACATATTACGTCAACGGTAACTGGAAAATACAACTTCCGGGCCAAGTGGATGTCGAGGGAACAAAAGTTCTCTATGATCGAAAGGGAACATGGGAAAGGCTGATCGCAAAAGGTCCAACAAAAGAGCCTCTTCATGTCATGGTAAGGAATGAAGCCTGGTGAGGGTTGTTTAATCGGGAAGACATAGACAACTGGAGTGATGGCGGTGATAGATCAGTCAGTCAGTTAGTCTGTCTATACTACCGTTTGTGTTGACGAATAACGTCAGTGCCACGTCAGTCAGTCTGACGACAGCTCTAGTCTCATACCTCCATTAAGACTTATTCTTTTTCACTTCTACCAGGTGTTGTATCATGGCTATAATCTTGGAATCAAATATAAATATTCCATTCCATTGCCGAACAAATCAAATGACGAGAACGCCATTTCTCATAAATCTCCGAGTCGCAAAAAAGTTAACTACGGTTGGATCAGGAGGGGGTGGGAGAAATGCAGTGTTGTGTGTGGAAATGGTGTGCAGAAAAGCCGCAAAGAAGAATGCGTCAGTTTTCTCGATGGAAAGTTTGAAACCGTCGACGAAAAATTCTGTCGTGGGGCGACTAAACCAAAGCAACGGTTTCGTGTTTGCAGCGAGCATCCTTGTCCGATATGGTAAAAGGACTTGTGAAATATAACGAGGTTCTTGAAGTGATCATAAATATATAAATATCTCTCTCTCTCTTAAGGTGGTCCGTGACACGATGGAAGAAATGTAGCCGAAATTGTGGTTCCGGGCGTCAACACCGTCTCGTGTTTTGCATGAAACAGCACCCTAATGGCACCATTGCAAGAGTATCCAATGACATGTGTACCAAGGACAAACCTTCATCGAAACAGAACTGCTATGTGAGGAGCTGCAAAGTGAAATGGGTCACTAAAAAATGGTCGAAGGTACGTTCTTCACTACAAACTATTTCCTAACCATGGCTCTGTGATTTAGAATGGTTATAAAGATCTTGTCTGTTTACTTTAGTGTTACAGTATTTGTGGCAAAGGGTATCGTTTCCGTGTCGTTCGCTGCCCGCTGAAAGGTCTGTGTGATGCTAAGACTAGACCCGCAAGCCGGAAGGTCTGTTATGGAGAACCGTGCTTCGTCTGGAATGCGGAAGAATGGGGAAGTGTAAGTACAGATATTGTAAAGTGACTTCATTTATACGTTACTTTAGGTAGAAACTGGCGAATATTAGTTTACAGTGTACGTGCCCAGGTTTCGTCTTTATACAGTTAAGCAATGTGAATAGTATCAATTGATGATAAAAATGACAGCAAATGAAAACTTTCTACAAACACTTGCTTCTACGATAAACTACACAAGTCATTGCTAATATAAGTTGATTGAAGTTGAGCAATCATAGAGGTATATGATTCATTCAATAATATGAAAAGCTCGTTCAACAAAGGTTTATCAAAGCTATTATCTTGTTCACTAACATCTTGTAGCAATAACAATCTCTTTCTTCTAATTTTTTTAGTGTTCACGTACTTGTGGTTACGGATACCAACTACGAAAAGTAAACTGTGAACATAAACTTACCAAGAAATTAGGAGGACCATGCAATCGTTTAAGAAAGCCTTACGAAATCCGTCTGTGTAAAAATTTACGGTGTTCAGATGTTTAAGGGTGCTGCAAATCCCTCACAAATTTAACTAATATCTCTTCCTAGTAACGTCCATTTCCCCCTCATATAATTTCAAAGCTTGGCACTGTATGCTTACATTATTCCAGGAAAAGTAAAGAAAGTCTGTGAGCATCAAGTATTTCCAGACCATGTCTCTGAGGGGATATCTATTCTTACGGTTTGACTATCGTTTGAAAAAGATGATAAAGACTCCTAACATCCTTGCTTTCCTAAGCTGTTCTGAGGAAGAGATTTCGTTGCTTTCCAAATAATTAGGGATCATATTTAAGATCTAGGAATTAAAGAAGGATAATGGTGTATTATAGTACAATTATTGAAATATGTTTGCAATGTAAAATAGATAGGAAAAATATTTGTTAAAGTATATTCAATATTTTCAATATCTTTCAGTCCTCACCGCTGATATTATAAATGACTGATAGGAATAAAACTTCCAGTTTAACATCTTAGTTCAGTTAAATAACTTTTATTTTAAAAAAATAGAAAGAACACAGAACAATGAAAGAATTGTAACATCAAAATATATTTATAAAGTTTTCAGCGTTGATTCAACCCTTTGTACCAAATATGGAACTTGGATCAGTCGCAGTAAAAAAATCATTACATCAGTCAAAGAATTGCTATTTAGGTACTTTGAATCAAAGATTGTGGCTCAGTAATATATTTTGACTGGCAATGAATCTGGCTAACACTAATGTTAGAACTAAACTTTTCTCTGTTATTTGTTAATTAAGAAACTCTTAATATGTTCATTTGTTAAATATTTTGGCAATAAATGTTGAGCATCTCCCATATCATTGTATGTTAACCTGCAACCATAACAAAGTGGCGCTGATAGAATGTCATTGTCATTGGTACTTTGTTCAACACTATTACTATGAACTTTCTGGTCACCATGGACGTGATCACCTGTAGTACTATTACCAGAAGACAAACTACCAACAGTACAACCACCAGTATTCTGGCATCCACCACCATCTTCATCTGTACCACTGAGGATTACATCATCACCATCATCAGTATTCTGGCAACCACCATCAGCACTTCTGGTGTGAGCAGTACTACCATCATTGCTAGTTTCCTGGCAACCATTACTACCACATGCACCACTCTCACATGACAGCTCATTGAACACCCCTGAAAAACCTGACCTCATATCCAGTGGTGCTAAACACAATGTGCAATGCTTGCTATTTCCATCACCAATGTTTGAAGAAATCTTATCCCCAGTCTTGAGAACAGTGTTCACAGTTGATGGAAATGATGCTTGCAACCCTAATATGAGCTCCTCTGTTAACCGAGTGACGCTGCTATGACTAGAGGCTTTTGTTGAAAATGATGGTATAGCAAACGAGTTAACATTGCTAAAGTAGTTGTAATATTCAATTTCTTTCTTGGTAAACTCTCGCATTGGTCTCAACACAGAAACCTCTGAACGACCGTCCTTGAAGCCAACACTGAATGGAAGTTGAGAACCTCTGCCTTGCACAATATCTGCGAGAATCCTGATGGAAATATTTGTACCACAATCTCCGACCATGATATAATTGTAACTATGATCCTTGGCTATCCTCTGTAGCTGATTACGATAGAGATGCGACAACAGATCATCTTTAGCTGTGACTGTTGTTACTTTTTCAAATAATTGTGTTAGAATTTTAGGTGATGCTTTGTGACTCTTTTCCTCATTTGAGAGATCAACATCTTTCAAACTATCAACAAGCTGCATTTCATCGTCAATCATTACCAGCTCTGTTAACGAGGCATAATGAAATGGGAATCCAGCAGACAAGGCTAATTCCTGAATATGATTTTTGATCCTATTCCTTGCTTCGGCAGTCTGACCACACAAACCCTCGTCATCCATATAAATGACCCCAGGTTGAAAGCGATGCTTCTTCAAGGCAGCCTTCCCAAGGCCTTGATACAAAAATATCCATAATTTAATTATAAATCAACATTAATTTAGGAGGCTTTCATACAGTGGTGTCTGCGCATTAGTTCAAAAGTTAAAATTGCTGAAATTTAGTGCATTTCTTATTTTTAACTCATATTCAATTTAGAACTATAGCGAACTAAGATAGTGTTGAATACACCAACTATTCTCGATTTTTTAAGAAATATAGTGAGTCAAAATGGAACAAAGCATTCAGTTTACATTATGGAGTTTGGACTATACCCTACTTTTGATTAATCTACAGTAATTGACCAATTAACCCAATTAGAACACGCATCACACTCATATTTCTAATTATACAACTGGCAGTTGATATTAAAGTACATAAATTACTGATAATTACTCACCTTTGATAACTAAATCCAGCATGGCACCAGAGGAAGAACCTCCTGAGACAGCCAGTAAAACTTTCTCTCCTTGATGAATTACACGAGCTTTTCCAATAGTCGCACGGAATTTGTGAACGGCATATTCCAAGAAACAAGTTGTGCAAAACGGGTCGTTATTTCTAACCAGCACGACTGCTTTTTCCCCACATTTCATACAAGCTCCTTCCTCCATTAAATATTCTTTGTTGGCTTTGTCTCGACGTTTGGAACCTTTTTTAGACTTTACTATGTCGCCAGCTTGCTCTATTTCATTTACACTGCACATGCTTATTTTTTCAAATATGTACAACGTTTAAAAGCAGAAGAAACGAATTTTTAGTAAAGATTCTCATTCAAAAAGTTCAAAAATCAAAATGAATTGGGCAACTGGGCAACTGGCCTCCATATTGAACTGTTTCCACTTTCTCTTTTCCGCTTTCTGACGTGGCCAATTTCATTTACTAGGAAATATTAAAAAATAGTGAATATATTTCTGTCAACTTATATACGCGTTTTGGTGGGGAGAAATTCCGAAGTATCTACTTTCTGCATTTCCAAAATTTTACTAAGTGAGCGTTAGAAAGCAACAAATCAAGTTTAGCAACTAAACATTAAAAAACGAAATGCGGAATTTTCCAGTGAAATATTACATACTCAGTGCATACACCCCCCGTCAAATATTCCCATTTTCAAGATGGCGGAAGCGTTCAAACAAGAAATGCCTCCGAAAGGGGGCTATGCATCTATAAATATTGCAAGAAATTTAAAAACGAGAGGCCCGTCGGGTTTCCTGACTCTTGTTTTAGGAACTGGCATGATGCTGGGCGGATTTCTTGTCGTAAAATACGGGAATAATAAGAGAAGGTGAAACAGAATTTGGACTTTTAATCTTTTTCATTTGTGGTGGTATTGATCGATGTTTGTTGTTTTGTATTGTAGAACATTAAAAATGGAGCAGCAAGAAGCCAAAGTGTCTTTGATTCCACTAATACAAGCTGAACAGGACAGAAAGTAAGAATATTTTACAATATACTCAAGTAAACAATGATGTATTCACACACACCATGAATTCTTCTCATTTCTAGCTTAATCAGACTAATGAAAGAAAACATGAAAACAGAAGAAGCCATAATGAAACATGTTAAAGGCTGGAAAGCCGGAGAGAGTGTCTACCACACAAAGAGATGGGTGGCACCTTACTCTACTGAACTAGAGGAACTTTAGAAACCTAGAACATATTCATGTCTGAACACTTTATATCAACTGCGTTTGCTTTATTGATGGCGTATAAACCTCGCTCTCTTTTTCATCTTGTGTAAAAGTTTGGTGAAATGAATTTGTTTCAATATAACTTTGAGTAAAGTTTTTGTCATTTGCTCCACTAAACACAAGAACAAAACCCTGTTGGCACTTTCAAGGAAGTGAAGGAACCAATCCACGGTGTATCGTATCGGATATTCAGGAATAAAGCCATATAAAACTGCAATTTAGCTGTCACCTTATTTTACTGAATATATTTACTATTTTGCATGGCAATTACACAATTCCTGCCCTCGCCATCTTCACTAGATGATTCACACCAAAACTAAGGTTAATTTTGAAGAAATTCCAAACTACTGTACATAGATTAACGTACGCTAATATTTCCTAACTTAATCGAACTTTTGTGCAGCTTTCCCGCTTCGTACGTCTCCCTCTTTGACTGTTTTATCGGATAAGAAATATTGTGACTTGTACGAAACTCAGAAATCAATGCCCTTGGCATCTGGATGTGTGAAGCTGTTATCTGAAACAAAATGAAGACGAAACGTGATTTTGACGACTAGATAAGTTCAGGAAAAGGACTATTGTTGAGACTTACTTTTGATAGGTATTTTGTATCAGGCACCAAACGTTTGGCTTCTGAATATGAAGGAAAATCTGAGACAGTTGTTGACTGGTTCATTTCGTTACCTGGAAAATTGATAATATATTAAAATGTCTCTTCTGTAACTTCCCGACAGTCTCTCACTTAAAGCAATTTTGAAGAATGGCCAACAATAACCGCACATGTGGCGCTATCTAGCCACAGTATAATGCCCCAGTCAGATATAGGCTAATAGGAGCTAATACCGAGCGTACTGCATTTTTGCAACAAACCATGCAACGTAAACGTACCATAATAATTCAAACACACATTACTGTTGGTTGTTTGCCAATCACTCCGTATCACCGGCTCTGATTTCGCCGAGAAGTTTGAGCTCATTGTTGTGTTGTAGTGTTGCTGTCCAACTGCACTCTCCGCTCCAAATTTGACTTTAGACTTCGTCAGTAGATATGCTCCGTCAACCTTTTTGTACGGCGATGAGATGACAGGCTGAAAGTTGCAAGACACGGTGATTCACGATAAATTGTTTCATTCCTCCTCAAATAAAACTTGACTTCATCAAATAAAACGGAGTAGACTGAACATTCATTTCTAGGTCTTACTCTTTTGAAAAACGAATCGTGTGTTGTTTGTGTGAATCTTCCTTGCGACTTCTCCGAATCACCGAAAGGGATGTTGCTTTTTGCCATATTCAACTTTGCCTGCCTACTGACCAAGTGCTCTATGAAGTACAATATAAAATATTTTATTACTTGCTTGTCATGTCCTATAAAACAAGAACGTCATAAACCAACAAATCTTATTATATGCATACGTGTTTCAACGCAAGGAAATAATTCTCTTTTCGTTTTATGGTCTACCAAAGACCACTTCTCTTTTGAATCACCAAGGATTATACTTGCTATGTAGTTTGGACCGCATGGATCCACCCTTTTCAGTGGCTTTTCTTTAAAGAATTTCTGATTCGTTGTTACAGCGTAAAGAACCTTTTTTGGATCCCCATGACGAATACTACAAACGTTGTTCTGAGACAAATTTAACAACTTCAAATACTGCTTCTAAGGCGTGTGTATACAATGTTATATACAACCTACACATTGGAGAAACTAATAAAACTATAACAATAAACTACCTTTACAGCTTTCATCCTCTGTGGTAACGTGTATTGACCACGAAATGTCTTCTTATTGGTGGTTTCGAACTGATCTTCGTAGAACTTTGCGTCTCCATGTAACATGGACGTGGCTTCAAATTTTGCTGGTGAGGCAACATCCAACTGGCTCAGTTTATCTTCCAAGAAACTCTGGCGGTAGTTTGAGAACGGTATGTTCACCTTCTCTTTGTCACCTGGAAGAATAGAACTAGCAAATAATAGACCTACAACCAGCACTGGGAACAGGGTGGGGTAGAAAGGGAGAGGAGAACCATGCAGATAATATTTAAAGGCAAAATTTATTAGTGAGGAATGTCAATAAATCATTAGTATGACGTTTGTAAAACAAACATAAAAATTAATATCATCCCACCTTGTGGAATTGAACTTTTCATCATGTCTTCTTTCCTTTTTACTTTTTCTGAAATCCTAACAGGAAAATAGACTTTATGCGTCGTATCAAAGGCCATCGTGCTGTTGTTATCCACGTCCATTTTTGTCAGATTTTTTGTCCCCAAAACCAACTTTGCCACTTCTGAGAGCTTAGTTCGCTCAGTCGTTGATTGTTTAACAAAATGCGTGGCTGTCAACGACCTTTGTTCATTGATTTGAGAATCAACTGAGAAGATCTTTGCTGGTTTTGGCGAAGGAAGACGGTCTTGCTTTGAAACAAAACCTAGTGGTGGATAGTCTTTCTTTATTGTGCTTTCGTAAATATTTTGACATGTTGATTTTTTCCTTTTTTTATCTTGACCGATGTGAGAAAACGTAGAATCTTGCAATGCTGGATCTATTGGAAATTTTTCAATAATTTCCATTTTTTAGTTTTTACAATAGCCTTTTCCCTGTGTTGAATTCTACGAGACAATGCATTTGTCGTAATAAAGAGTTCATTTACAGTTACCTTAGCAACAAATTAGTTAGCTTAAATGCAAATAATTTCTAAAACTAATAGTTTGTGATCATTTCATCTATTCAACTGCTAAAACTCTCTCAAAGTTTTTTTTTGCAAAAATACACCAACTTTTAAAGTACTTGAAACTTAAAGCATGTAAGAGTATCTTATTTACATTTTTTAAATTCCATACGTTAAACGTTTACACAATGCGATCGAATTTTTAAGGTTGACCAGAAAAAAACTAATACTATCTCAAATTATTCTATCGTAGACAAAATGGAAAGCAAGGCAACTCTTACTATTAATTCTTATCGTAATAAAGAACAAAACTCCTAAACAAAGAAAATGAATGCGCATTCTGAAGGATGGTGTTTTACGACTAGCGCTTATAAATATTTGGCGCCATTTCCCGCGCAAACGCGCCATTTTGAAATTGCCTTATTGCGAGAAAGATGGTTCGAACACGAGGGGATAATAGTGCCAGAAGAGGTAGGTTCGTTGTTCTTTTTAAATGAAATGGTTCAACTGGTAATACTTCAGCTGAACTTACCTTTATTGAGACCACAGAACGCGTTGAATATCGAGCTGTTTCTCACTCAAAGATTTGTGACGACCATATGTTTTACTATAGCTGTTGGAGCCAAAGCTCCTAGGAAGCAAGCAGCTTGTTCATCAAGTAGTTCCAGTTCAATCATGGCCTCGCCGGGATCAAAGGACAAATACAGTGGAGGAAATCCTGTGAGGTGGATGCCAACACCATCATGGCAAAAAGGTACGAGAATCGTAACAATCACCATAACTTTTAATCTGGTACATGTGCAGATTGCAGAATGGTTGAAACTTGCCTCAAAAAACCACATCCATCCATCAAGATAGCAACTTGCTTGCAATCAAATTCTTATGTAATAAAATCCTTGTATTTCTAGGTATTGGTGGTTTCTTGCAGAAATGTAATTCAGTAAATTCACCATGTGATTCAAAAACAAATGAACCAGAAGATGGCACTACACCAAGTTCCTTAAACTCAACCTCAGACCAGGAACAAATATCGGAAATTACCTCATTAGATTAGTCCCAGAGTTTGGATCAGCCAGCAATGAAAATGGACAGTTGACTTTCATACTACAAATTACTAGCACTTAGTTAATTACTTTTAAAAAATTATGTTTTTCTAGCAATGTTGTTGCTATAGTTTTCTAGGAATGTTTACCTTAACTTGTAAATAATTGTATAATAAATATTTTTTACAAACCATCATCTGTACTCTTTGTAAACTTCTCAACATCTATTCATCAGGTCATTCTCCAAACCTCTGTTTACCATCCTCTGCTTATGGTCTTCTTCCAAAATTAGGTTCCTTAGAAAATTGCCATCAAACAAAAACATTAACTGTTGTTGCAATGTTAAAATATTTCATATGCGCACAATCAAATAAGATACAATCCAAGCGGTCATTCAATTATACTTGAAGTGTTTATTCTCTAATTGAATTATGATAAATTACAAATTTTCAAATGCACCAATAACCTCCATACATTTCCAGCACAGGAACACAAATCTAAATCATCAACCAGTCTCTGTTAATAGTTTATGCAACAATCCTTCAATAAGCCTGCAAATGATCAAATGCATCTGAAAATTGTGTTCCTCAGCTTAATCTCTATTTTTACAGTTACAAAATGACGTCTCTGAATTGAGAATGATACAACACTAACCAAATGCTCTTGCTATCTCTACAAGGTTTCCAACCTGCAGAAACCAAACACTACCCCACTTGAATTTAGACAACAAATTAAAGTCTAAATGACTATGCGAAAACCTTCAACATGTATATATACAGAAAAAGTAGAATGTGACAATGATATTTGGCCTTCCACTTTGACACAGGAAGGCCAGTGTTTTTCATATGATAATCTTTCAAAAATCTGACAAGAACTTTCAAAGGAAAGGCACACTTCCTAAGTGACTTCCTATTTATTCTGTTAAAAACAAAAACCACACCATTATTCACCCTATATCAATATTTTATCTCTACCAATAACAAGGCAAATTGGTTGAAACATGCAATTTTTTCCAATCAGTATTTAACCAAGATGAAAAGATGGCGAAAAGTCAAACTACTATTAGGCAAGCCTGCTTACACTTGTGTTGACACTCAAACGAGATTTGCTACAAGCTTGTTTGCTTATAAGTTCTGACAACATCATCCTGTTTCTAATGTAAACAACTAAACAACCATGTTGTTGCACAACCATAAACAACAATGCAAGGTTGTTGGTAGTTGTTTATGCAAAGACATCCTGGTGCCAAGATGGTGAAATAAACTACCATCATATAGTAACCAATATTCATATGCAAGCCATGAAGTTAATAACTTTTGGGGTTGGATGAGAACCAGGTTTCATTCGAATCATTTCACGTTATATTGACAAGAAAAATTTCAAGAAAACTATGAACTTTAAAGTGGAGTAAACCTGGATTCTTTGTGGATGATTTGAACTCTGCCGAACTCTTGTTGCACTTTCGGTAGATATTTGTCATCAAAATTTCCTACAGCTGAACTGGGAAACCCTGCTGGTGATTCTAGCCTACGGGAGTTCCCCATTATTTCGAACGGTGAATGTTCATATACTGGAATAAAAAATTGTTTTACCGCGTCGTGTTTGGTAAAAACGCCAGCATGCTGTACACTATCTTACAATAGCTGTCTCTACTACGTATATTCTACAATATGCTATGACCCATATGAAGGGAAGTAGGTTACCCACACGCACACAACTTTCCATGATCTTACTGTTACAAACTGCAGCGAATGGAAAGCGTTTTTCCTGTGTTGCTTTTCTGTCCGTTTCAAATATTATTTCTTTCTGACGGTCTTTCTCTTTCGTCGCTTGAAACAGCAGCATCTGAAATGAAATGAAAAATTATTGGATTTTCTCCCCGTGCTATCCACGAGAAGGCAAAAACGGAGTGTTGTTCTACAGAGTGATGTGCCTGTAATGTGACCCATCATTTTGCCCCCCCCCCAGATTTAGGGCCTATGCCTGAGAGAAATTACCCCCTTGCCCCTCTTTGAGAAGCTCAGTACGGTACTCTAATACTGTACAATTTATTCATCCATGGTAATGATGAAGAACATCCCTACCACGTTCAGGGAAAAAATGACTTAATGCAAAATAATGCACTTACTTTGTTTCTTCAACGACTTCAACGTCAGCTTGTGTGTTCAAATGCGCCAGCTTTGGTTGTGAATCATTGGATGGTCCTAGATCACCATTCGTAGAGCTGACAACCTGTACAGAACCGGCTAACCTGTGACCGCCAGTCGGCATGAGGTTGCTGTTTGAATTACGTACATTGGTGACGTCTGGCCAGGCTTTGCGATCACTCGAGGAACCCTGAGGAAGGATTGCAAAAGTGGCTTTAAAGTTTGCTCGCTCAAGTTGTATTGTTGGTTTCTTTTGTATATTTAACGCTTAATGATGTTACACAACTCGTACAAAAGGAATGAAATATGATGATCATTATTATTACACTTACTTTGTTTTGTGCTGGATTGTTTCTGCCAGGATTTTGGATATATCGAGGATCTGTTGCGTGCGAGGATGATTCATGCGGGTTGATAGCATATGGCTGAAATGAAAAGCTCTTTGAATAAACTTGCCTTCCAACAACCTTTTCTAAACTCTGTTTGCACTTTATTTCTTCTCTAATTGTCAAATCGCCTTGTAATTATCGAATTTACGAAAGATTAGGATGAAATCACATATTGAATAAATATACTGCAGGCGGGTTTCATTAATGTTCGATCAATCAACTCAAATTAATTTTCTCGTCTCAATGTAAGAGGTTTATCCATATCGTCTGTGCACAAGTTTTAAACGAGAAAAAAATGCGCCTCCTAGGGGCTCTAACCTTGTCTTAGCAAAGAGCAGGCCTGTATAGTGTCTTCCTGTTGGGGGTAAAGAAAAATTAACATGCCTGAAAGGCCTCGAACCCTCTGACATTTACAACGAGGGATTTTTAACCCGGAGGAGTATGGTAAGCGCGAGATACTTACGATTTGTTTATGCGTCCAGTCAAATTCACCGTCATCAACGTAGCCTTTTCTGTCGAACAGATCTTTGAAAAGCCCTCTCAAGTAATCATAATCTGGGGTTTCAAAGAAGTCTAATCTCCTGACATATCTCAAGTATGTTGCAAGTTCCTCTGTGAAAAAAATCCGAAAAAATACCATAAATTGCAGCAGGTTCTGGCTGTAAAATCATTACATTCTGTAATGGTCATACCTGGTTGATTTTCACACAGAACTTCCACTGGAGTTGACCTCTTGGTGTCGCCAATTTTTTGATATCTTTCTTTTAGTGTATCAGCCTAGAAAACAGACAGTCCAATGTCAGAACACTTGAAAATGTTTGCATTGATAAAATAGCATAATTCATAAACATACTTTTAGGCCTTGCCATGGCAGGCTGCCTCTTAGAAAATACATGAACATATGACCCAGAGCTTCTAAATCATCCCTTCTGCTTTGCTCTGGAAATAAACAAAGGAAGATTAGAGAAAACAAAATCTTTGTCTTAAGCCAGTCAAGATGCTGCTAGCCAGCACTTTTCTTAGCTTATAACTTAAATATGCCCAAACAAAATGGAGAAACTTTGTGGAAGATTTTGTACAACTCTCAAGTGATACAAGAAAATGAAGTCTTACCCTTTCCTAAATGAGTATTAATGCTCATATATCTTGCAGTTCCAGTTAAACTCTTATGTTCTCTATATGGAATATGCTTTTTGGTTTCTGGGTCAATATATTCTTTTGCAAGCCCAAAGTCTATTATGTGTATTGTTCCATCTTTTCCTGCAGACTTTCTTCCAATCAGGAAATTTTCTGGTTTCACGTCTCTGTAAATCATATTCTTTGAGTGAACATATTCTATCCTTAGCAGCTGAAAAAAAGAAAAACAGATAAAATTAAAACTTCTCCAGTGGAAAAAAGGTGGATATAAGCAACTAGTTACTCAAAGAACAGCAATCTAGACATGGAACATTTTGATTTAGTTTTAAGTTTAAAAGCATGAAAGCATACAATGTTATGCTTGTTCTTTGTAAATTCAGGAAAGAATTATTGTGCTATCTAACTTACCAACTGCATTGCAATCATTAGAACAGTCTTTAAGGTAAATGTTCTGTCGCAAATGTCAAACAAATCTTCTAGACTTGGTCCTAGTAATTCCATGACTAAGGCATTGTATTTGTTACATGGGCCAAAATAATGGACTTGAGGAATCCCAACTAGAAAATACACATCAAAGAAATTCACTCACTCAACCAGCCCGCAACATGCTTATAAGGTTCATAATGCATAACCCTGCATAAAACCAAATTTTCTTTGACACTGCACATGCAAATTGCTAAAATCAAATATATTCACAAGTCATCTCTACTTGTTTGCACATGAAAAGAAAAGAAATTTCTCAAAGAATTTGTTGGTGTAAAAGTGGCCCTAAACAAACACATTGTTTATATTTTAAACAAACCAAGATTACAAATGTATCACAGGCCACAAATTTAAGTAAAAAAACCTAATAGAATTAAGGACTAGTCAAGTCCTTTTGAACATTTTATAACAGTGTTTTCAATATCAACAAGTCATCAATAGGACTTGCTTTATGAGCATACCTTCTGCAAATAATTGGGTAATTTTCAGAATAAATATACATATATAATTCTCTTTCTTTCGAGCAGTTTTTACCCTAAACTTTCTCTCTTGTTTCCTTTACTGTGCTTTCACATTGTCTTAGAGTGACGGTTTGATTTTAATGTCATATATATATATATATATATATATATATATATATATATATATATATATATATATATTTAATATTCATACAGTGGCATTGTCTGACTGGCAAGTCTCACAAATGAAAATGGTAAGAACACTTTATTATCAGCAAAAAAATGAGAACTTCACACAACCAAATTTACACATCATGAAGTAGGCTATATTAACATGACTTGAGCAGACTGTTGGTAGTATTTGACTTCAAGCTACTGTAGAGATTTAAAACTGAGAGCATACATTATGCACATTTTAAGAAATAATTTGTTTATAAGTATTGGCTGGAATATCTGATAAATATTTAAACATTCAAGCAAGTGCTTTAAATCAGGAAGTTAGAGAAAAGTCTTGATAAAAAGCCTTAGTCAAGCCTAAGCCTACAAAGATTCAACACTTCCCTTGTTGTTCAGAGAACCCTATGTTATTTGAATGTACAAGAAATATTACAGTCATATACTCTTGAAAGATCACCGCTTCAAACATGTTTTGACTCAAAGATAACTGAAGAAGATTTCATTATCACATCAGGTCTCAAATGGGATGAAAACATGTTCATAGTATAGTCAATTTGAAAGAAATAACCTCTTCTCTTTAACACAATATATAGCCGATGACCTAAGGGTAGGCATCACTGAGCCAGGACAAAAGACATCATGCAATAAAAATTGCACCCTCTGTGAATTCTGGCTTAAATAATTATCATTAGACAGATTTTAGGACCAGGTACAAAGTTAGATTTACAATCATTGTGACATGACAAATTCTCACCAGAACAAATTTATTCACAGTTTAATTTATGAGTAGACATTGAGAGAAGTTCTGTACAATTTAACTACCTTGTAATTTAGTTTTAATAAGTCTACATATTGCATAATAACAGTCGCTTATAAATAGTTGTTGATAAATACGAAATTGATAAAAAAATGCTCTTATTCAACTCAAAATATGACCAACAAAGCACAATTTTCCCATGTTCGCTAGTTATCACATTGTGTTTGCCATGTCTTTCCAAATTTGTTGCCTGAATGTGACTCAAACAAAAATACCTCACATACGAAATTAAATTGATTAATATCATCTTCATTAAAAATATTTCCTTTATTCAAAAACCTAAAGATCATTATTTAATACCAAAAATCATCTATTGTACATCATTAAATTTCGAACCGAGGGGAAGCTTACACAGGAGAATATTTCGAAGCGAAAGTTTGTTTTGATTTGGGTAAATACAAAGTGTCAGCCCACTTTGACCGAAAATATATAACAAACTCTACCTGTGTTGCCCAAAACTTTATAAAACCGATACTCCAGATGAAGTTGGGGCGCTCTTGACTTCATAGGTTCCTAGAGGGAGAGATTATTTGTATCAACAGCGTTCTACAAAGGTTCCTACCATTTAAAATTTTAGTGGTTTGCTAAATGAAACCACGAAATTTCTTGTTCAAATTGACACAACTTGAAAGGCTTACCAATTTTATGGCTACGTGTTCATTGTTGTACAGATTTCGGCCTTTAAGTTAAAGACAAGAATAAAGGAGATTAAGGAAAGCATTTCTAACTGAAGATAAAGAAAATGGCAAGAAATTTACCAAGACGAAGCTCGCCAAAGTTTCCACAACCTATCTTCTTCCCAACTCGAAAGTTCGGTCCAACCATTGTCATACTAGAACCCGATGTGGCGCTGTTTGTTCGAGGCTGAATGTTAGGTCGACTTTGTCTCGGCTTACGATCTGTACGATCATTGTCTCCTTGTCTTGTTTTTGAGTTTTGCATCTTCGAGTTGTCTCAAAAAATTAGCGAAGTTGCCATCTAGTACATAAGTTGCAGGCTGGGTATTAACCTTGCATACGAAGTAACCAAGAAACCCGTTTTCTTTAGTGCCTCTCGCCCGAATAACCGTTTCAAATAAAAATCCTATAAACCGCTACATCTTCCAACATATCCGATGAACTATATATACAAAAATCAAAACAAGAAAGCCGACTTAAGGCATAAAATACTTGGCTTTCTTCCCGAAATTTTTATTCTGAACATTTAATGAAATCTACAACGCTGCCCGCAAAGCATTTTGGTTTTTTCCCATCAGCCAATGTGGGCCTATGTCCCGGGGGCGTTGTCCATAGCAACAGAGAAATTGTACAGAAAAAATACCCAAGTAAAATCGTCTCGGAAAATGATAAACAGCTTCACAAAAGTTCCCACATTTTTCGGTGTTGTATGCATTGAAATGTAGTGCTTGATAAGTTTATTATAACAATGTTATTGCAGCTATTATTTGCTACTTTGCGTTGCTATGGAAACCAGAGGTCATGGCGTGTCATTGAGTGTGACTTTTGTTTGACTTCCGTTAAGGAAGATTAGCATATCATGCCACATCGTGACGGAAACTAGCTCGATATAATTTTGAAAATAATAAACCTCTCCAGAGAGCTCTTTTACTTTCTAATAGTAACTTGAACGTTTTTTAAGTTTTTAAATTATCTAGTACACTAGAAATTGAATATTTCATCAATGAAAACTATGTTTCATTGTTTAAAAGAACTAGAATTATAAATTATGTACAAACGGGGCTATTTTTCTTATGAACAATAAAGAGCCGTCTATGTAAGAGAACACTTAATATTTTAATATTGCATCCTCAAAAGAAAACGGCCATTTCAACGGGCGCTACATACCTTTTTCATGGTAATTTTCAATTAGTGAAGCACTTTGTCATAAAGGCTTTGCATCAGGGTCAAAGAAATTCTCATGAATGGAAGTATAAGCTCTTTGACTGAAATCCACTACAAATTTTGTTTTGCTTGTTTTAATTATAATCTTGTTTTTTAAAATTGCATTTAACCAACCACTCACAATCAAGAAAACATTCTCTTTCTTCAGTCAGACTGCCCTTTTTAATCAAAATGCTTTAGGATTTAACAGCATGAAAATAAGGATAATTCTGAACTTTGGTATTAAACGAGACAAAAACGTGGATAAAATTGGAGACAAACAAGCTGGTAAACAATGTCATTATTAGATATCCGTTTATTGAAGGATTTTCTAAAACACTTTCCTCGCTACGTCTGACGTCTCTCAATTAGATTTAATTAAATTTTTCTAGGAATGACGTCATTACAAACTAGATGCGGAAATCAAGCCGGAGCGGTCTATCTCGATCACCTCTATAGGATAAACGTGTATCATAACAGTTTCTCATATTCTCGATAAAACGATTAATAACTATTTTCTAGCTTTATACTTGCGCTGCTATAATGAGTATCCTTTACCATTAAACTATCTGTACACCATGTTTTCGCGTTGTAAATATGTCAGACTTTGACTAGTATTGCATATTATAGGACACTCTTAATTTGTAATCTATATAAATCTATAATTTCAGGGTGCAAAAATCGACGGGAGGGTCTCCTAAAAAGGAATAATCCAAGTGCGGGTTTAGCAGGATGTGACCTTGCTAAATTCTCACGAGAGCAGGCAACGATTACGAAGTTGTCTACGAACTGTTGTTTTGACTGCCCATTGACGTCATCTGACGCAGAGTGCTCTAATTCATATTAAATATTTGCTCTCCTAATTTATAGAAGCTAAACAAAACACAACCATATCTAATATATATCACAACCATATCTAATATATAATATACCGCCGTGGACGAATTCGATTCTCGTCCATTTAGCCCCCAGTCAGTGCTCCACATGACTACAGAAACAACCTCCGATCCTGGAGTAATCTTCATCCAAATATCTCATTCACTCTGACCACTGGATGGAATTTGAGCGTAGAATATAACAATGCAAATTAAAATTGTGACGCCAAACAAAATGAAAAAGAATCGATCGAGAATGATAGCAGCAAAATGCCATTGCTCCTTCTTGGCCTCCTCTAGTTGTTTCTCTTGACTTTCTTCTTCAAACCTTTCCAGAATCCCGAGGATTTTTTGAATTTGTTCCTCGCAATTGCAAACGGAATGTGTCGAGAAGCCTGAAAGAAACATACAACTTTTAGTTGAAAAATTTGCCTAGGGCTATGTTAAATGGCCACCTCCTCCTGGGAAATATATATTATAATTTTTCCACGAGAAAAAACTAAAAACATGACTAAGATAAACCATCCCTCTTTTCCAAATTGATAAAAGCAATGATAAAATCTTCAGGCAGATAGATTACGTGACTGGTCTCCTGCAAGGCCTATAAGGCCCTTAAAAATTCGGGAGGAGATCAGGAAGAGAGATTAATATAACAATATATTGATATTAGCGAGCACCGTTTATTTTTAGTCCTATTAAGCTTATCCGTAAATGTATCTTCAGGACGACTAAAAACATTTACGCCTCGAGCATGAAATTATATAAACATTAAAGCCTTTAATCTACGAATCTTAAAAAAGCCTTAAAAAGGTTAAGATGTACTTTTTTATCTATTATTAGTAGGGTAAGGGCATTGTTTCCGATTCGTTATTACCAGGGATCATATTTGTACATTGATTAACTAGTTCCATGCTCTTTAACAGTATTGCCTTGTTGGCATGCTCTTGGGTTACCTTTTCCTCCTTGAAAGCTGTTTCCTTTTATATGAGAAACGGATCGGGAATGTGGAAGACCCGTTGCCATGCGACTGTTAGGCATGGCGTGGCCATTGGGTAGAGAATGGCCGTTGGAGCACAAGGGAAGTCCTGTCGCTAGCACTGGCATCTCATTCTGGCTTTCTTCATCTTCTTCCAAGTCTGTTATTTCTTCCTCGCTTTTTGGGATATTGATCAGGAATGCTGGCGCCATGATGTTGAAAATCAGGTAATGAAACCAAGCAGGCATCTTTTTGTCAATACCGTGAAAATAACAGCGAGATGTGAATGTCGTGACGAGGAGACAGGCAGAGATTTCGACAAAGCAAGCCATCGAGAACTTGCCAATCATCGGTGGTACAACGGAGCTGTTTGGGATATTCTCTGTGAAGATCAACATGTACACAGTTAACCCAAGGAGGACCGTTATAACAAGAGAGATCCTCTCACCAGAATCATGAGGGAGAAGAAACGCCAGCAGAGTGAGGATATTTAGGATTATACAAGGGACTATTATGTTATTCATGTAGAATAACACACGACGCTGTATATGAACGGTGTAGGTTATTGTGACGAATCTGTATTTACAACAAGTATATTTCACGGCATCACGTCTGGCGTTTAGTGACACTAGTTTCCACTCTCCGCTGGCCGTGTAACGATCCAGATCAGCGTGATCTCTATCGCTTCTCAGACGCATATCCAACGCGTTCTCCATGTAAGACCAAGAGCCGAATGTTATTTTACATTTTTGTTCGTCAAATGGGAAGTATGTGATATCGATGGTACAGATTGTTTTGATTTGTGCCGGTGCGTTCCACTGTATACGACCATCGTGGTAAAACACGATCTTTGTATCGAAGTTATACATTTCACCTCCACCTTCGATCCTTGAAGGAGAGAGCAGATGTGTTGGTTTACTTGACTTGGTTTAATAACGAGAACAGTTCTGATTATCACCAGATATAGCAGTCAAACGAAAATCATAAAAAACCATCTCACACTTCCTTCCAAAATTAAACGGGCACAGTAATGAGCTAGTCTGACCGCTAATCAAACTCTGGACTGGACTTACGTGTTGTAGAGGACGATGTCTGGTTTCCAAAAATAATCCGGGCTCATCATGATACTCTCAACACCTCCATAATCCGAGGCATTCCAAGTTGTCTTACTGTTAATCCATTGCTAGAATAAAATTGAATAACCCAGAAAAGTTTTTACAATTTACTCAGCTGCGTAAATTGTCTTCCACTGTCCAAGCACCTCGCTCCTAATAAAACTTTTAACCCCCTTAGACACCGTGTCCATTGAAAAGAAGATATTGACCTTACCTGTCTCACCCAAACATTGCTGGTTAGGATCTGGTTTTTGCCATCCTGAAAAAAGGAAAATGAGGAACATTGTTTTGTCTGTGGGGCGAAACACTCTATCTGGGGAGTGGGAGCATATTTGGAAAGGAAGGACTCTATCTGAAGAGGAATGACCCTATCTGCATGGGCAGACGGGAAGAGTTTATAAAACCGCTGTGGTAGGTGAATGACTGGGGAGGAGATCTTCTTGGGACGTGTACTTCAAATAGAGTCCTCCACAATCACAATTATCCAGTTCTACCACTGTTGAAGAAGTCTGCAACTCACATTTTACTGAAATGCATGAAATTATTATGCACGAATAAACTGGGCATGGGAACGACGAATGTCATAGTAAGCGCGGTCGTACGCGTTAGGCAAGGCTTACCAGGTTTATAAGTTGACTGTAAGCCAAATCAAACATCACTATGATTGGCTGATCACTTCTTTCCACCGGCCTCACTTCCACTTTTTTCTTGTAATCCTCCATTATTTTTTTAATCAACATCATTTCGTAATTCTTGTCATAATCTGATGTCAGAGCTTCGACAACAAATGTGTCTAAAATTACAAGAAACGCGCATATTTCTTCTTTTAAGAGCTTTCCTGAAGTGACAAACATATTTAAGCATAGACCCTGGCAGTTTATTGTAGAATACTACCTACACCCAGAACCACCACGTTTGAGAGATCTTCTCACGTAGTTCAGTCAGACACAAACCGCACGTTTGAGATATCTTTCTCAGTTGATTCGGGCTCAAAGCATGGCTGTTATCATTTATAACGCCACATTCTTGTACAATACGTCATTATACAGAGATAAGACAAAAATATATCACGCGGCATTAAAATTATATACTCTGAATGTAAAATTAAATTTCTAATCACAGGTGTACGGACTGAAGATGAAAAATAGGCCGGGCAATCTCAAAAAGCTTGCCGCTAACTTACTGCAAATGGAAACGTCTATAGCGACAACCTATTTGCACTAAATTGAAAGACTTACCTTTCAAAGAGAAAACAAAAAGCACAAAACAAACAAACTTGATCATTTTCAAGGTTCAAAAACCTGAAATAATTTGCAAACTTGAACACAGAAATTACAGCGCTTATATTTCGATGGCGAAGATATAAATTTCATTAACATATTTAATTTTAAAATACCAGTTAAGGAGGTTATTTGATTACAAGGTTTTGTTAAAATGTGACAACCACGGCCTCCTATAGATTTTGAACTGTATAGAAAACATTATGATATGCTTATAAACCATGTGATCTGTTGAACGTTTCTAGCAAATTTTATACCTTTTAGGCATTTTTCAACCGTAAAAAATCCCTTGAAACGTAACTTGTGATAGACAGGGAAGTCGTGTTTACAAAGAAGTTGTTTCAAGTGCCTCCGTGTGATGTAAACGTAGATATTGGCACTCAAAAGTTATCGTGTTTGTCTGGAAGTTTGAAGCACGCTGTGTTAGCACAAAGAAAATGCATCATGGCTTATTATATAACACAGCACTTGCAAAAATTGGTCATTCTGCAATTAAAAAGACATTATTCAAACCATTGTGGTCATTGTGCCACTTTGCTGTTGTTTCCGAAACCAATGCAAAGGTTTTGTCTTGATTTCCTGACTTGTAGTGGCTACCATTGATTATGGTAAAAATGATTATATACAGTCAGTTACAGATACAAACTAGATTATTCAACGCTTGGACAACCTCGCGACAACTACCATGGACAAATGACTAAGAAAAACAAGGTGTTTATATTACTTGCATGACTTAGTAAAAAAAAATGAAAAAGTCGACACTTCAACATTGCATTCTTCAGGAAACTTGTTGCAGTCGGGTTTTTGGAGAGCTTTGGCTTGCAAGAGCTTAAAATATATTAAATCGGAATGACGAAAGAGCATCTTGGAAAAATTATAAAATTTATATGAAGAGGAAGGTCCAATCGATAAAACTGGAGAAAATGAGGACCAGAAAAGGATCTCATTTGCCCAGTTTTAAATTGAGAGAGGAAACTGATTAAAAATAAAGTAAGATATCTTCTGGTTTGTCGGGAAAACGTCATAAAATTGGAATGCTGTGTAGGGCAATCGCGAGGAGATTAGGGGCAAAAAATGAAAGTGTTGCGGGTGACGAGGTAACGAGAAGATAGAGGAAACGTTGTGTACAATAATTCATGATTTTCGTTGTGAATCGCAACGTCATCATGGGCAAAGAAAACTTTGAAGTTTTGGGGCGAAAAGTGTTTGACAAAACTGAAAATAAGGTCTTCGTCAGATTTTTGAAACAGAACACTGAGTTGCAAGACTAGAAGTTATACGGTTATCATTTGGATTAATCTTATGAAAAGCAATACAATGAAACACTTCGTAGATTATACACATTGTTATAACTCTACGTTTCGATCATCCCGTAAAGTTATCAGTCGTCAGGAATTACCCACGTAATGAAATTTCTTATAATCACTTCACGATTGTCGAAACTTGGAGAAAACAAACGATGTATTGATTGTCATGTATTTTCCAAAACTGTTAGTGGAATTAACTGTTGGTCAAGAAGGATAATCGTCTGTATTGGTTGCTCAAACAAATTGAATGGATAGAAATAAACTTTTACCGTGCGATCACTTGGCTTACAAAACACAAATTTTATAGTCAATGAATGAGGATTATCAGTGCAGTCGAGGAATATTAAGACTTTTTAACAGTCACGCATAGCGATTTGGCTTAAACTGCATGTTCATTGTGATGAAAACGGTTTTACACTGGAGTCTCTTTCAGTTGAGATCAGGGCAATTGGGTAAGTAACTATTTGTACATTATTAATTCTGAGCCCGCAGATCTTCTGGAAGACCTCTTGATTGCCTTTTTTCCAATGCATACACCATTTGGCAATTTTCATAAAATACGTGAGAAATAAAATTTTCTTTGCTTTGGTCTAATTACGAAGTGAAAAGCCACCTTTAAGGATTTTTGCGCCACTAATTACGTCAGGCTGTCATTGATGAAACAGGTGTGAAACATGCTGATATTAATAAATGTTTTGCAACATTACTACATTAAACAAAGCGCTCCATTGGTCTTCAAATATCCTACATTTTTGTGATACATTTCATGCACATTAATATCGTCTAAATGCTCACAGCATGCCTGGTGCGTAAGGAGATAACTAGAGCAACACCGGAGACATATGTTGGCAAAAAAATGATCAACATGGAAGTATCTAGCTGTCGTTCAAACGTTGTTTCCATGGCGATGCAACGGTTGCCTTCAATGATGTTTATGCCGGTGGTATAACACGTTCGCGCGTATAGCGGGTTTTTTTGCGTAATCAAATGCGCAAAGGAAGCTTTAAGTTGTTTCCAAGCAAATTTCCATTTGTTTTTATATAATTGTCACGAACATTTCAAGGCGTTTGATGTATTAGAATATTCTGCTATGTTGTGTGCATTTTACAATCTGTTTTCATATTCTGAACTACCTGAAGAAGATATCTTTCATGATTCAAACAACCCAATGTAATCAATGAAAATGGATCTATATACGTTGTTGTCAGACACAGACGTACAGTGTCAGTGTTGTTGTAATTTTCGTAACAATGTAAAGCGTGCGCAAAGAATCTTTGTCTTCCTAATCTTTGTTTTCGACACGGCTTGTTAAGTCTTTGATGAATTTTTCAACGTTATCCAATAATAATAACAATATATTTGATTGCAACTGTTTGCGACGAGAAATAAACGCGGGCTTATTAATCAGTTTTTTACTCCGAAAATTCACATTCAAATTTCAAAGCCAGCCTGCTAGTTATAGCGGACGAAATTAGACAATATTCTACCCGCAAAATTAAAAAAACTGATCTTTTTTGATCGGGTCCTTTATCAATTTGACTTCAAACTTATTGACATTACTGATGCGCATTTAAATACACCAAAGCCGGCTTATACGATTGAACGAAATGTAAATTAGGACTACACATTTGTGGCAAGACACAAAATTTAATTGTTTAAAGACTCATATTGACTCGGTGGTGGAAAACGAGTAAACAAGGCAATTTAAACAAGTGAAATTTAAACATAGAGATGCAATGAAGATTATCAGTAGAATATTGGACTTCGACAAATCTTTACAGCGATAGCGTGCACATCGGTTTTTTCGGTGGCCTAAAGCTGTCTGCCCTAATAAAATAATATATGCCGTAAAGCTGTCTGCCTGCTAGACTGTGTTACTTGTCACCTAAAAAGAATAAAAGCCATAAATATTTTATGAGCGTTTTTTTTCCTTTTGAATACGTTCACAAAATTCCACATTGAATAATGAAAGGCTTATGAACTCTCAGAAAAAACATTGCTCGTGTTATTTCGCTCATTTTAAATGGTTGTTTTCAAGTTACAAGATAAAAATTGAAGTGTGTATTTACGTCGCATAAGAAGTAATTATTCTTGACAAGTGGGATCGCGGATTACGGGTTGTTAATGCTTTTGTCGCAGTGTTCAGTCTTTTCGAAATTTGCATGAAAAAATTGTTCTTATAATATGCAAAACGTTTCGTAGCAACAACTGTTTCAAACTGCTCCAGCGCTCGGCTAAGACAAAATAATAGCGGCTGGTGATTTCAAAAAAAATCTCTGAAGTAATAAGATAAGGTACGGTACATAAAGTGTTATATATTGTAGTTTTGTGTCAAGTCTTTTCAGACATTCTTCAGTTCTCTGTTATTGACGTGCTGCATACATAATTATTCAATTGCGTCTGCTGTTGATAAATGTTTCAATTTGTGACATCTTACATTACCGTTGCGCAAATTGTAAATGACAGTAAGGAATATACTGGAGGCTATACCATCATTTAAATTGAGAGTAGAAATTTTTAGATAACAGATAAAAGGAGAGATAAAGGAACTCATAATGCAAACATATTCACAAAAACGAGTTTCATGTGTGAATGCATATTATTAATGAATTTTGTGTTTATGTTTTCAAAGAAATATGTTATAGATATAAATATATAAACATCATGAGCGGTGAACTCCTCCTGTTTTAGCATCGCGATATAACAATTTGTAGTTATTCCTGGCGCTAAAACCTGATAAATGAATTAATTGATCCTATACCACAGTCAAGTGTAATAAATACATGAAAAAATGTCTGAAGTATCTTGCAATATCAATCTTTCGCACTGACTGTAATGTAAAATTGATGGGACAACGACCACATCGGTTTACAACATCATAATGGATTTTTCTACTGCATTATCGTAGTGAAAATCAGATTGAACTGACTAATTATTTATATTGCTGCATGTCTATGCTAATAAAATATCAAAGATGACTACCATTCCACAAAATACCTCCACACTTCCATATCATATCTTACCATTTCTCCTTCATCCCTTCTTCCTGCATGCCCATGACATCTTAACCTTGCCTCACTCTCTTCTCTGCGATATCCACGACCTCACATTCTCTTCAGATCTTCAGATTCTACTATATTTTTACCAGCTGTCCTTCATCCCTTCTTTGTCACATGTCGATATCATCTCAAGCCTACTTCTCTCACCCCCTCTTCACTGTCCACCACCTTACATTTTCCTCCGCTATCTACACGCCGTAACAAGTCTTACCATCTCTTCTTCATCTCTTCTTTGTCACGTGTCGAAAACATTTCAACCTTCCTTGCTCATCTTCTTTCCAATATCTACCACCTTACATCTTCCTCTCATCTCTTCATTCCATTTTACTTCTTACCATCTCTTCTTTAATTCCCTGTAATCACATCTTCTCATCCTATCCAACTGCGTCCACATCTTCTTCTGATATCTCCGCTCCTTATCGCCCACCAACTCATCTTTCGCGATGGCATTGTAACATGTATTTAGCAAACGGTTTATGGAACAACTTCTAGCAATTCAACGAACGATTAACAAGCGAGGACAGCAAAACACCACAACATAAAAACTGTTAATTCCTTTCCAACCGCGCTCAGACTCAACTCAGCTGAGAGCAGAGTTCAACAGACTGAGAAATACAGCGTAAAATAAACACTTTGGTAAGACAACGGCACGAAGCCGGACAGTTTATAATACTGACTTATATTTATGCTAAACATATTTGTTTTTCTCTCTGTATTGCAAAGGCACCATGCCCAGAATGGGCGAGTTAAGTCGGCTTGTAAATACGGCATAAAAATTACAGCAATTGTTTTTTTCAATCGATATCATAACAAGATAGACAAATGTGTGTACTTTAGTAAATTTGTTTCAAGAGATGGATGTTCGTCGTTGTTAAAGATCGAGGAACCAAGTCTCGAGACGACGACCAAAGCAATCTAACCCAACAGTGAAAAGTAATTAGCAACAGTTATAAGTAAATGATAAAGCAGCGCGCTGCGAGAGTTTTGTTCGCGAGATTTGAGAACGGCTAGATTTATTCAGAACGAGAAGCAATGCCACAGATTTAATTAACTTATTTGAACCCACCAATGAAATCAATTACCCGTTTTAAGCTTTCTTGAACCGGTTTTGAGAGCAGAGGTCTGCTAATTTATTGAGATAATTCGTTACCCGATTGAACAAAGAGAATTTTGTATTGATCTGATTTCCAATTAGGCAAAAGATGAAAGAAAATTTTCTCGTATGAATTATCCATTGTGTCTCATGCCCGTATGTCTCATCATTATGTCAAAACAAATTTACGAAAACTGGTAGAAACTGTTTTAAAGTACAGCCAATGCATTTGGGATTATCGATTAGCAATTTAACAAGCATTTTGAAACGAGCAGTTACAAGAAAACAATGCTACTGGCTGACTTTGTCCGTGAATAAACTCAGAGTTCTTAGGAGTTCTCTTAAATGCTTTCGGTCTTCAATTGACACGATCTTGTTTTCAATCTGAGGCAACGGGGGGCGACAAAAGGAATAAAATGACTAGGCCATCGACACGGTAGTCTGCAGGCTATCATTAAACGGCTATTCTTCTTTAATATAGAGTCGTCCACGGGAGAGAGGAGGCGAGGAACTGCATTAAATTAGAATTAAAAGAGACTTTGTGTGGTGCGACGAAAATGATGAAAAATTTAGCAAAATTGATGAAAGTGTTGTTGCCGTTGTTTTTTAGTTTCTGGATCCAGATTCGCGCAGGTAAATGTTATTTTTATGTTTTATGAATGTCACGATTTTTGGTTGATGGTAAGCAAACACCACTATATGAACTACATACTTAAAGAATACGCTGGTTTTAAGTGCTGGATTTACGTATAGCACATGGACCCAATGCAAAATGTCCTGTTTGCAGAGTTTCATAGGAAATTAGAACGTTTCTTGTACATGGTAGTGCTTTAAAAGACACGCATGAAAAAGACGAAACTTACAGAGTATCGCAAGACATGACTAAGATATGAGATCTCCGATCCAGAGAACTGAATCTATATTTACAGATCCATGCACTGATAGCGGTATAAACGCACATTACTCATTAGGACGATAAGTGCAAATCATTATGTCGAAAATTGTTGTATGTATATGCCTATGTTTTTAACGATATGGAAGGCAGAAGAACTTCGTATATTCTTTGTTTATATATTCCGGAAAAGATTAATTTAATTGCATGATTTTGCCGCAAAAAAATTACGAACACAAAAAGAGATAATAGCTTTAATGACTACGTGCAACGACCAGGGAATGAAATGAAAAAAAAGCCACACATTTAAATTGCAACCCATATAACCACATCGAATTACGATATATATATACGTTTGTGTACAATTTTTAGACGAAGAGTGTCGCAATATGAGGGACACAAAAGACATTAAAAAGTATTTAGGGTTAGTAAATGACAGAAAAACGGTTACCAAGGAAGGAACATTCATCAAAATGTTTTTATTCCAATTTTTTTTAAATGTGACTCATTTCTTTGAAAAAGATGAGCTGTAATAAATAACTGTCACCATCCATACAAAAAGCTATATTTCGCAAGCTATATAATGACTGCTTGACCGCACAGTTTTTGAACATTTTTAGTTTTAGATGGAAGAAGCGCAGAATAACCACACATTTTGTTTGCATATTCTTGATACAAAAAAAGATTTTGAAACGTATTTTTAGTGGCTGATGCATGTAAAGCGGGCGTAAGGTTGTGATCAAGTGCGCAGATGTTTCCATTGAATGCATATCAATAACACAATTCACGACACGCCTCAAACAAGAAAACCACAATACTCTAAGACTGACTTCTGAATAGGAAGGTGGGAAAACATTTGTAGAGAATGTATCAATTGAATTAGGAGCGCGTGCTGGGTAAAAATGAAATATATACAAAGTTTTATCAGACTTGCAATTACGAAATATATTTATATAAGAAAGGTAAATGAAAGTAGAGTACATCCTGAGTTTTAGGCCTAAAATAGAGAGACCATTTAATCGATGGAAGAGAAATTCTGCTGTAAAAACAGATAAGCACTTTCAGGCGTGCGTAGGTGTTTTACAAATCAATTGAAATCTCTATTCAATGTCCAGTCTTAACTATTACACAACGAGAACATTTGAAAGCGTGGGTATATATATTAGCTAATTACGCAAAAATTTAACTCAATTATATCGTGCATACACGATGAAAGAATGAACTGTGGAGTAATACATTTCAAGCGTTTAAAAAACAGTTAAGATTCCGGTCAGGGCTAGCTCACGCCACCCCAAATCTTCCGTGCATAAAAATAAAACTTTGACTGCTTGAAAAGTTTGGTAAATCATATATCAGACGTTAAACTATGTAAGATATTAAATGTCTGGTGATCTTGAAGGGGTGTCTGCCTTATTAGTGAAGGACCCAACAGAGAAAAGGCTTCAATTACTAGGCTACATCTTATAAACAACATTCAGCAAGCAATTGAATATTCGCAAAGTCACTCGGAGATTTCATATTTCATAAACGCAGCTGGCAATGACAGCAATGTGATAATAGTTCATGTATTTATCAGCTTAAAGTCAAATGCGGTTAGCATGATTAGTCTAACAATTCATGAAGATGACACGTTGTAATTGAACTCTATAACGAACTCGCATTTAGAAAAAGTTTACAAGAATCTTTTCTCACCATTGTGTCCCTAATGGAAACTGTTAATGCATATATGTTTCCAGGACTCACAGAGAACACAAGAACGGTAAAACCGTAGAAATCTGTAACAGCTCCCCTGACCCTTTCATTCGCCTTCTGCCATCGACCTTGTCCTTGCTAAAAGGATTCATCGCTCAAAGTTCTAAACTCCAAAATAAATTCCAAGCAGAATATCTGCTTTTGCAGTTTTTTTGTTTTTACATTATCGTGCAGCGTATCAATATGTAAATTGTGTTCATATGATAAAATGAGTTATTTTAAACCCCATGTATTTTATTTATTGATACTAGAGAAAGAGTTGCCTGCCATTAACCAGGTGAACTCATCTTCGAGGAATGTCATGGAGAAGAGAGGAATCCCAGCTCACCTCTGCACGACTGACAAATCCAGACCAACAGAGACCGATCCTGAGCACAGATTGATGTCAGACCTGATGAAGAATTACAACCAGGACGCAAGACCTGTGCTTAATAAAAGCCAACCTGTCGTAGTGGCATTCGAACTTGCCTATAACCAGATCGTGGAGCTGGTAAGTCCGAGGAAAATAATGCAGGAGCTTAATCAGTTCTGCACTATGGATGTTCAAAGGAAGATCCAGTGAAGTTCAACTCTCAAAATACTCTCAGTTTCATTAAAAATGTGTTGTTAGGACTTCGGATACTTCAATCAGTTCTTTACTTATCGTCTACAGCGTCTGGGATACAGAAGCCAGAACTCATATGCTTTCGAACATTCGACGTATTTATAACGACACAGGCCGAGCTGCTTATTGCAGCAATCCTCCCCATTCCCAAAATAAGCATTTTCAATTTGCTGTAGGATGGACGAAGGCAGACATTGAGAAGCAAAGTTTGGTTAAGACAGGTAGTTTGAAGTCTGAACTTTACATTGTGAACATAACCAGCAATTTGTTCGTTTAGTTTTGATAAAACTAAACAGTTTATTATTAATTTCTTTCTTAACCAGTTTTGGACGAACCCGTATCTTACTTGGAACTCAAGTGACTACTGTGGTATAAAATTTATTATCGTAAACTCAAAAAACATTTGGAAGCCAGATGTGGTACTATATAACAGGTTAGACTACGCAATGGAAATAAAACCATACAGATGTTCTCAGAGGGTTCGTGCATGACTGTTGAATCATTACACTGGATCAATAAGAGATGATCCTTACTGCATGGACCTCTAGGAAGAACAGTTCAGAACTGATAGAGCTATCCATGCAGTATAAATAAAGTTAGTTTAGTTTAGTTTAGGTTTCCTCCTGCAGATCAATAAACTGATAGATCAGAAGTGATAATTTAAGCATGGATTAATGAAAAGTTGTTGCTGAGCGTCTTGACTCCATTTATGATTGTTTTCTTGTAAAGTATTGGTCAAGATGCGGCGGTATACAACAAAAATTACATGATAAAGATCCACTCCGATGGAAGAACTGAATGGTACTTGCCTACTGAGATGAGCAGCATTTGTCACTTTGACATCAAGAATTTTCCTTTTGACTACCAGCAATGCAAACTCAAGTTTGGCTCCTGGGCATACACTGGCCATGAGGTGAGCACAACTTTTGGATATGACGTGAACTTCGGATTTTGATCCATCTTTATCATAGTTACTACAGGAGGAAACCTAAACTAACGTGATTTATACTAGATAGCAAGCCTATATTCGGTTTATTAACTTGATTTCATCAAATTTATTTTAGCTAAATCTCACATTACTGAATGACAAAAAGTCCGCAGACTTGGCTGCGTTTACTCCTAATGGAGAGTGGGAACTAGTCAGTGTACCAGGAAAAAGGAAATCAATAATTTACGCATGCTGCGACAGTCCTTATATCGACATAACCTACACCATCAACATCAAACGTCGTGTGTTGTTCTATCTGAATAACCTTATAATACCATGTATTGTCTTGGCTGCTTTAAGTACGCTCGCCTTTTACCTCCCGCCTGAATCGGGCGAGCGGGTTTCACTCGTCATCACAGTCCTTTTAGGTTGGTTACTTATTGTGTTGTGATATATTTTCCTGGTTGTTTACTTGATCGCGCAACGCCAGCTTTAGAGCAAGTGTCATATAAAAACGCATCACTTGAAAACTTGTTTGCCTAGCCTTGCATCCCCTGCACGTTGATTTATCACAGAGATCATGCAAGCGCTTTGCTTATTCTAGTTTAACCCGACGAATAATTTATGTTTATTCCCCCAGGTCTAACAGTCTTCATGTTACTATACAACGAAAGCATACCACCGACCTCGGAATCAATGCCTCTTATAGGAAAATACTTCTTCGCGGTCCTTGCTGAAGTCACTGGCTCTCTCGTTATAACATGCTTCATAATGCGTTGTTACCATCACAATCCTTTCAAAGAAATGCCAGGCTGGTTCCGTTACTTCATATTCAGCCTATTAGCGCCCGTTCTGCGCATGGAATTTCCGAAGCGCACGCAGAAGATCGAGGAACGTCGTCGGCCGAGTCAGAGCCGATTGTTGCCGCATAACAAACACATCTATACCACGGCAGGCACGATACCAAACGGCACAGGAAAACACTCGCAGTGCTATGGCAACAATAATCTCAGCCCCAGAAATTCGCAGCAAAGTTTAGAGAAAGTACCCGCGGCTTGTGACGGGGAGAAGATCGAGTGTATATCACAACAGGTCGACATCTTGTTGGATTATTTTGACAATGAACAAAAAGTTGATGTGAAACGCGACGAATGGCACTTTGCATCAATCGTGCTTGATCACGTGTTTTTCTATCTGTTCATTGCGACAATCGTCTTCTCAATCGTGGTGTTTTACACCATGATTCCCGAATAGACGGTGTCCGCTTTACGCGTTACCATCGACGCAATGTGAGGACATTGAAATCTATATATACTCGCTGGATGGAAGTACAGCATAACTAAAAGATTAGATGAAAAATTACGCTGCAGATTATAATAATCTAAAAAGTTAAAAGTAATTATATATTTACTTGCACTGTATGTAATAAGGTTATCAAGTTGACCATATATATAGTAAAGCTATCAGTGGTCTTATAACACGTTGTGAAATCTGTCAGATGTTAGCAATTCACCTAGTGATCTGAAACACTCAAACTATTTGCATATATTTGGGCTTTTTAATGTGAAAGAATAAATTAAACTTTCGCATCAAATGCGGCAAAGTTGTGTGGTAGCTGAATGCAAGGCTAGTGGTAAACTAGTTTTTATTCGGTCATCTTTAACGAAATGACACTCCTTGCGTACAAGCAAACAAGTTAGAAAACAGCTCATGCAAATCGCAAACATGAATTGAATTCACGTTTTTAATACAGTCTTTGAGCGCGCAATCACAAACGAACAAACCGCGTAATGTATGCGAGCTGCTATCTAATCTGACACCAATTCATTGCACACAAAGCGGCATCTCTAATTGATTATTATATCGTACAGTCGACATGCGAATTTACATGAGAATCAAGAGCAGTTATGTAAAACACATTTCGAGGTGATTCTCCCCAAAAGCAAGAGAGGCGCATTTGTATACGAGAAGTTTTTCTGGCAAGGTCTCTGCCAACGTATGGCATGGACTGAGGTTGCTTTTTTTCATTGGGTTGTCTTATGGATATTCCTTTCATTAACCCGCGTCAAAGGTATGGCTTTCTCATATGATTAACAATTCAATCTAGCATTTAATTGCACAGAAAAAGTTATGCTTTTTATCGAAACAATGCTGTTAAAACAACAATAACTTTCAACAAAAATGCTATTATATGTTAAAAGAGAAGGTAAGTAGACGCCATACTTTAAAAGGAATTGTCATAACGTGTTTTATAAAAAACAGAAAGAGTATTTGAAATATTTTCGCGTGTTTGAATGGCGCACAATACACAGACAGTCGCGCTATCTTCTAGCACAAAGAAACATTTTAAAATGTGATCAGCGATGTTTAAGATTTCAATATACGTAAAGTTGAATGCGTATTAATCATGAATGACTTAAACAAACAGCTCTGACTGTGTTGAACAAACTGTATAAACGGGCAATTAGACAAGAAAATAGTAAAAATGTCTACATTCTTTTCCTTTACATTTCTCCTTCTCTGAACGAGAAAAGAGTTCTCAAGCTAAAAAGCATAGAGTTAATCCAAAGCTCCAATCTTGAAGCAGATCTACGTGGAGATATTTCTACTCAAGCGCTTTTGATCATGTCGAAAAACTGTCTGCGAGGGCTGGAACACATTAAAAAGTGATTACCCCGAAAGTAAATACTCTTAATTTTTGCAATCTGCATTGTAACAGAGGAAAATTAAATAATGTATACACTCTCATCCAAGTACGTAAAAATTTAATGTGAAACCCTACAAGTATATGAGGATTTGAATACAACAGGGAAGGGAAAGGATAAATATAATTATAGTTTAAGTGCAACAGACGTTTTTCACGAATTATCGCGTTATAATTAGAAAAACTGCAAACGTGAATAAGCGAATTCGAGGTCAAGCCATCCAAACCAAATGACCCTTGTTTCTGTTAAATAATCCCCCTTTTTCAATGTTCTCATACAAAGGTTTGCGTTTGTTTAAATATAGATTCATTAATGCTTTGCAAAGTGTCAGGTCTGGGGACGAGTTTTGTACATAAAAACAGATCTCGATTCCAGCAAATTTCGGCGTGATTACAACTTAGACTTTGTCGACTGAGACTTCTCCAAGTCGTGCCAAATACTGCATGTTTTATCGTCCATGCAAGTGACGAGAAAAGACCAAATACTGACTAAATCATATATGATTATACATAGCTTACTGACCGCAATTTATCTCGATAACTGTGGCCATGCATGCAGTGTGGGGGCACGATCGAGGCATTTGCTAATCCAGAAAAGAAGGATGTATTTAGACCAGTGTATATATGGTTTTCTAAGGCAAATTTCGCCAAACTAAACTCCCCATGTTGTAAGCGAGGCTAACGCGGCTGGCTCTAATGGCCTCGCTGTGAGAATTTTTATAAAAATCGTTCTCTCGAAGTTTTCATTGATGATTAGGACCTTTGAGTGCTTATTCATTTCGCTTTTATTGAAACGTCTCATCAATCAACCTGCCTCCCATCGAAGAAAAAGTTAAAAATTGACGTTTTTATGCATCTGTCATTCTGAATAGACAATGTAAAAATTATCTCCAGATAAAGGCGAGAAAATACAATACAATTGTTTTGTAAATTGAGTCAAGATTGTAGGCTACTCAATGCAGTTTTCAGCAAGAATGAGCGGCGATATTGAAAGATGAAGCAGAAATAACCTTGGCTTCTCATTCTCTATTTTTGAAGGAAATGAAGGGATTTTGAATGAAACGCAAAAAGGATCGTCTGGGACGACGATCTCCAAAGAAACATGTCAAGATAAGGCTCGAGAAAGTCGAGGTAGAGCGGTTGACATGGAAACGATGTCGTGCGATGACGACGACGTGGAACAGAAACTGATAAAGCGGTTACTCCATGGGCATGATAAGCACGTGAGACCTGTGAAGAATAGAGAAGATACAGTGAATGTTGGCTTTGATTTCTCGTACAATCAACTCGTTGATTTGGTAAAAATTTGTCTATTTTTGTTGGATACTCTTGTCAGAGTTGACAATGAAGTAGATATACGCAAACCCTCTGTATATCTGTGTATACTGATAGCACATTTGAAGTATCTCTACATTAGTATAAATACATAGCTTTGCTGTAAGGAGTCTTCTAGTCAATTTTCCCAGTTAGAAAACAGGAATCTAAGCCGAGGAGCGTAGGTAGAAAAACCTGGTATGCGAGGTTGATCTGACCTTTGATAACTTCATCATAAAGTGAAAATGTTTTAGGATGGGAAAAAGCAGATTTTGACGAGTAAAGTTTGGGTTCGTCAGGTAATATGTATAAACTGAATATCGTGAATAGATGAGATGGATACCGTAGATAACTCATTATATTTTCATTATACCTCATAATCTATTGTACTATTCGACGTGATTGAGGTCTAAACCAGGCCTCACTGTATGATATACCATCAACAATACCTGTTTCTTTTCAAGACTTGGCACAATGCGTTTCTTACTTGGAACAAGACGAAGTATTGTAACATCAGCATGATTCAATTTGATCCGAAAGTCATTTGGAAACCTGATATAGTTTTATACAACAGGTCTGTATAACCGCTCTGTATAACCGATACGTTAAACATTTCTCGGCGAAATAAGGACAGGAATTCTAAGGAGGAAAGGGAGGGAAATCTCTGCCAGCACAATTTTGACCAGAGTGCATGAATGGTTACCCGGGAGAATCCTGGTCAAGGGGGGGGGGGGTTAAAACAACATTTTGACAATAATATTTTTATTTAGCATTGGTATAAGTGCCGGTGGTGAGATGTATAAATTCAACACAATGATTAATGTCAACCACAAGGGTCGAAATCAATGGTGGGCTCCAACAGAGATCAAAAGCATCTGTCATATTGACATCGCATATTTCCCGTTCGACTATCAGAGATGTTACCTGAAGTTCGGCTCCTGGACCCATACGAAAAAGACACTGAACCTGTCAATGACTCGGCCAGGCACGGCTGACTTGTCAATGTACCTTCTCAACGGGGAATGGGAACTACTTGGAGTTCCAGGCAATAGAAATGAAGTAAACTACAGTTGCTGTCGAGAACCTTTTGTCGATATTACATACAAAATCTTCCTGAAGAGAAGAGTTTTGTTTTACTTGAATAACTTGGTTATGCCGAATCTTATTCTGGCTGGTTTGGTCATCTTCTCTTTCTACGTTCCGCCAGAATCCGGAGAGAGGATTTCACTGAATATCACAATATTACTTGGTCTGACCGTGTTTTTATTGTTGTTCAACGAGCGTATTCCGCCGTCGAGCGAAGTGGTTCCAATGATAGGAGCCTACTACTTTGCGCTGTTCTACCAAGTCGGCATCTCAATGATTCTCACGTGCGTCACCTCGCGTTGCTATCACCACAACGCTTTCCGTAAGATGCCACGCTGGTTTCGTTTTCTCATTTTCCGCGTGCTCGCGCCCTTATTTCGCATGCAAAACCGCTTCTCAAAGCCAAAATCCCAACCTTGGCAGCCGGTCGAGATAAAGTACAAGAAACCGCAGAAGTTATGTCTATACAAGACTATGAACGGAACGCTTAAATTGAAAGAACGACAGGATACCGAATCGATGATGGCGGCAAACGACGATGATGACGACGACGACAGCCCGCGTATTTCCGAACCCACGCGTTTGCCTCTCGAGACGAAAATTGACGAAATTTCAAAGCAGCTGGGCGTGTTTGTCGACCATTTGAATCGCAACGAGGAGATTGAGTCGAAGAAAGAGGAATGGCAATTTGCATCGATTGTTTTGGACAAATTTTTCTTCTGGTTTTTTGCGCTAACCATTTCACTAACAGTCGTGTTATTTTATTGGAAAATAAGTCAACAGCCAACGGACTTGTCTGGAAAACATAACGACTAGTCGGCAATGATGGATAATTTGCGAAACATGTGGATAATTTGTGATACATGTGGATAACTATTTGTACGTAAAAATGATTGCTTGCATGTGAATATCGTTCATAGATATCATGGAATGACAAGCATATTGAAGATGGAAAGATTATAGAAGATGGAAAGATTATAGAAGATGGAAAGATTATCGGATGTATGGAGTTGGCTGTAACCTGCTTAATTCGCTGAGCTATTGTGAAGCATTAATTTATAGCATATTTTAAAAACTATAGTCAAGTTGTAGGCGCATAAGAGTTATGACGTTCTACAGAAACACTACATTACTGACTTAGCGTAGTGTGAATAAAATGCTTGCAACATATGGCAAACCATATACAGTAAGACATTTTAAAAAGACACTAAAATCTTTGTACATTAAAAAAGTACATATTATAAGCTTTAAGAACGACTTTAGACTATAGTCTGTGTTAGTTTGGTAATTCACTTGGTATAGTCTTCACGCAGACAAACCGAGCATTTTTTAATCATTTTGTATAAATAATATTAGTATTGTTCCTTCAGGTTCTCTTGTTCTACCTGTTGGATGGTTTTGTTGATCGATTTGCACGATCAGATGGCGTTTTGGTTTCACGTCTGGGGCAAGAAAGATAAAGTGTTTCGAGTGAAATCTTTCCGTTTTAACAAACAATGAGCATGTTTTAGGGTACGAGAAGTAAGATAATAAATTACCTCGAATAAGACGTCTTTTCTTGGGGCTTTCTTGGAGACTTGACGGGCGAAAGTGACTCATATCTCCTACAAAAAATGAAAATAAGCAAAAGCTTCGTGCATGTTCAATATTCGGACAGTTTATAATTTTCTGAGCAGTTTGTTTGAAGACTTACATTAATGGAACATATTCACGATTGTAACTCTCGCTATCATTTTGTTCGATAAAATGGACTGAATCTTGTCTGTTGTTAGGAGGAATGGTGGCCGGCACATCCTGAAATATATCACAAAAAATAAGTTTAGTTCTCGATCAGAGATAAATCATATCAAGAGTTTGTTTATTCAAGTCATTTCCAAAACTTACACCCTGATACTGATAAAGATCATCGTCACTCAATTGTCTTTGACAAGCAGCGGCCAGCTCGTCTTTCAACGTATTGATGTGAGACCGACATGACTTCATCTCGTTTTCTAAACTCTCGATCTTCAGTTGCGCCTGCTGTTTCTCTGCTTCCACTTGTGTGACCAAGACTAATGTTTGTTGATGAACTTCAAGAAAGCCGTTCACAACACTCTGTAAGCAACAAAACCCCTGATATATGTATTGTAGTTGCCAGTTTTACGGAAACTACAAACATGTTTTGAAGGTAAAGTTGTTTTTGTAATAAATGAATAATTTAGTTTTTAATCATCTAAAGGAGGCTAACCTGACATGCTAATAACGTTGGTCCAAGTGAATAACCGTCACCCCCCGGTTTCGCATCGCTCAACAAAAACTTCGAGAGATCATAAAAACCTTGTCGTGTCTGTTTAATGGCGGCTTTATTTTCTTCCAGACCTTTCTGGACGGTTTTTAGGTAAAGTAAAACAGTTTCTTTTTCCCTGACAAGGATAAAAACCACAGTTCAAGACACACGTTGAAGTATTAATCTTCATGAAAATACGTTTAAGAACTTCTTAATTCATATTTTCAACAAACCTTGCCGCTCCAGTCATAGCTTTTTCTGCATCATTTAATTTTCCTTGCAGCAAACGCTTCTCGCTCTCCACTAACTGTGTATCTTTCGTTACAATTTGAACATTTTGTTCCTTCCGACGTATCTCCATTTTAGCTTCAGACAGATTCTAATATGTCAGGAAAGATGTTTTAATCATATTTCAATGTTAAACCAACTTTATCAGTGCTAAAAACCTAAGCCAATGACCTGACGCCGAGTTAAACACTTCTAAAGACGTGAACTAACCTTAACTGCCTCAGCAAGAGTGATGTCTGTTTGTTCGCTGTTTTTGTTCACAGTATGCAATCGTCTCTCCATATCTTTCAGTTGTTCTGATTGTTCATTCAAGATATCCTGAGCTCGCTTTTCTCGCTCTAAAGCGTTGGATAATTCGGAGTACAGCTTCTCAAAGTCTGTGCGAGGAACAGTCGAGGTCAACTGGGATAAAAAGGACAAGGTATGATAAGGTATGGTATATTATGCGTATAGTACTATATTGTACTGTGTTGTACTCTATTGTACTGTATACTCGATACAATGATGTGGTACAACTCACTTTCTCTCGCATATCTTCAATATCTTGATGTGCCCTCTTTTCTTCAAGTTGTCTTTTTTCAACAGATTTTCTCAAACCATCATTCTCCGTTTCAACATCGTTCACCTTCGTTCTCAAATCACGTCTTTCAACCTCGACTTTGTGAAGACGTTGTGTTAGACCCAAGACAAACGCCTGAAGCGTCTTAACCAACTCCTACACACAAATCATTTCACAAAAATATAAATAAAAGACCTCCAGGATTCACCTTGAAGAAGACTTATATATTTATCACCAACCTCGGGGTCGGTAGAGCGATGTTTTCTAGGCTCTCCTGCCTTTCTCAAGCATCTTCGTAAACCATTTGCCAGCATTAATGACAAGTTACTTCTGGGACTAGTTTGAAGGCGAGATTGATTCACAACATCGCCACAATCGCCAAATTCATCACGAAGTTTACTGAGCAGCCTCTGGTAGCAATGCTTGGCGATTCTTGTCGTGCTAACAGAAGACTCGGGGCTCCAGGAGTCAGCCGAATCTAAGACAGAATACAGGTTATAATTGGAAACAGCGAACATCGCAAATCCATCACATTTTTACTCATTTACTGCCGCATTTTAGGGAATGATTTTTCACTCTCACCTCTTTCATCTTTTCTAGCTAATTTCTCACACAGTTCATTCATAGAAGTAACAACGTGCGACAGAAGCTGTTCATTGCTAAACCAAGAAGGAGAGACGATCTTCAAAGGCTCAACGAATACACACTTCTGCTCTCCAACACCTTCAACAAAAGAAATGTCTGGGATATTACTCATATTAGCCCGTGTCATTTTGAGGATATGTACTGTAGTTGCAGAGTCTACCCATGGAAATATATTAAATTAAATGCAGTTACTTAAGGAATTTAAGGCGAAATGCTATATAGATGAGCACACATATGTAGGAATGATAACACTATACCTCGAAATTCAACCTCACCACTCTTTGATCTTCCACAATGCACCACCAGCTTCGTTTCCAGGCCCTCTACAGGACCCCCGGACACGGTTATGCCAGTCTTTCGACGTAAAGCCAAATTCACGAAACGATGCAACGCAAGAACTGCCACTACCCCAATACGAAACTTCAACAAAGCATGGGTGCCCTGCGCAGCGTTTCCACCAAGTTCACTGTTCAAAGTATCGCATAAAAACACTGTGTGATCGTGCAGTTCATTTAGACGTAAATTCATATCGGAAAGACATCGTTTTTGACTCTTAAGGATCTCAATCTGAGTAAAAGCCGGCCATAATGTACCGGCCAGTAATGCACAAGATGCTAAGAGCGCTGTCTTTTCTTTGATGTATTTCTTCCGGGAGTTTTTAAGTGTTTTATTTTGAACTTCGAGTTCCTCCCTGATCGTGTTTAACTGTTGCAGATTCTGCCAGGATTCATCTGCGACTTCCTGCGTTTTCTGGAAACATTCATTGGAAATTAAGATTACATGAAATTGCAACTGTAAAGTTTGTTTGTTTGTTTGCTATCGTGTGAACAGTCACGGTGAAGAAACTCACCTGAACTCTGTGGTGAAGATCTGTTATGAGTTTCCCGTAATGCTCTTCAAGTTCTTTACTTTGAGTTTTCCAAGAATTTTCACGATCTTTCAGAGTTTGCGATAACTGAACGATAGTAAATATAATTTTCAGTCTATTCAGTTCTACCTGGAGAATCAGCGAGACTAACAACCTCAGAAAGAGTATGCTTTTGATTCACGTTTAACACTGATCTGACCTTTTTAATAGTCGCCTCGTGTTCATTCTGAGCCTCTTTAATATGATCATCTTTCTTGTTCAACGTTTCCTCCATGCGCACAGCCTACAACATCACGAACGAAAGTTTGGAATAAAGTTAGGCTCATATTTATACGACAATACAAATGCATGGAGCTTTTTTCATCAACCTTTTCCTTTGATCTGTTCAGTTCCGTGATGAGGTTAGCAATCTGATCAGAGAGAAGCCTCGTCATGTCTTCCCAAGAGAAATCTTCGTATGAACTGCCAGCACTTGGTGGTGATTTATATAATTGTCCAGCAACCAGACATTGGTAGATTGTGTGTAAGAACGACATACGAGTCTATACAACACAGATGAATTCAAATATAAGGATTACATGCAAGCAATGGGCATATCATCAAGCTTAACTAATTCCTAAACTTGCCTGATTTTCGCCAGCATGTTTGCTTCGTGATTCCATCATCTAAACAACAAAATACGAAAGTACATATTGTGCCTAGATATGCATCTCTTTGATTCCTGCATCATGCAGTTAATTGACTATAATTCCACTCTGATGGACAAGAATTGACAAGAATTGTAGTTTGACTTTACAGCTCCAGTTTTTACTCTAGGTTTAAACCAACAACAACAAACCTCTTGGTTATATTTAACTCTTTTCCTCCGTTCTTCATCCACTTCTTTTTTCAAATTTTGTACTTCCAATTCAAATTGAGAGCATTCCTTCTGTTTACTGGCCAGTTGTTGACGAGCTTCTGCTAATTCTTGTTTGACTTGACTTGCAGCCTGTTTAACATCCTAAAATAGCCACATTGATTGAGTTTTCATTGAAGTGATTTCCTTCATTGGTAATATTAGCGTCGCAGTCATAACATAACTAGTGTACCTCCACCGCTTGATCTCTCGACCACATGAGATTCTGATAACCACTATTTTCCCTCGTTAAATTTTCAACCATTATCTTCAGCTGTTTTGCCTGGAAGAAAGTTTACAAAACCGTCCGACATTTTATTGCCACACGTCTTACACATGGGTGTAATTGAAGTTTAGGAAAACACAAAATGATAAAACGTTCACCTCATTTACGGCGTTCGCTCTTGTCGTCTCATGATCCAAGATTATCTGACGAAGTTTATCAAGTAAAGCGATTGTTGATGAAGACGATGACGGACTTTCTTTGTTAGCAGAACCTAAAAAAAACAAGGATTCAGTGAATTTGTGTTCTTTATATGTACTCGTCTAATTTTAGTGAATCAATATTTGCACCTGTTTTCGACTTTAGATGTTTGGACTGGCCGAACGTAGTTACTAACGTCTGAAGTTCTGTTAGGCAATTGATGTGGTTGTTGTCGAACTCAATTTGATGTTTTTTTGCCTGTCAAAAAAGGCAAGTATTAGTTTTCAATTATACCCAAGCTTCATCGTAAATAATTAGACTAACTTCTCACGTTTCCAAAATTAGAGACTTATTGTAATACCTGATTAAGTTCGCGTTTCAGAATATCAAAATTTTGCTGGTGAGTCTCAAGTTGTTGGGATAATTCTTTAATAATCCCCAGTTTCTCCGCCTGATCCTCTTTTGTCCTTTTCTTCTCCTGTATGTACTTTTCTTGTAGTTGCTTCAACTTTGACGAGATTTCCGCTCTTTCCTCCTGCTCTGTTTTCAATCTTTCTTGAAACTCTCTGGAGAAATAAAAAAGATAGCAAATTAAGTCTTCTTAACCAGTGCTATATTTTTGGCATTCTCTAGAATTTTACTGAATTTGTTGTCGTATTAACGGATTTCAATCTTCACCAAGATCAGACCTGTTTTGTTGTGTCAAAGTGTCCACCGTTGTCAATGCTTCGTTCAGAGAAGATATCTTCGACTCAAGATCCGTTTCCAACTCGCGAACACGCAACTATAGATAGAAACACAAAGATTAAAACATCAAATATCCAATCCCTGTTTTGTTTTAACTCTTTGGCTTCAAGAATATAATCTTTGGAATATTGCTTGCAATTTATTGATTAAGTTATTTACCTGAACAATTTCTGAATTGAATTTCGTTTCTAAATGCGATGCTCGTTCTGCTTCAACATGATCTTCCAAACTCTTCAATCTCTCACGAGCTTGCTAAGATAAAATATGGCCTATTTATCTTTCTTTTACAACAGAATCGCAACAAATTGCTATTTAAAATAGCAATGGTGCTCAAGAAGAAAACATTCACAATCAATACCTCTAAGTCCTTCTTCAGTCGTTCTTCTCTCTCAGCGCTGAACTCCAAGTCTTTTGCTTGATGGCGTAACGTGTTGTTCTGACTTTGTCTTTGAGCTAAGTAAATTACAGGTGGAGTGTAGAGTGTAGAGAAACGTTAAAGTGTATGAATGTGGGTAACAGAATCTTACCTTCTAATGAGGAACACTTCTCTTGAATTTCAAGCAGAGAACTATAGAGATGATTGAACAAAAAATCATGAAGACAACAGAGTTGGTCTAAGAGTTAACAAATGAGACATAAACTGATTATTACTTTTGTTGTTCCAGTAATATCTTGTTGAGCTTTTCACATTCTTTTTGAGATGCCTCAAGCTTTGTTGCCATTTTATTAAGTTCAATATCCTATTGAAAGAAATAATAGATGAATTGTCCTTGAGGGTACATTTCTTTTTATGGCAGACATATCTACAATTGTTTACCTTTGTTTGAAGATGTTTCTTCCACTGTCCAGCTTCATTCTTCCTGATATTTTTTACATTTGCGAGCTCTTGTTCTACACTAGCCAGTCTTGTCTGTGCTTGAGAGAGTTGGTCTTTCAACAAACCCATATTATTCAAAGTATCTGAATCTTTTTCTGCGGCCAATCTTCTGACTTGGTTTGTTGCTTTTTTGGCCAAGGTCAACTCATACTCTAAATTCTGTCGAGTTGTCTCCCCTCGTTCAACTTGTGCTCTCAGGCGGACAATGGAACTTTCAAGCGTACTTTTCTATGCAAGTTAATAGACAACACACTGAGTCACACAATGCTAGAGACACCCTTACCATATACTTATAAACTAACCATGTATATTGTATTTGTCTGTTTGCCGTATTTACATTGTTATCATTGTCAGTGGTTTATACCGGCTAATTTATACGACAGTACCTCTTCATTATAGATCTTCATTTTCTCTGCAGTGGCTTCTTCCAAACGGGACACCTTTAGTTTTAATGAATCTATCTCTAGATATATTAAGAATGCTTCTTTATTTTATGAGCCATAATGGCAACAACTGTATAATGGAGAGAAGTAGCAATAGACCTTTCTTATAATAAACACAGAGAAAGCTTCATGATTACTTGATTACACATCGCTCCACAGAGATAAAAAGCCAAACAAACTTTGTATAACAGTGTGACGTCATTATGAGAAAAGGCTATTGCTCCAAACCATACAGTTTCCAAAACATTCAGTGCCACTTAATACTTATATAAATATTACCTTGCTCATATTGACTGGAGCTTGGATGATCGTTTATGATTTCATCGCTATGTTGATAATCAACACTGCTGCTACTGTTACTCTGGTTGTGATGAGTGTTCTGTTCAGAGGCCATAGTTATATTATCTGGAAGCAAGGAAACTATTATAAACACCACAGTTGATCAGTAGACCAGTGGACACTCCATGTAACTATGTAAGTGATGTGACCAGCAGAACACCGATATTCTTGCTTACAATCTATTATACCTTCTTCCAAGATCAGCGATAACTTCGATCATGGATTGCTATCTTTTTAAAATATAACACAAACACGAGTATATCCAACTCCAATAATCCAGCATATGGTGCATACCAACAGTCATTTATCTTCATACCAGTAACTCCTTTAAAATACTCAACATCTCACATTGAATTTGGCATAAAGATGGATCGAGATTATAACATACGCCAAACAATATGAAATCTGATTTTCCTACGCCAAAAAGCACAAAATTGTGCAAAAACTATCTGTTTATCATTAATTCTGAGCTTTCCTATCTAAAAACGAATTACCGCAGTTTTTTAAATAATCTCGCGCGATGCGGGATACTAGTAGTCCCGCGTGTAATCCCCGAATTGATTGGAAAAAAATTATATAGAGAGAGACTTTAGCTATATATACCCTCAGATATAGACTTCACTGATGAAAACTAATAACTCGACTCTGATTGGTAGATATAAGCCTGCTCAAAACTTGAACTTAAGGAGGATCGAAAGTCGGGTCGTGTGTGAAAAAAAGCAAATATCCAATATCGTCGGTAAAATTTTCGCGTTTTTGTTGTTATAAGTGCAACTTGAATTCCACTTATGGGGCCGCTTTCCACATCGCAAGTATAGTGCATTTCACCACAATGCATTGTGCTGCCTTATTCCGCATTGTGCTGCCTTATTCTGCACTGTCCACCAACTGGAATGTCACACTTTATGCGAAAGTGGGTTTATCTTCAGGCTAAGTAAACATAGATTATGAACGGATTTGCATCAGGTGGAATTTATTTTAAGAATGCCGGGATTTATTGTCGTGATACAAAATCCATCACAGCACGACACTGCAAGAATCACGGCAAGAATTGAACTATTGGTGACAGGCACGAGGAACAACACGTTGTTTACAATTACATTTTGTTGCAAAATGTTGTAGGATTGTTGCAAAGTTACCCAAAAACCAGAGCGCATATCTTGAGCAAAGCTAACGTTTATTCGTTACTAAATAAACAAAAAAAATAGACAATGAATACGATAACTTCTGGCAATACTAACTAACGTAAGGAAGTTGACCTTCGGCTCAAATACGCATTTTCCAATTCTCTTGCACATTTGTTTCTTCAGATTTGAGGCAGATATAGTACAGCCGACCAGATGGAAAAACATATTAAATGGTAAACAATGTAATGCCTGTTGTTTTCTACCCTTTGTTTGAATGAAAATATATGGTGAATGCAACGATGATAAAGTTACACCTTCAACATCTCACACAAACCTTGCAAAGACCCCCTTGAAGTTTCGCGATGTGGCACTGTGGCCTTTCATTTGATCATAAAAAGCTTAGAAAATCCATACAATACAAATTAAGCTATCACCGGTGATCGTCAACTAGATTTTAATTTACCCCGCACGTAATTTCTCGTTTAAAATCTGAGACAATGCATGTATAATACCACTTTGGATACAATCAATCGTATTGTCAACACCCAGCTGCCATTCTTTGCTGGCATATGGTTTTATGCAATAGCATTTTGCGTTACTCACTACGACTGTACATAAATATGGTCTCTTTATTTTTGCGAAGAGCTCGTATCATTTGGATAGTGTTGCTGTATTTAGCCATCTGTGGTGAGATATTTGAATGTTTTATCAATGAAATTAATCAGTATTCAGTAAATAGTTGTAAGGTTACAAAAGGTAAGGCGATTTACATGGGGTTTTTTCATACACTAGAATGTTTTTGCCCGTTGTGCCGCCTGTTTGATCGTTTTAACTTTCCTCAAATGGTAACGTAATTCTAGGTCCAAGTTCAACTCTAAGATTCACGCAGTAAAACTTCAGGTTTCGAAGTCGACGAAGTTCCACTTCACGAATCACGACTGTAGGTCATCAAACTAAATGTAACTAAATGTTTTCCGCAAAACATGTAAGCTGATTATTTTAGCCAAGTAGAAATGCTGATTGGATGTGCTTTGTACAACCCATAAACAACAGTTTTTTCATATCGAAGTTTCAAGAAATACAATGACGAATGTTGAAAGCATAAGTTTTCACCATTGTCTTTTACGTAAGATGATAAGACTAATGATTCAGTGAAACCTTTGTCTAATTTCACAACAATGTAATCCACAGTAACCGAACGAGACTTTAAAAATGAGTTTTGATGCTTTAACACAGAATATAGTCAGATTGTGCTAGAAGGATGAATCTCTTAGCTATATAGCCTTAATCCATACTATATAGGAGCTGATTACTGTGGCATTTATAGAAACCATACAAAGACAATAAGTCTATAATTGGGTGCATAAAAATTAGGTCTGATATGCATGCCTTTAGTTCCGCCGCAAAATATTGCGCTAATGATTCATTGTCGGTTAAAAAGTGAACGATACTGATTCAGATAAAGAACGCGTTGTTGACCTTGTTTATTTTGCGTATAGTGATTATATTCATACGTCTGACAATATTGAGATTTTATCCATATTGTAATATCAGATATATGGAAAAGAAATGAATCATTATACAGATGGATGGATGACAAATTACAGTCGTTAAGATGTAAATAATTTTTTAACCTTTGAAAAGATGTCTATGTCGCCGAATAAAATACGATTAGTTTCGGCAATGCTTTTTTGGCAGAGTCTAAACCACGTTTTAGTCCCATCTGCAGGTAGGAGTGATAATTTGGGTATACGTAACATATTTTCGACCTCCAGAGCAAACCGTATATAGATTTGACTGCTGATAATACATGGAATATGGGATACGCTGTGAATCTAGACTCCCATTTACAATACATAGGCATTTCTCGATTTTAAACGACTTTCCCCCGCGGTGTAATGAAACTTTCAGTTTGATGAGGCACATTTTAAGCATCAATAAAGTGCATTCCTCTGTAAAACAAGTCATTTTAGTGATAACGAAAATATAAATACATAAGGTTGATAAATATGTATATATACAACCCCAATCTATTACTACAGAGAGGCAAGCCTTGCAAGGATAAATTTACGTGCTTTTCCCTTGTGAATGAACATATTGTCATTGATAGCAGAATTGCCGTGTGTGACGATAGAAGAGTAAAAAAATGCCGAAGTTGCTGACGGAAACTAAATGAACTTGTCATAAAATATCGCTATTGTTAGACATGCTTTTCTCAGAAGCTTAATTTAAGTTTAATTGTGAACTGCTACATGCTATGGTCTGGCAACAGTTGCTAATATTTCAGATAAATTTCTTTTCATTTCAGAGTGTTGCGCTGCCGAGAATGAGGCACGGTTGATTAAAGATTTGTTACGGAATTATGATCCGGATGCAAGACCAGTCAAGAATCAAACAGACTCGGTCAAAGTTGAGCTACAAATGATTTATAAAGAGCTCAAAGAAATTGTAGGTGCTTGAAATATTCACCCACATTTTTTTGAGTTTTACGTACGAGCATTAATAGTTTTCCTGTCAAATGTTTAGGAGGAACCAAAACAGCAAATGACATCAATAACACGATTTAGTATAGTAAGTTTTTGAGTCAATATCTTATCGTCTAGCAAAGAAAGGTAAACTTGGAGTAATCAGACGAATGAAGAATCTCCTTTTTATCGTCTTCAATGGGAAAGATATGCTAGATTGGGAGCCAAGGGAATGATAACGATCGCTATGTCTTTTGTTAGAAATGGAAAGATGTTTCCTTGCAGTGGAAGAAAGAAAAGTATGGAGGAGTGAAAGCTATCCATCTCACACCGAATCGCATTTGGAAACCAGATTTGACTTTATACAACAGGCAAGTGTAACATGCACATACACAACAGTCCATCTTCAAGAAACACAAACAGGAAAGTATCATCATTTCCAGTTTGTTTGCTCTAAGGAACGTGACTATATCTAGAAAACAAAAGATCTCTCCTTATTTTAGTGTCCACAAAGATGGCGGAAATATTTACAGTTATTTAACGAGAGCTTTAGTGACAAATGATGGAACAGTGACATGGCTTACTTATGCTATGTTGAAAACAACTTGCAAACTGGACATCTCTGCCTTTCCCGTTGACGAACAAAAATGCTCATTAAAGATCGGCTCTTGGACCTTAAATGCAGCTAAATTAGACTTACAGCTTTCAAACACACCACAGCCCAGTTTGGATCAGTACAGCGCTCACACAGAATGGGAGCTTCTATCTGCTACGGCAAAAAGTCGAACTCAAAAGTACCCCTGTTGTCCCGAGTTGTACACAGATATCACCTATACCCTGCACTTTAGACGGAAACCATGGTTTTATATTGTAACAATAGTTTTCCCTTGCCTAATATTGTCGCTATTGGCATCAATTTCGTTTCTATTCCCTGCCGGCTCAGGGGAACGAGTCTCGCTAGTGATATCGGTTTTGCTTGGGCTAACTGTGTTCATGCTTATCATCAACGCGGAGACACCGGTAAGTTCCGACTCTACTCCGATGTTAACCCGATACTTCAGCGTGATATGCTGCGGGACTTTCCTAATACTCCTCGCAACTGCGTTTATCCTTCAAATTCATCACGGATTGAGTTCAGAACCGGTCCCCTATTGTATAGCGAGCGTCCGCAATCTATTGGCTGTCGTCTTCTGTATGAGAAACGCGCCAAAAAAGACGGAAAAGAAGCAGCCGCTACTCGAAACGACGATGCTGGATGACGAGAATAGGCTTTCGGTTCCAGCGTTTTCCGATTCGTCGATGACAGGCACTTGTGTTATGAAGAGGAGGCACACTGCGGACATTATGCTAATTAACAAGCTTCAACATCTCGCGGCCCGTTTTGAGGAAAACGAAACGGTTGGTAAGATACAGCAAGATTGGCAATACACGGCCAGAGTTTTTGACAGATTCTTTTTTGTTATATTTTTATTGTTTTATATTGGTCTAAACCTCTATATTATTGGTTTTTTGTACGTATAAAATGTATATTGAGTTAACATAATTCTGTTTCAGTAAGCACCGGTTCTGTCGGTTGTAAACCGAGCAACCCTTTAAGTGAATAATGCAGGCAGGTCCGGAATGGGCTTGCTTTGCCAGTTTAAATATATCATACTGAATGGCCAACTAGAATGTAGTGTGGGGTTGATGCACTGAACGATATGATAAGCAATAAAAATGAACGACCGGCCAAGTGCCAACTGTTTAAAGAGGTTGAGTACTAAAGAAGATTTGGAGTGAAAAAATCCCCTTTAAAAGGCAATATATGATTTATTAAAATATAGTAACATATTCAGATTGCAATGCGTTTAATATTTCATTTTAAAAGGACCTAAGAACACGATAATCCAATTTCCTTCAGAGATTTTCATTTATCTGACCTGCCCTGCAAGTAAAGTGGTAAACAAGGAATGATAAAACATTCATCAAAAGCAAAATATATCTCTATCCAACGTAGATAGTAACGTCAAGAGGAAAATGACTAAATTATATATTGGAAGTCTTGCTTATTACGTATTTTTTTTACGACATTGATGATTTTTGCGTGATTTGACTGCTTACAAAATTCTATACCAAATAATTACAAAACTGAATGAATTTGAAAGGCAATTATTGAAGTAATATATGTTCACGGTAGGAAGAAAGATGATTTGCATACTTTATTAATAATCATTGTAAGAAGCATGTAGCGCTTTGGCTCGTTTACAAACTACAATAACGAATTTTTTATCATCGATAAAAGAACGAGGACAAAAATGGCGCCATGCAGAAATGATTTATTTGAAGACACCAAGGCGATGGTTTATAAAAAATTAATAGCAAAACCGCAATAAAAGCAGGTGTTGCATGCAGCCCCTCACGACAACATCACTTATGTATTTAATGCTGTGATGCAAACCGCCGTCGTATTTATTATAAACTTAACAACGCTTGTACTTTAATTTTTATTATTGCTTAACAACAGACATATGATACGCCGTTTTACTTTGCCATTTTCATGGGAAATCTCAAAAACATTTTAAGAACTTTTGTTGTGGTTTTTTGGTTTGTAACTCTATCAGAAGGTAATGTAAAGTTAAGACTTTAGAGTTACGTAATAAGTCAAAATATCGCATGATGGAATATTAATACCTATGGCGTGTCTTGTATATTGATTTCTTCATTTTTTGTCTAGTGGATACAATTGTACTTCTCTAAAATACTGGGAAATATCAAACTTTTTACACCAGATATTCTGAGAGACTCAGAGATTGCAATCTCATCAAAGTCTTTCATTTATTATAATCAAATTGTCTTACATGCTATATTAAAGTAACTTATTGAAGTTGAAAAAAAGATATAATACAATGTATAGCTTCCTGTGTTAATTCCGTTTCCGAATCTAATGAGTTTTAGTTTTTGTCTCATTGAACAGGACTGAAATTCATACATGATGCTAACTCATGTGACTTCAGTCAATACTTCCTCTGTGGGAGATCATGCATGAACTTGTTGTCGCACCGCTTCTTGTTTGACGAAACCTTAGTTTTTGCCAATGCAGGTAAAGGCCATCAAACCAGGTTGATCAGTAATTTGTTGCAAGATTATGATCGGGATGCGAGGCCTGTCATCAATGTTTCAGATTTAATCACGCTGACGTTTAGGCTGAGTTATATCCAACTGCAAGAATTGGTGAGTATACCTACTTTGTTGTCTCTATCTGGGACAACGCCTATTCGAAAAAAAGGCTTCCAGTATATCCCCCCACCTACCCATTTAATTTAGTTTAACCCTTGGCGAAATATAACTTCTTGTGCTGCATTCCTTGTTTCAAAGAGCAAACATGAGAACGGGAAATATCTACGTTGATAGAAAATGGTATATTTAGACATGCAGCTTTCAAAATCATGTTGTTAAAATATTTCTTGGTGTAGGACGAGCCAACTCAAGTTGCGAGATCGCTTGTATGGGTTAATATGGTAAGACGATAGACAATATGGTCTGAGTTGAATCAAAATTGAGTGAGCAAGTTCGATGTTTCTATTCTCTGCGAGTTCTTGACCAGAACTATTTGGTTTAACACAAGAGAACAAGATTGCTAGTTCGACACCACCTCGACATATTTTTCTTCACGTAGAGATGGGAAGATGCGTATTTGAAGTGGAATGCCAGTGAATATGGGGGAAACACAGAAATCCGGCTGAGCCCGACAAGGATTTGGAAACCAGATCTGACGCTTTATAACAAGTAGGTTATCTTTTTGCAACTTGTTTGTTGTTCATGTAGCGGCTGATCTCATGAAGCGGCAGGGAAACCGGGGATATTACGTTGAGTACGTTCAGTCTCCTAGTTTACAAACTTTTAGATATTCTGCATGTAAGCCACGTAGCCACGCTTCCTGAGACCCCTGAATTAGCGCTGCAACTGATTTTAAGTCGTCAAAACGTTTCAGTGCAAATAAGGATGGTGCCGCGATGTATGACCTCTCATATCCAGCCATCGTTCAATCTGACGGTTCTGTTTCGCTGGGTTGCCCTCTTATCCTGGAGTCAATGTGTCCCATTGATATCAGCAACTTCCCCTTTGACACTCAGATCTGTAAGTTGAAACTTGGTTCATGGGCCTACAATGGCTTTGATCTTGACATACATTTAAAAAAAGATGTAGCAGGAATTGACTTAGGCAACTTAGAAGCAAACTCTGTGTGGAAACTGGAGTCAGTTCGTTCAAAGAGGAATAAAGTGAAGTACACTTGTTGTCCAGAACCGTATATAGATCTTACATACACTTTTGAATTCCGACGTAAACCGCTGTACTACATCATGACAATCATATTTCCCTCAGTCCTTTTATCTCTGTTATCATGTGTCTCGTTCCTATTCCCCGCTGGATCTGGCGAGCGAGTTTCGTTGGTGATTTCCGTTCTGCTCGGTCTGGTCGTGTTTATGCTGATCGTAAACGAACGCACTCCGGTCACATCCGACGCCACTCCGATGCTTACGCAATTCTTCAATTCGATTGGTGGGTCTACGGTTTTGGCTCTGATGGCAACGGCCTTTATATTGCGACTAAATCACGCAGACGGGTCAACGCCCGTCCCAAGTTACCTTGTGTGCATCCGGGACTGCATCGCTTTCGTGCTTTGTATGAGACGAGAACCAGAAAGAAGGCGAGTGGAAATCAATTTTGAGGATATACTGCTGGCCGAATCGCAGGTACACATCCTTCCATTAATTGCGCATAATAGGTAATATCCAGTGGCATTTGCGCATGCTACATTCTTGACAAAGATTCCATTGAAATAATTGCGTAGAAACAAATTCAAATTCAAATGTGAACAAAACACTCGTTTACATTACAACTGCATTGACATCATCTTTATCATATTATAGTTAACACCCATCCAAAGGTCCCTACGATTGCACACGCATATTTTCGTCCAAAACAGTCCTTTGTTCCACGCAAGGGCTGAGGGATAATTTACCTCAGTCTAATTTACGATCTTTTGTTCTTCCAAAGGTTTTCCGAGAACAAGGTTTACCTCGACAGTTGCTAAATGTACGTGAAGTTGTTGGTATCACTGCGTATCGCAAGCAAATGACAGATGAAAGAATCCTAACAGAATTGCAAAAGATAACAAGGCATTTTGAAGAAGAAGAGGCAGTTGCAAAAACGAAACTAGAATGGGATTACACGATGAAAGTTTTTGATCGATTCTTCTTTGTGATTTTCTTTCTTATTTTCGTAACATTTGCTTCCTACGTCTTCTCGTTTTGACCTGGCTTTTTAGCGGTTTGTGACTGCACCTTTGTAAACGAAACGTTACATACGACTTAAAGCTTCTAGTGTAGATTCATTCACTATGTTTGTATACGTTTTCATACATGAAGTAGAACAATAATAATATATGCTGTGTGCGGCGTACTTTGGCATAGTTTCCAATTTCCACACGCCTGTGCATAGTCAGGTTGCGAGGCCAATGGAGGTCTATGCTGGCTAGTTACATATGAACGTCGCCTTTCTTTCTTGTTTCAAAAATATACCACATCAGGAAATACCGATTCAGTGAGAATAACAATCATCTCTGCTTGCTATACAACCTTTTCCACGATTACATTTTCTCATTCTGTTTAAGTGCGAACTAAACATTAGCCTGTAAATTTTTTTTCTTATTTTCGTAACAAAATTTTGAACTTAATTGATGTCATATCGTTAAATGAAATGCAGTCTAGTCTGATTTGATCCGAAATTCAGAAATATTCTGCTTTATATGCAAGCAGGGGTGACGCCAGAGGGGGGAGCAGGGGGGGCTACAGCCCCCCCCGTCGGGGGACTCTAGCCCCCCTGTCGGGGAAAATTTTACAATTCGTCGGGGAATGAACGGGAGATATATTGAGTCGCCCTCTATTGTTTTTAGTTCTCCCAAATAAAACAGATAAAAATTTAACTTAGTATTTTACATCGTACATGGTTTGTAGCATAAAAATTTTCATGAAAAAGTCCGTGATAAGACTCTAAAACGCTAATTTCCAAAGATTTCAAACACGCTCCAAATCTTAAGGCATAGCAATAGGCATAGCTAAGGACTGTAGCAATAAACTGAAAACTTTGCTTCCTACAATTACACGTTAAATAACAACCAGGAGTTCAGCCCCCCTGTCGGAGACCTTACCTCCTGTGCCGATGAATTCCTGGCGCCACCCCTGTATGCAAGTAATAGTTACTGAATAATCGTTTGCTAAAGAATATCTTAAACGCTCAAAATTTTCTCTTTTTTGGATACCTCAAGCGCAGTATGAACTTCTTGATTGATAAAATGAAATTACACTATGCAAGGATATTAAATCATCTGCATAAAAAATTTATGACTTTTAGCAGGTCTCACATGGAAACAAGCCATTTAATCAAACGGGCTCATTTTAGGAGACAACAAGTACAGGTAATTATACAGTGATAATATGTCAAAAATTATCAGGATTTGAAGACGTAAGGAGGACATTACATTAGGCACTTTGACATGAAGAACTGTCGAACTGTTTGTATTGTTTGTTTTGGAGTTTTTGTCCAGGTGGTGCTTCTAAAAGGTGAGCATATCTACAATCCTTTTTTTTTCGATCAAAGCTGTTTCAATTCAACTCGTCAATGATCGCATAAACAGACAATCGATATTTACATTACGTATACTGCTTATCCAACTTTCCTTAGATGCGGTAGTTTTGTGTACTTGTACCGTAGCGACCAAGACCAAAAACGAAACAGAATTCTAAAATTAAACGAGTCTTACCTAGTCGAAGTTTGATTGGCATAAATTAGGATAAATTTAGGTCTGCGCAATAACTGTCACGGCGCCAAATAAAATAAGCGAGATTAGATTTGGCAGTAGCACTTTATTCTTTATACTTTCAAATATACTCTTTTATTTCAAGAACGCCCTGTCGTGTGAAAGTTTGGAGTACATTTTTTAAATTAAAAAACGATGGTAAAAAGTGAAAACAGCTATAGCTATTAATATGGGAACCGACGTCTGGCAGGTCAGTCCAGACCCAATGTCGCGGCAATGCGGGTTGCAAATCCTCGCACAATACTTGCCCTGTTTTTACAAGGCTTTACTATACTGTTTTTATTGAGTCCTCGCGGAAATAGTCCAAACAGGAAGTTTCGAGAATCGACACAATGTCCCCAAAACAACGGGCAGTATTTTGTCCTAAACATTTGCATATTTCTCTCATATATAGATGTCAACGCAACCCACCTCGAACATGAAGCGCGTTTGATAAACGACTTACTGCAATACTATGACCCGGACGCCAGACCTGTAAAAAATACATCACATCCTATTGTCATAACAATAAATCTTCTGTACAAGCAACTTAAAGACGTGGTAAGAAGTTGCGATGTTTTCAAATGTGATATTTTTCAAGAGAGAGAGACCATTGAAGCAATAATTACAAATGCTCTTGGTCTATTTTCTTTAACAGTATAATGACTTTATTCATAATTCAAGTTAAAAATTAAAATTATAGTTAAATCTTTAAACGTCTATTTTCTTTCCATTCTTCCTTAGGATGAACCGACACAAGTTGTAAGGTCATTAGTTTGGATTACAATGGTGAGTAGATTTGAAGAGCCAATCTCACTAAAATTCTCTGCCATTTTCTCAGATGATTTTAAGTCTTTTCTCTTCACAGTATTGGAAGGATGATTTATTGAAGTGGAATGCAAGCGAGTATGGCGGTTCTTCGAGGATCCGTCTTCAACCATCAAGAATATGGAAACCTGATCTTTCGCTTTACAACACGTATGGAAACAACCCATGCTTACGACAAATGATTCAATTTACATCCATTACATGATGCATCATGCATGCACCAACATCCAGCCCTTTCCTGCCTCAATGACAGATCACGAATCACACAGAATTCTTTCATTTCTTTCAGTGCTAAAGAAGACGGGGGTACTCTCGAGAGTGCTAAATTCAAGGTTGTCGTCGCCTCCAATGGACAAGTGGAGTGGTTTACGTATCATATCCTCCACTCTGTCTGCCGTATTGACGTATCAAAGTTTCCATTTGACACTCAAAAATGTAAAATGAAGATTGGCTCGTGGACGCAGGATAAACTGGACCTTGATCTGAGGTTGCACAAACCAAGCAATGGGATTGATGTGGACAGTTTTGAAAAGAACACTGAATGGGAACTCACGTCTGCGAGTGCGCAGAGAAATGAGATTGAGTACAAGTGTTGCCCAGCGCCGTACGTTGATATAACTTACTCGTTTGAATTTCGACGAAAACCATTATACTACATTATGACTATCGTATTTCCTTCAATGCTTCTGGCGCTTTTGGCTTCCGTATCGTTTCTTTTCCCAGCTGATTCAGGAGAAAGAGTCTCACTCACTATTTCCGTACTGCTTGGTCTTGTCGTGTTTATGCTCATCGTAAACGACCGTACGCCGGTGACCTCCGACACCGTCCCGATGATTACTCAATTCTTCAACGCCATTGGTGCCAGTACGGTCCTCGCCCTGATGGCGACTGCCTTTATACTTCGCCTCAACCACGTTTCCCCAGGGGTTTGTATTCCACGGTATCTCGTACGAATCCGAAACAGCATTGCTGTCGTGCTCTGTATAAAACCGGCTTGCAAATTAAAACCAGTTGGGGTGAACGCTGATGAAATCCGACAGAACAACTCGTTCGTGCGAATTCAAATCAATAACGATAACCTCGCAGAGCAGCCCTTATCATACTGGGAACCTTGGGCGAGCATGCGCAAACCTCTGGAGAATATCCAAAACGAGGTGAAAAAATTGTCGCGTCATCTTGAGGAGGAAAAAATCGCGAGCGAGATGAAAGAGGACTGGCACTATACCATGAGAGTTTTCGACCGATTTTTCTTCGTTGTTTTCTTCCTAGTTTTCCTTGCATATGTCTTTGATGCTTTATTTGTCTACCTAACTTCCTAGATTCCCTGACATTGGGAGTAGCTTTAGAAAGTAACACGAGAAACCGCGGGGTGGTAGAACACATATCCCAGGTACTTGCTTTTGAAATATTCCAAAGCTCTGTATAGAAACAAGACTGGGCTATGCTGTTGTCTGATCATACACAACATGCAAAGATTAAGAGAGAAAACTATTATCACATACTATAAGCTAAGTATTGCAGTTAAAATTCGTCCTATCATATCTTATTCCTATAAAAAATTGGTATATCATATATCAAGAAAAGTATTAAAAAGTTCATATACCATACATTAAAAGAGTTATTAGGAGAAATATTAAAAAATTGTATATCATATATTAAGAGAATTATTAAAAAGTTCGATTGAGGAAACAATTGGGCTGTTCCTGAAACGTTCAGTTTTGCAATAGTAATTATAGAATAATTCACCATTCTGCCTTGTGTCCCTTTGCCGTGTCTGGCAAAGTTTATTTGGAAGAAGATGATGCAATTTGTGTTGAGGATTACACATTTTAGCAATAAGATCCATGCACATCGCAATTCGACGCCCCCGAAGTGTTTGCAGCCCAGCTTTTAGCAATATTCTTGTATTTTTTCGATACGACTACTTTGTGTTTTAGTAAGTCCCCCGTGCCAAACTTGTGCCCCATATTCGAGTATGGGCCTGATGACTTTCTGTTCAAATGATGCATTAAAATGTTTGCTAACGGAAGTGCATAGACATTCAATTGCACAAAAACAATGAACTCACTCAAAAGGAAAAATACGATGTAAAGAAGGTTATCGTTGGTGTGTTCTTCGCAATTGTTAGATCCCATTTGAATTGGGCTCTTTTCTTGTAAAATTTAAATAAATTGACCGATTAATGATTTATGATATGATGAATTGATGATTCATGAATGTTCCCGCAAAAAGCAGGTGTTATCATTAGTGCGAACATAACAAAACTTCCTATCTTGACAAACAACAAGTTACACTTTTTCGTAAGAAAAAAAACGCAAATTTTCCAGGGGTTTGTCTTGAGGATAAATTTCATGGAACTCTCCACAAATATCGCTTTAAAAACCCTCATTGGAGCCTCTTTACTACTAACAATCATTAAAGGTAGCGGAATAGAAGTGTTGTTAAAATGTTTTTCTTGTTGGATACCAACAATCAAAATTTTGTCATGTCATAGATTCGTGCAGATTTTCACGACAATAACAGCAAAATAATTCTTTTCATTGTCCTGGATTGAGTAGATTGAACGTATAAAATAACTAACTTACATTATTTTATCGAAATTCTTTGGTGTAGTCAACGCTGGAACAAAATCGGACGAAGCTCGGCTTTTAAACGATCTGCTTAAAAACTACGATCCGGACGCACGACCAGTGAGAAATGCCTCGCAAGCAGTTACCGTTCACATCGACTTTGCATATATCCAATTACAAGAACTGGTGAGTTGATTTGAATCAATTTAGATTTTATACATTCCAGTAAAAATGCCATACTTCTTATTTGACGAACCCAAGCTACCAATATTGGTTGGGCAAAGATAGAGTTGGCAGTAAGTAAATTAAGTGAAGTTTCAATGAAGTGAATGGCATTAGCTATGGGTAGATTAGTAAGTCTACTAATTCACATCTTGGTTGCAATTCTTTAAAACTTCTTGTTCGTTAGGACGAGCCAACTCAAGTTCTTAAATCACTTGTCGCGATAGAGCTGGTAAGTTTCTCATTCGAAAATTCGTGTAGTAATTAGTGAACATTGATGATCCCAACAGCAGCTGATAAGAACATTCTCCACAGGTATTTTTATCTTTTACAGGGATGGACCGATGAGCTCCTACGATGGAATGCCAGTGACTATGGAGAAAACTCAAGGATAACTCTCAAACCATCGCGGATCTGGACTCCTGACCTGGAACTTTACCAGAAGTAAGATAAGCCTAGCTCATATAGCAGCCATCTTTAGTGGCCTCTGGGATAAATAAAGGAACACAGTAACAAACAGCATTTTTGTCTTTGTATAGTATGAAACACGAACAAAGTCATATTTACGATGAGAAATTTAGAGTAATAGTTTTCTCAGATGGGGCTGTCATCTGGTATCAAACACCAATCCTTCATTCTGCCTGTGCGATTGAAATCGCCCGGTTCCCTTTTGACAGCCAGGAATGCGAGATGAAGCTAGCATCGTGGTCGTATGACGCAAAGTACCTTGACTTCCAGCTCGCCGGTGGAGATGGCGTTGAATCGAGTCAGCATCGAGACAATGCGCAATGGGAACTGGAATCAATTCGTTCTAAAAGAAGTTTGATGAAACCTCCATGTTGCGAGATTAACTTTATCGAAGTGTTATACACAATGAAGTTTAAACGAAAGGCTTTGTATTATATCATGAACGTAATTCTTCCATCTATGCTTTTGTCACTACTTGCTTCCATTTCATTCTTATTTCCAGCTGGTTCAGGCGAAAGAGTCTCTCTCGTGATCTCGGTTCTTCTCGGACTTGTCGTGTTCATGTTGATCGTGAACGAACGTACACCGGTCACATCCGACAGTGTACCGTTGATAACTAATTTTTTCAACTGTATTGGCGCAAGTACAGTTTTGGCCCTGTTGGCGACCGCCTTCATACTGCATCTAAATCACATATCTTCGGGAATACCCGTCCCACGTTATCTGGTCAGGATCAGGGACTGTATCGCGGTCGCACTTTGTATGAAACAGCCGCCTCCAACAAAACGGGTTCAGTTGGATTTGGATGAAATACTGCTCCGTGAATCGTCAACACAATACCTTAATTTTCGAGATTTGACAGGACAATCGCCCATGACGCGAAAGCCCTTCACAGAACAGAAGATGTTGATTGAGATACAAAAATTGACGAAACATCTTGAGGAAGAGAAGAATGCGAGTGAAATGATGGAAGACTGGCACTACACGATGAATGTTTTCGACAGATTATTCTTCATAATATTCTTCTTGATATCTTGCTGTTTCACCGCTTACGTTTTCTCATATTCCTAAGTTTCACATCACTCGGGACAAAACATGAACTATCTTAGACAAGAGGTCAACTCCTTTCTCTGTCTACATACATATAATAATTGCGATTAACAAAATAGCCACCAAAATAATGTTTAATTAAGAAGCTATTCGAATAGATAATAAATACCGGGAAACTTCGCACTGTTAGTTATGTAATGAATGTCAGTGTTATAATTGTCATCGAAAAATGTACTTGTTTTTGTTACAGTTGACGCGTATGGACAAATAGCCATAGTGAACACTTAATAAATTATCTAATCACATAAAATGTATATGTATACAGTTTGCATGGGTGACCAATGAGATATATCTTAGGTAGTTTAGAACTATTCAGCATTCGCTTTAAATCTTAATATATGAATGCAAATTAGTAGAAAGATACGAAGCAGCTATAGAGCCTTCGTCTTTCGTCTTCTTTCAGTTTTAACATAACATTTTTAAATTTTACTATGGATTCGTATCTTAATTTGCGGATGCTTTGCCTTAATTTGAACGTAATAAAATCATGATTGTCTTTTCTTTGTATGAAATTACCGCACACATGAGTCGGGTTGTTTTGTAAGAAAAACGACAAATGGAAAGCAAATAAACTACACTTGTTAGCTCAACCTCTTCCGCACTAATTGCAGAAATTTCTACACGCTATAGTATACAATACGATATTTATCATAAACGAGAATCAAGCTTTAGCCGTGCAAAAAATATTAGCTTTGTGGACAGATGACATTTAAATAAATTGACCGATTAATGATTTATGATATGACAAATTGATGATTTATGAATGTTATCATTAGTGCGATTTCATAACACTAAGAAAACTTCCTATCTTGACAATCAACAAGTTAAACTTTTTCTTAAGAAAAAAACCGCAAATTTTCCAGGTGTTTGTCTTGAGGATAAATTTCATGGCATTCTCCACGAAGGTCGCTTTAAAAACTCTCATTGGAGCCTCTTTACTACTAACAATCATTAAAGGTAGCGATATACAAGTGTTGCTAAAATGTTTTTCTTGTTGGATATCAACAATCAAAATTTTATGCTTACTGACGTTAACTTACATTATTTTATCGAAATTTTTAGGTGGTGTCAACGCTGGAACAAAATCGGACGAAGCTCGGCTTTTAAACGATCTGCTTAAAAACTACGATACGGACGCAAGACCAGTGAGAAATGCGTCGCAAGCAGTTACCGTTCGCATCGACTTTGCATATATCCAATTACAAGAACTGGTGAGTTGATTTGAATCAATTTAGATTTTATACATTCCAGTAAAAATGCTATACTTCTTATTTGACGAACCCAAGCTACCAATATTGGTTGGGCAAAGATAGAGTTGGCAGTATATAAATTAAGTGAAGTTTGAACGAAGTTAATGGCATTAGCTATGGGTAGATTAGTGACTCTACTAATTCACATCTTGGTTGCGATTCTTTAAAACTTCTTGTTCGTTAGGACGAGCCAACTCAGGTTCTTAAATCACTTGTCAAGATAGAGCTGGTAAGTTTCTCATTCAGAAATTCGTGTAGTAATTAGTGAACACTGATGATCCCAACAGCAGCTGAGAAGAACATTCTCCACAGGTATTTTTATCTTTCACAGAAATGGACCGATGAGCTCCTAGGATGGAACGCCAGTGATTATGGAGGAAACTCAAGGATAACTCTCAAACCATCACGGATCTGGACTCCTGACCTGGAACTTTACCAGAAGTAAGATAAGCCTAGCTCATAGCAGCCATCTTTAGTGCCCTCTGGAATAAATAGAGGAACACAGTGACATACAGAATTTTTTGTCTTTGTATAGTATGAAACACGAGCAAAGTCATATTTACGATGAGAAATTTAGAGTAATAGTTTTCTCAGATGGGGGTGTCATCTGGTATCAAACACCAATCCTGCATTCTGCCTGTGCGATTGAAATCGCCCGGTTCCCTTTTGACAGCCAGGAATGCGAAATGAAGCTAGCATCGTGGTCGTATGAAGCGAAGTACCTTGACTTCCAGCTCGCCGGTGGAGATGGCATTGAATTGAGTCAGTATCGAGACAATGCGCAATGGAAACTGGAATCAATTCGTTCTAAAAGAAATTTGATGAAACCTTCATGTTGCGAGAATATCTTCTTCGTCGAAGTGTTATACACAATGAAGTTTAAACGAAAGGCTTTGTATTATACGATGAACGTAGTTTTTCCATCTATGCTTTTGTCACTACTTGCTTCCATTTCATTCTTATTTCCAGCCGGTTCTGGCGAAAGAGTCTCTCTCGTGATCTCGGTTCTTCTCGGACTTGTCGTGTTCATGTTGATCGTGAACGAACGTACACCGGTCACATCCGACAGTGTACCGTTGATCACTATTTTCTTCAACTGTATCAGCGCAAGTACAGTTTTGGCCCTGTTGGCGACCGCCTTTATACTTCATCTAAATCACGTATCTTCGGGAATACCCGTCCCATGTTATCTGGTCAGAATCAGGGACTGTATCGCGGTCGCACTTTGTATGAAACAGCCGCCTCTAACAGACCGGGTTCAGTTGGATTTGGATGAAATACTGCTCGGAGAATCATCAACACCATACCTTAATTTTCAGGATTTGACAGGACAATCGCCCATGATGCGAAAACCCTTCACAGAGCAGAAGATGTTGATTGAGATACAAAAATTGACGAAACATCTTGAGGAAGAGAAGAATGCGAGTGAAATGATGGAAGACTGGCACTACACGATGAATGTTTTCGACAGATTATTCTTCATAATATTCTTCTTGATATCTTGCTGTTTCACCGCTTACGTTTTCTCATATTCCTAAGTTTCACATCACTCGGGACAAAACAAGAACCGTATCTTAGACAAGAGGTCAACTCCTTTCTCTGTCTACACAACATAACGGTTTACAAAATAGCCACCAAAATAGTGTTTAAGCCCGTCGAATAAATACTGGGAAACTTCGTCCTGTTTACCTTCTTCTACGTAATGCATTAGACTATCAGTTATTAATCAATGTTATAACTGTATTGAAAAATATACTTGCTTTTGTTATAGTGCACGTGTATCACAAACATGCAGTTCAAATCAATATTTAGTAAACTATCTAATCACAATAAAACTTTATAAACTATCAATTGAGTGTGCAAATATATACTTTGAGTAATCAATAGAGAAATATATTCAACATTCTCTTTGTGTACATTTGAATATCGAATGGTGGAAAAATACGAGGCAGAGCATCCAGAGCCTTAAAATACTTGGATTCGGTTGTTGCTCAGGTCAGACACGACGATGTATCCGGTGTTGGGAGTGACCGCGACGCTTTCTGGGAACGAAAGCTGCCCATCACCGCTACCTTCTGAGCCGATAGTCTTCACTAGTCTTCCATCGAGCGTCACGATCTGCAAGCGATGATTGCCCATATCAGCAACCACTAAGTGGCCACAGACATCAAGTGCCAAGCCTCTAGGATGGGTGAACTGCATCTCACGTACCCCCTGAGATCCCATCTTTCTTCTAAAGCGACCATTTCTGTCGAAGAACTGCAATCGATGATTCTTGGAGTCGGCGACAATGATATCCTCTGTTTCCTTGGTAACCAAGACATAACATGGCGAATTAAACTGGCCATTCTTCTCACCAAACGAACCAAATTTCAACACAAATTTTCCCTCAGGACTAAAGATTTGCACTCGATGGTTTTCCATGTCTGCTACAAGGATTTGTCTTGCTTCGTTGACGGCCACTCCCCAAGGGGACTTAAACTGCCCGTTCCCAACTCCTTCGCGGCCAAACTTCCCAAGGAACGCGCCCCCTTGTGTGAGGATCTGGATACGATTGTTACCGTTGTCGCAAACGATCACACGGTCAGCGGAGTCTACGGCCACATCCGTTGGACAGTTAAACTCACCTGCAGAAAATGAAGGTGCCCGTGTAGTTTAAACAGTAACGATCATCTCTTATTGATCTAGTGTTATTACATGCAGGAGGAAACCTAAACTAAACTAACTTTATTTATACTGGATAGCTCTGTCAGTTCTAAACTGTTCTTCCTAGAGGTCCAGTAAGGATCATCTCTTATTGATCTAGTGTTATTACAGGAGGAAACCTAAACTAAACTAGACTCAACTCAATGTATTCTCGAGAACTCTGTAAGTATCATACCTTTTCTTTCACCATGAGCGCCGAAGAAATGAACAAACTCTCCTTTCGTGCCAAACACTTGAACACGATGATTATAACTATCAGCAACATAAATATTTCCTGAGTGATCACAAGCTACGCCAAACGGCGATTTGAACTCTTTCTTCTTGCTTCCATATTGACCAAACCTCATCAACGTTGATCCTACTTCGTTATATTCTCGACGGTTAATAACAAGGACATTAAACGGGCTGTCTTTAATTGGCTTATCTTGAATTGTAACTGATATCTCGTGCCTTCCATTCTGTTCGGGTGTGTAGGTCACGAGGTACGTTCCATCGCCTGAAAAGCGAACAAATGACCAAAATCATGACAGAGAATCTATATGACATGTTAAAACCAGCCGTGTATTTGGTTAAATCATGGTCTTTATGTATATTGTATAATATAGTCTGGTATGGTATGGTATGGTATAGTAAATAGTATATATGTGTTATGGTAAATATGTGTTATGGTATACGGTATTACAGTGATTTACCTTCGTCCTTGACTTTAGATTTCAAAATAGTAGCATCAGGTTGTTTTACCATAACATTCAGCCTATCACCACCTTCCTTCCTGTTACCATGGCGATCTTTCGTGATCACCTGAAAGCTTGCCTCAACTTTCACTCTTGCAGTGGATATCCCATCACCCAATGCGAAGGACAACGAGGCAAACGTGCTACTGGCGTGTATAATGCCAAGAGACTGGGACACAGTGCGAAGGAAGTCGGGGTCGGCCGTATATTGAATTGTATCGTCTTCTTCCGGGTCCAGTATCAACTGATAAAGAAAGAATAACGATTGATTTTCAAACAAAACTTGGAGTTCGGTCCTGGACAAGGACGATCATGAAATCAGTCTCCCTGACTAAATCACCCAATTCTTCCTTGTTAAAAAGATTAAGATCCAACAAACCTTGACATTGCTCAAACTCTTTAACTTATTCTTAATCGTCAGAATTTCCACCTCATTCTCATACTTCAAGACATTTTCAGCAAATTCACAACATCCAGATATCTTTCCCAGCTCTAACTCCAAGCCATCTTTCTGAAGACCAAGGACCTTCTGTTTCCCAGTGTAAATAATCTCGAGACGTCGCAAGAGCTTCTCCTCCGCGTCTCTGAGGGCGGCTACCCGTTCGTTCGCGTTCCGCTTAATCTCTTCGACAATTGTCGTCTTGCAGTCGGCTAATTTTCCCGACATCTCTCGCACCATTCCTAGTGCGTCTTTGAGTTCAGGGATTCGGTCTTTAGTCGTCCCGAGAAGCTTTGCGATCTCTTCTTTCTGCTCTGGTAATGCTTCCTTTGGGTAGACATATCTGTATGTCGTAAAGAGTAAAAACGTTTAAATATTTAGCCAACTTACTGAAGATTGTACATAAAGATCTAGGTATACCTGTGTTCACGATGTTCCAAGATCGTACACACTCGGCAAACGGTCGTGTCACACGTGATACAATAATACTTGATGACATTTCTTGTATGCGTCTTACAGAAACTGACGCTATACCGATCTAATTCTTGTTTATCAGCCTCTGTGTCACAGCCCAGAAGCGCAACAACTCTATGATCCAATGTAGCGCGGGCTCGTTTATGATCAGCTACGCATGCGCCACACAAGACTTTGGAACAGTCAACGCATTTCGAAGTTGCAACATCAGCCAATTCTGGCTCATCGCACGTCTCACATTTCCGTTCAGTTCTCAATTTCTCCAACTGCTCGCCATCCAGCGATAAATAGCTCAGCATATTGTTGACGAAGAAATTTGTCGGAAGGCTTTCGATGCCCTTCTCTGGGATTTCAGTTTCATCTCGACACGTCGGACATGTGACGTGGGGGGATTCATAGTTATTTATGATCCGCATCAAACATTTGGTGCAAAATGTGTGATGACAACCCAGCAATTTTGGCTCAGTGAACTTCTCTAGACAAACTGGACATAACAGCTGTTCGTTCAGTTGTTCTAGGACATAGATAGCTTTTTCTTCGTTTGAAGACATCGAGAAGTCTGAAAAAAACAAAGAGGTTTTGGTCAACTTAAACGTATAGCAGTGTTCTAATAAAGCCAGGGGTGGTAACTTGATAATACAGTATGCGATACGTTTCCACCTAGATTCTATCCATGCAGCCTGCCGAAGTTTAAACTGCCTAAAAGATATGTCAAATTTGAAGTACCAGTGAAAGTATAGTACTATACTACAATAATTTGTCGCGGTTTGTGTCATAACTACCTGAGAAAGGTATCTCAAACGCACGAATTGTGTCTGAACAACGCGACCGTTCGTCGTCGTTCAGTGTAGGTAGTATTTGTGTCAAAACTACCTGAGAAAGATACCTTAAACGTAGGCGTGCAATAAAGCATATATATGTATATAAAGGTGCTTACTTACATAGGATAAGAAATAGCCTTCCAGTTTAAAAAATCATTGGTTTTCAAACATGTTCATTGTCCACTGGTCTTGAACGCTGCTTCATTGATTTTGCAAGTCTTCAAGGCTGATTTAGCGCTCGCGAACCAGGGATACATCCAGTCGACCAACTTCAAGTTTAAATTTCACCTCAACTTTTCTTTCTTCTAGTTTGTCATCATAGACCACACCGTCTTTAGGACAAGGAGTTTTTACAGCCACCAAATAACCTACTCCTTCAGCTCTTCAGCAAAGAAATCCTTCATTTTTTGTTTTGAGAAGACAACAATAGTCTCTGAACAGGTTTATTTCATTTCTTCTTGTGTAAAAAAGCGAGAACAAAGCCCCCTCCAAAACCACCAGAAAACAACCTGTTTTCCTAACGGGATTATGACAGATCAAGGCGGGATGTTGATAGTACGTTTATTGTTTCAAAGTTTATTCTTCATATCGCTTGCGAAAAAATTGTATATACTTTTCATATTATAAATTTCCATACAAATCTTTATTGATTGTATGGATCAATGATTAGGAACACGATAAATAAAGTTATCAGCCAAAATATTTCTTACAAAATGATCCAGAATGGTATAGTCAAATATGAAATTGAACTATTTTGTAAGTTATAGATTTGAACTCTTGAACTCTTTCTTATGACTAAGACTAAGAAAATTTCCCTAGCGGCATTTTAAAACACATTGCAGATATTCACGAGTAAAACTTAAACGTAAAACCTTAATTTCCCCGCCAGGTACCCAATTGTTAAACTGCAACCGCTTGAACGGACTTGCATGTTGCAGTAAAATCTCTCGTGCGGAACAAGTCGTTTAGCCATAGAATTTATAGACGCATTAGTATTTCATCTTTGCTTTTAACCATCTAAAAATGGCGCTCTTACGATTTGTGTTCGCAACAGTCCTAGTTTTAACAAAACTATGGTCCTCTGAGGGCACGGCAGTTCTAGAGTTTCAAAAATGGGAAGAACTAAAGGATGATCTTTCCAAAACGGATGTAGCAATTGTCGACTTCTTTGCCTCATGGTAGGAAAATGGTTTTTAAGAAAGAAACATTAAATAAAAGATTGTTGCGATCGATCTTCACCGCGGATTTTATATACCCCACCTTTCAATTTCGGAGCGAATTATAGCTGCCCTGTGTTGAAGAATTGTTTTTTAAAACGGTTAACGAGAGTCTGGTTCTTAATTGCATTCGATTGCAGCCGCCGGTATTGAAGTCATACGATCAGTTCTGTTTGCAAAACAAAACAAAATCCAAGATTATTTTTCCTAGCAATCGCTCTACGCTTTTTACATCTTTCGGGCATTAGTGGGATTGAATATATCTTTGCCTGTGGATCAACGGTAAGTATTAAAATCAATTTTGAACTATTTTGTTGTTAAAACTAGGTGCCCTCATTGCGTTCGCTTGGCTCCGAGCTTCGAGAAAGCTGCAGAGACGATCTCACAAGGAGACTTGAAAGAAAAAGTTCATTTGATTAAGGTAAGGCATGCCGAACGTGGAGTCTACGATATCCTTATATACTTATTCCTTGGCCTAATCTGCTCGAGAGATTTTTGTAAATAGTCCAATAGCATTGAGGATTTACGAAAAACATTTGAGAGGCGACAATTTCCCAAAAACGAAAGCATATGTTCCTCAGTTCTTAGTCAAAGAGTGTTATAACCGCTCTAGACTATAATAACCATTTTACCTGGTTTTTTAGATCCAATGTGACAGCGAAAAAGGAGCGGCAATATGTGCAGCTAATAAAATAGAAGGATTTCCTACTCTCAATGTCTATAATAAAGGAAAGAAACTTGAGCAATACGTTGGTGGAAGACAACCAGGTGAGGGGACATTGAGCACACTGGGGACTGATTAACACCCGGGAAATTAACCCCAGGACCGGCACTGACGTAGAGTTCATCCAACCTCGAACCCAGGCAGTTTATCCACACACAGTTCACACTGGACTGGCTGGACAAATTCAGGATTCAACAATTCAGACGTTTTACGCGTTTTTACCATCTGAATGCCAGAACTAGGCGAAACTATTTATTTTCACCCAGATTGTGATTATAGCCTTCAGTTAATGCGCGTTAAGACATTTCTATCTTCTGTTTCAAGGTGACATCGTCGAGTACGTGCAAAAAGTTGTGAAGACAAAAAAAGCTCAATTTACCGGGAAACAAAAGAACGATCAACTGGTTTGCCTGGCCAAGGACTTCAAGAAATATGCAGCCCAAAAATCGTCGTGAAAGACCTAGTCGAACAATAAATTTGAGCGTGACGCGCATGTACGTGACGTGTTACGTTTTGAAATGTATTTTTTAAACTAAAAACGAAGAGATTTTCATCATTCACGCATTGCTGCATTGTATCTCTGAAAATAGAAAGCAACGGGTAATTCTCGTACCCAGGGAGTGCCTCAGCTTAATAATGGCCTTGAAGATGGCGGCCAAATAACTCTCAGTTATCGCTCCAGTCTTTATCGAGTTCACTAGCACAAAATCCATGTTATTCGCCCCCCCCCACCGTGATTTCGCCCCCCCCACCGGTATTTCGTCATTCCTGCTATTCCAACTGTAAAGTTGAATCCTACAATTTCCAGTATTCAGTAAACTTTTCCACAGATAAAGAGAATGCTTTAGGATTATTTTATATAATTAGCAACCTCAAGTTTACACAGGCAGTTAATCCTATCATATTACAATTTTAAACCCGCACAATATAAGCCATTTCATTACAACACTACATCAAGTATCTCCTGGTCTATAGCGCCGTGTCCTGAGTTCGATTGCTTCACAATTTATCGAGGTATTTATCAAGCGGTGGGATGCCTTCATTTAGACCCTTTCTTTTTCTCGTGTCCACAATAACCTTTCCAGGCCTGGATGTTGGATCAGAGATATCACCAGGCAGTGTTTGCCAATGATCAAACACACATTGAGGGAACGCCTGACCTCCGGTGTTGGAACGAAGATCTGCCGTGAATCCTACAAACACAACATATTTACATTAAACACAGAACACAGGAAACTAATAACTGTAGTTGCATAGATCATAATCTTACCTTTTTTACTAAACTTACGCGTTTAAGACTCAAATTGAGAAGCATAGCTACGAAAATATTAGCGCGAAGCTGGACAATAAAAACGTGAAACCTTTTCAGAAATTGCTATACAACAAGCCGCCATTTTTCAGCTTTCGCGCTCCAGTAATTTAAAGTTCAGCTATAAAATTTCTGCACCTAATAGAATATCTTCAACCGCTCCAGTTATTATTTATATAGAGCTCAACTCATCACACACGTGACTGAGCGACAAATACCAATTAGATAATTTGTTGGTACTCACCGAACGATTCGTTTACGGGAAGATACGACTTGACCACAAACATTGGAGTTCCAGCGACTTGCATCTCTTCAAACACATGACCACGACGACGGTTTAACACACCATAAATACCTCCAACAGCATTTTCAGGACACTAAAATATCCATATTTTACATAAGGTTATGTATAAGCATTTAAAAATTTTTATTGCGTTTTTTGCGCGGTTAATTTGCGAGGTCATAATGACGTCAAACACGAACAGCCTAATGGTACACGAAGTTTTATTGGTGGTTAGTTTTGCGGAGCCAATGGAACTTCATGTCACATCAGACCTTTGCGTTCGACGTCATTATCAGAAAGGTATTATACGTATCACGTACCTGAATCTCACACAAGTATACAGGTTCAAGAAGACCTGGACTGGCTGTCAAGACACAAGCGTAAATACATCTTCTAGCAGTCGGCATGATCTGGCCAGCTCCACGATGAATGGCGTCAGCATGGAGAGTGACATCATGGATGTTAAATCTCACACCACGCAAATTTTCTTCACACAACGGTCCCTCCTTGGACGCCCATTGAAAGCCGCCGATCACGCTGTCCTTAATCTCGTTCAAGTATTGCACTCCCTTTGAGACATCAATGACCATGTTCGGACCGCTGGTCTCTGGTCCAAAGCACCAGATCTTACGGGCTTCCGTCACATCAAATTCGAATTTTTCGGCCAAAAGTCGGGCACGTGCTTTGATGTCCTGACTTGGGTAAACATCACCTGTTTGTAAACAATAATATCAATAAGAAGAAGGGCAAAATGGTAGTAAAAATGAGCAACCACGCTTGAATATAAAAATAATGTTTCCTTCGTTTGCAGTGAATAAGTGTTAATTAATAACCTTGATCAATAGCTTCTGGTAAGCCATCTGGAAGCGGTGCGGCAACCATAAACAATCTGTTGTGTTTGTTGGGTGATTTTGATAAACAAGTTTGACTGGACTCGGCTGTGACAGTCTCACGATACGACACGACAGGATCTGATTTCTTCAACGGAATACACGCATGATCTTCTTCCAAATCTTTCAGGCAAATCTCGAGATGGAGTTCTCCAGCGCCAGCAACAATATGTTCACCGCTTTCCTCGATTAAACACTGCACAAAAACACGAAACACAATGTCATTTGTTGCCGGAAACACCGAGTATTTTAATAAAATATAAACAGAATAACTCTGAGTTAAATTTTGTATTCTAAATGAATTTTGTATTCTTTACGACTGAACTTAGTCATCATCTTGACAGATTTAAATTCAATCTAAATCTCTCAAGCAGAATTACTGATACTGCGCGTTTGTGTTTGGAGATCTGAATACTGCATATTACCTGAACCATAGGATCAGATTTGGCAAGTCTCTTTAAACCTTCTACCAGTTTAGGCAAGTCAGCTGGGTTCTTTGGCTCAACAGCAACACGGACAACTGGTGATACACTGAATTTCATAACCTGAAACATACATTACAAAAAATCAATCTCTCTTTGCCCCAAAGTTCAATTCAGGAAGAAAAGAGGACTCTCAGCTTGCATGTTTTAAATTCTTTGAATATTATTACAAAAAAGAATTTCTATTTTGAGAATAAAGAACCCTCTTCCTAAACTTTCCATTTCATTTTAAAAGAAACTGCTGAAAACAAAGGTGTTTTCAGCTGGTTTTTACCACATACCTTTAAGTTATGTGCCTCAGCAAAAGTTGTGATTGTTCCAGTTTTAACAAGATATTGATCAACTCCGACAAGTCCAACAATATTACCACATGGGACGTCCTCAATTGGCTCAATGTAACGACCCATCATCAAGATAGTTCTACAAAAAAAATTAAAAGAATATTGTTGGAAGAATGAATCTATTTACACTTGTAACAACATTCCATGTCATGACATAAGCGTTAACCATCATAACCACAAGCACATGAAACTGTACCTCTGAATAGGCTTCTGGTAGAGATCTTCCTTCTTTCCTGGCACATAATGTGGTCCCATAATTCTAACTTTCTGTCCCGTTGACACAATTCCAGAGAAAACACGCCCGAAAGCATAGAAACGACCTTTGTCGTTGGTGGGTACCATCTTGGATACGTACATACACAATGGTGCCTGAAAAAAACCATTAAAATTTTAGACAACAGAAGTTGGATTGCCTGACCAAATTTGATCAACTCTCACATCTACAATGCCACAAAAAATAGCAACTTACTTTGGGGTCACAATTCTTGATACCCAACGCAACTTCGTCATCATGAGGACCTTCATACAACATTTCCATACGGTACTTCTGCGCAGTGACGGGTGATGGTAAATGAATGGTTATCATCTGAAGTAAAGCGTCACCAGCCTGGAGCCAAGTTCTCATGACCGCTTTCAACAATGGCTTGCCTTCTTTGTCCTGATTGTGAAAATATCAAGTGTTTAGATTAAACTGGCCAGCAGAAGACAATGTGTCATGCTTTAGACTAACCAACATATTGTACTTATCTATACTTATATGACCCAATAACCCATAAAATGAGATTCTTTTCTTTTATAATAACTTTTTACCACACTTTGTATCAAGTCTTTGTAGACTCACCTTATCTTCCCCAACAAGTTTGACATTCAACTTTTCAAGAAGTTTGCTTGTTTCCTCTTTCTTGAAGTTCATAATTGCATCAAAAACCTTCAGAACAAAGTACACAGAGATTCTAGGACTTTGCTGACTTAATCATAAAGGCAACAACACAACAAGTGTTGAAAAGAACATGGAATATTTTCAAATTGTTTAGACAATTCAATATCATACCTTGTAAATTGGATCCAAGATGAACTGATTGAAACCCCGGACATAACCGTCAGAATACGTCTTAGCCCACTTCTTTTCCTTGGCATTGTAGAATTGATCGCCCCACAATCGCTTCATCAACTTGGCAGGCTCGATTTTGAATTTAGCTGAGTAAAACTCTGCAAATTGTTTCATGGTGAAAGCCCAGCCATGAAGTCCTGATCCAAAACCAACGGTACCTTTGGTTGGATCAACCTGAAGACAAAATAGCATAACATATTTACAATATTACTTGTGACAATGAATCACCAATAAACATTTGATAGGAAATAGTGAGTATGAAAAGGATTTATTTTTTACAACTGGTGTAACATAAGCTTTTTGAATGGTACCTGAATATTCCCCATAGGTCCATCTTCGGTACTGTACGTGGCAATGATTACATTCACACTCTCAACTATACGCTGGAAGGTCTGGTAAAGATCTTCTTGTTCCAACTGCAACTCCAACAAAGCACGGTCCATTTTGTTCATGAACAAAACTGGTTTGATCCTTTCCGCAATTGCCTGACGTAAGACAGTCTCAGTTTGCACACACACACCTGAAAACATTGAATCAACATTGATGAAAACTATAACTTACAAAGGATCTTGTAGAATAGCATTCACATATGCAAAACTTACCACTAACACAATCAACAACAACTAAAGCTCCGTCAGTCACACGTAGAGCAGCAGTGACTTCAGAGGAGAAATCAACGTGGCCAGGGGAGTCAATCAGATTAATCAAGAAACCATTGCCATCTTTTTCCTGTTCAATATATCCCATGTCTTTCTCAGCCAATTCATAATACATGGAAATAGCCCTGAATTTATGAGAAACAAACCAGGTATATCAGGTTCTTTACTAGTAAACAATTTATTTTTAAACACAAACATGAAATAAAGGATATTCTGTTTTGAAAACCCTATTTTTCATTGTAAAAAGCAAGAACATACGTACGTGGACTTAATTGTGATACATCGTTCTTGCTCATCCTTTCTTGTGTCAGTAAATCTGGCCTCCCCAGCTTTTTGGGAAGCAATGATACCAGCTTTACTCACAAGGGAGTCAGTTAGGGTTGATTTGCCATGGTCCACATGAGCAATAACCGACATGTTCCGGATGTTGGCTTTTTTGTCCATGATCGCACGGATCTACAGTGAAAATATTTAAACTGTTGGTGAATGGTAAGATTTGTGGTCACCAAGTCTAATTTAGTTCTGAACTATTTGTAAGTTAACACACGGCAAAGAACCTCGGTCTACTAATTTACATTGTGAATATTCTTGAGAAGGGCTTAAATTGCAGTGATTAATTTTCAACAGAATCTTTGTCACAGGCACTTAATTAAGCCTATTAATAATTTTAAACACAAACTTTTTGCACAAAACTTCATGCAATATTCACAATGCCAAAATGATCCCAATCTCATGCTGGACCTGGCATGTGTAGTGCCTGAAACATGCTACTAAACAATCCTGGACAGCAAACAGCAGCCAACCACACCATATTACTTGTACACCACTCAGACTAACCAATTTTAATATTGATACAAATGGGCCATTATTTTTAAAAAGTAAAAAAACCTGTACATTTTAAATCTACAGTACAAAATAGTTTTTCAAATGATTTCATGTTTAAACGACTAGTAATACTTAGTTACTCGGATATTATAATACTCGGATTGCACCACTGGCATATACGTAAGCATATACTATTTTTTTCAATGAGATAAATTCAATATTTATCGTGAATATGGCTATAAAAATGAATAAAATTAAAAGATTTTCTGACCTGGTCCACTGTAAAGTTCACCTATAACAAATAAAAACAAATCTACGTTAAAATTGGCTAAAAGGAGCACTAAAGTTCAACTGATTTATCATGAATGGATACTTGGACAAATTTACGAATCAATGCGCGACTTTCAAGTCGTATTTTTCATGTTTTACGGTGGCGAAGCCTTGAAAATATTGGTGATATAATACGGACAAGCCATCAATGATGTTTGATCGTTATAGATTGTAACAGGATGTATAATCTTACCATTTTTATTTCTTGGTTAAGTTCCCTGAGTCAACTTTCGAACTAACCAAAACGGAGAACAAATGTAAAAGAGGCTTCGAGAGACGACGTCTGCGCACGTAAACGGAAGCGATGTTTACGTTCACTCCAGCAATATATAGAGAGATCTTGACGCAATTTATTCTGTTTCTGGCACGCGCAATGATGATGAGACGTGCAGAGTGAAAATGCACATGCGCGTTCTGAGGGAAACGGGGTTTAGTGCACTGGACGTAGTGGAATAAGTGAACCAAAAGTAATCAATCCATTTCAGATGAGCTTACGAAACTTTAATCCCGGCAGCCTATACTACTTGCTAAGAATTTAAAATAGTCTTAATTTAAGTATACTTGTTACATGGAGCAAAAATAAAATATATGCAACTAATTACACTTCACGACAGTTCGAACAACAGCTTCAATGTACTCTCTTAAATACCCCTTGATTGCTCTTATTTCAAAGTAAATGTACGCAAGCGTATTGTGTTCGTCGAACGAGCATGCTTCTTGTGACAAGTCCACTGACATCAAAGAACGCTGGCTCCAGTATCTTACCCAAACCATGAGGTGAAACTCTTGTATGTTGAAGATGACTTCATGCCTTCTTTGTTCATCTGTAATACAACTGCTATGGGTATAATCACCAGTGCTAGCAATAAGAATATAAATAGCACAGACAGGGCTGTTTTTCCGTCGTTCTCAGGCTTCGCGCTCTCTCTCATCATCGCGCCAACATCAGCAACTGGGCCGTTCTCAGTTCCAGTCCTCGTCGAGCCATCGGTTACTTCAACGTTGGTGTGCGAGTGGTTTTGTTCCTCGGGCGGGACATCCGGAATATGCTCGGTCTCGAATTCCTTCAGGGGGTCTGCGCCCGACGATGTACTTGCTGAACTACCACCGGTGGGAGTATCTGCTGAATTTCGGTTGTTGTTCGCGGTTTCAGAAGGTTTCTTCGACCCGGCATCTTGTCTACTCGAGATTCGAATACTTGGCGTTCTAGAAATGGCAAATATGTACAATGTTACACTATTAGCAAACTCTGGTATGACTTTCTACTTTTGACAGATGAAACAGAGCGAGTTAGTCACGAATGTTCTGATACATTTGTTCTCGTAAACGAGCACTCGTAACTTTTCACTTATTCACATCTATCAAAAAAGGAAATCGCAGCTAAGATCGCAACAAAAAATGCAAGTGTCATTTCAGAACTGACCAATACTGATGCACGTGCGTTTCTCGTGAATAAGCGTCACTACTGTATGTCCAGAAAGAGTAACAAATATTTCGACTATATTACCTTTTTATCTCGGGGTTAGGACGTTGGATACTGAGACTATCTTTAATAACCTCGTTTTGAGTTCGTCCACTAAAAGATAAACACAACTAAACGATAAAAAACAGTTATTTTCTTCTACACAGATTCGTTGATTCTACGTGCCATCACAAATGCACAACGTACCAACATACTAACCTGTATTGATATCTCGAGTGGCGCTTAAAGAATCGCTGTGGCGACAAACTAGAGGTTCTTCGCACCTTCGGCTTTATCTCGTTACTAAATGAAACAGCACGGGCAATAAGCAAAGAACAAATGACCATAGTATGTAGCTATGACAAGATTGTGGTGACAAAGTCTTAAGAATAACGGTGCATTAAGCATCAGATCTGGTATAACAACTGACTGTACCTGTAAAACGTGTGATGTTCAATAGCACATTTCCATAAATGCTTGCAAGCCCCGTGGTCTGGTAGACGGAATCCGTAGTTCGCCTTGCGCTGAAAAATACAAAGTTAACACATTAACTCGCAGTACTTACGTATTTTTCCATTGAAGAGGAAAATAGTAAAGTGCAGTGAGTGTTTAATTTCTAGATATTCTGTTCACACGTAGCATATCTCACCTCTTCCTTCTGAATTTGAACATAAAATACTTTACTATCATAGGAGACCTTTAGAACATCAGCCCTGGAAGAACATTGAAAACCCGGCGTGTGAGAAATGCGTGTGAGAAAGGTGATGTTGATATTTGATGACCCATGCCTTACTTACCAAGGAAAACCAGAGACTTTCTTCGCTTCACGAATAATGGCAATTCCTTCTGGTGTGAGCCCCAAATACAACTGTACTCCTTCTTGATCCTGTAAATAAAAATAGTTAAAAGACCATTTTACATTGAAGTCTTACTTGAGGCAGCACAAAAGTATTTGTGACTTGTTTCATATTGGAGTCTGCGACACTCTTTCTCTTCATAAGCAGCCTACCTTGCATGGATGAGGGTCAACTCCATACATTTCCAACAATTTAACTTTATCAAGGAAATCCTTTTCACAATCAGACGGTGTAAGACCACTATAGCAAGAAGAAATTCAGTCAAATGAAAGTCTGTACAGGAATCCAAATTCAGTATTGGTAGAAAGATCAAGTACCTTAAGTTCCTGTGATTTTCTGCAATCTTAGCCTCGAGCTTCTCATTCTACAAGTCATACATGTTGCTTAGTTACAGTAATAAGCTCACAAAATCCCAAATAATCAGTTTTAGTCAATTTATGTTTGAACAAAATACCTGTTTAGGTACAACTCTAAACTCAGACAAATATCCATCTTTGTGATCCTCAGGATCATAGTCACCAAGTTCATCTGGGAAACACAAGAAACCATGCATTATGAATCATTGTCATTATCACAAAACATTCCCTTAACACTCTGCATCTTTATATTAAACTACCACCATGAACCTTGAACATTACCTTGAACAATGTATCCACCAAGGTCTGCCAAATCATTGAATGAACATAACAGCCTAAGGTCAAAGGATGCAAGTAAAATCAGCTTAATTTGCCAATAACGAGCCTATTATCACATCTGCATGAGGCAGCCTGCATTTTGCAACCAAACTATGCCCTACCGTCCATGAAGTATATCTCTTTTAACTTGCACAAATATATGATATCGTGTTATTTCTTCAACAATCTTTCCTGGATCTTGGGGATAAAATTTCACTCGAAAGAAGAGAGTGTAAGGAGGTTTTGCTGAAATGAAATAATGTACTGATTTAGGTTCATTTCAATTTCAATTTCTATTTTATGGGAGATAAAAATAGGTTGCCATTTACAGCACCTTTATTGTTTGCTGTTGAACTTTGAGAAAGAACTTTCCCATCATCAGAAACATTTAGGTTTGAGAATAGCTTTGAGAATGGCATATACAATAGTAAAAAACTCACATTTCATTTGCTTGATAAGGCCTTTGTTGAGGTCTAGCCAGTGCTGAAAGAGCAAACATTGTTAATCACTGAATATTCTGTTTACATTTACGACTTGACTTTATGTGGTATTGGTGTCTAATCAAGGTAAAAACCAACCCTTTGTTTGTCTGTATCAACATAACGAAGGCCAAAGTAATCCTTTTCTAAAAGATCAAGTTCCTTGCAGCACTGATCAAAAACAACCTGACCTTTGGAGTCTCTCTGCAAAAAAGGCACACAATTTAGAGTTAGGTCCAGATGCCAAGGGATGTGATGCAAATCAGATGCTGAGAAAATTGTGGGGAAACATATTCAAAAGATAATAATCCACAGCTATTTTAAGTGAACCCACTCATCAGGATGATAAAGTGTTCTTAACAGGTGTTTTAGACACAAATGACAAGTGTGTGAAAAAGAGATGTGGGATGTTTTGGCATTTATTTATTAATTTGAAATAGACTTGGCCAAGTCTATAGAAAGATATCACACACACACATGCATGCACAAGACAAGAGTATGATCCATATGCATTATATCATACAAGCCCATGTGAGCTTATATTATATAATGCCATAACACATTGATATTAGCAGCCTTTTGCCTTTTAAGTCTTTTCCACTACAAACAGCTAAACTTATACTTTCCAAAATTTAGAGTTTGTGATATGCTAAACAAATCAGCAGGAGGCAAGCTTTTTAATAACATTAGCCTTTGAAACCAACAACTTTCATTAAATTTTTTTACAATTATATTAAATTTTCCCATTTTTCATGAATAAATATAAAATACCTGATATTATGTTTGCCATGGCAAGCATTTTGAGGGCAAATTTGGCATGGTCTGCAAGTACCACCAGGATCCAGGGTGAAATTTGAGATATTTCAAACAGTATAACATGTTTCTGTTTAATTTTTTCGAAGATTTCTGAATCTCATTCATAATTAACTAAATCTGATCTCTCTCGGCTGTCATACTTGACTAAATGCTGCTTGGGCAATAAATTTAAAATATATATCGTTTAAAATATTTTACCTCTATTTATTTTTTAAACGCTATAAGGTCTGACGTAACTTTGCAGCGTCAATTGAAATATTTTGCATGAATTTGTCGATTGAATAAATGATAGAATGCGTTCAAATATATACTTGATTTCCCCCGGCTTGACTACTTGATCTGATCAAGGTAAACAAACGCCAAGTAGCAAAACTGACAAATATTTTTAGGTACTTAATAGACGAAGAAGGAAGCAAATAATACTGAATTAGCTAGATCAGGTCGAATTATTACTTAAGATATCTGACTCTAACATGATCTTTTACGGCGATTTCAAAATTATCTTTGAAGCGATGCTGACCTCTGTTGCGAAAGGATACTGTAGATAATTTTACATTTGATCTTGTGACTTCTAAAAATACTTGTTTATTGACGATCCAAGTGCTGGATCGTTGAACAAAGCATTCTTTTGTAATCTAGTATACTGCATAGACCTCTTATCGATCTTTTCTAATACACAGACACCGCGAAAACGCCTGCCAACAATAATATTCATAAACTATGCTCTCTGGTCGATTACGACATGCATGTAATCCTAGTAATGTTTTGCAGCATTCCTACCTTGAATTCACACGATATTTCTGAGTCATCGAGTAATCGAATTTTGCAATAACAATCCGTTTCGATGATCCCTTTACTTCCAGAGCGTCTCATCGTAAAATATCGTGAGAAAAAGCCAAATACATGTAGTTTTCGTCCAAGTTTATCTTGACAGAGTCACAGAGTTGAGTTTGAAAAGCTGCAAGCGGTGAATTGTTACGTCACTAATTGGGCATGCTCCACTTACCCACCCCTCTCTTGGTACGGTACAATTACCCAAGAATTTTATATATTATATCTTTTTGGTTGCATTTCTTTCCCTAAAGAAAGGATTATTTAAATAATTTACTCTTAAAACGATATAATGTACTGTTCTCGACGTAAATTCGTGCATATCACGATGTCAGAAGACGATATATTATATATTGCGCAAGACTAAACTATCCCTACCCTTACCAACTAGGGAATTATTTTTATGTACATTGAACTTTACTGCACAATTCTCTGAAATGACCTCTCCTCTTTCTTGCCAGATGTTTGTGATTTGCGAAACTTGTTTGAGGATAGGCCAATTCCCTGGACTGAAGAGTTTTTGGCATTTTAGTTATGCAGAAGGTAGTTTGTTTAACCGGCGGTTGGCACGCCATATGGTTACTTGAATACCATCATTTGTTGGTGGAGCACAGCGCAAAACTCGAGCGCAACGACATGAATAAATCGAAATTCATGCGGAAATCCTGCAGTGTTCAAACTGCGAGTACTCAATGCGGAGACGAATCAAGCCAATAAATAAGCACGTTAGGCCCTTGAGAAAACCCTGAGATTAAAACGATTAAATGGAAACCTGGCTCTATCCATTTATGCGTCGCAATTTAATCAAATTTACTCTAATTTCGCAGCTCAAATTCACCAGGTAAAAAGGTCATAAAAATGAAAAAAAAAGAATTGCTTTTGTAGAAAAATGTGTATGGACTTTTGGTCAGTTTCGCTGATAGCAGACTTAACGGCGAGAGTTCACGCGTGATTTTTTATGATTTTATTTCGTATCTACCCTTCCTTCTTATTTACATTTTCACATTAATTGGATGAAAGTTGACCTGCACCACTTAACAAAGTGTTACGTTAATGAAATTAGCTACCAAATGTCCGCTTTCTGGAATGATTAAAATTTAAAATATGGTTGTACGAATAGCAAGGTCAACTGAAAGTACATGCTTATGGTTTTTGTTACAATTATGTAGGAAAATTATTACATTCTTTATTGCAAATTGCACATGTACCATACTCTTGTAGCCCAGCATAAAAACCGAATACAAAATCGAGGTTACTTCCCTATATACTGGTACACGCATTGATAACGGAAAATAAATAAAAACAACTATAATCTTTATAATCCAGACAGTCTAAAACTAATAAAATACTAATCAGCATAAAATTCTTCTTTAAATGGGCACCAGCTAATGCTTTAGTCCAATGGAATTACGATGATTTAAAAATCAATCAGTCACCACTGCGAGTCGGCGAAGTGGTCAATTTGATCGCTCGCAAGAGCTGGCGACAGGCTAACTTTAAGGAATTTATGTTTGGCATATTTGTTCGCAACTGCGGTCAGCTTTGAGTCCTTGTTCTTCGCTTTCATCACCAACTGCGCAAGACGTCGGACGCAAGGTTTTAGGGCGCGCTCCGTGTACGAACTGTAATGTTCTAACGTTGAATCCTAGGGAAAAACGAAATTAATTTTAACAACACAACTCAACTGTAAAAATATTAGCTTTTATGCACCCGGACATGTAACCTCTTATGCACCCCCCTGCAGGATACCCCTTTATCCAAGTAATTGTGGTTTGACAATTCATACCTTCCTCTAATTTGAAGGATGGTCAACTATAGTAATTTATAGAGAGTAGGTTTCAGTAAATTACAGCACTGTTGGAAAATCTCTACACTTACCCAGTCCTGTTTGTCAAGAAGTTTCAAAGATAGATATAAAGCACTTGCAGCCTTCAAAGATGGAAGAAACTTTACTGAATCATAGTCAACCAGCATCAATTCCATGAAAAACTTTGCCATTGTGTGCGTTTCAGAACGAGACTATACAAGAAGAAATAGTGAAAACTTAGAGACTGCCCTGGAACTAAATTCAACTCAAAACACTTAAGATATAGAACCAGGTAACTTACAACAGCAGCTTTGGAATTTCTCCTCAAAAAGTGAAGACACAGGGGATCACCAAGTTGGTAGTCTAAGGCTTCAAACATCTTGGATTCAGTCTTGCGGATGGTGCATTTGTCATAGGCTTGATCTGTTATGTAAACAAAGTCTCCAATCTCTGGAGCATACATTTCCTCATACTTTGAAGCCAAGAGCATTGCAGTCACCCCAATTAACTGGAGTTCACTTCTCAGCACAGTTTCTCTCTGTAAAATGTCAGTGAATTGTTGTATGTTTAATGGATGCAATCATGAAAAATCAAGTCCTTGATACAAAACTGGTGCTTACAGCTAAATATCTGTCAACGAAGGAAACAGTCAGGTAAAGAGTTTCTTGGAGAAGACGAAACTTTTCATGAACTTGTACGAGCCAGTCAACAAGGATTGACCGCATTCTTGCATTTATTTCTTTCTGATCGTTCATGTAATCATGGATGATAAAATTTCTCTAAAAGAGAAAGCAACAATAATCACATAAAATGCACAAAATTAGGACTGATCTTTCAGCTCCACAGTGGGAGTTGAAAAGCAAGATCTTATGGTTTACAACCTTCATCCCAGTAACCTTAGACTGCACAGCTTGGTTAAATATTTTAATGCAACAGGGCATGCAATAGACACACCACTTTTGGTCATTTAAATGACATAATCCAAAATTACCTCGTATTCCAATAAGTAGCGATAGATTTCATTCGCATATTCAGCACATAACTGCGGGTTTTCGTGATCATCAGCATCAATATCTGTGATTTCACAATGTTTCATTGCTTTCGAGACCTGTTCAACGACACCATCCATGTCCATGGGCTCCGTGATTCTCAAGGGGACGCTTTCCTTCTTCTCGACATTTTTTAACTCTGCTTTTGGCAACAACGATGTTGTCGACTTGGATTTGTGAAGAGGTCGACGTGTGTGAATGTTTAGCTCTTTTTGAGTGCGTGTAACAACCTACAGGGACAACCTATTGTTGAAATGTTTTGCGAGAATTTTGCGCAGCAAATTTTTTGAATAAAAAAACAAAACTGACCTTTCCATCGTGAATTGATGTCCCAACATTATTTCCAATATCACCAAGGGTTGCCCTAGTCGCGCGTTGAGCAGCGCCTTTGCCTCGCATCCCGATATTATTTTCTCGGTTATTTCCTTCTGAAATAGTCGAAAGAACCTGAAGAAAAAGCACGAAGCATGAGATTTGTCCACAATCATAACACAAACAATTCGTTCGTTCGAGAATCGATATACGGTACGGGTACTTACATTTCCAAATCGTCTTTGCGCCATTTTCGTTCCTTTTTAGATAGATAAAACTACAGAAATTACTCCGAGAGTTAGCAAAGGATGCCTTTGATACGATAAACTAGAGATCGTCCTTCTTTACAGCACAGAATATAATAAATTTCAACCTTTTTTTCACCACTTCGACACTGCTTTTAAATTCATTCACATCACACGAGGCTTTTTGAATTCTGCACCTCGACCTCTGATTGGTTGATCTTGTAGTCGTCACATGACAAAAGGAACGACTTTATTTCATTACTGAGGAGGGAGGGGTGAGGAAAAAATTAATCCATACGGTCGTTTGCACATTGCATCTAACGATGAACGGTTGCAGGAAACTCGCCATTATTTTTTTATAAAGAGTACATAATACATAAAAAAACGTACATGTCGTTTCTATATATAAATAATAAATAGGAATAAACTATAAATTAGTTCACTGTTCAGATTAATAATCTATTAGAAGTTGGAACGTAAAAATTTCAAGCTTTCCACAAATGATTTTACAAACACCATTCATAGTGGAAGAATAGACTATAATCATCAAATTTAGGTCTGTGGCTTCATCTGTGGCTTCGTACGGCAAACTATCATTGTTTCAACACATGATCAATGCACTATACCACAAGAAAAAGAGGATTTTTGACTTATGAACGAGACAGAGTTAGTTATAAAAGCCTTTTTTCAGTTTCCCTGGATAATCTTGCGAAGTTTTTCTGCATCTTCTTGTAAGTTAACATTCTTTGGATCCAGCTTTATTGCTGATTCGTAATCCATAAGACCTGAAATTCAAAGAATTAGGTTAGTTTAGTTCTTTCTGCTTTTTATAAATGCATTAATATGAGAAGAGTGTTCAACTAGGCTTGTTGATTTGCCGAAAAAATAAGTTACATGATCGAAATAGACAAATATAAAATTTTCTACAAGGATCCTCGTACTTTATAAATATGGACGGATCATCGCAGACGTTCAACAACAACGTACTGTTGCAACATGTCATACATTACCTTCAACGTAGTTCTCCAGCTGAGCTTGAGCTGTGCCTCTTCTCACGAGCGCTTTGCATCTTGATAATGCGTTTGCTTGAACTGGCGGTGTTAGGAGCTCAAGAGCCTGTGAATAAGACAGCCAAATTAACTAATACTGCATATTCTATCTGGCTATAGTATTCTGAACTGTTCAATCAAGAGTTGCAGAAAGGATCATCGTCGCTTATTGAGGAGGAAACCTAAACTATAAACTAATTTTATTCATACAGAATATCTTCGTATCTATATCTAAAAACTTAGGTTACTTACACTGCTACAGTCTTGAATGCATTCCCTGTATTGCTTCATTTGAAGATGACACGCAGCACGATTGGAAAATAGTGTTTGACAGAATTAAGGACACATATATGCAATTGAAATGAAAAAGCACAAGTTATGAAAACCCACTGAAGAGAACCTCTGCGCTAGAGGCAGGCAATCAGTGGCTTATCTTTTGAGATAGTCATTGTTGATTTACATTGTACACGGATCGAATTCTGTCGTAGTCCAAGCGACACCAGCTCTAATCGCGTATCCAGAGCTAATTGTGCACGCACAGCTGGGAATATTTGGAAAGGATTTATCCTTTGGCTGGATTTTGAAAAGGATATGAAGGAATACTGCCATCAAGAACGATAGCGGCCGTGAAGGCATTTATAGCTGCAACAAAGTTTCCGCTTTTGTAGAATGAACTGCAAAAAAATTACAACAATTTTAGTGCAATTTTCTTCTTTTGATAGATGTGAACGACTGGACAGTTACGTGTACTCTGATATGTGAGTGCTGTTATTTGAATATCCGTAACTTATCAACTCATTCACATCTGTTGAAGGAAGAAAATTGCGAGTGTAATCAGACCTATAAATAAGCAGCTAAGAAGATAATAATCACCTTCCTTTGTCTTTTAGCCAAAGTGGGTTCATTTCCTCCATGTCGACTGCATCATTGTTGTCAGTTTTAGTTGTTCGACCTGCAGCGGCCATTTTCGCCAACCACTACAAAAAAACATGACAGTAAAATGGTCAGTACTAGTAGTTTGTTACAGAACAATTTTACTGTGGTTGGGTTATAAAGCTAATGCCAGTCTCACCTCTTCTTCCTCAGGAGCCTTGGACTCACGTGATGGAGTTTTGAATGGTCGATGTGAAAATGAAACTTGGATTGTTCCACTTGATCTGGGAGGAGGGACATCTTTCTTCTTCTTAACTAAAACAAAGAATTTAAAACTTGATTTATTTGGTTACCAGACAGCCCCCTTTAGAGAGGTGTTCTTTTCATCTATTGTGAGTCATGTTCAATTCTAAACCTCACCTTTTTTTGAGAACTTCTTTGGACTGTCATTTTTTGAAGGAATTTTTTTATCGACATTAGACTTTCCACCCTTGGGAGAATTTTCATGTTCATCATCCTCATCGTCAGCATGAATGTCATCATCATGGCTAAATATATCTCCATGGTGATTAGCTGAAGGATCTTGTCTTTGATTGGTTGAACCATTTTCTGTCATGATTTGTTCTGATTCTTGCTTCCATCTCTCCAAACTTTCAGCAGCATTTTTTCTGATATTCTCTTTTGCTTCTTCAATTTTTTTCTTTTCCTCCTCATCTTTCTGCAATCATATTTTAAACATGGATATAAAAGTAAGTTTCAAGCAGTTTAGACACACACTACAACAGCTAATCATAGAATACCAGCAAACACTGGCTAACTATTCAGTCTTACCTTCATCTGTTCTCTCAATGCAAACCTTTCCTGTTCTCGTTTCTCCTTTGCCTTTTGTTCAGCCAAAAGTTCAGCTTTTTTGTGTGAGTCTTCGACAGCCTTCTGACGAGCAGCTGCCATGAATTTCTTGTCCTCAACCCCGGATGCTTGTAAACTGTTCCATAATCCATGCTCACATTTTTCATACTTAAATTTGGCAAGACCACTTGATATAGTTGCTTTGCTGGCGCTTTCATTTATGTTCTCTTTGAGGTAGACTTCAAACATGTACGGCGGATAACTTACCTGGCAATTGTTGAAATTTATTATAGAATGCTGAATATATTTCCTTAGGAGCTGTTGATATAGACCTGTTTTACTTGTTATGGCTGATGAGTGATAAAATTGCAAAACCAACATATTTTAAGTGGACAAAGTGAAATATGAACAGTTTTATGCCACGCGAATCTAATACTTCGTTGCAATTTCAAGTGTCTTAGCTATTGATACGGCGTATTGTGTTAAGAAATTCAATATTTATACCATAATACTCTACATACTTTTAAATATTGCCCCGAAGAGAATATGTCAACTTTATTTGGAGCGACGCCTTTCAAAGGAAGGTCGATAAACACGTTCGTTTCTGTTTCTTCCCATGAGAAATCCTTCACAATAATCGGCATGGTGAAAGAATAACTACACTATTACTCTATCGCGGAATATCGGCGAGAAAAGATGCTTGAAACAAAACGATCTCCCTTTGTTATGAACGGAATGAAAAAAATTACAAAAAATGTCCGCCATCTTTAATTCCAAGACCAGGAACTGGACGCGAGGTTCCATGGTTACAAAGTAATCAATCAATCAAAATAAGCTCAAAAAAATCATTTATTTAATTTGTGATTTTCTGTACCATTTTTCCATTAAAACGGGGAGAGGGTTATGATCCATGGGGTAAAGTTGTGCCTTCTCCACAGTGACACAGTTCATATCATGTACGATGCCTGCCCGAAGTAGCAGTGCCTGTACAACATGTACCATGGTAGCTTCAGTCTTCAACTGTCTTCCTTGTCTGCTTTGCGCTTCTTTTTCTTCATAACTGTTATCTCACTATCCTTGCTCTCGAAGTTTTCAAGTCCGTTATTTGATGTTTCATCCGACATGTTACTTTCACCAGGTTTACATTTTCTTTTTCTTTTCGTCTTCTTCCCCGTATTTTCAGCATCATTTCTCCTAAATTGGATAGCAATCGCTTGTTATAAAACTACGACCTCTTCTCTCGGATGAAATGTTTTGTACACATCCAATGAAACCCATATATATTGTTGAGATACAAACCTCATAATCTCATCTTTCAAACGACTTATCAAATTCTTCAAATCATTAGCTCTTTCAGCTGTCTTGCTTTGAAAGGCAATGTCCAACGACTCTTCCATCTTTTTTTTCTCCAGCAAAGGCCATAGCTACAAAACATAGTTGAAATTTCACCAGGACTGAATGCTGTACATGCAAAAACCTTACTGAAATTTACTACTATCGCTCACCTCTGAGTCAGCTTTCAAAATCTTCACAAACTGCGATACCAGCTTCAAAATCTGTCTCAAATGTTTTGCTTTCATTTCAGCATGAGAAGATGAAAGTTGAAGGAATGTCTGAGCGTAGAGATGAAATTAGATATACTTCTAAGCTCTCAATACGGGTCAACGCTATGCATGTAGACTTAAACTTAATCAACTTACTGAATGAAAAGCTTCTTGCAATGGTTTTGCTATGGCTTTGATATTCTCGTTTTGACCATAGACCTTCAGAAAAAGCATACAACCAAAGTTAGGAGTGAATCTAAACTGCATCCTTTTCAATATCCAAGAAGATCTTTCCTCAAAGTGTTTACCTTTCTATTTAGAAGTTGAGATAACATCGTACACGCTTGTATCTAAAGGGAGACAGTATATCTCAACATAAAACTGGACTAAATTTAGAACTATTGTAGTGGTAATATACCGTGGAATATATGTACCTTTCGGAAATTATTAATGCCCTGTGTGATGTAGTTGACCAAGTCTTTGGCCAACCCCCAGCCGACTTTCTGAAATGATAAATAAACATTGACACATGCAAATGCAGATATCACGGAACCAACTGCAATAACATCAAGACTCACCGGGTATCTGTTTATCAGTTCTTGAAACAACAGCGGATGCAAGTGGGTGTTTCTGGGAGGAATGACAAAATATAGTTTACAAATCCAGATGTGTAACAAGTCGAACGACTCCATTATATTGCACAGAGCTCATGCTGTATACCTGTGTATCATAAAGTCTTTTAGAGCTTCGCTATACGCCGTTGAAACTCGTGAAAAATCCAGATGAACAAACTACACAATTCAAGAGTAAAACAGACATTTCGTTAGAGTTGCAATATTTTGAATGAATGAACTTGAAATATATACACTCGTTACGTCAATGATACAATCTCTGGTAAAATTACCTCGTTTCCCTGTTCATTATATTTCATTTTCTTTTGTTTCTCGTCTGATTCCTTCGCTCCGCGAAGATGACGGATCTAAAATTAACAGATTCAGGAGAATTATTCAAGTTTTAAAGTTTTGAATAAAAATAACCGTAAATACATTTGCTCATATTGATACAAAACACTGCAAACTTACCAGAAATAAACATCCTGTTGACATCAGCGTAACCATGGTGACAGAAGGAGCTGAAATGATGAAACAAGGAATAAAATGAAACCAATATTTGAAGGTATCTGTTGTATACATGAGTTAGGGATACAGGAAGAAGAGTCAAACAAAATCATAACAAACCTTTGATCGCCTGTTTCAAAAGGATTTCAATATTCGAGTGGACGCTTTCGACGTTTGAAGGAGAAAGTTTTGGATGCTGGAAAGTACAGAATTGTACATGTTATCCATCTTTGTTCGCAGAACGTGACATTGATAATCCATAAGCGTACCTCTTTAATTGCACACAATCTATTCTTGAATATCCCCTGTGCGCGCTCGCCCAGAGTTGTAAAATCTTTATTAGTTAAACATGTACGAATTATCTCTAATATTGGTTGCATCAATTCCTAGAAGATACCAGAAAACTGTAATAAATTTCTCCACTCTCGACAGCCAACACAGAATTCATCTCAATTTAAACTTATACCAACCAGTATCAGATCCGTAGATGGCTGTTTCTTAATGATAATCTCAACCAAATCCAAAACCCTAAATTTGGAGATGACAAAATAAAATGGTTGTACAGTAGCTACTAAAACGAGAAGGGCATATTCCAAAGAAACACAAATATTTTCCGCTGTTATGTGCTTTATACCTGAGTTTGAAATGCAGCAAAGATTTCTTGGCATCTAAACAAGAAGAAAACATTAATCAATGTCTGTTAGAGGTCTCAACTGCACCAGTGGCGTAGACTGGTCTTCAACTTCACTGAAATTCACCTTTCATTTTCTTCTTTTCTTGCTTCGCCGTAAGATGTTGTTTAAAAACTTCAGATAAAGCCTCGTCGAATTTCATCATTGCGTCATCATCAAGATCACTATCAGATTGTTCAGCCTCCTTTTCATCATCATCTTCATTCGCCAGAGCGTTTCCCAGAGCTGCTTGAAGATCAACTTTGAACAAAGGATCAACAGAATCCTTCGTGTCATCATCGTCATCATCATCATCACTGCTAGTCTCCTCTTCCTCAGATTCGTCATTATCACCCCCCTGGCAAAATAGCACAATCACGGTCATACAAATAGATTATACTTCATAGCAGGAACGGACACGGGGGGAGGGTGAACGTATTGGAAGAGGATGTATGTAGTGTCTGACCAAAGATAATCAACAAATCCGCCAACAGTAGTAGGCGGGGGGGGGAGCGGCGGGAATGGATGGGGGAAGGATGTAGCTCTACCTGTGAATCATCTTCATCGCCTGAAATCATTTCCTGGTCTTCATCATTCTCTGCAAAGAAACCCGTAATATGAGTCTCGTTAATGTAACTTCGTTGATCTGAATGATGATTTCAGCTATTTTCTCAGCTGTTCTACGCTTAAAACGTGTTAACAGATATTTCCTAAACTTGTACAATTCTTAAATTTGTTGAATACCTTCGATTTGAAGAGCGGAATCCTCGTTTAAACCATTTCTCGGATCAATTGCCTTAAAGGAAAAATGAATATTTCAACACATGCAGATTTCAAAGCAAAGAAATAACATTGTCTTGATGAGCTTTTGAACAGACCTCTAAAATAATTTTCACCGCAGATGATGTGAGATGTGTAACGATGATATTGAAGACTTGACCAACGACCAGACGACGAAGGTTTGATGTTTCTGTCAATAAACTGAGTAAGATCTCTGTCACTACATCCATCCAATGTGGCTCGTTTTCTGGTTGGAAAGATACAAATATTCCTTCAATTGGTACCGAGACCTGATCAATTAGAAGTGACATTCATTTGACTTTTCCCCTGCAACTATTCATTGAGGAGTTTACCTTGTGGCTTGTCAGATATTTGCGCCTTTACTTTATTAAAACAATGGAACAGCTCCTAAATTTAGAGGGTTAAAAATGATATTCAAATAGGCCAATTCACGCACGAGATTTATTTCATAAAGTACATAAATACCTCGAGTATCTCTTGAGCTTGCTGTGTCTCACCAAACAGTTGAACCCCAACGTAAAGAAACATCAGAGTGAAAGCACTGCTCTCAAGCGTCAAGTCAGTGGACTAAAAAAAGTGAAAACGCTTTAAAACTTCAATACTATACTTTTCTTCAAATGAAGGACACAAATATAGTTGATTGAAATTACATACCTTGTCTTCCAGCTTTCGAACAATCTTCATAGTTTTAATAAACACAGCTTGAACCTAAACGAAGCATAGAGTTCTCGTAAAAATGGTTGAAACTGCACGATGAAAATGATGATTGATTTGCCTTTAAAACGGCGATAAAGTAGCGTAGTCAAATATAGTAATATACCTCATCATTCCAGCTCTCTTCAATTACTTCTTTTTCTGGATTTCTCAAAAGATTCTAAAAATTGCAAGAAAGTCTTTCTTCATTGTAATTAAGGATTATTGTCATCAAAGAACTGTGGATAATTACAGCGTCTTTCCACAGTACCTTCGCGTGTTGCATAATGTGAGAAATCCACAAGCGGTCATCTTCTGCATAACCGAACTTTCTTGTCTGAACTTTGCTGGACACCTCTATAAGTTCACCACACACAAAACACAACCTCAAAACTAGTTCCAATCTGTTTCAACTTTAACTAGCAAACAGCATCATGCAATTTCTACCAACCTTTGCTCTTTACTTCAGTATGTTTTCCGGTAAGGGAGGCTAGTTCTCCTAGGATACTGTTGAAGCGCTGTTGACATAGAGAACGTGTTCGACTTGAAATGGCCGGCGAAATGGTTTGTACAAAATAAGCATTCTCAAAGACAAAGAAAACAGCGTCCAAAACCCACAACGAAGTATGTTCCAGTTGTTTACATCGCACCAATGAAAGAAACTATGAAAAAATGGAATATATTGCAGTATAACCAAGCATTTAAATATGCTTACTGACTACGACACAGCTATTAAACTTGATGAAAAAAATTATCCTAACATACCATTCCTAGAACTCCTTCTCTAGTTTTATCCACTTGACCAGGAACACTTGCCTTCTTCAAGTCAGATGTTCCAGCAATGAAGATTTCTTTTAACCATGAGACGAATGAAGGCAAGTCTTGTAATTGCAACTAAAATTCAATAATTTTTAGATGGTTATGAATGCCCTAACTTCACAGTTGTCAAGCCAATCTGATTTTACCTTTGAAAGAAGATTTTCAACAGTCTTCGTCTTTGTGACAGCATCAAAACAAATGTTACTATTTCTAGAAAGAGTGCATTGGAATTGACATATTTTGACACCTGCATTCACTAAAGTATTGTTAAAATGATATAACTATCTAGCTACCTTCCAAGAAGCTGTTTAAGTATTTGAGGAATTAGTTCCTGCTTCCCATTTACTATTATCATGTTGGCAAGTCCTTCAATCTGGAAATATATAAAACAAAAATATAATTTTTATGCTTCAAGTTAATAAACCAGCTTCATGTCAATGTCACTGAAAGAAATCTTACCATCTGTTTGATCGCAGGATATAAATAATTTGTGTCATGACCCAGAGAATTGAAAAGACAATGCATGAGTTGTGGACTAAAAACAATTGCAACCTTGAAAAAAGACCAAAAAGTAATTCTCAAAAAACCACAGCCAGAATTATATTGTAGAATATCCCTAACTCTGGATCAAAACAACATGTAAATTTCTACCTGTTCTGAGGAAAGTATTGGCAAAACCTTTTCCAGCACTTTGAAACCCATAAACTTTCTTTCATGAGAAGATTGGAAGAGATTTTCTAAAATTAAGGTTTAATTAATTAAAAAATATCACAATAAATTGAAAAAAGAGTTGCATATAATACCATCAACTACTGTCATCCAAAATTTCTCAAAATCAGATCTTGAAGAGTTCAGAACTAAATTAAGAACTTCGTCCCACACAATGTGAACTCTTGGATGTGAAGTGTGGGCATTCTGAAGAATATGAAAAGCACAAGGTAAAGTTGTTGTTTTATATATTTAATCTTGACAACAAAGCAGTTCCTAATAACCTGTAAAATTTTAGCAAAGAGTAAATAGTTATCGATAGCATCAAGATGGCAGCTTGCCCAAGATTTCTTGAATGTTTTTCTTCCAATATCATCCTAAAAACAACAAAATATCTGAGATGAAGTGGATGACCGTATCGATCCTTCATTCTTTACTCTTCTTTCTTACCTTGAACAATCTCCAACTGGCCAAAATAAGGACCAGGGAATCTGGAGTGCATTTTCCTGCGACACATTTTATTTCATTTTCCAAAATTGGCATAACATATTCTTCAAATTCACTAAAGTTCAACTTTAAAAAAAACATCATTTTGATATATATAAGTTTGATATTTCATCAGATTTTGTTAATATATAGTTTGACATTCCCTCTTTACCATTGTAATTATATCAACAATAGCTCTATAACATGTTTCCTGAAGATAGCTTTTCTTCGCCAACACCTCTTTTATTCGTTCAATCACAAGTTTTATGGAGGATCTTTGCAGTTTTTTCTGAGATAAAGAATTAGTTTTAGTTAACGAAAAGTCTTGGCAGCAATTGATATGACCAAACAAGATTTAACATACGTTGTTATTGTCTTTTGCAAGACAAATTGCTCTCCCAAGAGCAACCAGCCCAAAAATTTGACCAATATAAGCATCCCTTTCTTCCTTAAAAATAAGAAAGATCAGTTATAAGTTTGACTATAAGTTTGACTATAAGTTTGACTCCAACATTAACAACAAGGTTATATATACTGCACATGAAACATACCTGACTTGAGGATGTTTTTGTGACAGTTAATGACTCTTTAATCAAGTTTATGATATCATCAACAGTAATAGTATCAAACATCAAAACTATTTCAGTCAAAGCCATTGCAAAGCCTTGTCTTGCTGCCTTTCTAGATGAAGCTAAACCTTTAATAAGTCTTTTCAATGTATAGCTTAAGTCATCAAGCCTTTCTTCAGTGGTACTCTAGACAATAAGAAAGTGCAACCAGCAATGATATAGCTGATGCATGCTTTACAACTGTATGTAGTCTTTGACCCAACTTACATCATTCTCAATTGCCTGTTCGTTTTTTGGCGATCGTAGATACTGTATCAAGGTTACACCAGCATCAATACGTATCTTCTCATTCGTCGATGCCAGATCCCAAAAATGTGACAGCAATGTTTTCTCAGACATGATTTTATTTCAAAAACATTTCGACAACTTTACTATTTCGTGCAACTTTTCTGGACATAAACAAACGCATGCATGTGCCATGTGCTCACCCGACTCGTTTTTAGAAGCCCACGAATTTCATTATTCAGCAGTTTTTGACGTTACTTTATGTTAGCCTGAAGTACTGAGAAAGCTAAGAAAAGTACTCTTCTCCCTTGAAAGTTGTTGATACTTTCGTAATTGTTTGGTTAAATTTTGCCTGAACTGCAGAGGAAAGAATATTGTAAAGGACGAGGGTTTAAAATGCTTCATTTGAGACGAATCTCCAATCGGGTAAGAACGTGGGTGTAGTTAATTGGTCAGTCTTCTAAAGGCACAGGGGCTCCCCAGATTAATATCACCCTATGATAGCTTCCCCCCAAAATCCCTAAGGGGCATGCCTTTAACAAGACAATAGTGCCAAAAGATATGCCATTTAACAGTAGAACTATGATTGAGTTGCAGCAGGATATTAGATAGATTATTAGATTTGTTCATCTAATAAGGCAGAAGCCAACAAACCTCTGCCGAGCACCCAAGACAAATGACTGTAGGTGCTCGTTTCCAAACCATTATCTGCAGAGATGTGCTTCCCAGTGTTCACCAGCAATATTAATTCAGTGGTGTAACCAGCCGGACAATTTTGCCCTAGCTGCTATGCTGGTGTGCGCTGACTTTGAAAACAATATATTTCTAAAGAAATATAGTTATAATAACATAACCTTTTCACAGCAGGACCTTTGCAACTTTGCCAAGATTCCAGTGGTTAACTGCTGGGGCACCACAGCGATGTGATTCCTTGATCTAGAATCAGCTATATTATATTATTTTGTTGTCATGATTACTTGTTTTACTTTACAGCAAATAGGTCAACAGATCAGATGTATATCTCAATATTATGGCAAGAGGAGAGAGATGCCATCAAATACTGTGAGTGAGAGATCTGATGGTTACTGTAGATATGTATTTGACAAAATACAGAAATAGACATAGCATTTCAGTGAACAAATCAGCTTATTGATATTATGAAATCAGCCATAATTTGTAAATATTATCAGGTCATTAATTTTGTCCCCCAACAAGAAGCATGGGTCATTGAAAGATTTGGACGTTTTTCTCGCGTATTGGAACCTGTAAGTGATTGATATAGTTGCATCTAAAAACAATCAATTCAGAAAACTTAACTTAACATTGCAACATACAACTTCTTGAAATACAGGGACTTGCTATTCTCATTCCGTTGATTGAGCAAATCAAATATGTCCAAAGTCTGAAAGAAGTTGCGACAGAGGTTCCATCTCAATCGGCTATTACCTTAGGTGAGACACAATAGGATTTCCTGTTAAAAAAGAGCTCGCTTCAATTTCTGTAGTAAATATTGACTTGACAAAAGGGTCATTGTGGGTCAGAAATATTGTTGTATCTTCCAGACAATGTCACTCTTCAACTGGACGGTGTTTTGTATTACCGCGTAGAAGACCCTTATCAGGTAGACCATGGTTCATATTTTAGTCCAGCACAAATTAACCCATGCTTGCAAGCTATTTTTTACCGCTTTTCAGTTTTTATATTATATTTATTGCCTGTCAAACGACGTTTGCTATGTAGGCCTCTTATGGCGTGGAAGACTGTGAATACGCCGTCACACAACTCGCTCAAACTACGATGAGATCTGAGCTCGGTAGGACAGTCTTTTTCTGGTTCAAAATAGAGTTATAATGATTGTGTATTGACTCCGGTGAATCAATACAATCACACCATCGCAATATCAACATAGAGTTGTCCGTTATTGGCGCTGGCTTATACAAAACTTTCCTAATATTCACCCCTCTATTCACGGAACATTCTAGGAAAGATCACACTGGACAAAATCTTCCAGGAAAGAACTTCCTTGAATTCAAACATTGTCAGTATGTATGACTTTATATACCTGACTCGTTTTTTACCTCCTCTAAAGTAATCCTGTTTTCAACCACAAAATATTTTCATTTTTTCAAAGATGCGATCAGCGAGGCGGCCTCTGCCTGGGGAATAAAATGTCTACGATATGAAATACGTGAGCGATGTTCCAACAATTTTTGTAATTATGCATGTACAATGCGGCATTTTTAGATAATTCAAGCTATTTTTTTGTTTTTGATGTGCATATATTTCAGGCGATATTCAGCTGCCAAGCAAAGTAAAGGAAGCGATGCAGATGCAGGTAAATCTACCTATGAATACACGACACAAGGAACATTATAAATATTGAATTAAAATGCTCTGTTCATAGGTTGAAGCTGAGCGTAAAAAGAGAGCTGCGATTCTTGAGTCAGAAGGTAAAACGATTGGGATTTACAATATTAGAAATTGCGTTGCCGTCTTTGGTGGACGAGAGGACGGAAGAATCTACATTGGCTGGGCTGGCTTGCCTGCATAAGAAATCACATTTTAATATCTTCCAAGAAGAAACTCGAGTTTTTTCTCCAAAATCTGTCTCCAGTATATTCGGCAGTTTGAGTATTCAGAATTCATTGCGTTTTTTTTTCGTCTTAAAATGATTTCAAGGTAGCAAAGTCGCTGCAATCAACGTGGCCGAAGGTCAAAAACAAAGTCAGATTCTTGCTTCTGAAGGTCGTAAAACTGAGCAAATCAACACAGCAACTGGTGCGTGAGTGATGTTCGCATGCCATGTGTAAGAATAGGCACGCTATGTGTACGAGATGAGACATGTTAATGTTTCTATTTGCTCTTAACAGGCGAGGCAAATGCGATTCTCGCGAAGGCCAACGCAAGAGCGGAAGCCATCCTAAAAGTAGCCGAGTCTTTGTCGCTGAAGGTATTCATAGCAATGGTTTACTATCAACTTTCTGGTGTCCTTTAGTCATTTGCTTATCCACGCTTTTCTTCAGAGCGGTGACAATGCAGCAGCTTTAACTGTTGCAGAGCAGTATGTTCAAGCCTTTGGTAATCTCGCTAAGACCAGTAACACTGTGATACTTCCCGCTAACACTGGTGACGCAGCTTCGATGGTAGCCCAGGTATAATTCTGAATTAAATCGTGTATCATCTGGTGAATTCGGAAACATTTTCCGCAGTGGTGGATCCACTTCATCGAATGTTAATGCAAATATTTTATTAATGTTAATGCAAATATTATATTTTATTTTCCAGGCGATGGCCGTTTATAATCAGGTTTCAAAACCCACAACGCCTGACGATCCCGACGATCCTAGCGACCGTAAGATCAAGCCACATAGCAACGAGACATTAGAATCACACGACAACCAACGATCGGATACGATGCATTCCGAAGATTCAGGGACAAGAATGGATCATAATGTATTGAACACTGATTGGCAGCAAGTGAAAGAGCCAACTCATTTTACCGCCGCTAGTTCCCCGACTAGAAAAAGAGATTTCTCATAGACTAAGTACTTCATAGCTTGAAGAAATGGACATCAGACCAAAATAGTTGTGGGCTCAGTCGCTCAACTTTTTCAAGCAGCTTATTTACACTCGATTCTGTTCTCAGAAATATTTTTCTGGTTTATTTTTTAAGTTATCATGAAGTGAACAACCATCTGGAAGGGCATGAACGAAAACTGGGTTAGCAATTAATCCATGGTTAGCGCTAATCCAGCCTGAACAACCGCCCCTGGCACTTATCATTAATCTCGTTTGCTTAGGTCCATAATAAAACAGAAAGAGAGAAATATGATCTCTCTTATGAACAAAAGATGAAATAATGATTTGAAAGCAATTATAAAAGAATAACGCCATAATCAAATTATATAAAATGAATGTAACGCTGCAATAAAAAGCTTATCAACTTTTCACAGTGTCTTGGTGTTATTTTCATTTGCACAATACGAGGCATTAAACTGTGTAGTCAACTGCATTAGCCCTTGCCTGATATCTATCACCACGTGACACCACACATCCGGGACACTTTGGCCACCATGGCAACTGCTTGAGGAGAGTCCTGATTCGTCGATTGTTGAAGCCGTACACGACAGCAACGGCCGTCGCATGACAAAAATGTAACAACGCCATTGTGAAGTCCACTTCCGGCGACAAGGCATCTTGGGATAGCGCCGATGCAATGTTCATGACGTAATACGGCGCTAAAAATAAACCGTACGTCACGACGACGTAAGACACACTCGCAATCGTCTTTGATTCGGTCATAGAATCTCTGGATCCGGAGAGAGTTCGTTTCGTCACGCGTTGGTTGCTACGGGAACGCCTTGTGATGTCATTATGCCTGACGTCATGTCTTGTGACATCATGCTCTCTTATGTCATGTCTTGTGACGTCGCTACCCTGAGTTTTGCTCGAAGATAAGGACGATGATGAAGTCGGATTGGTTCGTATTGTCTTCGAGTTGTATCGTGTGATCACGCCAATTCTTACATACATAAATACGATGGCAACGAAAGGTAAAGTGAAACAGGAGATTATGAAGACCACAGTATAAACCATACCAGCACCGCCATCTTGCCACGACAGAGTACAGAATCCCTTCGCGCTTGAGTACTGGTACGAGTTCCAACCCAATATGGGAGGAACAGTGAATGCCAGGGAATAAAACCATGCAAAGGCCGTAATCCATTTAGCCCCTCGGTAAGTTATCTGCGCTGAAAATGTATTTGCAATCGCTTGGTAACGATAGATGGCGACTACCGTTACCATGACATTTGATGTGGCTGTGAGGAACTGACAAAGAAATCCTGAGATCTCACACCAAACACTCCCAAACAGCCAGCCGTCATTTGCGATAGAAATCACAGCAAAAGGCATATTGACGATGCCTATAGCTAGGTTTATAGCAGTCAAGAAGAAGAGTAGCATATTAGGAACGTTTTTAATGCTGAAGCTCTTCAAAAGGACCAAAACAACACTTCCATTACTCACAATCGTTAGGATTAAAATTAATGACATTGCTAGGGCTTGAAGAGATTTCTGAGTCGCATTTCTTGTAGCAATTTCTGTAAACCACGAGTTAAAATCAATTTTGGTGTGATTGTAGCTACTCAAAGAAGTCATTCTCGGTTTTAATAATTGAACTGTTCCAACCTATAAGATCGAATAGAGAAAACCTATCAGTTAGGATGAAACATACAGTGAATGCATGTTACATTGTTGATATAATTTAAACGGTAAAACCATCTTTCCTTGAGAATCTAAATGGAGATAACACTGAAGACTTCTCAAAAGTCTATGCTTTGGCTGAGGAAGTATAGCTTTAATTCACCGACAAAAAAAGACTCAAAAGTGATCTCAGTAAAGCCACAGGAATTAAAAACGGCGGCTAACTTCTTAGACTAGTAGTCCATTGTATTAGGAGAAATGCTTCCTTGAAAAGCTCCTCTATTTCAGGTCCTGCTTCAGGTCAATTGATATTTGACGAGACTAGAAATTTACCATGAAACTAAAACTAAAGTGATTCAGTGGAAGTTTACCGTTTAAAATGAGTCCTTGAATCCACGCACAGCAAACTCTTCGATAATTATACGTTTGATTTGTTTACCCATGTTGACGTGCCCGAATCCATTGAAATTTTAAGTTTAGCGCCTTTTTTGCACAGTTTTTATCAAAGCTGACGCGACTGGCTTTTCTTCGCTTTCACTAGAGCCATCATTCACTAACGAGATCCGCAATTACTCTGTTAAAGCATCGTTTCACTCTGAGATTTCAAACTAATGTAAATACAGCGAGCATAAGCTTGTGTCAACATTGAATATTTTCGTGGCAAATAGCAGCATAATATCCACGGCACGATGACGAAATATTTACCGCCGCCCGCCCAAAACAGCATTTGTCGTTAGTCAAGTGAGTCTCTGACACGATCGTCGCCTTTGAGTCCACGAAGTTTGAGTCGCACTCAGGTATTCACAACCGTATGTTCCCCTGTCTTAAAGATCTTAGTTGGCTATTAACTCCTCCTGAGGTTACACTGGATCAATAAGAGATTATCCTTACCGGACCTTTAGGAAAAACAGTTTAAGGAAGAAGAGGTCCAATGGAGTGATGGAGTTCCTATTTTGCTGTTTGTATAATAGTATCATAAACACTCAGCTTGACCACACACACAACTAATTAAAACCAAGAGAATGTTGTTTATAACACGATAAACATTTCTGAAATTTCAGACGAACACGGCTGGCTTTCCGCAGTTAACGGATGAGTTGTTCAGTCGTCTAGGAAGATGCTTGACTGAGAAACACATATTGGAAGCAGTATTACTTTATCAATCGGGTTGCCAAGACAGAATAAGGGCCTTTGCATCTTAAAACTCTCTGGAACTGTTTTAATCCTTGTAGAAAATTTTGAGGGAATCTGAGTACGCCAGGATTCCCGTCCAAAAACAACGACATATTCTGTTGCTTTTTAGACTTTTTGTTATACCTTTTGTTTGTGAAGTTAAAGCTATAACTGTGATACATTGTAATAGTTTTCATTTTGTTTGTTTGATGAATCACAATTAAGATATCTTATAATCGTTGTATGTTCGTCTAGACATATCATTCAAAAACAAAAGTTAGTTTATAAATGACAAACCACTAACAAGATATCATTTACCAATGTTAGTTTTGTTCGGTATATATCAGAAAACTATTAAATGTTCAGCTCAATATATCGTTTTTGTCGAACGTTGGAGTCTTTCTTGAAAGAAACCTAACCTACAAGTTGCAAGATACAACAGTTATATGCTTAGTAAAACGTCTCGGGATCTGGTAAGCTTCTACGCCTGAATAGAGCAGTAAATATTGGCAACCAGGTGTTAAGAAATGCTTGGTTACACATGGTTGCTTTAAGCTTTGCATGAGTTCAACAATCATAATACAGACACATGAAGAAACTCAATACTTGTCAAAATCAATCGCGTCATTTTAACGCCCAGAATCTGTATTATCTTGTCCCGTCTTTTTATGATCTTCTCTTGGATATTTTCTGAGCACGTTAGTGTTAAATAGAAAAGTACATAAAACATTTTTTTTCCAATTCCAAACAGTTTACTCCGGCCACCAGACATTGGCGCGCTGCATGAGCGCTTGAAAGAATAGGCAATCTCAACGATGGTCTCGTTAATATTTTATGAGCTAATCACATTTAGTAAGACTAGGCAAGTAACTCAGGCAGCCTTTGATTGGTCGTTTTAGGCATCTTCAAACTTAGCCTCAAGATGACATCATTCAAGGGGCATTTCGTAAAGTTCACAGCAACTTTTTGTCAAATGGCCTCAATAAAGCGAAGGCGAGAGACCGCCATCTTCAAATAGTTGGATTTGTAGCGATTTGATCGTTGGAACGATGCCAAGGTCGTTTTTGATCAAGCAGAAAGCAGTGAAAAAATACTCACGGGAACAATGTTGCTATCCAGGTAGGCCCCTGCGTGATCTGAATTATATCTCTTCATCTTCTTTCAGATCCAATCAAACATGAACGCGAAGCCGTCGATTTGAAACTAAACTGATCTCCAGACCGAACTTACTGCTTTGCGAAAATGAAATATGAAATGCGTGAAAGAAGAAGAGTTAATCGCGGTCTCAACTTCATCAGTTTTTGAATTCGTCAAACTATAAACTCTGAGAGCTATCATAGATTCACGATTCATACGAAAATCTCGCAGTTTATGCAAAATAGTAAATCAAAATAAGTATCTTTGAAAAGGAACTACATATTTAAAAACGTAAGTGGGGCATAGGGCTCTATGATTAATAATCCTTTCTGTCTTTCTCAGATTATGCGCCGTATTTCTGTCCCGATGATGCTACAACTGAACTCGACAGTCCTCCGTTTGGCTACGAGAAGATCTACGACCTGGGCCGAAGACGAGAGACCCACGATGATCACAAACTACCCGAAACAGAGACTGCAAATTGGAAACCCCAACATCCTAACATGTTCGAAGGAGGATACGACAGGGATTACAGGGTACCTGTAAGGACACCAAACTCAACAAGCCCCCAAACACCGTCGATGTTCTACGACAATCATTGGATTACACAATCAACCCTGTTTCCTTTCTCGTTTCACGACTTTGAAATGAAACCGCGCGCTGAAGGGAATGATGTAGAGTCACCGGAAAATTCCAAGACTCAACTTCAGTGCATCACGTGCAAAAAAGATTTTGATACGCGCTCGGCCTTGGAAGAGCACGTGAAGACCACGCACAATAATTCCAACCGAAGTTACACGTGTCAATTTTGCAACAAATCCTTCTCGCGTTCCTGGAACTTCCAACGTCACGTGTTGATTCACAAAGGTAGGCATAAATTCCGTACCCCGTGAAGAGTAATTACAGATAATTATGTAATCAATTAACAGTTTTAATTAACCGTTGATTAGGGGAGAAACCTCACAAGTGCGAGAAATGTCCCAAGGCATTCGTCCTTGCCGCTCATCTCAAGATTCACAATCGCATACATACCGGAGAAAAACCATACACATGCGAGGTTTGTTCCCGGGGTTTCGCCCAGCTCACCAACCTCCAGCGTCACGTGCTCACTCATACCGGGCAAAAGCCCCACAAATGTACGTACTGCCCCAAGGGTTTCGTGAGCTCGAGTGATCTCAGACGACACGTGAGGACTCACACTGGAGAGAAACCATATCAGTGCAAGAGTTGTCCCAAGGCGTTCACAACCTCTGGGAACCTGCATTCTCACATGCTCACGCACAGCGGAGAACGACCCTATCATTGCAAGATTTGCAAGTGGAAGTTTATTTCATCAAGTAATTTGCGTACTCACATTAGAATACATCACAAGAGATCCGCAGGTACACCATAATGCACCGCAACCAAAAATTGTTGGCGCGATTTCTCGGATCACGTGACGTTATAGATTCAAGTAGTGGTCAACTCGAAATCAAGAGGCGGATAATCAGAATGAGTTTCTGGCTTTCTGCTTGGTTGTAGATGTGCAATTTCGCATCAATGTCCCCCCCCCCCCTCTCCTCTCTCTCTCTGTGATGCATAATCGTTGAAACTTTTCATGTTGACCGTTACTCAAATCACAAATTAAAATGCTCAGTGAAATCTAAATTATCTAATAGTTGAAATCCGGCCCGGTTGGCCGAAATTATGTTGTCCAACAACTTTCTGCTAACCAGGCGCATTGTGCATATTTTGCTGCGTCGATTCTCCAAATAGAAAACAGACTAAAGACAAGTTACTTTTTTGCAAAATTTAATACACGGCGAACTACTGAATGTAGCTAAAAAATAGGATGTAGAATTGTGTGATCTGTTGGTTTGTGAAACCATTTTCTCAAGCGTGAATGATGTAGTATGTCAAATATATCTGATGACGTTGGCCGTGGAGCGAAGGTAGAAAGCCTGGCTTACGAGGTTGATGATCACGTAGACTGTGGAAAGATTATGCATTTCTTATTACGTCTGACTGTTGATATTGTGTTGAGTCACAAGTCAAGCGCAAAGCTTTGCTGTACGTTTGCAAAGAAACATTTCAAAAAATGTAAAATAATGTACACTGTATGAAATATGTAAAAATGTGAATAAAATTACATATCTGCAAGATACACAAATTCGTAAATTCGTAAATGAATTGATAACATATTTATTTATACAAACAGACCCAGTGTTAACCGTAGCTATTAGCCGGGTAAGACGCAAGGTAAGGCGTATGGTACATACGACGCTTCGTAACGAGTTACAACGCTTTTTATTACAACGCTTCGTAACGAGTTACTGAAGAAACTTTTCCGAACACCACATGCAGAGAGTGGTCACATGTGATCTGTAGTTTCATCGTTGTGTCTGATGTGAAAGTTCACGACATACTCTGCGTTCGTTCTTTGAACTGAAATGCCAAAAGGTGCAAAAGGATGGAAAGTGAAAGCAACCAAACGACGAGCAGACGGGGGGGATGGACGACCAAGGAAACCAGCATGTATCTTGAACTTGAGCAATCCAGAATCACGTGCATAAAACCTGGTAGTTGAAATAGATGTAGCAACTGAACGCCATTGCAGAGAGTAAAATATAGAAATTAAGCAGGAATAATTCACATCAATTTAAAATATAAGAATATAATTTACCTGATTGGATGATCACCACAAGCTTTTGGTCGCTCCATGACCGACACCCATTTGTCATCGTAGCTGAACAGGGAGAGATCAAGGAAGGGACTACTGCTGTAGGATTGAGAACTGATTGGCAGCTGTGCCAAGAGCCTTTTGATTGCTTCTGTCTGACCACCATACTTGGCATTGATAATGGTGTGTTTGAAACGTCTTAGGATTTGCCGAGCATGAATATTGCTGGATGCGGAGCAGGTAAATTGACCAACCGTATGAAGCATTGCATTTCGAAAATGATCACAGAATTGCTCAAAGACATCGAGTAGTTCCTCAGAGGTGTTTTCGTAGACAGATAAGATCTCAGTTGTTTTCATGTTATAGATGACAAAAAATGAGGGTTGAGAGTTTGGGTCATTAGCTCTGAGCGTAACCACATCTTCGCTCGCATATTTTATGAAAACATGATCTTCATCTAACAGTTGCATTTTCCACATTTTAAGATTTCGAAACAAATCAAAATGCTGGTAGAACCTTCTAATTGCAAGAAGAGTGCCAAGACTTTGAGCTCTTCTCCACAGGAATACAAGCAACCTGTGTTTAAGACCATTGATACATTTCTCGTTATATGGCCTGAAAGGACGATTTTCTTGAGGTCTTACAGCAGCCGCCATCATTTCATCATCCTCATTGCAAAATCTCCCTATCGTCCGCACATCAATGAAATGACCATCAGAGGTGACTTGAAAAATATGAATTGTTTGATGCTGGACTGATAACACAGCAAGTAGATCTTTGTACAGATACAGTCCTTGGTTATGAGAAAGAAAAATCTTGTCACACTTGAAGGACCGTGAATCAGAGTGGGTTCCTGTGTACAGGTCGATTAAGTGCAGGGTGTAGTCCTCCAGTGCACACCTTTGATGGTGTGGGGTGACAGACTCGTTGTTACGGTATACATCGTAAAAATAAGGGTGAGGTTCTTCAGGAAGTTGACAAGCAGAACAGACTATCACATAACGACCATCATCCGTGAACAAACTACATTCTCGGTTGAGATGTTCATTGTTTGGAGCCACAGTTGTAACCGCAAGCAAACGGAAAAACTGCGAAAATAATTTGCTGCGTATCGTTGATGGGTTTATCTTTGAATCAGCGAGCATCTCGCCTGCAGCACACGCCCCTTGAAACTCATAGATTTCCAATGAACTTTGGTCGAGTGAAAACGCAACGAAATGTCTACCATCCGGCGAGAACTTTCTCAAAAAACACGGCGGTTTTTCAACGTTAACAATGGTAAAGTTTGGAAAAATATTCTGATTAAATGACCTTGCCCGGTGAAAATGTGTCCCAGGTTTGCACAGATGTGTCTCTCTTTGACGAAGTTTCCATACGATATTCTGGTTTTTAACACGTCTCGGTTTGAATTTTAGCGGCCCAGATGTCAAAGATTGATCCATCAGGCTCTCAAAGAGCTCACTTCTTGCTTTCGTGAGTTATTTATAAACTCGCAAAAGTAAAAAAAAATTCTCTCAACACCAGCCGGCTGCCATTTTGTTTTCTTCTTAACCACCCGAATCGTGGACAAAAAGTCGCACTAAATACAAGTCGCTGTAAAAATTGTCGGCCATTCTTCGTATGGTTTTCTGTGTGTTTCGCGGAAAGTCATACTCGTGAACCTAATTTTACTTTATTTTACAAAAAGTTTTTACATCGTTTTAAAAATACTTCTTCGCAAGAATCACTCGACAACTGCTTTAAATTGTGCCTGGCAAGTGACACTTGTGAACCTCTTAACTCTTTCTTAGAACTATTTCCAAATTTTACTACAACATTTTACTAGACATGCGTATCAGCAATGGATACCCGACGTAACTCCAACTTATCTGTCTTCATTTGGTCCTGCTTTGATAATTCGACTATATCTTTCCCATCATGCTCGTCTGGAAGAGTCTCTCCAGTCTTCAGGGCGCGTACCAACTCATTGAGATCTTCAGATAGTTCCTCTTCTTCTTTTTCGATGATGTCTTCGTTGCTTTCCCCACCGAGTTTCTCACCATTCCAGGCGTCATAGAGCGGGTTAATCTCTGCCAGGGGGGCGTCATTATATCCTCTACGACTGCTTTTGGGGGTTGTACCCTCGTATTCGTAATCTTCCCATTCGTTCTACAACAGACATGGAAAATTAGTATGTTTCATACAAAGGCAAGCTAAAGTAAAATTGTCAAGTTTCCAACGTCACTTACTCCATCAGGCGGTGATAGCCGAAGCTCCGATTTCGGCACACTGTTCATGCTTTGCGCGTCATACATCACCGGTCTTTCCGCAAGATAGTCAGTCGGTGATGGATTATGAAGCGATGGTGAACTTGCGTGTAAAAGATAGGACTCATCACGATATTTCTTGCGACATTGATTACGCAGAACAAAGTAGACCATGAAGACATACAATCCCTAAAATATAGGATAGATTAAATCGATAAATCCGGGGTATAAGAACGAATATTTGAAGGACATTACTTCATGAAAACCATCGTAGTTTGTGTCTATTTTCGACTCTACTTACAGTAACAAGATCAAAGATTGAAAAGAGAATGGCAAGCCATAGCTTCCCAAAAGCCAAATGCAAACCACCGAATAGCCAAGTCATTGTTATTCCGAAGAAAACAATCCAAAGATGCAAGACCTCTGTAGGAATAAAGAAGTGCAAATTATTCTGTAGTTCGGTTGTTTGTGCATCGATATTTGCACAGATCACTCTTGTACCTTTGACGTTATGATGTCCTCTGAAGATATCATCGTAGAGCTTCCATTGTATCGTAACTTGATAGGCTTGTGTCGTCAAGACACCGACAGCAAGCAGGAAAAGAAGAACTGGTCCCAAGACACTTGCGAGAACGCCGTAAATATTAGGAATGAAACACCTAGAATAGATCAGAAAATTGTTGATAAGATTGAAAAATAATGGTGGTTTTTCATAACGGTTTTAAACGCGTTCAATGGGTGAAATTTAGTACTGATATAAACTAACTAACTTACATATCACCATTATTGTGAACATCTGCGTAAATCTCTGTGATACCCCAGTCATAAAGAGCGTGAGTTATAATGACATACATTGCAATGCAAAGCACAGGAATACCTAAAGAAAGGCAGACTCGTCAGTTCTTGAAAGACACGTTAAAGTTGTACAGAAAAAATCAACCAGGCCATCAATTCTTTTCTTACCCCATCCAAGCATGAAATAGAGGATGAACTTGCGATTCGTATGTTCGTCGTTCAACACAAGAATCCTCCAAAGGTTACAGCACTGTAAAGTAAAATGGACGATGTCTAACAAGAGGCAATTCATGTCTAGAAAACAGCATCGAGAGTAACAGCAATTACCTGGACAAATATCCAACAGAAATGTGCCAAAAGGAAGTAATGAATGAGGATTCCTAACGTTGTACATTCCTCGGGTTTGTCAGTCAAGTCTGGACTGATATACGCAGCAACCACAACCAAGAGCTATTGGGAAGAAAACGTTTAGTTTCAAACGTGTTGTTGAGTTTATTAAAAACAAAACTAACAAAATAAACAGCCACTAACAGCGTTATTCGAACACTTACGTGTAAGGCAAAACCAGCAAAGAACATGTGCATAAGAAGTTTGGCAGAGAAGGTGTTTTCCAGTGAACACATGTGATGAGACACGATTACAAGGAAAAATGAAATCATGCAAATAAATGCTGCGATGAAAAAGTAAAATTCATAACCAACGCGGTCGTCGCTTTCAGCACGAACAGCAAAGTTTGAGAAATGTTTGCATTCACATTCAACGTAATCTTCGGTTTCGTCCTAAAAGACAGAAATACTTGGTTTTAGCCACCTTCTAGTTAGTAATATCATCAAACAAGCGTTGAAATTTTATAAACTGATAAAGCAATCCAACATAAATTAAATTAGCTAGTTTAGTTTCATGAAACTTGCCTTCACAGAGCAGATGCTATTGTCCCAAGCATTTTTGTGCCATTTTAAACACTCGGCACCTTTTGGCGTGACTCGTCGGTCCTCAGTGTATATTCTATAATACGATGAAGCTTGACCAGGGTTGGTGTCTGATGAATTCCTGACAGACGTTGACAAGACTTGGTTATTCAGGATGTTCTCATTATCATCTTTATTAAACCAATGGGTAGTGTGGTACTCGATGAAATGAACATCAGCACATTTCTCTGACTTCCCAGCAGAGTTTGTCGTTTGCTGGTAGATATTCGAGGGATATGTGAAGTAGTTTTTGGAAGAGCTGTCAAAAACAGACCGCTATTAATATATCGTCGTTATCCAAAAACGAAGTAAAGGGCAAATTGAGACAAGGAAAGATGATGTGAGGTGGTAGGCATAGCAAAGAAGATGAGGGAAGCAAGGTTGAGATGATATGGACACGTAATAAGAAGAGATGAAGGAGAGCTGTCAGAGATATTATGAATTGAAGAGGTGGTATAGACATTGCAGAGAAGATTATGGGTGTCAATATAAAGAGAATAAAATACCTTGACTTTATTTTTAGTTTATTAATATCCTTTTCATAACGTCTTCTTCCTTCCACTGTTGCATATTTTCCCTTCTTTTTAACAACAAGTGACCCTGGACAGGCTTCACCGTTAAGCAAAGCAAATGCATATTTAACAAACGGTTCTGTAAACTGCGACTTTCCCTTGAAATCCGCTCGCTCTGGATTCAATAACATATCAAAAACATTCATGAAAAGATCACTCAATTCGCTTGTCAATATTCTGTCTTTCTCGTTTGCTCTTTCCCCAAGATCATTCAGGATTGTGTTTAGAGCATTAGCTGTGATCGTAACATGGCTTGCTTGCAACGTGTCCTGGTTTAATGTCGAATATAGCGACTGCAGAATCCTCGTCATATCCTCATTGGACAAAGGAGTTTTGAGAGAATCAGATCTGAGCTTCAAAAACTGTGTTGTCCGTGCGGCGTTGGAAATGATCACCATCGTTTTTGAATATTTTTCGTGCAATCTCGCGTCAGTGCTGAGATTAAAAAGCGTCACATTGAAAGCTTTGGGATACGACGTGTCCGAAGCTGAGTTAGGAGTTAGCTCGATAACAATCTCTTTGTCTGCCTTTCGCTGAGAGAAACAAGGAGTAAAAAACGGTTAAGTTTTAAAAATATGTCCGTTCTTTTGAACTCCATGCAGACAACAGCACTATGAGAGCCATTTCTCATCAACTAAATGGCAATAGATATAGTGTTTAGTTATCCAGCAACTCTTATCTTACCTTTCCCGGCTCAAAGACCAACATTCCTTGTGTTTTAATGTAATCCTTGCTCTCTATTGCACGGTTGATAACGAGGTCGTTATCAGTATGCTTTTCGGCTAACATTGTTGTTTTATAAGATAAAGTGATCCGTCCATAGGTACCCTGTGTTCTCGTGACGTCAAGCTTCACGGAATTGGTGGAAACATCAACAGCAGTATTTCTAAAGAGAGGAATATCGTGAAAGAGTTTGATGTCTGGATGTGAAACAAAATACTTCTCTAAATTACGGCAAAAGGCACATTTACCATTAGTGCTTACAACTTAGTTGATAATTGCATTACCTCGAGTCCTGGTCAAATCCAATTACTCCTGCAGGATCATCACTGGCTGCCACCATTACCGTAACAACATTTGCAGTTAAATCAAGAACACCTTCAGGCGTGTCGACAAGAGACATCAGTTTCACGGTAAAATTACTTGGAAGTTCAGGATCCTAAATTTCAAAAAGATTATCTATTTAAGTATGATAAACGCGAGCACATTTTCATTTGAAAATCAATTTACTTACGTTGTCTTCTTTTAATTTCAAACGGAGTAGCGCAGTTGATTGACCTGGAGCAAACGTTATCTTCCCTGAAGTTTCTTCAAGATCCTCCTTGGTATTAAACGTTTGCCATAGCACATTAGCCGTTCCCAAATTATGAGTACGCATCACTTTGATTTCCCCTAAAAATGATCAGAAACTGGACTGGTTTAGACACGAACCACGACAGCTTATTGTAGGATACTACCTACAATAGATACTGAGAGTCTGTACCTGCAGGACTGTTGTCTTCATCCAGCGTAAGCGAGCTTGCCTCAAAGTAGATTTTTCCATTCAGAAGATCATTCCCAGCAATCTTAACTACGGCCCAACTCTGTCCTCCAGTGGAAGGATTTGCGAGGATGGCTCCTCCAGTTGGCTCTGACAAGAACAGAAAGATTTCTTCCTCGACTTCAGGAATATCATCGTTCTTAATACGCAGTTTTACTGACATATTCTGACCACCTGAAGGCGCAGAGGCATCATTCTATAGTTGGGAAGAAACAAAAAGGTCATTTATGCAAGAAATGTAGGTTTACTACTTTAATTAGAAGGAAGTCCAAACAGTTACGAATGTCAATCTCTCATCAACTTACTTTAAACAGAAGCCTGTCACTCAAACTGTAATAGTCGTCGCCGATTACAGCAATTTTTGAACGTTCTCGTGTATCAAGAAGTTTACGTATATCCTCTCTTGCACCTGACGTCCACGACTCTCCTCCACCAATACTTCTTACTAATACACCCACGTCCCCAAATGTACCTCCGGTGCGAGAAACAGTGACATCAACAACGCTGATGTTTTCTTGAACTGTGATGGAGTGATAGTGGAAAGAGAGGACACCGTGAGGGCTATCATCGTCTTGAATTGTGATTGTTGAAGTTCTGTTAGATCCCAAACGTGCATTCCCTGTTAATGTGAAGAAAAGAAGAAGAGTTTAGAACTGATGGAGCTATCTAGCAGAAATGAAGTTAGTTTAGTTTGGGTTTGATCTTTCTACTTACCTCCAGTAACACTTGTCAGTTGTACACTAAATATTTCATCAAGCTCTGGTAAATTATCATTTGTGATGCCAATCTTAATGTCTTTGCGATATTCACCGTCCATCATAGTTAGCGTAGATGAAGTGTCGAGGTAATCTTGGTTTGGTTTAGCTTTGGAGGTGGGTTGTGTCTTGTACGCGACCTGAATGGTCCCCAGAGTACTGAAGAGCCGGTAGACAGTCAAAACAGCCTGGATAATGATAAAAAAATTTTCAGAGGGCATATTAGGCATGTTGGAGGGTGAATTTGGTTCTAGTGATTTAAACCTGAGTCAAATCCTGCAATATACTGGCGCCTGATAGTAACTTCAATTTGTATGTAAGAATGCTTCCACTCAACCGAACACGACAAGGTATCTCTTAGTACCTCCAGAAATCCTCTACTATCTCAAGATGTACTTACTGTTTCGTTCTCTTTGACAATAATGTTTTGGGTTTCAGTAGAGACAACAAACACACCCCCCGGTTCAATAACACTAGTCTGCGCAGACTCGTCAATCTTTGCTCCCCCATGAACATTTGGGGGCGTCTTTATTCCAGACAGATATACAGCATACACCATCTTTTGACGAGGTACAAGCACTGGAGTGACTTTGATACTAAATTCCATTTCTCTCACGTTCCTTTGGAATGTCAAATTCGACAATGACGTTTGTACTTTTCCTTTCGTAAAACCGGAATACTGATCCGGAGGATAGCCACTTGCTATTGACACTGTGGTGTTGCCATAGAGACCATCACGTGTGACTATGACACGGGGAACTTGGTTATCTATTGAGAGATTGTTTCAATATTAAATTGGAAAAATAGAAAAACTTTTTGTGCTTTCATACAATCCTGTCTCTTCTTATCCTATCATCATTCAACAATTACACTATACCTTGATTTACTGTAAGGGCCTTGTAGCCATCCTTAAACTTCACCAGAGAGTTTGCAGCAAGCTCTGGGACATTGATATCCTCAGTTGAAGCTGACGGATTCAATTTCGGAAGAATATCTGACACGCCATCACCTTGAAACATTACTCCTGATAGAGTCAAAGTAAAGTGTGACGAGGAATACAAAAACGTGTTCTCGTTCAAAACGACTGACTCTGTTTTCTCGTTTTTCCCATCTCGTATGACGAGGAATCCGTTCAAAGATCCTGGATAGTTTCGGGAATAGACAAGTTGATAATTTACACGAACATCACCAAATCTTCCTTCGCTCCGTTGGATTGTGAAGCTAAGTACACGGCTAAGATCATTTTCAACTGTGATACGTTGAGTTTTTGAACCAATGCGGAATATTCCGTGAGGATTATCGCTCGCTCTAAATAAAAATGCGTGAAAGATTATAAGAGAGCAAGAGCGAACGAAGGCTTGTTTCAGTTGGATTAAATTATCGCTAATATTTCAATACCTTATCACAACAGTAGCGTTGCTAGAACTAGGATCAATATCTCCGCCGCCATTGGCGGAGAGAAGTGTCACGGTGAATTTCTCACTCAATTCCGGAATATTGTCGTTCTTAACCTTCAACGAGATCTGCTTCCGTTGTTCGTTAGCAAGAAACGTTAGCGTCCCTTTGCTGTTTACAAAATCTGCCCCATCTGAGTCAGAAATTGCCCATTTCAACTGAAAGAAAAAAGGAACTATGCAAAGATTCGTCTTCAGGTGATTGCGTTCCTCCCAAATGAGCTACAAAATGATCCTTACCAAACCTCAAGGGAAGATCTTCAGAACGATTGTTGTACAATCGCATACACACAGCTATCTTACCTCGACTGTCCCTTCACGTCCCTCTTTTCTATCCACAGTTAGCACCACAGGATCAGAAGAATCTTCACTGACGGTCTGTGTTGCACTTGTACGGCTAAATCCAAACAGTCCATTTGGCATCCCACGCTTAAGAATAACCAAAGTGATATTTTGTGAGAGACTATCAATGGAAGCGTTTCCTGAAACGCCTATTATTGACACTTGGAAATGCTCTTCAACTTCCCGTTCCCTTACGAAAGGCAAAACCCATATCTCGCACATTTTTGGTCCAAACTCTCCAGTTTGAAAAGTTAGTTCACTTGTTTGAAGTTCAATATCTTCTGTGATCACACCTGGACTTGGAAATATCTTGAACACGCGAATACTGACCTGAGTAAGATAAAAGAATGAGAATCATGAGCGATGGTTCTCTTTCCTCTCCTTTGACTCTAGAAACACATCATTCAGGGATTTCTTACCCGCACAAAACTTCTCGCCCCGTCTATTCGGGCAACGCCCAGCTTTAGGTCGAGTATCTTAGTTGGATTTGCGAACACAAGTCGAGTCTTGTTTTGAAAACCAAACAATCCATCCGGATTATCGCTCGTCTCCAGGACTATTTCCAGCCTTCTTCGGTCTCCCAGTCTCGCACCGCCACTAACAGAAGTGAGATCAAGACGGAACGACTCCCTGTCTTCGGGAAGTTTGTCGTCAAACAATGTGATGCTCAAGTTCGCTGTGTTCTGACCATTGCTAAAGACGACGTCGCCATCAGAGAGAAGGTAGTCTTCTCCGTATTTTGCTGTGATGTTGGTAACAGTATATTGTGCTCGTATTAAACCAAATGAACCTTCTAAAAAAGTAAAGATGAAAAAGTTGATGTTATTGATTAAGACGACAATAATGGTACGGGAAAGTTCACGAGAGTTGTGTGATATTTAAGCGCAGGTTGAAGAACTTTGCAGCAAAAACCAAGCACAGTTAGTCACCTGTTCGCAAGATTTGCACGATAACCCGCCTGTCATGTTCATGAACGACCACCTTGGATTGCCTGAACTCTACCACTCCGTTGGCATCATCGTTCTTCAAGATCGTGAACACCACCTTATTCCTTGGGCCAACTTCAGGCGGCATATCAACTTGCAGGCCATTCATGTAACCGTAGTTAATATATCGTGACGTAACGAGATCAATCTTTCCCAAACTGACCGAAAATGACTCGGATAATTCCGGCAAATCTTCGGCATGTATCGACACATTAATTGAACCGGTATCTTTCTGGTCTTCAATGGTTAATACTATAGGAATTTGGGATAGAAAGGACATTAAATACTGCTATGTCTACCTGGTTTAAATCAAAATCATTTTAGTCACACTTATACCAGTAGCTTAATAAAATAATCAGACCTTTTGGTGACAAAGAAAAATCATCATCTTCAGTCGCACCAGATGGAGACACGTTAATCGTGACCAGCAGTCTTCCGGTATTTCCTTTGTTGCGAATAACTTTTAGGATCACGTGGCCCACGTCCTCGGAGACGTTATACGTCAATGCGCTATCGAAGTCAATAATGCCGTAAGGATGATCGCTAGACACAACAACAACAGACGCCTGCGAAGCTGATTGGTCAATCCGAGCGTTGAGTATTCCGACCAAACGTAAGGTGTAGTTTGCAGTCTCTTCCGGGACTGAATCTTGTTTAACCTAAAATACAAGAAGTCTTCATAAGATTGTAAATCAATGGTTGTAAATCATTTCTAAGCCATAATAAGAGGGGTTGTCTTCCTATCAAGGTCTAGGTTGGGACATCTTCTAAATCCCAAACAACACACAAAAACTTAGTTAAACAGGAATCGGAGTTAATATGTTTGTGATCCTCGGCTTACATAAAGTGTTATGTTTTTCATTCTAACGCCATCATCAAACACGATAATCCCTTTTGTTGTGTTAAATGTTCTGGCCGCCTGCCCTGACGCGTGATCATCAGATATTAGGTCCCAATCCACTAGAACTGTTCCAAACGTACCAGCTTTACGAATTACACTAAATTCAAACAAACAAAGATGTCAACACAATCACCGCAGCTAAATCACGCTCTGTTGACAAAGAAAGGCAACAAACTTGTCCGTTCTACTTACCTTACGACTACACTTCCACTACTAGAAGATGAGTCTGGTTCACCAACATAGACCAGCGACGTGGCTGGATTTATTGCCATTAGTCCATAACCATCATCATTGGCATCAATACGTATCACCAACTTTCTCTCGCTGCCAATGACACCGTCATTATCAGCTGACACCAAGTAACACACGTACATCTTGTCGCCTTCAGGAATATCATCCGCGCGGGCTCGTATCCGAATAACTTGGCTGGTGACATTCTAGTGATTCATAAATCCAACAATAATGAATGAATAAGCTAACACTGATTTCTACCATTGGACGCAAATAAATCCTTGTCAAATGGGAAATTTCGTACTAGAAAATTACCAGCATCCTAAGAATATGTTTACCAGTACAAATTCAAAGAACCTACGTCTTGGAATGAGAGGGTTCCATTAGCTGGATATATATCAGGAAAAGCACCACTGCTGACATTCCAAAAAACACGGACTTCACCGATGCTTCCTTGTAATCGCACGACCTTTAAGCGAGCCTCGCGACCCTCCTCCAGTAGCACTGTCTGCGCTGATGAAAATCTGAACAAAGAGTGCATTTTAGAATTATCCAGTATAAATAAAGTTAATTTAGTTTAGGTTTCTTTCTGTAGTAACACTGGATCAATAAGAGATGATGATTCTAGGGTGACCTAATAGATTCAGTATGAATGAATTAACTTACTCAAACACCCCATGTGGTTGATCACTAGCTCGTATTTCAACCGTCACTTCTCGTTTTGTGCCCAGTTTCGCGCCCCCAATCGGCTGCGTCATCTCCAAACGGAAAAGCTCGGCAACTTCCGCAGTATCATCGTCAGTTATGTTAATGTCCAAAACACGGGATGTTTCATTTGGCTGGAACACTATTTTCCCTCTAGTGGGCGTGTAGTCATTGTCGTTGACATCTTTAGGGACAAGACGATACTCAAAACCAACTGTACCATATGTACCCCCTGAACGGACAAAAGGTATCCGAAGTACCCCGATGTCCTCATTAATCTTGATGATCCCCGTCCTAGGATCTACTAAATGACTGATATTGAAGTTCAGTTCCCCCCGTGTATTGTCGTTCTCTGAGATAACGACTTTGGCTACTTGACTGGATGGGTTGATACGTGGAGAGTTTTCAGGAGGGTGTGCATACGATTCAAGGAGTTGAACTGCTGTAATGTTGACGTAGAATATTTCATTTATCTCTGCATTATTGTCCTAGGTTGAAAAGAACAATGAAATGGATTAGAAGATATCATTGCATTTATCTCTATAAGAATTGTGCAGTTCAAAAGCTTAGCCTGGGAGGATTATCAAACTTACATGTATCACATGAATTGAGATATTCGTTATGTTAACGCCGTCTGCCATAATAACCTCACTGGACACAGGAACAAAATCTTGGTTCGGGACGGCAGGTCTCTCATTAGCTGAAGCATTTCTGGTCGCCTCACGTGTACTATACAAGACCTTTATATCACCAATTGACCCTAGCTGTCTCTCGATGATCAGCTGTACTGTGCTGTTTGTTGCTTCAGATTCCTGCGCAAGAACGTTGGTGCGCCGCCATCCCACAATTCCATGGGGCTCGTCGTTAGCTCGAATAATGATAGTCGAGGTGGATCGAGCAGAGTTGATTGTTGCACCTTGTTGCGGAAGATTTGAGCCATCTTCTACCAAAGACGTCAAACTGAAATACAAAGAAACATCGTGTCAATGTGATGTACAATATAATCCACACACAGAGAAATAAGCAATGCCTTCATTTTATAGTTCTTCCCACTAACCTCACTTTGAAAACTTCGTTAACCTCCGGGATATCATCGGCAACAATCGTAAGATTTATCGTCTTCTTTGTCTCTCCCTCCAAAAACACGATCGTACCCGAAGCTGGATACACGTCATTTTCACCATGAAGATCACTAACCGAAACATTATCCGTTTTGTTCCAGGCTACTATAACCCTGCCATAACTCCCCTGTTGTCTCAACACCTCCAAATATAACACCCAATCACGTAGCTTCTCGTCAACGACAATATTCCGAGATTTCATTGCGAATTCAATACGACCATAAGGATTTCCATTGGATAAGATGTTCACCTCCAAGTTACCATTTGGACCAATCACAGCTCCGCCTGTAGCGTTGCTAAGTGTGACGAGGAAAGTCTCGTCCGGTTCAGAAATGGAATCATTGAAAATAGTGACATAGAAACTAAGTTCCGTGTCCTCGTTATTGAATATGAGTTGACCTTTCCTGTGAAAAGAAGAATTGTGAAATGAATAATAAGGGAGGTATTTGACAGTTTAGAACTGAAAGACGTCGAGAGTATAAACGAGTTTCACATTATTACAAAGTTCGTTGCTTCCAAACCTTGGGATGAAGTCAGCTTGAGCGGAAACCATTGCAGGTTGAAGTAGACGTGATTCGCTGGTTGCTGTCATGGCAACAGCCAATAGCGTGATGTTATGATTCACAGAATCTTGAATTGTGATTGGTTGGACGTCTTCGGTACCATATGCAGTTACATTCTAAGTATAATAAACAGATATTTCAGCAATTGTGTCTATGCACTGAAAATGCTTTTCACATAGTGTTTACTAACCGTGTAAAAATGAAAATTTGATCCCCGACTGTTCCATTTCCAAAGATGGGAGTTTCCCTCAGATGAAGTACTCACAAGGAACGCTAAGAAAAGAACATAGAATTATTTATAATCTAATGACAGATAAAACGCCACACGCAAATGATAATTTACGATACATTATCACCGCACCTTCCTGATCCATTGAAAACATTCTCGCGGACTTTGCATCAGTAATTGGTACATTTGTTTGCAAGACAAATCCTCCAGCGTTCCACTTGTACAGAACAGGGAAAGAATGTGAGTTTACAAAGAGCAAATAATGTTCATCATCTAACTGAAAGTATTCTACTCCATTGGCTCCGTTCGTGTCGATTTCCTTAAAAGACTTGAATTGACCGTTTTTCCATTCAAAAATGACGGATCTGCTCTGGTATTTACCGTTCACGCTGTCAAAGAGACTGGAGATAGCGAGGAAGTCACGACTATTCACGGTGAAGAGAGCTAGACCCGAGGCCCCACGACACGTCAGCCCGCGTCCGTGTTCAACAAAACGATGATTAGACCACTTGTACACCTAACAAACGAGAAACGTTGTGAATACGCCCAGAATAAACACAGAATAAGCACAGCTTAACTGGATCAAATCTTACCTTAGTCAGTACATCTGTATTTCCAGTATTCTCCTTCATATTTGCAAAGATAAGATACGAATCACGACTTCCGAGCGGTCTAAAGAACTTCACATCCGACGCAGCTTTTGTTGAGATATTCTGATGATGTGAAACTGTTCCATTCCTAAACATCTTGTATATTGTTGAGTTTATTTCATAGTTGTCCTCGGAGCCATGGTTGGCCACAGCAATGAAGTGTTGGCCGTCGATTTGGAAAGATTCAAATTGAACTGGGTTATTGGTAGTGATGTTCTAAATTGATGCACGAAACGAAATAAGAAAAGTCGTTAAAGGCAATATAAGCTTAATTAAGTAGTAACTTTGAGAGTGTTGTAAGAATGTAAAATAGACCATGAAATAGTTTCACATACCGTAATATGTGTGTACAACCCTTGCCAATAATACAGCCCCGAGCCGAGGTACGCGTTATCGTTACCATGGACAAGACTAGAACCATTGCCCGCGCCAAGTAAAAGATATTGTTTACCATAAGCTGAGAATGGATACCATTTCCGAGCAATTTTCGTCCGGAAACCTTGAAACACCCCGAACTTCATGAGCGTACCCTCGGAGCTATCTGCCGACTGCGAAATACTTTGATAGTCCACGGTGATTGTACCGTATGTTCCTTTATGTCGAAGGACTTTAATCCCGACATAACCAACCGTCTCTTCGATATTTAGTGTTCGTGGAGCTACGGCGAATCCTAGTTCGCCATAAGGCTCGTCGTTTTCACTGATAGTCAACCACGCTTTATTTGGCGACTTCAGATCTCCACCACCTGAGAAATATAATCTTTTTGTTGGATCATCTAATATTGATCCAGTGTTATTACTGGAGATAGGAAACCCAAATCCAACTAACTTATAACTTATGTATAGTTCTATCAATCTTACCTCTGATGACAGAGAGAACAACCAAAAAGCGTTCCTCTTTTTCTGGTGTGGTGTCCACCACAGTTTCAACGTCAAACGAGTTCTTTTGCTGGTTATTTTTGAACAGGATGGAACCATTCACAGCCTTGAAATCCGCCCTCGCAGTGATGTTTACAATGGACCATCCTATGACCACATCCCCTATTGTACCGTTGTCTCTTTCTACCACAAAGTTCGCCCGGGTGGTACCAACATGACGACTACCCGGCTCATCAACAGTTAAATCTAGAGATCCCTGACTGAACCTAAATATCCCGTTGCCAGCATCGTTTACAAGTACAGTGACGTAAGCAATTGAGTCTCTTCCTAATTCAAAGTCTTGATTCGTCTTTTTTTTCAAGTGAACTTCAAAGAGTTCATCTCCTTCTGGTATTGTATCATCATTGATGAAGATTGTGATATTTTGTCTTCGTTGTCCAACAAGAAACTTCAAAGTTCCCTCGCCTCCCGCTTCAAGCTTGCCATAGAGGCTAAAATCATTTTCACCGATAGTTCTTCTTCTGACATAGTAATTCACTTCGATCTCACCAAATGTGCCTTGTGTTCGTAATACTGTCAAGTTAAATGAACCGATGTTCTCCTCCACGTTCACTCTGGAAAAGAAGAACAAGAAATACAGTTATTGCCGCTTTATACATTGAACTAACACCATTTTCAGAGCAGCTCTATCAATTCTAACTACGGTAGAACATAGCTCCATTTGTCCTGAACTGTTGCCCCGAAGGTGCTACTACAAGAGGAAATACAAAACCAGCTTTTTCTCACCAATTTTTCATGGCAACAAATTGAACCAGTTTTTAAACAAACACAAACCTGGATGGAGAGAAGATCAGAATTCCTTGCGGTCCATCGTTCTTTCCAATCTTGACCTCCGAGGTTAGGAATTGACCAAGTCGAGGTGGGCTAAATGTCTCATTATTGACAGGCTGCGATGATGATCTCACCAGCTCAACACTGGTTATATTCACGATGAAATACTCGTCTAACTCGGCCAGGGTGTCGTTAACGATGGTCAAAGGAATAGCACCGATACTATCTCCGTTGTTGATGAGAATTGAGTTAGTATTAACCGCAACGTCTGCACCTAGAGTGGCTAGTCTTTCATCGGAGGAAAGTGAATGTAAACTGCTATTTGTGACGGTGAAATTAACACGAATTGTTCCTAAACAAAACAGAAGACGAGCATTTTTAATTTCGGCATGCATGAGAGTTATGAGGAGTGTCTTTTGACAGCTCTATGAAAAACAGCACGTCTCTAATTTAGTAAATATCTTACCAATATTTCCAAATAATCTTGCAACAGACAGCTCTTCAATATTTCCGCTTTCTTTAACAACAGCACGCCGTGAACTTTGCTGAAACTCAACCACTCCATGAGGTTCATTACTCGCTGCAACTGTCAGCGTTGCTGTCCCCTTGCGAGGGTTGATTTCGGCTGCTCCAGTCTTGGAAATACCAGATGTGACTGGATTTCGGAGAATGACTTGAAACTGCTCTTCAATTTCTGAAGTATTGTCAGCCAACACTTGGGTTCGTATGTAAGTAGTTCTTTCACCCTATTAGAATATTTACAGCAAAAAATCATCAAAAAACGCAACACCATATATAAGTATATAACCATACGTCAAATTATACAATACCTCTTTAAAAAGCGCTGTTCCAGAGGTTTCATTGAATTCTTTTGTAACATTATCTCCTTGAATGAGCCAATCAACAGTCACAATTCCTGCCGCTGGTGACGTCCTGACCAAAGCGAGACTAACCATCTCACCCTCCCTTACAATTACAGCCTGGGACGACATATTAAACCCGACGTAGCCTGCGACTACGTCATTTGCCTGAATTGTAATCGTAACATTGTTTCCAACGTCTTGAGCAACAGATGAGCCAGCGGTTGGGTTGACCAATTTCACGATGATAGTCTCATCGCGTTCGGGCTGATGGTCGTCTACGATACTTAGTGTTAAAGACTTCTTACGGTCACCGGGTTTGAAGGGTAAAGTTACGCTACTTCCTCTAAAGTCCTGATTCTCACGAGCTGTGCTTTCAGGAGATATTATCACCATCACAGAGACATCGCCTGTGTGACCTAAACAAGTAAAAATAGCATTATAGCAGTTATATTAACGAGTGAATCTCACTCCTGAAATATGCAGTCATTTGATCATATAATTTGTGTGATGTGCCAAACTATAATCAGACAACTGAATAAACAAACTGGAGCTGGTCACGGAGGTAAAATGCACGCGTGGTAAACATTATTCAACCAAAACACACAGTAAATTTCAACCAGGGACCTCACCTCCAAGTCTCCAAATGTAAAGGGTCACGCCCAAACCCGCAGTTTCATTAACAACGATATGACTTTGGTTTCTCTCCCCAAACACTTTAAACAACCCATAAAAATAATCATCATCCTCTATTGTGACATTAACACTCGTCTTCGCGCCCAGACGAGGCTGCGATGATACTCCGTTCCCTACAAGTTCCACATACTCCAGGTCAATAATAAAGTATTCATTAAGCTCTGGTGTGATGCCACCAATAATGACGACATCGACCGATGAAGAATTGGATCCATCAGCGATAGTGACGCTCGCGTTGACTAACGGGACGTAATCTTGATTAGGACTCGCGGAAGACGGCGAACGTTCTTGCAAAGTGCTGGAGAGACAAAAATTTGAAACTATTTAAGCCTGTGTGAAACAAGGAATGACATTTGTGTCTTAATACTGATATTTGGAATTGTTGACTATACCTGTAGTAAAGTTTCACGTCTCCATATGTGCCGCGTTTTCGAAGAATCGGGATGCGTGCTGTTTTATTACGATTCTCTTCTCTAACGGTGTAGCTATCATAACTGAACTCTATCACACCGTAGGCATCATCATTCAGTTGGATTGTCACATTCGCTTGACTTCGCGCAGAATTAAGTTGAGCTTTCCCCTTCGTTACACTGAGGGTGACTAACAGAACCTTGACGGAGCAAAGAGACAGTTTTGGTTGGTCTTGCATAGAGTGGCTCTACCTGTTCATACGATTTCAGCAAAGCATGCCTGTTATCTAAGCAATAATCACAAGAAAATTGAAACTATTTACCTCATTCACTTCTGGAACATTATCAGCTGAAACCACGATATCAACACTTGTCATGTTCACGCCTGGCGGAATAATATCATTGCCCTGCGCCTTTTGTACGTCGCTAGTTGCCAGTCTTCCTGAGAGCGTGACAGTCCATTCAAACCGTACGACACCCACGGTTCCATATTCGCGTATTACGTGAAGTTTGACCACTTCGTTGCCGCTGGATGGTTCTTTTACCAAAGAACTTAAAGACGAGGGACTAAATCCTGTAGAAATTAATACAGCTAGAATTTGGTCTACTCATATGAGAGGCAATTATAAATTTGTCATTTTGTTTAGTACACCAAAAGCAACTCTCAGTTGACCACATACGACGATTGTTCTAAACTGAGCAATCTTGTAAAGATAGTTTCATGTCTTTTCCACTTTACCTATCAATCCATAGGGATAATCATTTTCTTGAATAGTGACAACACATTGTGAGGGTTGACCAATGATCACATTCCCGTCCTGGGAGGTCAGACGAACAATAAACGTCTCATTAAGCTCAGGATCTTCGTCATCTATGATAGATATTGGTACAGGAGCAGTCCGCTGGTCGTCAAATAGTGTGACCTTGCTGGCGTTTATAAGGTAATCTTTAGACGGATCAGAATCAACTGATGTTACCTCGATGTCAACAGTTATCTAGAATAGAAACGAAAGCCTTAATCAAAAGGTTTTCCAATCCATACAAGTAACTCGCAACTATATATCCTGTTTACCTTTCCAAATATCCCTCCACTTCGTGTGATGTACAGAAACGCTCCTCTGTTACCCTCCTTCACAGCAACAAACGAAGATGAAAGATGCACGATTCCACTTGCATTGTCGTTCCGCAGAATCACCACCTTGAGCAGTCGGTCTGAACCAATTCTTGGATAACCATCTACCCAAAGGAACCAAGAAAATAAGAAAATCAAACTTTTACTTCTATCTCGAATATAAGGGTTTAACCGACTTAACTAAACATAACATTTAACTTCCGTTACTGATTGTACCTGATTGAAAACCTTGTCCTTCCAGTAACGTGACTGATGTCAAATTGACAACAATTGTCTCATTATCTTCTGGTATGACGTCATCTAGTATGGTCACTACGAAGCTTCCTGCAATTTCATCGGGTGGGAAATCTACAAAACCGCTGACCGGACGAAAATCTTTGTCCTCCTCAGCTCTGTCATACATCACGTCATTCACTTCGACACTGGTTGGTACGCTCGTGTAGAACACGCGTGTTGTACCCATAGTTCCTTGCCGTCGTACTATATTCACAGTTATATTTCGGCTGGCTTCTTCAACCGCTACAAGACTGGGTTCAAATTCAAAAAGTCCAAACGGATCGTCGTTGGCGGGAATGGTTACGTTCGATACGATACCACGTGACGCTAAGCGACCTCTGGTCACGTTAACGAGGCGCACAACGTAGCTTTTGGACAGTTCAGGAAGCTAAAATAACGACGACAGAAATTGAAAACAAAATCTTATCGTTAGCTTACATATAAAGACTGTGGCCTGTCGTGTAACACAGGTGTTAGTACAAGTGAAACACGAGAAATACCTAAATACATAATTTATGAGCACACACATACCAAATCATTTGACGCAACAATCGTAATATTCGCAAATCTTTCATCAGCCTTCATGATTTTCAGTCCAGTTGTTGGCTTTAAGTCATCGCCAGCGTTCTCGACAGCCCAGCCAATCACAATCTCTCCTAATGTACCACCTGACCTGTGAAGTTCAAGGTCAATGCTCTCACCTTCCTCCACAGATCTCGCAAGAGAACGAGACGTGAAGTTGACTACACCAAAAGCATCGTCGCTTGGTTTGATAGTAATGTTCGCTGTTCCACCTGGTCCAATCTCAGCTGCGAGATGAGTAAAAAAATCTATCAATTTTCACGTTCATTACAATCACACAGAGGTATCAGCACTGCATTTTCTTACCTCCATTTTTAGCATCATAGAGCCACACACGGAATGTCTTGTTTAACTCAGGCTTATCATTATCAATAATGGAAATTTCAATATTCGTGCTCAGTTGCCCTGCCTTTAAGAAAACCGTACCCGCGGCATCAACATAATCCTGATTTTCCACAGCGGTTAACGCCTTCATCTGCCATGAACATTCAATATCCCCTGTTGAAGAAATGAAACATTCAGTGAGGTCACCACAGACCTTGGTCGTGAACTTACTTGCTTTTAAACCACGTTTGCTAAACGTTACTCAACCAAACTCACCCACAATCCCTTGCGCTCTTTCGATATACAATTTAAACTTGCCAACGCTTTCTCGGACTTCCATTGTAAATACTTTGGTCGACGGCGAAATATTTCGACTTCTGGGAGCCTCGCTGGCAAACTGCAGTAAGCCGTATGGAGAGTCGTTTTCCTCAATGGTGATATTTGCCACCGAGAACACGGGACTGATACTAGCTCCACTTATCGCTGTACTCTCTTTCGTTCCATCGTTTGACTGAGCGGACACCAAACGCAGTCGGAAATGCTCGGACAATTCCGCTTTTTTATCGTTCATCACGAAGACTGTGAGAGTCTGAAACATATTTGAAAAGATAATAAGGTTTGAGAACTGCATTGTTTCCTCGCCTCTCCTGGTTACTTCAAAAATAGAAGCAAGTTAAGGGACTTGAAACTTAAGTTACCCACCTTTTGTTTTTCTTCATTTTCAAAGACCAACGAACTGGACGCATTCACAAAATCATCAGACGCTCTGGAACCATTTTGATGAAAGACCATCCAGTTAACGGTGACCTCTCCAGCAAATCCGACAGTTCTTTGGATAACAAACGAGACATTTCCGGCAGTTTCCGGCACCATTTTTGACAAGGATTGAGCAGAGCTGAACGCAAACACTCCGTTTGCATTGTCGCTCTTCAACACTGAAAAGAAACGAAATCATAAAATCTTAAAATGCGACAAAGAAAGCATGGAATGATCTGGTTCACTCAGGTTTAATGTAGTCATAATGCATGGTTTTAACAATTGTATCTGAAACAAGAAATACCTATTAGTTTAGCTCTGGAATTGCGCGGTTCATCAATGTCGGCTCCACCACGACTGCTGACCAGAATGACAGAATACGGCTTCTCTGGTTCCGTCAACTCATTATCAATAGATTTTAAGGCAACAACACGGGACGCAAGGTGTTCTGGGTAGTAAAGGTAACCATTGATGGGTATAACGTCTTTAACAGGATTAGCGATAGTATTCACCTCGCTACAAAAGAAGAAATCATGATCTGAGATTTTTGCACAACAAAACAAAACCCGAAACATTGATAAAGGATAGATCATTCAGTTCTAAATAGCTTAGTTTGGACGTTCAAGAAATAACGCCGTCGATAATTTGATAAAATATATTTATTTGAATCTTTCCTTGATACCTTTCTCGAAGGTTTTTGGTGAAGATTTTAACATCCTGAAGAAGACCTTCAAAATGATCGTTGTTGGGTTTTGCAACACCAAGGTATAAATCTCCTTCTTCATCGAGAATCGTGTTGAACCTCACAGAACTAAACAAATCATTCATCAAGAAACCATCTTGAGAACCTCACATACAGCACTGAGAAAGGCAATTATTTGTAGCAATAAGATTTGTGCATGGTTTATATTCCTGGTTCCTGCTGATTACTTCATTTGTTTTCAACAAACCTGTTCGTTCCAATATGTGTGCCATCGTAGTAAAACGCTATTCCAGTTTGACTATCAACAGCAATCATTATATTATGCCAATTATCATCAAGTATACCTCGACCAATCTCCTTCGGAACCTAAAAAACAAACGAATTTTACGACTGAGGGCGAAGAGATTTGAGAATAAGTAACAAGAAACGGGAATCTAACATTTTCTGGTCGAAACATACCAGAGAAGTTTAATTGAAACCTGTTAATTCACTCACTGTCAGTGTTTTGTCTCCCGTCACAAATATCACCATTGTTAAAGTGACATTTCCTCTCGTATCAATCTTGAGACTATACGCCACATTTCCAGAGTTAGAGAGCACTTTGGCCAGAATAGTTCCTTTGTGACCAAATTTTGGTTTCAACCACGCACTAGAAGAATAATAATAAGCGTCATAAGGCAAATCAGCGACTTCATACCTGAAGAAAAGGCAAAGATAAACACGACAAGGAATAAAACTCTACCTGATTGTAAATTCTTTAGAAGGAACGCGGGACAAGGATTCAACGACTGCGTATGATCCTTAAAAACACGCGTAAAGTTATATTCATCGAAGTTTAGATATTGACAACGAGACAACGAAATATTCTTGCTTTCATCATGTCTCTTCTCGTATTACTTGTACTTACTGTTGACTGCAGTGAATTGCAACGCATTGCTTCCCGTATTTCGTCTCTTCTCTCCCTCATTCACTATACCAGCTCCATTAATCTTGCTCAAAAACACAAGGTCCCAAATATCACTTAGGTCGTCCGCAACTTCTGCTTTGTAAATACACCAGGATACCTTGAGGTAGAACATAAATATTATGACATTTAAACCTTTGCGTTTCGGAGTTTTTTCATCTATTTTATTGCAGACAAAGCCAGATAACATGCACTAGGGAATGTCGATCCTAAAATTCTAGAAATCAGAAGGGATTACTGTTTATATAAGCGATGGTATATGCTTTTTCAGCCTATATCATTGCGCATACACTGTCCCTAATATATCGTCACGTCGCACTCACCCCAACATCTCTGTCTTTCCCGCGTTTTCTCACAACCGTCAAATTGACGGTGGCTTCATACTCGTATCCAGGTCTCGTATCTTCAGCTACAGTCGCGTTCAGAGAGCTTGGTGCGAACGCAAAAAGACCATACGGATTGTCATTAGTTGGAATATGAATGTACGCGCTTTTCAAACTGGTCGAGAGCTTACCGCCGGGGCCCGGAGACCCTCCTAGAAAACAAAACAAATTTCAAATTCCAAAACTGAATTCAGATTCACAGACCGAGGTGTCTCTGAACATTGTTTAACTTTTCACTCTAGTATACTGTTTTTCGCCATTTTTCCGCGGCCTCGACCGTGCTCGAATTCGCCATTTTCCGGCGAACTTGACCATGGTCGAATACGCCATTTTCCGGCCCAAATTTTACCGGCGAATCAAGAGTCTATACTAAACACAAAATTAACAAAACATTTTAGTAAACTAAGCCGTTCAGTCATTTATACTGAGTTTCCTTTCGACAATGATGACTATTTTGACGTTAAAAACCAACAAGGATTGTTTCAAAACACTAAAATTTGTGAAAGAATATCAAAACACTGAAACTTCTCGCTAAAAACACTTAAAAAACGTTTAGGCGTTTAAATCTTGACATTTCCAAGCGTGTGCCTTATTAGTCGTTTTCTATGCATATACTTGTTACGGACCGCCCCCCTGAGACCAGGAAAAGCTTAAATACGTTAAATTTATCTTCGCTCTCAAGGCTTGCCACTGTAGCTGATTCGTCTATGACGCTAGGCTCTGGCATACAGCCCACTCTGTTTCTCACTGAGACGTAACGGTTAGGTGCACATACATCATGGTCTGGGGGCCGTAGTGCATCTCCCCCTTAGACGGCCGTTAAGATGTGAGTTATGGGGGGGAGTTCTTCCTATAGCAACTGTCCTTGCACCTTTCGTAGTTGTAATCTATGCTGGTATATCGCAGCTGGTTGTAATATCACCGGTTAGATTGTGGCATAGAGCTGGATGATCTCTTTTGGGTGTTTTTACGTTCTTTCCCAATTTTTTTTTTTTGGCGTGCTTTTCAATTTTTTTCTTTTACATACAAAAATTCTGTTATTAAACCTATATCGGGAAGGATATGGTTCGAAAAAAAATTTATATCGACTAAAAACCACCTGAATTTACCCCTGAGTACTCTCCCCAGTCTCTGCATGGCTGAGTCTCTGAATTAAACAATACTCGACTATGGTCGAATACGCCATTTTCCGGCGAACTCATCATGGTCGAATGTGTTGTTTTCCGGCTGATCATGAATATTTGAAATGGTTGGTTATTTTGTGAGTACTTACCAGTTGTGTTTTTCAGAACAATTTTGAAGTTTTCTCCGTATTCTGCTATATCGTCAGCCAAAACATCGAGTGAAAGGTTTTTGGCTCGTTCAAGGTTCTGGAACACCAGCGCACCAGACGTTTCTCCAAAGTCGCCGGATGTGAGAGCGTATTGCGATCCGTTGGAATACACTTGATAAACCTGCCAACGTACGCTGACCATTCCATATATCCCACGATCTCTTACAACTCTGGATAAAAAGAAATAGTGAGGAAGATTACAATGTACGATTGAAAAGTGGTTTTTAGAGTGTTGTTTTCACTTACCGAAACGCTACAGGTTTCCCTTCGCTTGCAGTTTTATTCAGCTCAGAATTCTTATCAAAATGAAATATACCATTAGGGTCGTCATTTGCCGCTATGGTAACCACGGCAACCGTATTACCATATATGGAGGTATCACCAGTTGATGACGTCAGCACGATGGTAAAATTCTCGTCAGTTTCCGGTTGATTGTCGTCCCGGATATACACCGAGATGCTTTTCTCAGTTTCACCGCTGGCGAATACGATTTGCTGATTCTCCGGCGCATAATCGCCACCGCTTGACGTGGCTGAGCCATTCCGGGTTGTGTAGTCCACAGTGACAGCCTTGTTGTGGCGTCCATGGCGTATTATTGTGAAGGTTGCCCAATCTCCCTCGTTCACTCTAACATGTGCAGGCGTTTTGAATTCGATTGCATCATCATTTCTTAGGATTGTGAGTTGAGCTTGGTGTGGCTCGCCAATTTTCGCGCCACCTTCTGTGTTGATCAAGGTGATAGTGAAGTTCTCATCAAGTTCTGGGATCTGAGAAACACACAAAACGTAAAAAAAAGCACGAATTTGAAGCTATGACTAATTCTCATTCTATTAAAACACCAAGAAACAGAATAAATCTTACGTTATCTTCCAAAGAGGAGATTCTTATAATCTTGAACTGTTCATTTTCGCTAAAGCGGACGTTTCCAAACGTCGGCGAAACATCCAATATCGTATCGGCTTCCGAAGTGATGTTCCATGTCACAACGACATCACCGAACAATCCCCGTCGACGCTCAATAACAAAACTTGCGAAATTTTGGCCACCTTTGCTTTCAACTTGAAAAAAAGGAAACACATTGGAGGTGAAATCATAATCGATGGAAGATTTTCATGAGCATTACCAAGCCTTCGAATTCAACAACTATCGTTTGCTGGTGGTGATATCAAGCATACCTATGGTCTGTGATGTGTTGGCAAACACCATAACCCCATGAGGATCATCGTTCGCTAAAATTGTGACATTGAATTCGGTGGGACTACCCAAAACACCCTGCGAATCGGCAGGACCAAACGGAACAAGCTTGAATGTGAAAGTCTCGTTTGTCTGGAAAAGAAAAAAACATGGCAAATGTAAGTAACGTGGTTTATTCTAAAACTGGTAAGAAGATTCAAAATTAAGATATATGTCTAAAGGAATAAACAGCATTTGAAGACAATTCATATTTCAAAAAAGTAATGATAATATTACCTCAGGAACGTTGTCATCGTTGATATAAAATGTCCCAGACATTTTTCTTACGTTTACACCAAAGATCATATGAGCTTCTCCTGCAACGAAGTCTTTCATTCCTGGAAAAAAGAACATACTGTACAGTTTCTGAGAACACTGATAAAGCTATATATCAAAGAATGATGTCAGAAAGTCTATATACTATTGTTTGTCGTGACTTTGACCCAACGTTCTTCTAAATCGCCTCCAATTCGAAGAACAGTGACTGCAAATTTACTGTCTGTCTCCTGTGTTGAAAAGACAGTAGATTATTACTACCAGTACATCAGTCCACTACTACAGAAGCTACGGCATTCATTACTTCTTTACTTACAGAAAGAATGATCGACTCTATTTTATTGTCAAATTGAAATACTCCGCCAGCATTGTCATTTCTCTCGATGGTCAAAATCAACTCGGACTAAATATTTAACAAATTAATCTTATATCAATGCAATATTAAATAAAATTTCTTCAACGAATGAAATGCAACATTCAAGTTAAAGATAATGTGATATAAACATACAGTACTCTACGAAACTCACCGCTCCAGCTTGCAACTTCGCTTCAGAAACATTGTGAAGTCGAATGGTGAAACGTTCATCCAACTCAGGTAAGGTATCAGGAAGAATATCAATGGTAATATTGCGAGAGCTAACACCTGGATAAATGAACAATGTAAATATGGAATGGTTTGTAAATGGAGAGATTGACGCACGGTCGTTCTTAGACATCTTCGAACAGAGATTTTATTTTCGATTTCAAACCTTTTCCAAAAAACAAGTTCCCGCTGGTTGGTGTCAAATCATTGCTTGTCGTCACGCCAACAACACTCCATCGGAGACTCGCTTGGTTTAAAGTTCCATCACGTCGAACTTCCAGATCAATTCTTTTGGTCTGACCATCCTCTGGCTCGGTCACAGTAACGCTTGTTTTATCAAACCTAATCTCACCGTCAGCATATTGCGGGTGGACGGTGAGGTTCATGACGGAGCGGGGACCAAAACGAGGTGTAGACGGCGGTACGAGAGTCTTTGCTGAATTTTGAAAACGGTTCCTTAATGGCACTCACTGTGGAAAAACCGTCAAAAAACGAACGATTATCACACATACCTGGCTGTACAAGACTCAGTGAGATCAATGTAATTCTAAATACAGAATTAGCACGAATGAATCCTCCTGTAGGGATGCTTAAGCCAACTGATGCACTGGCTTGACCAGACGAGAAGGAAATTGACCCAGACGTTTTAATACCAATACTGGTTGTATGGTCTGTACCATCAGCGGCAAAGTACTTCACCAGGTACCCAACTGTCACCACCCCATAGTTTCCGCCTTTTCTTAAAACTGCGAAGTTAAGCATCCGAGGGCTGCTTGTCTAAAAGGAAAAGCCGTCTCAAATTACTTACTAAAATATATTCTGTCATGTACTTCTTCCATATCACAGGAGTCTGGGTTATACCATACTTCAATGACACCTCTGACAATAACTCTAGTATCAGTCGTAATCTAACTTGGTGCTACTGCAGGAATCTACACACTCATCAGGTCTTACAAAACTTACCAAACTGAGTGTTTGATGTGTATCATTTGAGAATTCAAATACACCATAAACGTCATCGCTATCCCTCACGATAACTCTTTTTGATCTCCCCAAAGGATCGTTTGTCACTCTACCGCCGCTGACCGCAGCAAGCACTACCACAAACCAAAATGCCTCCTCTGGTACCATGTCTTTCATTATGGTAATTCTCACTACTTTTTCCCGTTCACCCTCGCCAAATGTGACAGTACCATTCAATGGCGAAATTTGAGTTGACAGGTTACTATGGGAGGACTCCACCAACCACATCACATCCACTGTACCATAGGCACCAGCTGTTCGGTTGATGGTAACATCAACCACATTACTACCATCATCTTCACCGACGGTGATATTACCATCCCCAGATAAACCAAACACCCCAACATGGTCATCACTGTGCAAGATCTGTATGGTACTTACTGATGGTGATACCAGACTAATATCCGCACTTAGGTTAGTTAGATGAACTGTGAAATTCTCAGAATTTTCTGGAATGGTATCATCTATTATACGAACACCGATGGACTTTCGTGTCTCATCTTTACCAAATACAAGAGTGCCGCTAGTTTGGTGAAAGTCCTGGTTGCCCAAGGCACCATCGGATTTAAGATACCATGCTACAGTACTGGTACGATCCAATGAAACCTGAGCAAGGTTGAAACCATTCGCATCAAGGCCTCTGTAAACCCACAAAGTCACAACGGTTTGGTTTTCAGGCACGATGACGTGACTCACAGCAAACCGTACGGGAATATCATTGGCTAATATCCTCACAAGAACTTTGGAAAGACTGCTATTGAGCCGAGCACCGCCGGTGATATTTGTCAACTCAAATTCAAAATCTTCATCTCTTTCAATCAACTGAAAAGCAAAGAAGAAATTTGCAGTTTAGAGTTGATCATCTTAACACTGTATCGATCAGTGACAGAGTGCTTTAAATGGTCAGCTCAGTTTAAGAAGAATTCACAAGGACACCAGTCGAGGGAGATCAGTTTTGAATGTACTCTGTGTTTCTGTGAGATTGCTGGTAAAGTTCGCAACTTACTAGGTCGGGACGAACAGAAAACTCCAGATCTTTGACTGCCTCTCCATCACGAAATACAACCGTACCAGAAGTTGTGTTAATGTCCTTGCTTGCAGCGGCAGTAATAACCTGGAAATAACAATCTCTGGTTAGATCATCATGGAATTGAATCCATATGCAAAGATACGGAAGAATGTATCATGACAGTAAAAGATCGTAAAGTTATCCTCTTCTCACTTACTCTCCACATCACTGTGACCCGTCCGAAGGCTGCAACGCTTCTTCTGATCGGCAGTTTTTGAACATCACCGTCTGTGCGCGGTTCGTGAATACTGAAACCATTTGGCTGAAAGAAAATCAGCGAATACTTTAAATTAATTTCATATCGTCTATCATTACCTTATCAAGACAGAAACCGTTTTTTCATTTGTAATATTGTTTACAAGTATTGATAAATTTGACGATGAAAACTAGTCTCTGACTGCTTGTGGTGAAGAAGTTCTCAGAATGCAGTGGTTCACAATTCTGCCAGTACATATCACTGCTACTTACCACGTCAAACCCCACAATACCATTTCCATCATCATTACTGGTGATCACAATGTAGGCAACGTCCAATACTGCAGAATTCAGTCGGCCTGCTGGTGAACGCAGTTCAACGGGAAAAATCTCGTTTCCCTCCGGTTGTGTATCATCTTTAACAAAAAATTGACAAGTTCCGGCAGTTTGACCAGCAGCGATCGCTCCAGTTCCAGTTCCACCTTCACTATAAAAGTCGTCGGTGAAGTTTCGAATCTACGACACAGAACACAACATTGTTTCGTATTTTTCAATAATGATAAACAATCGATAATCGTGGTGATTGAAAGAAACACTGTATTACAAACCGTGCAACTGAAGCTGATATTGGAATTAATCGCTCCAATTCTTTGAACAGTTAAGAAGACTATTTTAAAACGAATTTCTTTAACTTCAACCCGTCTTGTTTTGAATGAGATTGTCCCAGCCACTAAACACGATCTTAAAGCAGCAATAATGAGCAACGAAAAGAAACAACTTTGTTTCATCCTGTGTATGGAAGAGATTCAAGGGATATTCACCTGTATGAATATAAATTGAAGCATACTTATTTATGTACGTTTTGTTCTTCACCCACGTGTAACATGACACCGTAATCACGGTTAATATTTCAGCCCATAGCAACGCTAAAAATATGACCCTTTCTCGCTAAAATATGAATATCGATTGCTTATACAGCTAGCTTTATCATTGAACTAAGCTTAACTATAAAAGAGCCAGTCTTTACATCAAATTTTAACACAATGTCGATGCTACAATACGCTCCATTAACGCTGGATTATTTCAAAGCGGTTGGAATTACGATAAGGTCATGTTTGTAAACAAAAAAAGTTTCAGCAAATGCGCAACACGTAACTCTCGCAAAATCATGATCGAATACCAAATATAAATCTAAATGTCGTTCAAATACCACATGAGTAGCACATGTCACACGATGTCACTCACTTTTATTAAATTATACGCCGTAATGAAGTTTTAAATTTTTGAAGATGATGTTGTTTCATTGATGTTTCACCCGTTACTACGGACGCTTAGGAATTTAGATGTCGTTCGTCCTCTGTTATTTCAAATCTTCCTGACAATTACTTTACTGTTTGTACGATTTATACGAATGAATCTTTGGGAAATGACTTCTTGAGATTGAAAATGAACTGGTGAAATAAATAGTTCAAGTTATCCAAACTAATAAAGTTAAACGCGTCATTCATACACAAGTGAAGTGCTTTAAAATACACCACAATTTAGTTTATTTTACGAGATAAACGTGTAAAATGGACAGGGTAGATTGCATGTGAAATTAAAAATACCCCAAGGTCGACAGCGAGTGTTTTATTGCAGTAAAATAAACAGACGTTCTAGCACTTTTAAATGTTCGAAATTTGTATAAATTAGCTACATGACTGGTCATTCGCTTCCAGAACGTCCCGTGAAAACTAAACATTAGAATGTCCAGGCTTCGGGATTTTAAACTTGAAGAAGATTTCCTTTCTTGACAAAACTATATTATAAGTTTCACAGCAAAAAACGCAGTACAAACGCGACGTTTTTAAATTGTTCTTCGACCATCGCGTCTGACTGCAAGGTTCTAATTGTTTAAAGACCACTAATTTGTTACATCCTACCTTCCAGTGGAACGCCGGGTTCCAATCCTTAGGAATATCGATCTTTGTCAAGCTTGTACGAGTTAATTTCAATTATTTTAGGCGAATTTTTGTAAAAGGTTATTGTGTATTTATAACTTTGGTTTCGTAAATCACATTCCAACACATAATCACGCGGTCATAATTGCTATTTTATAATAGTTCAAATTTCAAAATACCAACAGTCAGCAGAACTAGCGCGAGCCCACGGATTAATGCATGGTACTTTATGTCAACCTGCCAGGGTACGAGGTTGACTTTATGTAGGCGTTGACTGGCCAACTACTGGCCTGTAGTAATGTAAGCTTCAGGGTATAATCGTTCACGTTTAGGATGCTAGAGAACTTTATTGTATTCGTATATATGTAATAAGATTGCAATTATCAAAATATTCTACTAAATCCAATATCTTACATTTTAGTTTGCCAATTACCTACTTCGTGAAGTTGCCCAGCTAATGACATTATTGGAAATACAAATTTCAAAAGCATAGAAAACTCCTGATAATAAATAGTAATATTAAAACCTATCAATAAACTAGCTGATCCAATTTTCCTTAGTTCTTTTCCCTTGGTGATAAACGCCAAGACGTCGCTCGCTGGTAATACGTTCCTGTACCCAATCGGAAAAGAATGCCTCTGCTGCTAAAGTTTTTTAACATAAAACGGAGACAAAACAGGCAGCATGGACGTCTGTCGTGGTTACTTAATTTCCCCCACTAACGAATCTAACTAACTCTAATTTTTCACCCCAAGACTTTGTCTCAATCTCATGTGTATCTTGCTGTGTGATTCGTTCATATTAGTGCATATTTGTGTACGTATGTCATCTTCAAAAGGACAGCAATGGTTTGAACTGTGAGCTAAATTACATTCTATCTTCTCCTTTGTGCGTTAACTTTGAAACAACTCTTGCAACATCTTCTCTTCCATTGTCCGAATAAACACAATTCACTCAAAGATGGTCGAATTAGCAAGCGACAGAAATGAGCGTCTCTTATGGCTTGGCGACATTGTGTTCTTGATGGCGGCTTGGAGTAATCTATAAGTCATCATTTAAATATAAATATGAAAGGAGTCTATCAGTTTGGTGTCCTTTTTATCAATACTGAGGAATTCGTTTGAATTATGCACTCAATAATTTATAAAACATAAATATTCTATTTTACCTTCGGACGACGGACATTCTTTCAGGGCGCATGCTTTGTATCGTGTAGGCTTCTTCCTTCCATCACACCCCTTAGTCAAATCCCCCGACACTCTGTTCACGCAATGAGCGGTTCTATATCGCAGTCCTCCGCCACAAGTGACTGGGCACTAGAATCAAAGGTTGGAGTTGGAGCAGATAAGCGCATATCAACGAAATAAACAAGAGAATAGCTGACGTGAGCAACGATTTTACTGGATAATAATAAACTGTAATGATTGGATGATAACTCACCTGATTCCAGTCACCAGCCTCCCATACCAAACACGAAGAATTCAGACAGGACTTGCGCTCAATGGGTCTCTCCCTTGGTTTACATTTTCTGTTTCCCCCCTCGCACCAAACACGCCGGGTCATCTCTCCCTTTGTGCATGAACCTCCACACTAAACATAAAGCCAGAGATATCAGCTGATGAAGCAATTGAAGTCAGGGGTCAACAGAACAAGCGGAATTAGTTAGATGTTGGTCCATAGAAATAATGTCTACTGTTGCTATGTGTTGGTCTCAATCATGTCTGTAAAAATCATTTGATCCCAGCAATAGGCTGCCTGATGTTAATCAGTTTCACTCATGATTAATCACCTCTGCAACAATTTAAAACACACAAACCTTGCTCCAGTCTCCCGTTTTCCATTTTGGACACTCGAGCACACAACGCCGCCGTGCAACTGGTCTTGTCTTTCTGTTGCAGGCTCGTCTGTTTTCCCAGCTGCATTTCACGACCCGAGATTGCTTTCCTTTTGGGCATCTCCTTGCTTTACATTCTGTCCAGTCACTTACAATCCATACTGGACATGCTAAGTCATTGCATACTTCGCCACCAGCAGGTCTGACACCCTCACACAATAAACTAGAATCCCCTGAGCATTCTACGGAACGAGTTCTTTCTCCACGTCCGCACGACTTTGAACATTCACTCCAGTTACCCACCATCCATTGAGGACATGATATTTCACCACATTTTTGACTAGAAAGCGGCCTTCGTTCCGTTGCGCAAGTACCAACATGCTCGTTCTTGCATGCTACAGTTCGAATCTGAGTACCTCCTCCACAGGATTTCGAGCATTTTGACCATTCACCAACAATCCACTGTGGACATGGTACATCATTACACCTTTGGTTGGTAGAAGGCCTTTCTCTTTCTGGACATTTACCGGTCTGGTTATTTTTACACGTGACAATTCGGACCTGGCTACCACCATCGCATGATCTTGAACATTTTGACCACACACCAACCGACCATTCAGGGCATGGTACATCGCTGCACGTCTCGTGAGTGTTTGGTTCATCCTCTTCATTACATTTACCAACATTGCTATTCCTACACGTGACAGTTCTGGACTTTGTGCCACCATTACACGATCTGGAGCAGCTTGACCACGATCCAACGTCCCAAAATGGGCATGGTAATTCACTACAATTTTGATTAGAGACTGGTTTATGTTCTTTTGAACAGTCACCAACCTCATTATTTACACATGACACAGTTCTAGACTGTGTACCACCATCGCAAGATTTAGAACATTCTGACCACTCGCCGACTGACCATGCAGGACATGGTACTATTCCACATTGCATAGTTTCTCCTGGTTTATTCTTCAATAAACAATCACCAACAGAACTATTCTCGCAAGAAACATTTCTTGTTTTAGTACCACCATTACATGACTTTGAACACGATGACCATTGGCCGACTTTCCATCTAGGGCATGGTACTTCGCTGCATTTCCTGGTTCTGGCAGGTTCATCTTTCACCAGACATTTACCGACATGATCGTTAACACATGTTATAGTTCGTGTTTGAACACCACCATCACACGACTTCGAACACGCCGACCATTGACCAACTGACCATTGAGGGCATGGTATCTTCGCGCACTCCTGCCTTGTGATTGGTTTTTTTTGGACTGAGCATTCGCCAACATGACTGTTCATACATTTTACAGTTCTTGTTTGAATACCACCATCACAAGACTTTGAACATTTTGACCACTCAGCTATTGACCATTCAGGACACGGCACATTACGACAACTTCTGGTACTTTCTGGCTTATCTTCTACCACACAGTCACCAACATGACTATTCACACACGAAACATTTCTTGTTTGAGTACCACCAGCACAGGACTTTGAACATTTTGACCACTCAGTAATTGACCATTCAGGACACGGCACATTATGACAACTTCTGGTACTTTCTGGCTTATCTTCTACCACACAGTCACCAACATGACTATTCACACACGAAACATTTCTTGTTTGAGTACCACCATCACAGGACTTTGAACATTTTGACCACTCAGTAATTGACCATTCAGGACACGGCAAATCACCACAATTCCTGTTACTTTCTGGCTTATCTTCTACCACACAGTCACCAACATGACTATTCACACACGAAACATTTCTTGTTTGAATACCACCATCACAAGACCTTGAACATTTTGACCACTCAGTTATTGACCATTCAGGACACGGCAAATCACCACAATTCCTGGTACTTTCTGGCTTATCTTCTACCACACAGTCACCAACATGACTATTCACACACGAAACATTTCTTGTTTGAATACCACCATCACAAGATCTTGAACATTTCGACCACTCAGTTATTGACCATTCAGGACACGGCAAATCACCACAATTCCTGGTACTTTCTGGCTTATCTTCTACCACACAGTCACCAACATGACTATTCACACACGAAACATTTCTTGTTTGAATACCACCATCACAAGATCTTGAACATTTCGACCACTCAGTTATTGACCATTCAGGACAAGGCATTTCAGAACAGCTTTGACTTTCTTCCGGTTTTTTCTCCAAAGGACACTCACCAACCTGACTATTCTCACAGATGACGGATCGTTTTTGAACACCACCATCACATGACTGGCTGCATTGTGACCATTGACCAACTGACCATTTAGGACATGGTTCATTATTACATGATCTTCTACTAAGTGGTTTATTACTTGCCAGGCATTCGCCAACATGACGATTGGTACAGCTGATAGATCTTGTTTGAATACCACCATCACAGGACTTAGAACATGTCGACCATCGACCTGTCGTCCATTTTGGGCATGCTCGTCTGTGACAAGGCTTCATGGTGCGAGGTTTATCGTCTGGCAAGCAATCACCGACGTTTTTATTCACACAAGTTACAGTTCTTCGCTTTAACCCGCCATCACACGATTTGGTACATTTTGACCAAGGACCAACTAACCAGTGGGGACATGGTAGCTCACTACAGCTTCGTTGTAAGATGGGTTTGTTTTCATCTCGGCATTTCCCAACTTCCCCGTGTTGACATGTTACATTTCGTCTCTGTAACCCACCATTACAGGTTTTAGAACATTTTGACCACACACCTGTGATCCATTTAGGGCATGGTTCTGTACCACATTCTTTAGTTTCTTCCGGTTTATTCGTCAGTGAACAACTACCAACATCACTGTTCTGGCAGGATACTATTCTCGTTCTTATGCCACCATTACAAGTCTTAGAACATGTTGACCATGGCGAAACAGTCCACTGTGGGCATGGTACTTCAGAACAGTTTTCTGTAGCAGCAGGTTGATTCTTTGGTAAGCATTTACCCACGTGTTTGTTCTGGCAAGTGACATTTCGGATCCGTATTCCACCATCACATGATTTCGAACAACTTGACCAATGACCAACAGTCCACTTTGGGCACGGTACTACACTGCAATTCTGCCTGGATACTGGTTTGATACCAACCAGGCAATCACCTACATGCCTATTTTTACATGTCACCACCCTTGTCTGAGTACCACCATTACATGATTTAGAACATTTCGACCATTTCCCAACAGACCATACTGGACATGCTACCTTACGACAACTCTTCGTATCTAGTGGCTTTTCGGCTTCAGGACAATTACCAACAAGGCGATTTTCACAAGTCACAGTTCTGTGTTTCATACCACCGCCACAGGATTTAGTGCACTGGGACCAACCACCAACGATCCACTTCGGGCATGGTAGTTGTCCACAGGTTTGGTTAGTAGATGGTCTGTCTTTTATTGGACATTCACCAACATGGCTGTTGTTGCAATGGAGTGCTCTGGTCTGGAAACCACCATCACAAGATTTTGAGCACTCGCTCCAAACGTCAACAGTCCAGTGGGGGCATGGTAGCTCACCACAGTTTTGTTTCGTAAGTGGTTTATCACTCACTGGGCATTCATCAACATGATTGTTCAAGCATGTTATACTTCGAGTCTTAGTACCACCACCACAAGACTTAGAGCATTTCGACCATGCACCTGTTGACCAAAAGGGACATGGCACCTCACTACATTTTCGATCAGACTCGGGTTTCTCTGTTTCCAGACATTCACCAATATGCTTGTTTTTACAGCTCACTCTTCTACTTTGTACTCCTCCACCACAAGATTTGGAACATATTGACCATGCACTCACAGTCCATGCTGGACATGGCACTTCGCCACATTTTTGGTTAGTACTTGGTCTTTTTTTTCTTGGACATTCACCAATATGACCATTCTCACAAGTAACAGCCCTGGTTTGGATGCCGCCACCACAGGATTTTGAGCATGAAGACCATGTACCAACTGACCATCGAGGGCATGGTACCTCACTACAACTCCGGCTTGGGACAGGTTTATTTTTTGCATCACATGGTCCAATGTGGTGGTTTTTACATGAAATTTTTCGTGTTTGCATTCCACCACCACAGGTCTTAGAACATTGTGACCATTCTCCGCTTAACCATGATGGACAAGCTTTCTTGCGACACCTCTTCCTGGAAATAGGCTTATCAGCAATAGAACATTCACCAGCTTCAGTATTCTTGCACCACACGCGCCTACTCTTAAGACCACCATCACATGATTTTGAACACTTCCCCCACCGACCAAACTTCCACTGTGGACAAGGTAGTTCACCACAACTTTGACTTGTAGGTGGTTTGTCCTTGGTGGGACAGTCCCCAACGTGACTATTGTTACATCGTACAGATCGAGACTGGCTTCCTCCATTACATGATTTTGAGCAAGGTGACCACAGACCAACTGTCCACTGGGGGCATGACTCGTTACGACATGTCGCTCTAGATGCTGGTCTTGTTTGCGATTTGCATTTCCCCACGTGATTGTTCTGGCAAGTTACAGTTCTAGTCATTTCTCCACCATCACAAGACTTTGAACATTTTGACCACGGGCCCACTGACCATTCCGGACATGGTACATCACGACACTTTCTAGTACTATTTGGCTTGGTTGCTACTAAGCAATTACCAATATGATTATTATCACATGTAACCGTTCTACTCTGTATTCCACCATCGCATGATTGAGAGCATTCTGACCATCCTCCAACGGACCATATCGGACACGCTACTTCGGCGCACCTTTGAGAACTTTTTGGTTTAGCTGAAGTCAAGCATTTACCTATATGGTTGTTCTTACAAGTTACAGATCTTTTTTGAGTACCGTTATTACAGGATTTTGAGCATTTTGACCATTGACCGACCAACCAATGCGGACAGGATACTTCACCACAAGTCTGGTTGTTTGCTGGTCTATTCGTATCCGAGCATGGACCAACATGACTGTTCTCGCAGGTAACATTTCTGCTTTGAATACCACCATCACAAGATTTTGAGCATTCTGACCAATGCCCAACTGACCAATGAGGACATGGTTCTTGGGCACAATTCTCGCTACTCACAGGTTTGGCACTATCTAAACACGAACCAACCTCAGTGTTATTGCATATTACATCTCTGGTGCGTGACCCTCCATCACATGATTTTGAGCATCCCGACCAACGACCTACAATCCAGTGTGGGCATGGTATTTCACCACACTTCTGTATAATATTTGGTTTACTCTGTTCTGGACATTTACCAACTTCACTATTATTACAGGTCACATTCCTACTCTGCATTCCACCATCACCACATGTCTTTGAGCACCCATTCCAAGATCCAACAGACCATTGCGGACAAGGAAATTCATTACATCTCCTGGTAGGCTTCGGTCTGGTAAGACTTTTGCAACTTGTATAAGTTTTACCTTTACAGTACACAATTCGTATCTGGTAACCACCACCACAACTACGAGAACATGGTATCCATTTGCCAGTCATCCACTTTGGACACAGGCCAGAATAGCATGGTCGATTCTGAATCGGCTTGGCGGTGTTTAGGCAGCTTGTACCACCAATGCAGGTAACATTTCTTTTCTGGATACCATTTCCACATGATGAAGAACAGTTCTCCCATTCACCAGCAAACCAATATGGACACTCCTGCTTGTTGCAAAACCGTTTTACGACCGGTCTGGTATCAGTGCACTCCTTGGAATCCTTACTACTGCAGCTTACATCACGTAATTGCACACCATCGCCACAACTAGCACTACACTCATTCCAATCACCAACAACCCATTTACCACAACTTGGCATCACGCACTGCTGTATAGAGGGCGGTTTTTTAGAAGCGAGACAACGCCCTCCATGACAGGAGACAATACGTCTCTGAAAGCCTTCATTGCATGTTACAGAACACGGGCTCCATTTTCCAACACTCCATTTACTACATGGTGCTTCCTGACATGTCTTAACAACGTTTGGTTTGTTCGAGCAGTTTCTAGCATCTGCATAAATGCAGGTAACGTTGCGCGTTGTGGTGCCTAGACCACATTTTGCTGAGCACGGTCCCCAACGCGTGATAATCCACGCACCACATCGTGACACGAAGCAATCTCGTGTGGATTCGGGCATATCGAGGGCATTACACAAGGAATCATCATCATCGCTACAATATACTTGTCGTGTTTGTACTCCCTCGCCACACGAGACTGGACAATCACCCCAGTTTCCTGTCACCCAGACTGCGCAGTCCGGATTGATGCAAGGCCTCGTCACGTTTGGTTTGTTTTCGGGTTTACAAGAATTACTCGGGCAAATCACGGATCTCTCTTGTATACCTGGACCGCATGATGCTGAACACTACAACGAAACAAATTGCGTGCATTACTAGATTTGTGACATGATAATCGGGGGAATATCGTCAATAAGTGTGACTCTCGTGCAATAATATACATCCAGTTTTCTCCCACAAATAATAGCTCACCTCATTCCATTCCCCAGTCTCCCACATCACACATGGTTGTTCGTTACAAGGCCTCTCCGTCTTAGGTATATCAACCTCGCATTCCTCCTGAGTGTCGGCATTGCATATGATACTTCTTGTTTGTACTCCAGATCCGCACGTGACAGAGCAATCACTCCAGTTACCCAAACTCCATCTAGAGCACTCTATCATGGGACACTGGCGGACGCTAGGGGGCTTTGTCTCATTGGGACAGGGATATATCGGGTCAGTGCAGGTGATGTTACGATATTGTGTACCTTTTCCGCAACTGACAGTACACTCTGACCACTCACTAACTGACCATCGAGGACATTCTCCCGTACCAAACATCGCTCTTTTTCTTTGGGGCGGGTTTCAGCTGTACATGACTTGATAGTGCACACAACATTGCGTTCTTTCACCCCCTCACCACAAGATGCTGAACAAGAGCTCCAGTTCCCCACAGTCCAGCCTGAACATTGCTATATAATGATATACATAATTTTGTTTGGCAAAATTTTTGACAATTAAAATCCCGTTTAGATGAAAGTGGATAAAGCATCACTCGTACCTCTTGCAAACATGATTGGACCATGACTGGCTTCTCTGATGCCTCGCACGTGAAATTCACATGACCTTGATCGCATGTGACACTTCTAGTTTTTGTCCCATTTCCACAAGTCACAGAACACTTGCTCCAGACCCCCTTTCTCCACACTGGACAAGGAAAACCAGGGCATGTTTGGATCGCGCGTGGTTTCTCATGTTGTCTGCACATGTTCTCGTCGAGATGTTCACATGACACTTGCCTGGTCTGGGTACCATTGCCACAACTTGCCGAACACTCTTCCCAAGGTCCTTTGCGCCAACGAGCACAGCTGTTTCCGACGCATGTGCGGTTGGTAATCGGTTTAGTTGAAGGATCACATTGAGATTCACTTCCAGGACATCGAACAACACGATGCTGAATGCCAAGACCACACAATGATGAACACTACAGAAAAATACTTAAAATTTAATGCGTTGTATGGTAAAATACTTAACTTCATCCGTTCAAAATTTGTCGTTCAAAATTTGGCTTGACAGATTGCCATATTACTTGGTAAATGCTTGGTGATTACCAATAAATTATTTTCATCTGCACTTACATTATCCCAGGGATAAACGGACCAGCACAAAGGTTGTTCACACATAATTGAAGCAGGCGGTTTATTTTTTCCGCATTTTTCTTCCTCAATGATTTGTCTTCTGTTTACCACAATCTGAGTGCAAAGAACTGCGCGGTATTTGACAGCCTGACCGCACGTTTTTGAGCATTCGTGCCACACTCCAACAAACCAACTGAAAAAAGAGAACACCCGAACTGTATTAAGAGCTGAAAATACTTCGCTTCTTCTCTGCTTAATAATCCCTAGCGAGTCTAAGAAAAACAAAGTATTTCTTCTTCTTACGCAGGCGGACAGGCTTCTTGATTACATCGTCTTTTCCTGTACCCCATTAATGCATTTTCACAAAAGATTTTATCCACAACATTGTCTTCTTGGTCGACACAAGACATATCTCTCTTTTGTATACCTGCAGGATATTTGAAGCAAATGAACTTTTGAAGTCAAACTCGTTTGTGGTTGAGCTGGCAAAAGACGTGAATTTACTGGATTGCGTTTCCCAAGTGATGTAACTATTAGATAAAAATGAATTGGATCAAATTACCTTGACCACAGGTAACAGAGCAGAGAGACCATGAACCAATTTTCCAGTGAAAATATCGAGGTTTGGTGGTTATATTTTTCTTCACATCATACTGGACTTTCAAGCCTGGATTTTTGCCTTGGTAGAGAAGCTACACCGAAGAAGATAAGTTGTATTTGGTTATATAATTTAAGAAGGAAAGATGGAGGGCCGCGAGGGACAATGAGAGGAAACAGGGAGCGGAATGGTGATGTGAATGGAGGGTAAAAGTTGATAGAAATGAAAGTCATGAAGAGGCAGAATGTTGTGGTGATGTAAGGATTGGAGGGGAGACTGGAGAGGAAGTAAGGAAGAAAGGATGGGGTCCTAAGAGAAAAAGATGATGAAGGGATAATTGGATAAGCAAGGATAGGAGTGGCAGGAATGTGAGAGAGGGGAAAACGAAAAACAATTGGAAATCAAACATTGTTTCATGCTAAGAACTCCTACCAGTACATGAAGATCTTCGGTGATGGGTCCTTTCGATCTAAACATCTCTCTATTATGTCTTCGTGAGTAACGACCACTTGTTCCAGCGACGTCATAATCGCCACTCCATTGAATATACCAGTTACCATTAAGATAGTAATCACCAGATGGTGACTTGAGAGCAAGAAAGTTTGATGAGCCAGAGACCTCTTGAATGACAATGTTACGAGACTGTGCGGGAATTACAAGAGCTTCTGTGTATCCTGAATTGACAAAGAAATCAGTGCAGGCTTTAACTAGATGCTTTATAGTCAATCGAGGTAGAGATTGATGTTTGTGATATAGGTTGATTCTAACGAAATTTGTAATCTTCGGTCTTACCATGGCCATGAGGTTGGTCAAAAGATTGATGTCTCGTCTCACAAGTGCTTCCATCGCCACGACAAATACCACATCTGTCTTCCCTGGCGCTCGAGTGGAGTTTGTCATCACAACCAACATGCTGTGCATGAACGAACACACACAAGTTAAGACAAAGATAATAACAGAGGATATAAACAATGAAAGAATAAAACTCTAAAAAACCTCGCATTTTCCCTCGATGCAGATATTGCTAGTTCCATGGTTACACCGAGTTCCATCTTGTGCTTGGATAAACTTTCTGATTCTTGAGCGTCCATTTGATAACAATGGAACACAGCGAAGCTCACATGGATTTCCTTAAAAAAATCACTCTTGTCAATGTTTAAATATTAAAATATTACGCTAGAAACTGTTCAATAAAAGTAAAGTTAGTTTAGGTTTCCTCCTGGGCTGTGTGTATTATAATTTAAATTATTGTAGTTCAGTGTATTTCACAGACTTACTGTTATTCTGTTTAGCAATCCAGTCGTATCGTTTTCCGTTTACCGATAATGCGCGGAATTTTTTACACTGGATATCAACAGGATTATCAGATCCTTCGGCACATGGCTAAAGATTTGAAGAGCCAAATTTATATAAACCAATTAACGAAGTATGGATTTGTTGAACAGAGGTCAGCATGTCTGTTCTTAGCACTGTGTCTGTTCCCAACAAGCGTAGCAAAGAGGATGAATCAAGTGCATTACTTTTCCAAAAAAGGTTCAAACACAAACACACCTGAGGGTTACATATACTGTGTCGTTTCCATTCTCCCACACAATAAGAACCACCAAGTTCTGGTCTAAATAGAAAATGAAACAGAGAGTTAAGAAACAGCATTTAGAAGCAAACCGAAAGGACCCGACTAACGAGTGTATTTCACTTTAATATGTATTGAAAATATACTCACCTTGGTGAATTGCATTTTCTTGTTCTTCTTCTTACTCCTTTGCCACACGACTGTGAACAAGAACTCCATTCAGCCCATCTTCCCCAGCCTCCATCGACCGACTCTGGTAATTTTGTTTTAATTACACACTCGCCCTTTATACACCATTGATGCTGAAAACATGTGCAAGATAAGCCGAAATATTAATACCGTCTCCATAAGAGTAATTCTTGGGCAAATGCCGACGAAGACAGCGTTATACAGCAGAGATAAACTATGCTTTTTAATGATCAAACTGGTTCATCCTCTGCCTGAAATATGGTTGAATAAATTTTCACAGAAAGTTTTAGAAATCTTAGAAAGTTTTTTACTTCTTCAGACTTGTTATGTAGCAACAACGGCTGTTTCTGACAGTTTCTAAACCAGTTTGTTTACATTTTGTTGCCGTCAAATTTATCGCGTCGTATACAGTGTCACAAGAACCTTGTTTTATAAATTTCAGAGTAGATTCACCTTTGTCTTACCGCAAGACGTTCCATCCAGCGCAGGTAGACCTGATTCCTTGCCATAACTATGTTTAGTTGCGCAGTTGCCGCTGCTATGAACGCACCACAATGTCCTGCAGAGACTTGTCTGAAAAACACAGGTAAAAATGCTTGACTACACTGTAATTAAGTTCGCAAGAAGTAAGGTCTTCTAGTTTTTACCTCTGTTCCGCTACAAATGGTTGAATTTGCGCCAAAATACATCTTGCATTGGGCATCAGCGTCAAACCGTTCACCGGGTAACATTCTTCTGGGAAGCTTCGGTTGAAGATCAAATGCTGGTTGATCGTTGAGACACCAACCCCATCCTTTACTGAAGTTGAAAAAAACCTAATGATCGATCTTTAGTTCAACATAATTCACGCTAATCTCGTCCATTGCAATTGTGAATACGAGAGTTGAGTTGTTTTCAATGTCAGATATTTTGAAATATGAATTTGAAAACTCGCAGGGAAAGCCAGGAGATAAAATAAAAACTTGTGAAATAAATACATACAATTTAGGCCCAAATTGTACCGGCGAATCAAGCGTCTATACTAAACCCAAAATTAACAAAACATTTTAATAAACTAAGCCGTTCAGTCATTTATATTGAGTTTCCTTTCGAGAATGACGATTATTTTGACGTTAAAAACCAACAAGGATTGTTTCAAAACACTAAAAGAATATCAAAACACTAAAATTTCTCGCTAAAACACTTAAAAAACGTTTAGACGTTTAAATCTTATTATTTCCAAGCGTGTGCCTTATTAGTCGTTTTCTATGCATATGCTTGTTAGAGACCGCCTCCCGAGACCAGGAAAAGCTTAAATACGTTAAATTTATCGTCGCTCTCAGGGCTAGCCACTGTAGCTGATTCGTCTATGACGCGCTAGGCTTGTGGCGATGCATACTCTGTTTCTCACTGAGACGTAACGGTTAGGTGCACATACATCATGGTCTGGGGGCCGTAGTGCATCTCCCCCTTAGACGGCCGTTAAGATGTGAGTTATGGGGGGGAGTTCTTCCTATAGCAACTGTCCTTGCACCTTTCGTAGTTGTAACTATGCTGAATATTGCAGCCGGTTGTATAACCAGGTTAGATTGTGGCATAGGCTGGATGATCTCTTTTGGGTGTTTTTAGGTTCTTTCCAATTTTTTTTTTCTTTCCAAATTTTTCTTTTACACACAAAAGCACTGTTATTAAACATATATGGAACGGATATGGTTCGAAAAAAAAATCATATCGACTAAAAACCACCTGAATTAACCCCTGAACACTCTCCCCAGTCTCTGCATTGCTGAGTCTCTGAATTAAACAATACCAGAGATCATTCATAAACATCAAACATTTGTTTGATTAGATCAGCCTCTTCATCAACCTTGTAAGGTTGATGTAAAACAGCGACAAAGACATTCAGACAGTCAACTCTGCATTCTCGGTAATGCCTTCAGACCGAGAACTGTCAATCAAAAGTCTCGTGTTGAATCATGGTAAATAAAATGAAGTAAACTTCAGCTAACTTTAAACTTACTAAAAGAATGATTTCATAGCTTTTCTGCTACATCTTGACCATAACTGCTCTGTTGGATCAAAAACGAGGCTACTCGCCATAATGTGACGACGTAATCGAGCACAATTGCTGTAATCGTCATCATGAAGAGCTCCAAGACTAAACAACAAATCAACAAGCGTGTCAAGAAATGGCATCGAGTTCTAACAGCGGTGGGTAATCTAGGACAGTTAACCAACTCCGACAGCTAACAAGAGAGATAAGGACGCGTATCTATAGTTTGGAAAACATGGTTTTTTTCGTGGCAAATATATATGAGAGATTATTTTCCTTTATGAGATGCTCTTGATGGGAAGAATAAATAAACGTACTTGTGTCCCAATTCGTGTGCAATGGTATAGATCAATGAAAAACCACTATCTTCGTTAAAACTACATTCGCTTCCCCTTGAGCACATTCCATCCATGTTTGACAGACCTAAAATTAAAACATTATTTTAGGGAAAGACTAGAAAATAACGGAAAATAACAAATGAATTACCCAAAGTTTCACAAGGCTTGTAGGAATTGCGGCAAATATCTTTCCTATAAGTAAAATAATCCGTTAAAGACAGCTGGGAGCGATCCAGGATATGATTCAGGTGTTTAATAGTTCAAAGAATTAGACAAGGTCCACTCCAATACTTGCCTGGTTACAAGTACTGCTGCGTCAGCGTGTTTAGGGTCTAAATCTGATCGTGGATTGATTGTTTGAACCCAGCGACAGAAATCGTTCAACGATTTTCTAGCGTGGTTAGTGACGTTTAATCCGCGCTGATGAAGAGAGAAAATCATGTTTGTAGAAGATACAAGATGGATGACTAAGCTGGGCGAGGATTGCAATTATGCTAAGCTGAATATCTTTACCTCGTGTTCAGTGTCAATGATAATCATTCTGGTTAGAACAACGTTAATTGCTGAGCCAATACTGCGATGTTTGAAGACTAGAGATAACTAAAAAAAAGTTTGGTTAATTTGGCATTTCATTCTGTATCACTAAATAGTACTGCTGGTCAAATTCAGCAAATGTCAAAAACGTATCTCTCAGTCAGCTTACCATATTGACTATAGTAAACAGGTAACTTTCCAAGTCCCTATCATGGTAGTATTTTGTCATCGAGTAATCTGCCACAAGAAGCAATTCAATGTGTTTCATCAAGCTCACAGCACGTTTGCTTCTTCGTTTAACGTAAAAACCGCCTTCGTCTTTTCTTCTTGGTTCTTCTTCAAAATGAGCATGACCCGGACTCTCACTCACGTCTTCGACTGCGAAATAAAACACAAAGAAAAGATGGTTCATATGATGATAGCAAGGAGTAAAGTGGAATACAGCGAAGAGGACACTAGGGTAGGTCGAATCATTTTTTTTAAATTCTGCACAAGGCATGGATAACAATTTTCCGTTACAATATAACCGTTCTGTGTTTCAGTTACCTGTGACCCCGCACGCCGGTTCAGCGGTGTTCTTTTCTCCTCCGACAGATCGTCTGTAGATCACGTGGGCATGTTTATCATCGTGTTCACTTGGGTCTACTCCCAACACGGGCTCAATAAAGAACTCTCTCCCAGTGTCAGCTCGGATCAAACCTGCCTAGTGAATAAACAAGTTTTAAATGATATCCACGAACACTTGAACAGGAAAATCTGAAGCTACGTTCAGTGTTCAGTGGGTTATATCAGGTCATTACTCACCAATCCTCTGCAGTTACTGACTGCCACTGAACTCTTTGGGTAGTTCCTAACTGAACCGATAAAATGACAGCTCCTATCCACTTGGCTCTTCTTCCCAGACCTCCACTCGACTTCGAGACCGGAAACCATCAAGCCATCGTTCGGTTTCAACTCGAGATGAAAACGCTCATTCTTGAACGGTATATGGTAATGGATCTCAGGGGATTCCAAGGAACGTTTTGCACGATGGTGGTGATAGATATCATGGGATATGAAATTGCTATCAGCGTCGACCAAGTAGGGAAACACAATATGATGTTCTGAAGAGTCCTTCAAGATTGCAGCTGAAATTACAAAACAAAAGCTTATTGCCGCAAGTCTCTATCAGATTTGGATCGTGTGAAATTCTCACGATCTCTAATTTGGTTAGAACCAATTCAAATCTTGCGCTATCTTGTGTTATCTTTGCGCGCGCGAAGGAACAATTCCCATGGTGGTGTCAAGAGCGTTCGCTTCAGGACGCCGGACGTTATCAAATTTTTCACAAATTAATTGAAACACGAGTTCAACAGGTCGTTGAATTCATTTACATATCAGATTCCCCCGTAGTGCATTTAATCTTAATTTGATCATTAAAAGTTGATATTAATGTCTCCTTTCAGTGACAATTTAATCTGAATGCAAACCTCCAGCAGAGAATAAACAAATCACTCGTGAACGGTGACAAAATTACAACGTACATTTAGGTCTGTGACAGCTCAGCGAATTTTACATTTTGATTCAATGCATAAGGCATTTTCACAATGATCTGACAGCCTTGTAAACAAGCTCAAAATGACAGCAATAAGCCAATAATAATCATATCGAGGTGACCTGTCACACAGACTTTCGGTTTTCTCTGTAATCAATTTAAGTATAATTGGAAACAGAGGTCTGGAACCATACATTAGATCCGGTTAAGATAAACGCGTGGAAACGATGACAATCAGAACTTCGCAAGTTCAAGCTCTAGTACAAGAGCATGTTGTTGGCTTTGATTGTTAGCAGTGGTAATATAGACTAACTTGCAACGCATGCTGGCGTGTCGCACACCTCAGCGAATTCCTAAGGTGTGCAGGTTTTCTCAGAATCCACTTCGAAAAGCACGTTTCTGGTTCTCTCTCGTGCAGAAAGTTTTCGTGCCAACTTAATTACATTTTGATGCCGATAAGCAGCGTAAGCTCTTGCCTGCGTCAGGTTCCTGGACTGGCTTTACAGTCAAGGCTGACTTATTAGCATTGAACTGACACGATAGTTAAATACAACAATGATTAACCTTGTTTTTTGTCCGTGATCTTAACATTGCTATGAGTTCGACCAAAGGTGATCAGACCAAGGAAAACAATCAATTGTAGCACAAGCTCCCACATCGCCGTCAATCAAAGTGAAAAGCCAGTTGTTCCACAAATCTAGATGGGATTTAAAAAAAGTTTTATATTCTGCACTTTCTACAATGCGCAATTGTATAGCAGTGGTCGTTACTCGGACTCGCAAACCGTTTAGGTCAACTATGAATACGCCAAAAAAAAATAGATCAAATTTCTACATTTCTACAATATCTCCGAAACAAGCTAAAAACATTTCAAATTTGGCAGAATAATTATGTTTGCAGCTAAATACTTGGTGTGTGGGGAACAGAGAATACTCTTAAAGTTTGATTCCACCAAATACAACAGATTTTTGTCAGGTGCTCATATGTTTCAATGTGATTATCCGATAAACTTATAATGTGTCATAATCTTTGACTAGAGAAAGAAATCTCTAAGTTCTCCCAAAAATAGTAAGAGGTTTTTCTACCTAAAAGCTCAGAGAATTTAATGAATAAATAGAGATAAATGAGGGCAAATAAAAATATCAGACGATTATATTTTCCGGTTCCTTTGAGTATGTCATCGATCACGCATCTCGTCTCTAATTATAGCTGCACATCTTTAATTTCTCATTATTGAAGAATGATGATTATTAATTAACTGGTAACACATGCACGGAACCAATTAGCAATGTATATTGTCGCCTAGACTAGAATGAAATCTTGCGAGATCAGTCGATTGCTGCATTCGCAATGCAATAGATCGTGAAATAGTACAATAGAAAAGACTCCATTTTTCAAACGTCTGCATGGAAAACGACAACCTCATGAGAAATGTTTCAATCTATAGAATACGTGACTAGGGAGAAAAAAAATTACTCAATCTACTTGAATATTCGCTTTCCGAACGATCACGAGAGATCGAATATTCATGAATAAATATTTCGTGTTGTGCTGTTGCACAGAACAATCTCTTATCCCGTTATTAAAATAATGGCATTGAGTTAGTTCGGTTTAATTTTCTAGAAACCACAGCAGAGGAATGTGGTCTCTAACGCAATCTCTCTTGTTTTCGTTGGCTCTGTGCGAAAAGTTTGTCTTCCTTTGTTAATCCATAGGCGATTGCATAAGACCATAAGACCCTGGTTAATTCCTTCAAAAACAAACAGCCGCAAATTATGCAGATTATTTATTATCTGCAGTAATCAAAGTAGGAAAAAATATTTTTGTTTCAATGTACGAATTGGCCTTGTAATTTGAAGACGAATCTATCGCAGTGAATTAAAGATATAGTGTAATTTTCTAGCTCTGCTGTTTCTTCAAAAGCGTCAAGTTTCTAACCTTGAAATACCCTTATAGTTAAATAACCTTATGGTTAAATCACTGATAAATACCTTCGATTCTTAGCTCTCGTGATCCGATCCACACGCCGCGTTAAAGATGTTCGTACGTTGAATGCCTGCCCTTGACTACGACTGTCTTTAGTTTGAGAAACGATCAAAACCTCAACGATTAGTTTAGCCGTCTCTCGTCACTTTCCAAGGACCTGGAAAACAAATAGAATGTGTTGATAACAAATTGCAAATCAAAATATCTCGACTAAATGTTAATTTGGGATTTGTCAATGCCCTTTGATTGAATTATCGATAAAAAAAACAATCACGAGTAACGCCATAGAAACATCGAGCAATTTCGTAGCTATTTAACATAAGATACTCTTTTCAGCCACACAAGGTGGACCGTCTCTTTCCGCGCTTAAATTTTCAGTTGGCAAAAAGGCAGAAGATAGGAAATGCGCTCGAAAGGGCATTTTATTTATATAAACTTAATGTAATGAAACCAAACAGCATCTTTTACAATGTAGCTTAATTTTTAACTCTAAGTAAAGGTGATTAAAGCACACAAACTGGGAGTTATAAAAGCCCAAAATCTGGCACGTTTCGCGGAACTTCATTTAAGTTCATCAGAAATTACCTGTCTCAATGCGCACGACAGCTATCAGATCAAATACACTTACAGTAAAAGTAATCATACCATATAAACGAATTTATACCACGCATGGAATGATTGGGCTTTCAAGGAGTTTCCAATGAGCTACAAGCCTTTATAGACAGCTCGTCAAAAAGACAAGCCAGACGTGAGTTCTGCCACACACAAAACTCTTTAAATGTCCTTTGCAATTGGTTGCCTTGTGTTCTTACACACTCGGAAACTGACTACCTCACACTGGACAACTTCATACATATTTCGACAGGGTATAAATCAAAGCTATTCGGAATTATTTTAAGAGCCCTTAAGTTCCTTTCATCGTTATTCACTGAAGAGACCACTTCTTGCCCTTGTGGATAAGAGGCACTGCATGGTGATTGATAATTTTGAATTATGATTAAGGTGGTTCGTTCAGCTGGTCTGCACGCAATCTCAAAGGTAATATCGCGCTTTCTCACAGCACAAAGCATCTCAATTGTCGACGAGGAAAAAATTAATATTCAACCTATTGGTTATGCTTTACTGCGTACTGTAACTTTTATAATTTTATGATGTATTGTTGTTAGTGTATTAAATATAGCCAGTTTTATATTATATTATTGTTTGTACATGTCGAAAACTATAGGTTCTAACAGTTAAAAGGTTTAAGAAATTAATAATTCAAGAGGTCAACAAGAGAAATGCTTTTATGATCGAGATGTACCTGAGTAAACAACACATCTTTTACACTTCCTTGTAATAACACGGTAAAATAATACAAGAAATAAACTTCGGTAACAAAGACGAAACGTTTACAGGCATATTTCTGGCAGTAAGAAGGATAACTCATAAAGATAGAAAGGTCTAGATCTACAAGGGTATCAAAATTAAACTACAAGCATAGCTAGTCCATGATGTATGTCTTACCCAGTCGTTGCTTGAAGGATTTTATCAAAGAAATGAGTTGATGAAAATGTACGAGTTCCTAAAAGAACTGCTTGATGAAACCAAGTTGATCCAAGGAAGAAACTTGTTCGAGAAAACAAAATCACTTTACTTCGAGATGACGGTTTATGGGCGTAGCACAGTATACTGACCACAGTATAGACTAGAATGGTCAGTCGGTGGTAATGGTTGTCTGAGGGTGCTTGGATGAAACATTTATTATGAGAATTAAATTGGCGTAATCCTGACTAAAACCTCTCACGAAAGGTATCTAATTGCATGTTACGTCAAAATGGTGTAAAAAACCCATTAAAATTGCGGTTTAATGAGGAAAGGGTGAGGTAATAGCTGTATGTGGGTGACAAGTTATCAGAAGATAATCAGGCAGAGTTATAACTGCATCATTACATAACTGATACAATCGCCATAATATATTATACTAATGATCGTTGTGAACAAAGAACATTATGTGTGCAAGATGCTGTGGAAATTTCACACAGACTAGTCGACTAGTCTGCCAGTCAAGAGTTCAAGTATATGACATAAATGTATAGCTACATCCTCTCAAGGACATAACGTTTCTCGCTCGCTACACATTACATGTATTCGTCTTCAGGCATGTCAGGCACATAATGCCGAATATTATATAAATATGACATAGATTCATAGTTCAAGAACAACAAAAAATACAAGCGAAAATTGTGTGACATCTCTGAAGATGATTCGGAAATATCATTAGAGCACATGAGAAATTATCGCAGGCCTATACTCGAAAACAATTGTGCAAAGGAAACTATTAAATTCACGGTAATTGAGATTTAGCAGACAGACACAATTGTGAATTGCTTTTAACTTTTTAACGTTAAAGAAAGTACATCTCCGACGGCACTAATGAAACACTTTGTTTCAGTCACTCATCTAGCGAAAATGATTGGACTTTGCCTATGGCTATGGCTGTATCCAATGTTTTACTTCCGTGCCACTTTTGAACATTTTAAAAGGTTTTAAAAGAACCATTCAGGCGAAGACAGTTTGTTGTCATCTTTGTACTGGCCTTCAAGCTTTTATTTGCAACCAATTCAAAGGTCTTTAGACACAGTTTAACGGCTGCAGCGACGCGAAAAGATTGAAATCACCAGTACTTTGATATCGACAATATTCACAAAGTAAAAGCGAAGTCTCAGACGATAAACTATCAAAGAAGCACTCTATATCAAGTAGATCATAGTATAAGACATTCATTTTTAACTTTTCATGCAAGTTTTAGGCTGGGCATCAACATTGGGAAAGCGGCGGATGAGGATATTAATGCAATCACGAACTTGTTATGGCAAATTGTTCATCTTTGTTGAAATCAAAACTACTCTTTCAAGCAGTTCGTCATCATATCAGAAACATAATTCAAAATTTGCATCAATATAATTGTTGAACAAGTTTCGGATGTTCTAAGTACGAAAGAGTGCGTTTTCCAGATGTGAGACAAGTAGATAATAAATCATTCTTGCCAAGTTTAAAACAAAAGGCCTTTGATTTCGTCGTTGCGAAGTGACGCACGATGCCTGTGGCATTTGTGCGCCGCTGAATATGCTAATTACTAGCTTCAATATAATAAACCCGAGCGTAGCTATGTTGTGCAGATGTACAGCTTGAATGCTATACGACAAGATAAATTGAAAACAAAATAAAACAATTAGAGAATATCCTGGTGAATTTCCGATAAAACACAGCTTATAAGAGAGATCAGTGCGTAATAATATGCCCGGAAACCATTTGGAAACGCGCCTAATTCCTCTGTGCCTTTTCACTGGTATAAATAAACCATCATCGAAACTTCGCGTTTCGTGTCGTTGGATGAAACTAAACCGGAATGATAGAATCTTAATGTGGCAAAATTATCAAACATGATTTAAATACTAAATGCGTATTTGTAATTTTCTACACTGGAGACATGCCAAATAAAATGACCTTGGTGAGAAACACGAATAAACTTAGATTGCTTATTTTCAACACGAGTTTGAATTAGATTAACAAGCATTTTCGCGTCCACGATCATGTCATAGTGTTGAATTAGGTTTTGAGGTAGTACTTTACCTAGGAAAGACACAAGTATCTTTTGAAACTACAGCAATGTTGTTCTACGTGCTAGGAAAGAATGTGATTCTACGAACGAGTCAATTGTGCGTAAGACAATACGAAATTGCTTAACACCTTGAGTTAAATAAAAAAACGATAATAAGATTCGCGACAATAGTTCTGGGCAGTGCAGTGGTCGTCTATTGCGCAGACAACAGTAACGCCAGCCAAATCGAAAACTATTTAAGATGGAGACCTCCTAATGGAGAGTGATGAGACCGACCCGGTCTGATCTACCGCTGTACCATTCCTAATGCGTAGCCCCATGAGAGATGGAGAAGCTCCTCTACCACCGTGAGATAGGGAGGGAGCTCCTCTTCTTTATAAACCCACAAATGGAATTAGGCGGAAACAAAACTCATAACAACTGCCCACGTTTGCTCTCGTGCCGTAGAGCTGTGGCTAAATATTTTGGCAGAAGGCCATATTCATGTGTTGTATGTTGATAGGAAACACCCTCTAGAAAGACTGAGGTAAGGCCCAGCTGTCAGCATATGGTAATGACACCCTTCCCAGCAACCAAAATTGGAAATATCCGTCCGATCTCGTCTGCATTTTGACCTCGCAAACCAAAGTCGAAGTGCGCTAGCAATGTTTATAACTTCAATCAAAATAACATTTCAATACTAATATTCAGGCATGTTCGATTTGCAAGACCGTCTATACAACGATGTTTCAAATCATCACGGTAAACACTAAGTGCCTATTCATCTATGATACAAGCTCACTTCTCGTCTTCAGTGCAAATCAAAAACAGCATCGAAATTATTACAAGTATCAAGACGATTTGTTACAGCAAAGATATAGATACGTTACATATTATCTCGTCTAAGGTATTTTTGTCCCACAAATTATAATTGATACGACTTGACTGATATTGTTAGATTATAAAACAGAACAATTCAAAATTTCTTATTGTATAACTGAAATATCATAATGCATCTAGCTATCTCTATATGTACTCACTTACCGTCGTATCTATCTATCGTTTTGCTACAAATTTTGATAGGACAACGACTATATTACAACTTTGCTATGTCAACAGTCCACACACGATAACCCAGCAATGCGTCATTTATAACATCTTATAAACTGGATTAATGGTCAGTTCATCTCAATGACGCATTATATGCCACCTTGTTTTAACACGCGAATAAATGAAGTTGGCACACGACTGGAATTTTCGGGCGGCTGCCGCCCATGTTGACAATGTAACAGAGGCGAATGTGGGATGGTATAAATAGATATCGTTCAAGGTAGAGGATAATACCATATTATATGGTATGGTAGACGACATAGTATGGTAAAATATAGTATGTTTCAGTGTGGTGGGATACCACATAGGACATAATGTGTGATGTGTAGACTGTAGTATAGTATCGTTTATGATATGATGTACTTAGTTGTGGATAGAAAGATGCTTTATCAAGTACAACCATTGCAGCCCAAAAGGCTTTAAGCGCGTCCGTGTTGTTCATGGAAGGAAAAATTACTCGGAAGGCCCGTATATGGTATATCATATACACATTTTGGCATGGTAGGTAAAGTATGGCGTGGGTAAAGTATGGTATCATGGTTAGTGAAGTATGGTATTGCCACAGTATTATACGATATGGTATTGTATAATATGGTACCTCTGCAATTTATGTGCTTAATGTGAAAGAATCTGGGGAGAAATTCCTGCAGAGGATTGAAATCTTATTATGAGAAGTTATATCACAAGCAAATGATCCCGGCTGATGATGAGGCTGCAGTAATATCACACACCCTGCTGTTCTGTAATAACATAGGAATGCAAATGTATTCCAAAAATCTAATTTGAAGACAATAAACTCGTATAAACTCGTATAAATTACCAGGAAAGCTCTAAGCGTTTCGTTGAAAGCACGCATTCACGAGGAGATATCATACTAGAGCCCACTGATTGACATCGAAACAAAACGAAGCTATTTACGTGGATCTTTAAAAGACGATTTGACTGCGAAAATTTGGATTAGTGAGTTAGTCGAAATATCTAAACAGTTTTGCGACCATAAAAGGAAGCCAGGCGTTTTTTATGAAGCTAAGCTGTTGGTATTTGATCATTATAGTTCCATTATGACGATCGTTAAAATTGCTTCGAGAACGCTCTGTGAAAATATCTGAAATACAGGCTTATTCAAAAATCGATTTAATGTTAAGTTCTTTAAATACAAATTAGCATTCCTACAATGTCTAAAAATAAAGGTTAGGCGCCTTAATAGCAACGACGTCGACGAAGGTATTTTTAGTGTCGATGCTTTTCACGGAGACGGTGCTCAACTTTGGAATTTTTGACAGAGGACCACATCTTCATTTCCCTCGATTAAAATGAAGAGGTGGGGGATGGGTGGGGGAATTTGACGGTATTCCCCTGTCTTTGGAATCACTGAGTTGCGCGTCATAGTTGCAAGGGTCGTAGCCTAGTGCCTGTAGGAAAATAATTAACATAATGTTCGTGTCTAAATTCTTAAGCGGAATCAATAAGGATGTAACAGGAGACAAGTCATACAAAGACCTCAATGAGCTGTTATCAGAGGAAAGACGACTGAAGTACAAGCTAATTATGCATTGCTCAAACCAAAGAGCATTGAAGTTTCAATAAATAGGTTTTTCACAACTCTGTTTATCTTTTTTGCAAACCAAAAGAGGATATTGGTTTGGGCACGAGAAGGAAAGATAACATCTTAATGATCCCATACAAACATGATAACAATCGATCAAATCTCGTGAGTATGATGCATGCAATTTACAGATACGCCGAGCTCAACTGTACAAATAGTACAATGTTATTAGTTCGTCTGTGATAACAGTCATAGCCCTCTTTCACAGCTGTCCAATTTGCGGCAATTTTTGTTTCCCATCTCGTAATCGTTTTATTCATGCAACCCCCATCTAAAGGTCGTGCTGTTTAAACTATTTTAATGCTTTGCTCGAATATCAAATCAAAGCCAGACCGGAGAGCCTTCACTGGGGTAAGAAGCACAGGGAAGCACAGAGAATAGCCAATGCATTCCTTGCGGGAAGTCGATATTTGTTTTTTTTTATCCATATCCTATTATTTACTTAAATACCGTAAAACCGGACATGGGAGTGTAAAAGGCAATAACAGAATAATACGCAAAGCAAACAGAAAAAATTAAATATACAATGCTATTTCTTACTCGACTGCGCACGCGATATACGGTGACGCGATGTACGGTGATATAAATGCGCGCGGCTTACAAAATTTGCGCAAACACAGATCGCACGATATCAGCCGGAGATATTAAGTCCAATGGCTGGGTGTTCTGCATTTCGTGACCTGATTTCTTGCGTGAAATATTAAACATTGGGTGTAGCACCCTGGCTCCAGTCCCACCCTCTTCAAAAATTCCAGCTTAAATTTCTGGCTGCCGGTACTAGTCGTGCAACGTTCATATATGTTAGACTTTGTGCTCGTCATCCACACGAAACAACTCTCGCGTCGATAGATAATTTTCATTCACTTTATTAAATCGCTCCCCCTCGGAGCTCAGCGGAGTAAAGCTTCTTCATTTATACAATGAAATCTAATAACGTGAACATTAAAACCCGCGGTGTTTAATATAGCGAACCATAATCACCTTTTTTTCCACATCGAGGTAAACTTATCGCACAAGCAAAGTCGCAGAAATTGAAACACGCGTAAAAGAGGGGAAGTGTTCATTCCCCTGGAGATTCCCTCTAGGGGTCAATTCTGTCCACATCAGACAGTGTAAATATATCAAGTTCAAAACGGGCATGCATATATGATTCCAGCATAGTTCGTTTACTATTAGCTCGAATTAAAACTGTCGACAGAAAGGTCGTTTAACTGTTTCCTTGTCAATCATTCTCTAATTCAAGAAATGTTTGCACAGAATTTAACGAGACTTTTGCCGTCGTGAGAGGATTATGAAAAAAACACTAAAATTTTAAACGGTTAGGGCTCAATGCTTTGCATCGAAAATTTTACCGAACACTGCTTGCTTTACCAACTATTAAATAAGCAGATATAAAAAAGCACATTATTTTTTTCTGCAACTTACCACAAAGAGATAGCAAGACCAGTCAGTCTCTCTGACTTTCGATAAACCTGGGTAATTTGCCAAATCTGTGCTAATTTCATGAAAGTCGATATGATCCTTCAGGATTAGGCAAATTGCTTGAATATTTTTGAATATAATACTCTGGATATTAATCCCATCTGTTGTGTGGTGACGAGGTGATCATGAATGTCTCGAGGAGTATTTACATGGAATGGGAATTTTATAATTTGAACTATTGGAAGGAGTAACATTTCTTACCAAGGCACGCACGCTCTGATCGGACAGAAATGCTGCATTGCACGCAAGCGTTAGACGTAAAAATTTCTCAACAACAGTCGCTGAAAATATTCACAAAAAATCAAGATATTTTCGCAGAACATTCGCGCACGATTTAAGTGTTTTGCGGAAACATTGACGCAATCATTTGCGCGATATATGCACTTTTTGTGCACCGCGGACGTTAGAAACTGCGCAAGCATTAGCATGCCTTACGTTTATCTGTTTGTTTCCGGCTTTACCATTGAGTGTTTGAATTAAAAGTATTTTTGCTAATTCGTGATGAAAACTCGTAATCGAATACCGTTCTTCATCCGGCAGAGCTAATCTCTGAGAACTTTAAAATTCGAGCGCTCAGCCCGCGTTCCTCCGCTGCTGACATGCAGCGAAACAGGAACACTATGTAAACGAGAAAACAGGCAACATATTGTGCATCTTACCTGACAAATTCATCGCCGTCTGATGGTTGACCTGGTGTGATAAGATGAAACAGGAGTCGCGACAGCCCGGATTGTTTTAAGGCGACATAGTTCTTTCTGAAGGAGAGAGTAAAGACATTCAGAATACGAGACACTCAGGGTTGTGTATGACATTCAAAGATCACAATAATCATCTTCGAGTCCGAGTTATTAGCCGTGCCATGTTCAAATCTAAACAATAAACTTGACTATGTCTTGGTAAGTAACTGATAACGAGAGAGTGGAATTGTATGCTCGCGAGATCGACCACTTGAGATTTTTAGCAACTTTTTGACTTATGCCTCTTTGCCCGAAGCGCTGTAATATGCATTGGTATTGAAGTCCAAATATCGAATTAAAGTGTGAATTTTTTGAACATTCCACTTTATCATATTTTGGAACAGTTTGATGCAAACTCAGCCAAACTACATGCGAGTCAAATTTTTCTAATAAAATAACAAGTAATTTAGCCATCCTTAATGGCACAATTGATTGTAGAGAATGCCGAATTGATCACCATTAGTTTTAAAAACATCGCAAAACTATCGCTTTCTAACCCCTGTGGTCCACAAATGAAGGAGGGTGTATTTGTCTCGCTGTAGCGTCCATGCATCTCAGTATTCATTACACGGTTTAAAGGTTATTATTTGGGAACAGTAAATACACTTAATATAGGCATGTATGACAAGTTTTATCTGACAACATCTGACCTGACCATTTTGCTATTATCTTTTGTATAAACACGATGTACAGGGCTGAGCAAGAGGTCAAATCTGCGCGCATCTTATGCAAAGCTGCCTTGAAATTCGCGCAAAAAGGCTCGATATGCAGAACGACCTAACATCACAAGGGAGGCGACAAACGATTGGGTGAAAAATTGTTGCCCAAAACTTTGTGCAGCTTCGCAAACGAAATCTACTCAAGTCATATAAACACAAAGATAAATATCGAAACTGAACCCTTAATCGCTTTACAATATTAAGTTCCATTGAACAACGGCGTATTATTGTTTATCAAGGAACTGATCAAAGCTCAGTTTATTTTACTAATACCTAGGACAAAGTACGCTCCTCAAATTGCAAAATATCCGATATTTTCATGAAGAAATTAGCACATCTGCGCATTTTTGACAACTTAAACCTGCTGCAGTAATATTAAGGAATTCGATGAATTATTGCTAGTTTCGCTGCTGCTATTTCTGAAATACCAGTTTTGGTTGTTGCTGTCTGACAACACAACTTGATAACCCATTCTTCTGCCAGAATTTTGTGTGTGCGTTCATTCGTTGAAAAATTTAACTGTAGGCTGCCAGGGCTGATTCAATTCTTACCGAAATGCGTTGTGTGGCAAAAGCCTTTGAATAACATAACTCAATATGTCAATCTCAGAGCAACCAATTTGGTTTGACCTGAATGTCGCCTCGGACAATTTGACCACGCAAAAAAATGTAGGTATTTGAATAATTTTAAAGTGGTTAAAATATTCACCCAATACATGTATTTGAGCATCTATATTTTTGTATAAGGATTTTTGATCTACCTTGTTTTCTCACGTGAACGAGGGCGGTTTTCGAAGCAAAAGGTTTTGCAGAATGCTGTAAATTCGTCTTCCACTGATCTGCCAAGTCCTATGCGTCCAACGACCCTTGAACACCACCAGAATTAGATCTCCACTGGATGTTGTTTTGCCAAGAAGCGCTTGTTCTGCCCGGCGCTTGCAAAGGTGGCCACGCTAGATAGGCCAGGAGATCTGATTTCATTCAAATTAGTTGTGAAAATAGTTGCGCTATGGTAGAGGCGTCTAGACGAAATACGATACAGCCTCTAAATTCGAGTTCCCAATTTATCCGACGCAAATTAGACTCCAAGTTTGACGCGATACTTCATCGGATGCAAGGAAAATTACCGAAGGGCCAAACAAAGCGCTCTTGAGCGCAACTTTGTTTTTAATCTGTTAATAAAAGACACCAGATTGGCGCAAAGCACTCACCACCTGTGGACTAAACCCCCGAGGGATGTTTCCGTTGCGCGATGAATTACATTCATGCAGATTGGTTGAAAGAAACGTCAAACTGTATTTCGTCTGACTAAAAATGGTCTGCCAAGCGAACGATGGGATTTTAATGAATTCAGTGCAAGACGTCTCAATGGTTAGACCTTTGGTAAATTATGGACGCATCCAGACAATGGGATGGTTATTGACATCGCGTAATCAGGGCGAGATCATTTTGTCAATGATTGGATGATCGATTGCTTTGGTGTCCAAATCCCAGCACCCCCGCCGGTTTTAGCTGAGCTGGGAACATAATTATCGCTGCAGGAGTTCTCTGAACGGAGCAGAAAGCAGGGGGGGTTGTGGGATTTGGTTCTCGTACTCAGTTCTCTGGGTAGAGCCCGTTGAAACTTGAGCGTTCCAGTAACATTAATAGGCCATTATTTCAGCTATGGAATTACAGAAATGTCAGCATATTGAAGCTAATAATCTAAATAAAATGTAAACACTAAGCAAAACCAGTTAATCCACCATTCAATTCCATCGCAAAATACAGTGATGGCAAGAATTAGTGCGAAATTCTCCAGAGTTTAATTAAATTAACTCAAAGGCGAATGATGAAGACTGGTATCTACAAACCGCAATGACGTCACATTACTTCCTGTTTAATTATTTCGTCGCCAAGCAACGCTGTCGTGGTTCGTGTTGCTATGGTTTCAGCGTCTTTGGTAAAGTAACAAATTTGGTTTAAAAGCTCGTTCTCTGGTCGCGATCACAATTCGCTCAGAAATCCGGAGATAAAAGAACTCTTTAGTTGTTAGAAAAGACTTAGGACTTGAAATGGAAGAACCACAACAAAAAACCACTCAAATTGCCGCAAGAGAAAGAGGTAGGTCGAAATTTCTTATCATAAACGAACATTTTGCGTGCGTGTCGATCAAGCGAGTCAACTCATTGACTTTGTTGCAAGTAAAAATTGGCCTTTTACAATTTTATCGACCTTTTAAGAATATTATCTAATTTTCTGTGTTTATCTGATAAAAAGTAAAGTCAATTTTAAAAGATAATAGTTCAGGATTTATTAGACGTGGCTGCTGTGCTAGCTAGAAATTACATTCTTCGAGTGCAACGCGATTTGTTTCAACCTTTAATTTTAAAAAACTTAATATAAAATTACTTTTAACATGTGTGTCTATGACAGAATATAAAGGAATCCAAACGAATTGTTCATCGACACAGCATGTATAATCGCTTGTATGTACAGCTTTGTTTTGACAAGTGAGCATGTCTTCTAGTTTGATGAAAACACAAAATTGATTGATAAATTGTACCGTACGCAATAATTAATAAATATTTTCTGTTTTTATCGCAAACTGTTTTTGTTAAATGAAAGATAGGAGTTTTCTTATCGTAACAACGACGATCGTAGGGGGAAAATTTCGCGATGTTGCTATGGCAAATTCAGTACAAACAAAGCCGATGTGCCAGGTGTCTTGTTGCATAGGATTATGAAATTAAATATTTATGTTGTAATTTTAATTTTGTTTATTTTAGGACCTGGGCCAGGTCGGTATGGTTTACCCTCAACTTGTGGCTACATCAGTCATGATTGCACGAAACACAAAGCAGCTGCTTACTCGATGGGGAAAAGATTGCAAAATTCAAGTAAGTAGACATGCTTTGATAGGATGAAAAACTGTGGCTGAAAGTTCCTCAACCAAGGTTGATATTTGTAGATAATTTTAATTTTAATTGTCCTCGTGAAAATATGTGCTAATAATAAATTTTTCCTTCAGTGTTTCGTAAAGATTGCAGCCCTGGGCCAGGATATTTCATTGAGGCCTCGATCACACGAGCTGGGAAAGATGGAACACCTGTGTATTCAATCTTAGGCAGACAAAACGATCCTAGTAAGTGATGTTTTGGCCAGCAATCTCCAAATACTTCGGCAATTTACCAGATAAACTATACTATTTATGTCGATCAGATTTTATTCACCAGTGAGTCTGCATCATAGGAGTGTACTAACCAATTCCATTCTTTCTAAGACACATTCAAGACACCAGGACCTGGAACATACTGCCCTGAACGAGTCCACCCTCAAGGAGAAAGACATGCTCCTATTTACTCGATGGGATCAAGAACAAGATATCGTAAAAGTGAGTAGCCATCTGCTGTTTAATGTGTGGTAACTACCATATCCTGAGAGCAATGGAACTTGCATGGTTTAATCCATTGTAGTTATGAAGATAACTTTTGATCAAAATCATCTCATCATTCGTATCTCTTTGCAGGTGACAGTACTCCAGCTCCAAATGCATACGGTCTTCCACCAGTTCTTGGCAACAAGGTGATCAACAAGTCGTCAGCTGCATCATACTCCATGACAGGTCGTTCAAAAACCGGCGGCTTCTCTGAGGATCTTGCAAAGACACCTGGGCCTGGACACTACAGAGTTACTGCCCCAGATACAGTCAAGCAAAATGCTCCAAAGTACTCCATGTTATCACGAAATCACATGCCTGGAGGTGAGCTGAACTTTTTTAGATCATTTTGTTTTTTAATACACATTAGTCTTAGAGGTGTAATTCATTAGAAATCCTAAAATTTTTTCGCTTTTTCTTTCAGACTCAACATTGAAACCTGGACCTGGAGCACACAGCCCAGAAAAAGTATATGCCACAAAGCCAAAGGCTCCATCATTTTCTATGGGAATACGACATTCGGAATTCATATGTCCTCTTATTATTGATGTTCAAGATTGAATGATCAATTATATTGACTACAATATATAGTTATGACTTAAAAATGCTTTCTCTTAAACCTTGGTGTGTATTATGGAACAAGTGTATGCTGATTTTTTACAAAAAACCTGGGAAAAAAATAGGCAAAACTGGGTAAAAAAGTAAAGTATGTGAATAGGATTAACTTTTATAGTATATACAATAAATTTTATTTGTACAAAACATGCATTGCGAGTTTGCTTTGTGATTTTGCGTGTTGCAATGAGAGTGCTTCTGTTGAAGTTTCTCTTGGGATGGGTCTCTTAGTATGTGTCTCTTGGGTTGTGTCTCTTAGTAGGTGTCTCTTGGGTTGTGTCTCTTGGGAAGTGTTTTGCGCGCATGCGTCCTCTGTTACATTACCGCATCAGGTAAATGATTGGCTCAAAATTATTAGTTATAAAAATCTAGAAATAATTCCATTTTCCTCCCAGTTAATTCAAGCGCGTTCTTAAGTCTAGTTTGACGGCTTCAGGACTGAGCTAGGCATCTCTGACATGACATATCTTCCCTGTAAGGTCGTGCAGGATCTCTCCTAATGCTGCGTCTAATCTGACATCGGCTATGGTGACTGATATCAACTCGACCTTATGGACGTGATATCTGAGGAGGCCCAGAGCTTTACCTTCGATAGCGATACCTTTTGAAATGAAACCAAAGTTGAAAGACGCCATTGTGGAACTGTGACCTGAAGCCATGTTTATGAGCATATTCCCATTCACGATTCACGACCTTAAAAGCGATATCCTGAAGAATATTGAAAGAAATGGAGAGGAATTATTATATGATTTCTTATCCATGGACTCCACCATACGACCACGAAACACAGGCTAAACCAAATGACGTAGCTGCGTTTAAAGACGATTACCTCGTACGGCGGCCCAGAATGAAACCTTAAAATAGCAAAGTCCTTCTCCCCTGCGCAAGGTTCCTGTAAAAGATACATACGTAAAAAAAGGCCGTTAAAAGACACATTTTAAATGCGGTTTCGCCCTGGGCAAATATATTCTTGCAAATCCTATCAAACTACTACATAATACTATATCTAACTTACTATTAAACTTACCAAATAATACTGCGGTGTCTCTGTTTTGTCAATAAGGTCGGGGTAAAAAATCTAGAAAGAAAGTAGTTTGCATTACTATAGGGAGTGTGTGCTTAGAGAACAGGAAGGCGACATTTTTCCGGCTTCTGAGCTTTTAAGGTCGGTTCTAAAATTAAGAGGATATGTACACAAAAAAATAAAACGAAGAAGACGGTGCCTAGAGGAAAAGCAGGCCACTATTTCTCAGCAAGGTCCTGTAGAAATACGAAGTATGGAAAGATTTAAAGAGCTTAGAACTGAACGCACGTGAACGAGGACTAATGGAAAAAGTTCGAGCATTTTTACACTCACATTGAACTTATATCCTTGGACAATTTTAGGTGGTGGATTATCCATGTCGTAATGGGTCTGATTATATTGTTCCACTCGTAACCCTAAAATTTAATTTACATTGCAAAACATCAGACCTTTCCTGGCGAGCAAATCTGCAGATAAAACTATATATGGTAAAAATACACAAGAGAAGAAAGATACGAAACAATCCTGGACTTACCGTGTGAACCCTGTTGAAAAACCTTGGTTTTCGTGGACGATACTTGTCCTGCCAGAGATATTTCTAAGAAAACAAAAACATTGTTGGTATTAAGAACTCAAGTTTTGCGGTTGAAAATGGAATATTTTGCCTAAAATATCTATTGAATCGATATTCAAAAGGTTCTTCTCAAATTTATCACTCGTATAACCTTCTGTCCAAGTGGAACAGGAACATTAAATGTTTCTTCATCTGCTCCCATGTTTTTACTGGCCTCCAGAGTCCTCAAATCCATCGTAGTACTGCTTGAACTCTGTGGAAACATTCAACGTGATAACGTAATTGTTAAGCTAATGTACTTGGACTTTCTATACGAAAGCTGGACAGCGCTATCCACCAGATTTGAAGCTTAAAGTTATTAAAGAAAGTCCGCTTTTACGCGTACTAAGGTTTGATCCAGGCTGTACCGAACAACGGGCAATTTTAAAAACATCACTATCCATGCAGTAGATAGCGCTATCCAGCCTTCATACAACCGCCTCTGGTTCTGCAATCTGCTGCAGCAATCACAGACGGGACTAGATAAGATTGATAACAAGCTCTGATGATGATAACTGAACAAACCGTACCATCGTTGTTCTCTCATCCAACATAACACTCTCTCTTTGGTTTTCCTAAATACACAATAACATTTTTAGCCTCTCAGCAAGAAACGCGAGAAAGACGAGCTTCTCAACAAATCAAGCCAGAAATGTATTACATCTTGTTTATATTATGTATGAAACAAACGACAATCATTGACTGAAATGATATATCATTATAATCATACCAAATCAAGTAAATCCTTTTCTGGGTCCACCAATTTCTCCTGTTGATGAAAGAATGGATTAAGCGATTGTATTTCGTTAGTTTGCGGTATTTTGGGGGATGTTACCTGGTCTACGTCGGAAATGCGAATCAGAATTGGACTGTAACGACCTTCTTCGTAAGCTTTGTAACCTACACGCAAAATATGAAAGCATGTTTGAAGAAGTTATGCCTATGCAGGGCGGCTTGCTCACAGCTCACTCAAGAACTGCGAGGCTTGCTCTAGAGAGAGGAGCAGCATTGGTAAGCTTTGAATGAACCACGTTAAAAGAAAAATCGTCCGCTGGCGAACTTGAACTGGGTACAGCTGGAGGCAGTGTCAAATCGTGGGTTTGAAAGGCTGGGGTATTTGCAAAGATGCAAAGAGACTTTTACCTCGCTCAAGCAATTCCTCTTCTGAAAATACAATTTCTTCAGATCTACAAAAATAAAATCAACGTAAAGAATGAAATCTTTTCACGAAGTTCAACTTCAGATTTAGTTTTTTCCGACAAACCTCTTCACTTCGTTCGCTGAATCTTCTTGTTCAACTGTGTTGTCTTTCTTCTCATCCTCCACCATTTCTTCATCAGGATCTTCATCATCATCCTCACTTTTCTCCTCAGGCACTTCTTCATTTTCATCATCATCATCACCAGTCTTCTCATTCTTGCCGGAGGTACTCGGAGTTTCCACGATGGCCTAGGGATAGTTGAAAGGTTTAAATTAACAGTTTATACAGAGATACAGAGACAGAGGTTTGCCTGTGAAATCACAGAAGGATTAACGACCTTTTCATTGTAACACGTTAATGATACTTTCTCCAGAACAAACTGCGTGCAGGCCCATTTCAGAAACGGTCAACTAAATTTCGGCAGCCGTTTGATAAACGAATTCGAAGCGGACAAATCTAAGCCGTCTCATAGTAACACTTGCTTACTGACTGCTGAAAGGAAAGCAATCGGTTGGATAGTTGTTTACCTCACGTTTTAAAGTCGCCAACTTTTCTTTCAATAATTTTTGATGATTCTCCCGAAGTCTGGATTTTGCCATGAAAACGTTTAAGTGCTGTTGAAGAGATTCCCAATATCCTGAAACACGAGATGAGCGTATTTGAACAAGCTATGATACGGAAAATGATACAGAGATATCCCATATAATAAAAGCTATTTGCTGTGATTTTCTTCTCTTGATGGATGTGAACAAGTGGATTAGTTACGGATGTTCAAATAAGGGCAACTATACAACAGAATATTCATCACTATTCCCTCGTTTGCATCCATCAAAAGAAGAAAACCGCATTGAAAAATTGCAAGTGTAAATCGTGCTATAGTTTATCTGCAGCTCACCAATATCAACGGTGCCTCCCCCGGATATTTTCTGATTTATTTGACTTCTCAAAGCTGAAAGTTGTGCTGAGGTTTTTCCACGAAATATCTTCTCAATATCCGTGTTCACTGACGAATTAATCGTCTCTCTTCTCTCGTGAAACTGATCTATAATGATCGTATTCACGATGAGGCAACGACATAAACATAAACTAATGGCAAACATGTTGGAAATGTAGATTTTTGCCATACCTTTGTTAGGGTTTTGCTTGTTTAGCTTTTTCTCTTCATTTTTCGTGACAATCAACATGTCCTTGAAAGAAACAACAGATTTAAATAAAACAGAAATCATATCCACCCAGTTGAAGGCAATGTTCCAAGATATTCTCTAATGTTCAAGATGTCCCCTGATGTGCCTTGATTTTACTAGTACATTTAAGAGATCAATAGGTAGTGGACTTAGTGGATTTCATTTGACTGAAATAAGAAGACTGTTGGACTGAGGATTACTAATGGTGATCTGACAATCACACCTGCCAAAATTGATGGTTTTTTCCTTCATCAATCTCAAGATAGAGTTTCATATCTTCAATCAAATCACCAAGATCATCCTGGGAGAGTCCCTGGGGTGAAAACAAAAAAACAAAATTTAATTATTCCGAAGTGAGAATGAACTTGCAATAAAGGAGTTTAAATTTTACTTACCACCAGAACAGAATATGGTTCATGCATTTGGTACTCCAAATTTTCTTCATCAGGGTTAATATATTGGGCTAAGAGATCAATTGGTTTTGCTCGACCATCAGCTATGCGTATCTTTGACCTCATTCTTGCTTGCTCTATGTGGAACTGGAGGAATTTCACAACAAAATGATATATTTTGGTTCATGCTACTTAGCTCATCTCAATTAAATTGACTTCAGTTTTGAGTAACAAGATCACTTATTTACAGTACCATATCTTCCTGTTTTTCCCATTCATTATAATACGCTCCTTCCTTCTCTCGTTGCATCATTTCCTAAATAAACCATTGATAAATCAAAAACTTAATCCCTTGTATTGAATGTCAATACTCATGCAAAAAAGAAGCTTACCCTCTCTTCATCCCTGGCCATTCTCTCATGCTCTCTTTCCTATTCACAATAGTAATATGTAAGATAAGTCTTTAAAAACATTTCTCCTATAAAAATCAATAAAATTTCATAAAACTTACCTGTCTTCGTTTCTTGACGCTTGCTAGTTCCCTCTGTAAAGTTCAAGCACAAACTCATGATAAGAATATAAAACTTTATGGTATCAATAGTTTCAACACAACAAGACTTGGGTCCTAACCTTCATTTCCTCACGTTTCAACTGGTTCCTTCGAACTTTCTCAGCTTCACTCAAATGAGTCGTGCCTTCCTTTTCATGTTTCTAGCAAACCAGATGCATAGCATTTTGAAACAATACAAGAACATAAAAATCTTTATGTAATACAGTCTATCATTTTGATCATCATACATACCTTATGCCAAATAAATGTCTCTAGTAGGTGTGTATCACCGTAAGGATTGTCTGTGTTGGTGTAGTTCTGAAAATTTGATATAAATTGATGTTCTAGAACAAATTGAAGTCGAAGGAAGGTGCTGGGGAATAGTAGAAAACCTGGTCCCAAACCACAAAACTTAATTAGTCCAACTTACCAATTCTTCATCATCCCAGCCCATTTCTTTCCTTTTCTTAATTTCTTTAGCTTGCTATTGAATATCATAAACATTCTTTAGCAAGTATTTTCATTCAAAGTCAAACACATTTCTTGTACTAGTGTATTTCATACAAACCTTCTTTGCCAATCTTCGAGCTCTCTTTTCCTCAGGTGTTTCCAAAGCTTTCATAAGTTCCTTTTCTCTCCTTAGTAAACAATATATTGAACAATCTTTCAGAACATCTTAATCTCATGCAAGCATATACACAGCGAATAAGGTGCTTCCTTGTTTCAATTCATGCAAATTTATCGTACTATGAACAACGTACTCACTTTCTAGAACCGCGGCTTGTAGTTTCTGGTTGTCTCTTAGACTCGTTTTCTGGCGACGAGCTGCGTCTTCTTTCGCGGTTTCCTGGAGATGGAGACCTGCTACGACGTTTTTTCTTTTTTTTGGAATCTTTTCCCATCTTTAAAGAGCGAAAAGTTCAACTTAAATGGTTCAAAATATGCCTCACATGAACCTTACTAACGTAACTGATGAAAAGTTTATACAGCCATCTTGAATTAGAACGAGAGGAGAGAGAAGACTGTGACCGAACACTGATCTCAATACGTACAGAGTTCACTCCATAGAGAGTTCACTTTCACTCTCCTGCACCACGCCTAAATAATTAAATATATATGCCAATACTCTTTTCACAAGTCAACACAATACACTATGTTCTTCACTTGCATTTATGCACCTAACTAACAGTCAGTGTCAGTCGGCTGGTGATTATGGACTAAACCAGCTCATTTTAGAAAAGTTATGGGGCGAAGATAAGTAGTATGTATGCACGAGTGGTGTGTGCCGAGCAGCTTCGTCCCCGGCGCGTGTTTTACACAATTAATATAAAACAAAAACATGCGCTGGAGACAAGGCTGATAGTCCTGCTTTTGGTTTTGGTGGCGAGCACTCCACCTCGGGGTTTATAGTAGAGCTCAGTGATACGTCATAATTGTTGTTTAGTCTCTACTACGCATGACCGACTCAGCCAAAACAAAATATGAATTTTTGAAAATTCTTTGTAGAAAATATTGAGTCATTTCGCTTTGTCTTTTGTAAATCGAAATACAAATTCAATGGGAATGAGAAGATCGGTATTCCCTTGTCGATTAAAAAAGGTAAAGCTATTCAAATACTTTTAGATTTGTACAAATGAACTTTTAAATACCCGGCATGTCTTTGTATAATTGTATTAAAGAGGTGACAGACGAGCTGTGAGGATTTTATATAAATATGGTGACTCGTAAACAAGAAACAATATTGTTTATGCTCTCGGAGTTACTGGTTGTCACGATTACGTGATTTGATTACTTCCCTATGATTACTAGATCCTTCATTTTTCGTATAATTTGTCCCTTGAAGTTGAAAAGTGAAATATAACGATGTTTTTTTATATACACGTTATTATTTTAAAGTATGCTTATAATGTACAAACCTCCCAAGTTTAACTGGCACAAGGCTTGTTAAAAAGAAAAGCACTGCACCGTTGTTTTTAACCAGAAAATATCAAAATTATTTTATTATACCATATAAACCCTTTAATTAATTGCAATGAAACCTGATTTCAATCCTGAGACAAGATATTAAACAGAACTGCTGATGGCCACCACTTCATTCAATATTACAGAAATTATTTTTACTATGAATCAATCAATATATATGTGCAAATGGTCCTCAGGGTTTTAAATTATTTTTAGTAAGAAAAAATGATAAAGGTTCATTCCTATCATCAGATCCTCTCAAAAATTAAACATAATCTTGTCAGGAATGAACGTAAGTATTCCTGTGACTTTTTGGTGAATATGCTCTGTAATTTACACCTGATACATCTCAATATTTCTCATCGTCGTACAGGGTTACTGCTTCACCAAGTCTTGTCAAGACCTCTTTCTGTCCGTACACATCAATTACCACATCACGCCAGCACCAAACGACATATACACATCAGCGCCCTTTGGTGTGATGAGAAGAAAGATCCGCCACCACCAGAGGGTCAGGTTGATGCCGGCCAGACCAAGGAGGTCAAAGGGGATGAGAAGGGAAAGACGGGAGGAAATGGTGGCAATGGTGGACACTTGAGGTGTCCCAAGTGTGGTAGTCCATGTACACATGTTGAAACATTTGTTTGTAAGTGTTGTTCTCATATACAAGTTTCCCTGATTTCATCGTGTGTAATTTGTTTTATGACTATTTGTATCAGTGTATATAAAAAGATCAAGTGGTAAACTGAGTTTATGCCTTTGCAAATATGTCTCTTTCTAAATGGCGTTTCTCAGTCTAGATTTATTTGCTCTCTTTCAGCGTCAACAAGATTTGTTAAGTGTGACAAATGTCATCATTTCTTTGTTGTGCTCTCTGATATTGATACCAAGAAATCATTGAAGGTTGACACAAAACATCCTTCTCCAGAAACTGAGCCAAAGATGGATAAACAAAAGAAATTACCTCCTCCAAGAAAAGTTAGTGTTTTCTGTCATTGCAGTACCAGTGTTCATTAAATATTACATCAATCCAATGCATTTAAAGTTGATTAATTCATTGGGATTCAGTGTTTTTTCCATCTTTTTTTCCATCTTCTGAACCCCAAATATTTCATTTAGATTTTTGACTTTCTCAACAACTATGTCATTGGTCAAGAGCAAGCGAAGAAAGTGCTTTCTGTTGCTGTTTACAATCACTACAAACGATTATCAGTCAATGTTTCTGATGATTCTGCACAAGCACAGCAGAATACTCCCCAGCGACCTGCTATAATTGTTTCACCTGCGCAACCTTCGAACCCCCCAAGAGGTACGTTATGACTGAGAGGTATCATATCATATAATGTATCTATAAAGATATGATAGAGGATCTATTTCATTGACTAAAATGTTTCTCATGCTTCTGAAACCTTTAGAGCTTCTTCAAATGGCCATAAATATGCATCACAACTCTCCACTTGGAGCAAACAAGGTTGAATCTACCAAGCAAACAGCAGAGGATTCACGTGGAAGTGAAGCTTTAGATAGTAAAAGTGAAAAAGTGAAGCTGGACAAGAGCAACATATTGATGCTTGGACCAACTGGATCAGGTGCGGGTTATGGATAAACTGAATATCACTTGCATGTCTTTAAGATCTGGCATTTGTCTTGCAATTCTAGCTGTGGTTTTGTAAATCCGATCTCTTTTCATTTCGCTGACCTCTTCTTCAGGTAAAACTCTTCTGGCGCAAACCATCGCAAAATGTCTGGATGTTCCATTCGCGATCTGCGACTGCACGACACTGACTCAAGCAGGTTATGTTGGTGAAGATATTGAGTCAGTCATCGCAAAGTTGTTGCAGGAAGCAAATTTCAACGTAGAACGAGCCCAACAAGGTAACGCCACCATACTGAAGAGTCCTCCACAATTTCAACTCTAGGAAAAAAGCAATAGTTTTTCAAAAACAAAGGTGTATGGGCTTACCTTGGTTTGAAGAAAACAAGTGAAACACGCATAACAGGCAGCGTTTTGTTGACGTTTTCTCTAAATTTTTTCAAGGGATTGTTTTCCTCGACGAAGTGGATAAAATCAGTTGTGTTCCAGGATTTCATCAGCTCCGTGACGTGGGAGGCGAGGGAGTGCAACAGGTTTGTTTCATTGTAATCTTCCCCTCCCTCCCCCTGTCGTAGTCTTTGGTGGGGGTATAGACTAGCTTCTAAGCAGGTTATCCCCCCTTCTCTCCATTTCCCCTTCTCTTCATCGCCCTCTCTCCTGGGAATCCTCTTTCTTTGAGATCAGTGGTGATTTACCATCTTCGTCCACCGGAATGCCAGTGCAGGATGTGAGCCACAACTCTCTCTTTCTCTCGCTGATTATTTCATCGTTTCTTCCAGGGTTTGTTGAAGATTCTCGAAGGGACGGTCGTAAATGTCCCGGAACGAAATTCACGTAAGATGCGAGGCGAGACGATCGCTGTGGACACAACAAATATTTTATTTATTGCGTCCGGTGCTTTTAATGGCCTGGACAAAATTGTAAGCAGAAGAAAGCAAGATAAGGTAAGATATCCCCGTCACGCCACTTCTATGATATCAGACACAAACCACGACAGCTTATTGTAGAATACTACCTGTACTAGACCACCACGTTTGAGATATCTTTCTCAGGTAGTTCAGACACAAACAACGACAGCTTATTGTAGAATACTACCTACACTGAACCAGCACGTTTGAGATATCTTTCTCAGGTAGTTCAGACACAAACAACGACAGCTTATTGTAGAATACTACCTACACTGAACCAGCACGTTTGAGATATCTTTCTCAGGTAGTTCAGACACAAACCACGACTTCTTTTTGTAGAATACTACTCACACTGAACCACCACGTTTGCGATATCTTTCTCAGGTGTAGTTCAGACACAAACCACGACAGCTTATTATAAAATAGCATCTATACTAGATAACTACAGTTGCTACACATACCATGCAGTACATGTAAAATATTATCTTTGCTTCTATCAAAGGTGATGGGTTTTCAAATGCAGCCAACTGGCCCAGCACCTGTGATCAAAGGCGACGCGATGGACATATTTAATTACAAAATTAGTGCAGAGAGCGAAAGTGCTGAAAAAGATTCATTGCTTTACGAAGTTGAAGCGGGAGATTTGATAAAGTTTGGAATGATTCCAGAATTTGTTGGTCGTATGCCGATTACCGTGAGTTTACAATCACTCTCGCGAGATATGCTCGTCAGAATATTGCAAGAACCAAGGAATGCATTGGTGCCGCAGTTTCAGACATTGTTTCATATGGATAAGGTGAGAGCGACGTTTATTTCCTCTAGCTGTATGAAGCAGACCCAGTAAGATCGTCTTCTACCATCGTGGAAATATCGAGCGAAAATGATGAATCCCGTCTTTGTGCTCACTGCATGCAAAGCCCCGTAATAAGGAAGCCTGGACTAACGTTCATTCCTTGCATAGGTTGAGCTGGATATCACACAAGAGGCGTTAGGACTGATTGCTCAACAAGCACTTGAGAGAAATACTGGTGCAAGAGGACTGAGGTCTATTATGGTGAGTTGGTTTTGTACAAAACAAGGATCGTTCTCGCCAAAATTCTTATTTCATATCAAGTTATAGCTCGAAGCATCGCTAGTTATTGCAATAATTTGTCTGCGCAAAGAGCTTATATAAAGTTGTGCTTCTTATTTTCCATTCAGGAAAAGTTACTTCTTGAGCCGATGTTCGACGTCCCGGAATCAAAAATCAACTATGTCTGTGTTGACGAGGACGTGGTGAAGGGAACGAAATCTGCCATCTATAGAACTTTGCAAAAAAATAGCGATGAAAATTGTGAAGAAAACAATGTTGAGGAAGATTCTGAATCTTTTCCTAAAGACGCTACGTCAAGCGGATGATTGAGAGCTGTCGCGGGTGCTGATATGAAACTATATTTTAGTCGTTCGTGTAAAAATATCGCTTTATGTATGAATAGGTAATAATGTAAGAATTTTGAAATGAATTTTTAGATTTAAATATAGAATGTTGTGTTCCCTGTCGGAGTAAATGATCAGAATGTTTGTCTTTTCAACGATACGTTTGGCAAGCTAGTGCATCATTATACTCATACGAATATATTTCATTTTTTTCTGTACAAAATAACGAATTTAATGACTACATTATTCAGTATATATAGTGTAGTGCCAATTATATGCGATAGTTTGTGTTCCGAAATATTGAATACTTCTCAGACCTGCTTTTGTAGAACTTAGACAAAATTACAAAGCAAAATTTGTCAGGCGAATTGAACGTGTTTTGTCTTGTGATTATCTTATCTGGAGATAATCAACAATATAAAAATACTTATGCCTTTATTATATGTACAGTACTCAACTTCGCTGCTAAAAACTCTTCATTTCAACAAAGTTCTATACACAACTAAATTCCATATATACAAACTGATTCATTTCAATTGATGATTTTCGATGAACAGAGAAACCTTGAAACAATCAACTCCAGATGAATTCTTTACAACTATTCATGTTCTGAACGATGTCGAGTCCAATCCAGCTCTAAAAGGCAGGCACGAGAATATCATTGAGGCTATTATCTATGAGGCTCGAGAGACAGCAAATATAGCTGTATGTCTACCTATATTTGAGTTTTAGATAACTTACTTTGGCACTGGCGACTGCAATAAAATTTCGTTCCTTTTCCTTTACACCTATGCGGAAAAAATTGACATATTTCAAGCAACCTTCTGGCGTTTAATAAGATATTGTAAATCAGGTTCAGATGTGTTTAGACCTTTCCCAGCCATTATACACTGAGGCCTGGGGTAAATATTCTGATGGAAAAACTCAGAGAGAAATATCTTGGGAGGAATATCTCGATTTAACTACTCAGGACCAAAGAACTGGGAAAAATATCTCGAATCACAAACGTTCAACCTGTATGTTTATCAAAACAACTTACTTTTGACACTTCTTGAATGTCTTCACTTCAGTTTCTTGTTGTCTACAGAAGGCACACGTACGTAGCTTCGCTTCCTTCATTTTCAAAATTGCTATTTCCTTTTCTTCTTCTTCAATTATTTTTTCATACTGCTCGTTAGGATGCGGTTCACACAAATGAAGTTCAGGAAATGTTCTGTTAATAAAACGTTCAACAGCAGCATCACAATCGTGATATTCTTCATCATCGCTGCTCACCACTCCATTCTCCGCAATTTTCTTTTGCCTTTTCCTCCGTCTTCTGATCTCTTCAACCTTACAAGGCACATCAATGGCGTCGTTAGTTTTATCCTCGGAACTATCCTCTTCAGGTGTTTGAAATCCTTCAGAATTTTTATCATTCTCGATACTCTTAGCATTCTCGGAACTTTTATCCTCCTCCAAACATTCATGCTCGGGATTTTCGGCCACGATCTCGTTTCCCAAACTTTTGCTCTCGGAACTATTGCCTTCGGAACTCTTGCCCTCCGCGATTTTATCCTCGGACTTTCCACCATCCGAACCTTTATCACCGGACGTTTTCTCCACAGAATCTTTTTCTTCAGAGCTTTTCTCTGCTGAATCTTTCTCCATCGAGATTTCACTTTCTGTAGTTTTATTTTCAGAACTCTCAGCCACAGAGCTTTTGTCTTCAGCGAGCTTCTCCTCGGGACTGTTTTCATTATTTTTCATTTCAGAGATTTTCTCATCGCAAGCTACACTACCATCGCTACTTAATTTTCTTTCGCTCTGCAATCGTTTTTCCAAGGCAGCTTTCTTTTCTGCTATCTTCGCCTCGGCCAACGCTTTGTGCTTCGTGCAAAGGCAATTCATCAGCTCTTCGCGGGTAGCTTGTGGTTGTTCATGACTGTGATCATGATTGTGACTGTGATCATGATTGTGGCTATGGTCATGGCTATGTTTATGAGGATTACAGTTGCAAACCTTGCCATGACAAGGATGTTGACAGGCAATATTCTCATATTTTTTGCCCTTCTTCCGAATATCTCGTTTTCTTTGCTTTCTCTCGTGCATATCATAGTAAAAGTTTGAGAAGTCTTCAGCTGCATCGACCTCAGCTTGAGAGGGTTTCTCGTCTGTTGCTACAGCTAAGGCTTTTGACTGCTCACCACTGCCGACCGTTTTTGAACTAGTACTCTCGCCTCCACTTTGCTTCCCAGAAGCTGATCCAGTTTTTGAACCACAGGAACAGCCAGTACTCTGTTGAGGAGCTGAAACTGCCTTACTGACCTCTGGTTTAGTTGGTTGACTGGCCATCAGAGCTGCTTTTATGGCAGCTTGCTGCTTCAGAGCTTTCTTCTCAGCCTTACTCTTCTTTCCAGATTTCACAGGCATTGGGTACAGGCTTTCCTCCACGTCTAACCATCGCTTGAGATAGCGGCATATTGAGCCAGCAAATCTCACGTACAGTGGTAGAACACAGATGACCTGAATTGAACGGAGACCATGAATGAGACGAAGTTGATATGATATGTTTGCAATAAACCAGGCAAAGATATGAAATGCAATTCGTTGGATTACATAAATTTCTTGAATAAATAAATCAATGGTATTAATTGAATGAATGAGCAAATAAATGTATAGATTATATTCACCTTGACACAAGTTCCTGCCTCTGTAGGCTCACCAAACAATCTCCTGAACACATCTCTGGATTGAATTGAAAATGTAAATTAAAATTAGGTTTTTTTAAAACAACACTGAATCATGCTCATTTGCCACAGTTATGATTTGAGAATGGTTTAATTAACAATAGGATATCAGGAAAACAAGATGATGATTTCATTACCTTGTTTCCTTATGAAAAAATGGGTCTTTTGCTAAAAAAGAATATATGAAATTAGTTTAAAGTTCTGCAGTTAATCCTTCAAATCACACCATGGTAATATAACTGTACTTTACCATATGAATGGGAATCCATATAGTGAATCATGTGTTTATTTCTTGCCACAATAACAGAGTCATTGAGGAACTGCTTTGCCGCACTGAATTTGCCTGGAAGAATGATGAATGTGACTTAATAGATGTCCCCATGAACATGATGAGCAAACAATCTGCAACGTTTATCATTTAACAACACAACAAAAGAGTTACCATTTATGAATGTTTCTTGCGCATATGATCGAAAACTTTCAATGAACTTTTTCTTAGGATCACTCTGAAAATGCAAAATATCATTCAAAATATTTGCATCCACATCTTCAAGTAAGAAAACATTGACAGTATTCATTGACTTTACATACCATTGTAGCAATGGCTTTGATCTCAATATGATTATATGAATATTCACAAAATGCATCCAAAAATAACTGCCTTTGTTCCTTGGGCTATTAAAACAAACATTAATTATAAATCATTATTAGAAGGAATTGTTTTTATGAGAAATACATCACTTGGCAATGTGACATGCTAATCTCCAGGAAATATCTGAGGTTTCTATGAACAAATTTAAATGTGGAGGAAGAGATAACTTTAAGAGAAGATCTTAAAATATGGAAGACTTCTGGGGTGTCTAAATGTGTTCCTAACCTATATATTTTGTTTTAGAAATAGTTGGAAAAACATGCTAAATATCTCCTCACTTTCTGGCTTCCTTTCAACACAGCTTGATCTGATTATTACAATAGAAATATGCTTGAAGGACATAAAATTATACTGGAATTTGGGTTCCAATGAAATTGTTATAATTACGTAATGCTGTACGCTTTGTACACAATATCCAGTTGTAGTAGTTTGGTGACTTCTATTCAACATCTGGTCAGTAGATCAGGTAAAAATCAATTAAACAGTGTGTTTTTTAAACAAAAATACCACAATTGATTTTATTGTGTAGTTACTCGTAAGTATTCTGTGCGCAAAGTGATGATAGTAGATGGATTGTATACCAATTTTTCGCATTTTTACTCCTCGAGCTGTTTGTGAGGATTGCTGATTAAGCTGTTTTAAAACAGGTTTCCACACATATTACTACAGTTTGACATATTGGCCATCAATATTACATGCTAGAGAACCTACCTCTTCTTGCATAAAGCGTTTAAAAGCACCGATGTGCTTGAAAAAATACTCGTATTCATAGTTGTTCAATTCTGCGTCGAACAGACCAAAATCGTTGCTGCTAATCGGGACTCTAGTTGTCATCATTTTGGCCAGAAATACAAAACAATTTAAAACAAAGTAGCTACGGATATTTGAGTTGAATCTTTGTTAAAATTGACGACGTGAAAGGTTTGTAACTCTTGTTAAAACAGTTTAAAATTCATCGAGATCACTTATTCCACTCTAAATGCGTCGCCATTTTGCACGCATTCCAAGAACAGCAACCCGATATTTAGGGCAGTGCAGGCATTCACGCAGTGTTAGCCAATCAGATCACAGCGATACGGGGACGTCCCAATACGGCCGTACTCTGACGTAATGTCCCAAATTCATTCCATATATGGAAAAAAATTGTGTCAAATTGCAACACAATAGGACAAAACAGAAATTGTCATAGCCACAAAAGGACTACAGTACACGAGCCCACAGGTTTCGACAACTTTCGAATGATCAACTTTCAGAATACGTCAAACAGCCACGCCCATATTGGAGAATAGATCCGCAACTTTGAACTACAGTATTGGAGATTTAAAGCGCAAAAACAATATAATGAAAATCAAAATACAGCCCCAGAAAGCTGTTCTTAGCAAATGAACAAAATACATGCAAGCAAAAGAGGTGATAGGATGCTAAATAGTTGATGAAAACTAGACACGCGCGTCGCTGCGTTACCAATCTTGGCCAGTTTAGCGTGTTCACCATTACATAAGTTGTCTGTACACCATTGGATACAACGTAATTTCCCCGTGCGGTCATCACAGGCATTTGCGCTGCGCCAACTTCGTCCGCATCCCGCGCTCACGACCCGTGGTCCGTGACGTCGGACTATCTCGGCTTCTTCACGGAAGCACGCATCGTCGTCACCCGAGCATGTCGTCACGCCGTTTGCTAAACAGTCGGCCAATGTTCGTTCATACTTGCATTTGTAGCATGTCAGAGAATCGCCTAGTTAAGTCCAAAGATGTTAATTAAATGAAGTTTTGATATGTGATTAAATAGAAAAGGTTTTGTCACTTTGGTTTAGAATAGACAGCCTATGCAACCAACGGACGCCAAGTTCTACCAGAAAATAGAAATTTGAAATACAGTGTTTCATAACGAAAAGATTATGCGCAAAGTTAATTAGAACTTGAATTGAAACTAAGCCGTCATCAATGAAGACAATGTTTAAAATTATATTCCTTCTGAAAATGTTATGCGTCACTTACCAGGTCTAAACCACAGGAAACACAAAAGCAGAAGCGTCAAACTCTTAACCATCATTTTCGCCATTGTATCTTATGGTCGTTCTGTGACGTCATTTATATGGTAATTTCTGTGCACGTGATCTGCTGGCATCTCATTGCACGACAAGAAATTGCATACTTCACGTGCGCTTATTCATGAGCCATTCATCATAGATATCACTTCTTACTGTTAACTATGGATTAATATACAGTTTTACATCTTACGATGCACACTAAAATTTTACGCTATATTCCAATACGCATACAGTTCACGACTTAAATAAATTGTACAATTTAGCCCAACAAATATGAATGTTATATAAATACCCAACGATTAGTTGTTTTTTTACAAACGTTAGCATTTGCGCACGAAACAGAGACGCAATCTTTTCAAGATAAATGCGCCAGAATTCCCCCCCCCCCTCTCCTTTTTTTACCAGTCCGTATTATGTGTGTCATCAGTGATTTCCGTCACCGAACTATTCTTCAAGTTCACCAAAATATTCCGAATGAAAGTTCTTTCAGAGTTCTGTCGATTTCATGCCCACAAATTGATATCCATTTGATGAACGTTGTGGACTTCGTAAGGTCGTTTTACCCGCGTTGCCAGGAGGATGTCGTCTTGGCTGGATGAAATCATGTTGTAATGAATGAGGTGAGCGGTTGTGCGTGGTTTAGGATGTACTCTATAGTATAACATGGTGTATGGCGGGGTATAACATTGCATGAATGATGAATACCTAGTGTATTTCTGTTGCAACTCAATTGCTATAAAACAACCATGCATCACATCTTACCTGGTAGGTATCATTTCTGCTTGTATAGCCCCCAGATGATCTGTGGTTCGAATATCTTCGATCGTGACTTTCGCCAACCCCTCTGCGTTGAACCGTGTTACTCTCCACCTGTGCGTCCTGTGGCATGCCAGTCTCCGGTCCCAACTCCAGCAATACTTTAAAATTTAGTTTATTATTTGCAGATTCGGATCTGACCTTATACAGAGACTCGTGCGGCAAATGTGAGCCAGAATAACGCTGTGTATGGCCACGATCCTCGCGAACACGCGCAACTGACACGGAGGATTTCTGCACGGGGACCAAGGCTGGGGTAAGCTGGCTGAAAGTTGATTTCATTTAAATTGAAATTGAGTGCGCGAAGACATAAAAAAACTACAAACATTTTTACTCTACTTACATATCCGGTTCAGATTTATATGGCAATTGTCTTTGTTGTCGTACTTTTGTCATATCTTCATAAGATCTGCCTTGCCTGCAGTTTGCAGACAAAATATTGCAAATGAATGATCCAATAAACGGTTGATAATAAAAAAATTACATTTATTACCTCTCCCGAGAGACTTGATGTAAGTTTTGCGTGCTGTCCACCCACTGCGCCGTAGAATCATATGGCTCCTCTGTCTCAGTGTAATAACCTCTACAAATGAATAGAGCATTTTGTTTAATGGACTGAATTGATGATTATCGTATCAGAGGGTCCTTTTAGTTGTCCTTTAGTTGTCCTTTTAGTTGTCCTTTCAGTTGTCCTTTTAGTTGTCCTTTTAGTTGTCCTTTAGTTGTCCTTTTAGTTGTCCTTTCAGTTGTCCTTTTAGTTGTCCTTTTAGTTGTCCTTTCAGTTGTCCTTTTAGTTGTCCTTTCAGTTGTCCTTTTAGTTGTCCTTTCAGTTGTCCTTTTATTTTAGTTGTCCTTTTAGTTGTCCTTTTAGTTGTCCTTTTAGTTGTCCCTTTAGTTGTCCTTTTAGTTGTCCTTTCAGTTGTCCTTTTAGTTGTCCTTTTAGTTGTCCTTTCAGTTGTCCTTTTAGTTGTCCTTTCAGTTGTCCTTTTAGTTGTCCCTTTAGTTGTCCTTTAGTTGTCCTTTTAGTTGTCCTTTCAGTTGTCCTTTTAGTTGTCCTTTTAGTTGTCCTTTTATTTTAGTTGTCCTTTTAGTTGTCCTTTTAGTTGTCCTTTTAGTTGTCCCTTTAGTTGTCCTTTTAGTTGTCCCTTTAGTTGTCCTTTTAGTTGTCCTTTTAGTTGTCCTTTAGTTGTCCTTTTAGTTGTCCTTTTAGTTGTCATTTTAGTTGTCATTTTAGTTGTCATTTAAGGTACCCATTTTAGCCGTGCTGTGGCATTAAATCGAGTGTAGTGTAAACGGGGGTTTATATCTACCTCTTTCACAAAGATACTAAGTCGTAACCATAATTAATTCATTTTTTTCCTAGGTCAATAATTACAACTCCTACTATAAAATTAAACTGATCTAACCTTGTCTTGGCTGGTCTGGGTCGGTCGATGGATCGGTCGATATAGTTTGCACCTTCAGTCTCAGTACCGCTTGCATCACCAGCTGAAGCATAGCCTCGGTTGTTTCGTCTTCGTCGATGTCTGAATTGACAAAATACAATCCATTATCACTGAAGAACTCGGTGTTTTTTTAGCGTTTTTGTTAAAAACCGTAATTACCTTCGGCGTCTTACTTCAGCTTCATCATCTGAGACGTAATTCCTTGCTCCTCTTCTAAAAAGAAAGAGTTGTTGCCTTAGTTTTTCACTTCCAAAATCTTTATAAAGTGGAATGACATTCGCTAAACAAATTATAAATATTTAAATCATCGTTCCTCACCTTCGTCGACCACTTTCATTGTCACTACCACTCGTATACCCAGGACGTCTTCCGGGCCTAGAATAAAATTAATCCCTCAATTCGAAGCTTTATCAAGATCTTTCTCAACAATTTAAAGAGCTTGGCTTTCAGAAATATCAAGAAAGATGGTAAAACAATCATCTTGAGGAAGAACAAGTTTAACGAGCTTACTTGGGAAATTTTGCCAGATGATTTCCACCGTTTTGAGTTCTATCACCGTTTGTATAAAGACCACTAAAAGTTGGAACATCATGGCGTCTCAGATCATATGTATTGTAAAATGCGTAATCTTAACCTAAACCAATCAACATTTGTCAGAACATTATCATTCTTACCCAGCTCTGGGAGTTCCGTTCATTTTCGGTTCTGCACTTGATTGCGACCTTTGAGAGACGAGAGGAGCTTAATTATGACTGCGCAAATTGTTGATAAAACTGTGTCTTCAAAGAATCCAAATAGTTTTCAAATTACCATCGGTTATTTCCATTCGCTGCATGTTGAGAATGAGGGTTAGTCGCCGCTGGTGACTTTCGTCCCTGATTGCTGAGAATCGCTGGAAAGACAGATTGGAAAGATACAATGTCAAAAGTTGTATGACGCTCGATAAAACCGTTCCAGAGTCAGATCATCGAAATATGTCACGATCTTTGAATTGATCCGTTCATACCTTTCCTCTTTTCTTGAAAACTTCGCCTTGGGTACTTCTTACTCGATTTTCTGTATGAAAAGAAAGGAAATGAGCTTTATATGGAATAGAGAAAGATGAGAAAATGTTATTTGTGAGCGAAGAGACTCTTCAAAACTTGAGTACCCAGAAGTATAAACAAAAGGGTAGAGGTTGTATTTCTTAAAATCTTGATGATGCAGAGCAACTATGCGATACCTGAGAACCTCTGGAGCTTGTCGCTTTCTTCTCATGCTCTCTTGAAGTGCCTCGTACTGAGTACGACCACTATAGCGATGTTTAGAACCAAAACGGAGAAAGTTCTGTCCAGATTTAGCGGTAGAGTTGCTCTTCTCCAATCTAGACAATAATATGGAGGAGAATTACAGAAGCCAGTTATGGCCCAGTTTCAATCCCTCCTCATGCAGCTTTTGCAAAAATCAGGACAGTTGATTGTAGAATGCTATACTGTACAAACATCAGACCACCACTGCAGTACATTTGAGATAAGCTTCAGGTGGAATACTGCATGCGTACACTGGACTACTACGTTTGACATATTTTTTTGAGTAGTCAATGCACTCACAGTTAAACCACGAGAGCCTAATAATATGTATCTTACCTAAAGAAAGCGTGATGCTCAACACAATTCTTCCATAAATGTTTACAGGATGACTTTCTCGGCAAGACAAACGTATAACTGTCCTCCTTCTCCTATAAAGACATGAATATCGGTTCCAAAAGTTCCACTTCTATAAACTAAAGCTGCAGCTACTGGATTATACTAATTCACTTACATTTTTTCCATATACTGAAAGGTAAAATTTCTTCCCTTTGAAGTACAACTTTGATATTTTTGGCCTAAAAAGACGTGAAGATATATCAAACCTTTTATTGTTTATAATCCTTTAAGCCTCCAAGAAGCAATTTTATATATAATTACGGAAAGTTAAACGTACCAAATGTAATTTCCAATGATATTCCCCCGTTTCTTGACTAAAAGACCAGATGGTTTAATTCCAAACTCATAATCAACTCCGTCTTCTCCCTGCGAAAATGAATACAATACTCGGTTATGAACAATACTACGGAAACAAACAATTCTCTTTCTCACTCTTCTGCTGTTTTTTTAGCTCGTTGGCTGCGGTTTTTGCGTATCCCAAAGTAAATTCATGAAGGAATTACATTCAGACTACCGGCAATTTGATATTTTGCAAGGCAATCGCTCAAACATGTATCCGGGGAGAACTATGTTAAAGCGTCCCTGGACACATGGGTGGAGGGGGAATCCGGGCGAATTTTATACTTCCTAGTGCGACATCTTACAAAAAACACATAAACTAACTCACCCTAACGTGGTGCATATCCGCACCGTATAAGTCCAACCATTTCGCTTTGTCTAGAAACTCCATTTCACAATCAGCAGGAACCATGTTTCTAAAACATCATGAACGCGTCTGATTAAGAAATCAGGCGAACAGCTGCTTCACAGACTGGAGTTTATAGTGCGGGTGTGTAAATTCAATGTATTGATTACAACTAGTGATAAATAAAGACCAACACGGTTTATTTCTTACTTGAGGGTCTTATGAATCTGTTCCGCTTGTTCTTCCATCTCTTCGGACTGAATTCAAAATATGGGGAAATAAATGTCAAGGGCACAACCTGGCCAAGGCGAGGGGCTTACTATAGCAGATCAACCCCCCCCCACCCCGCCTTGGTTAATATTCTTTGCAGGACTGTAATCTTCTGTGGTCAATGGCTCTATTCCTGGTTTACGCAATGCACTGAAACAACAATAAACACGTACCTGATTTGGCAGAAATCGGAATTCAGAGACATAACCCATTGTATGCCTTTGATTATCAAAATCTCCGAGCTCCGCTGTAACAGACAAGTAAAGAGACGATAAACTACAAATCCTTACAATTCATTATACACTAGAACGAACTATAAATATATATACCTTGAACAACATAGGCAAAAAGTCTTGTGGCGACAGTAAATGAACAGTGAAGCCTGTAAAAGGGAAACATTTTAAAAGATCAAAAACAAGCACAATCCAAAATGGTACATTTAAAATGGAGCGGCTTTTTGATTTTTCAAAAGTAATGAGAAAGATTTCGACCTCTCTATAGCTTGCTTCTAAGGATACCAACCTAGATTGTAAAATATCTCTCTTCAGTTGTTGAAAGAACAAGTACCTGTAAAGCGTGTCGCAAAGATTGTTAAAAAAATCGCACACGGGAAATGATGCATTTTTCAATTCTTGATTTACCTGGTTATCTCTTCCTGTAATTTACAAGGATCTGAAGAATAAAACCTCACACCAAAGTAGAACACAGAAATATCTGAAGAAGGACAGAGATAAAGCGTTAGCAAATCACAAAGGTTTGTGAATACGGATAATCCCTAAAATATAATACTCACTTCTGTTCTGTTTGATAATAGACTTCTCTGGATCCAACCATCTCTTTAAAAAACAATTAAAATCGAAAAAACGGTATTTAAGAAATTGTCGCTTCAGATGATTTGTACGGACTGAATTTAAGCATATGAAAGTTGAAGATAGAGAACATTAAATGAAACTTGACTCACCGCTTCCTCGCAATGATCCAAGAATCTTAAACCAAAATAATCTTTCTCAAACAAGTTAATTCGGTTAAAGACTTGGTTTAAAAGTTCTTGACCTTTGGTATGGGCCTAAATTCGCCAAAAAAAATTTGACCAAATGATGTAAGATATTTGTAATATTGTGTGAAAATCGGATAGAAATGAATGTGGACTTTAGCGCAGTGTTATACATTTGCGCAAATTATTTTATGCAACTTATACGTTTGCGCAACTCGTTCGGACGATCACGCGATACAAAGGAAGAGTCAAAATGACCCGAACAAAAAGACATTAGGCTTATTTTGGTTTTCGTCAACCACACTTCATTCTGTCAACCAGAACCGCAACACATACGGATCTCTTTCTATGTGAATTAATTGAGAGGTCCTTCAGTCCAGTCGCTACAACAATAAGTTTGGAATTTAGTGAAAATTTAGTGAATTTTGTCTGTGAATGTGTTGGAAAAATATTATGCATTCTCATAAATTCCTTGTAACGAGCTTCGATGCAACTTTAAGAAAGATCGCGTGTTGCTCAATAGGACGAGATTTTGGTTTCCCTGATAGAAATGGAGGGTTTCCAACTGTTAGTTAAGATAAGATGAAGAGATATGTCATCCAAGCTCAATGAAAATATACTTCAGTTAACAATGCCTGCAGAGTAGGCTAAAATGCTGCGATTATTATCTCACTTTCGACCACACAGGAGCAGTAAAAAAAAGCGCATGCACGCAGATTCTTTGACAATACGCAGATGATCAGAAATATCGTAGAAGTTACTAAACACTTCGTTGTGAAGAAAAATACCTAATAGCTATTCCATCAACTGAAGATGAATTAAAGGTCTGTTCACGCGATCCAATTTTGTTGGATCCAACTACTGACGTATGAAATATAGTTGGTTATTGATAAAGCAGTACTGCATTGCGCTTCAGTGAATTTGATGCTCGTATACATTACAAGACAACAGACTATAAAACATCCATCAGAAGTGAATTGGATCCAACAAAATTGGATCGTGTGAACAGACCTTAAGATATGTGGTCTAATACGACATATGGCGACAATATTCGCTGATTTGATAAATTTCTGGAAACATTATTAACAAAACATGGAAAATACATTTTTAGTAACCCGAAGCGCGTTGTTAGTGCAAGTTGCAACGCTGCAGTTATTTCTTTCTGAAAGACATATTCGAGCTCTGCAAATTATTCAAATAGCTAGACGCGCAATTACTGACAATCCATAAGATCAAAGAATCAATATAAACTGATCGACGGAGATTTTTTGACGTGCAAAATGAGGGCACAAAGTGAAAAAATCTCTTTGTCAAAGACAAAAAGTCAACAAAGGATTAAAGTTTATTATATGCAAAAGGAAGCAGCAATCCACTGTGGTTTATCATCAACTTCTATGGTAACTTGAGAAGTTGATAAATATAGTTTCGAACTAAAAAAGCTCGCTAATTTTATGCGCTGCTGTGAAATATTTTGCCACGCAGTCGAACAGGCGGTAAAAGCACATGATCGAATACATGTCAATTTTTTTGAAAAGAACGAGCGTGAAAACTTCCATGCGTTTGTGTGCCCTTAAATCGCTTTAAAACCGGGCAAGTTTAATCCCACTTGACTGTAGAGAAGTCGCCGGATAAATAGTGAATAGTTTGGTTGATAACCAGATAGTTTAGGATATTTTGTTGCCTGTACGTTTCACTAACACTCTCTGCGCTTCCATAGTAGAAGATGGATGGTAAGATTGAACCGCGAGCACATCTAGAAATCTTTTAAACACTAAAACACCACGAATTCCTTGAATATCAACTGTGGGTCATTGTTCAAGCGCAATATTAGATTAAAAAAAAAGAGATTTCCGTAGGCGATGAGTATTCTCAATGATATTTTGAAAAGCTGTAACTAAGATGCATAAGATGGATTTTGACCAAAACAAGCGTGGTATGAGAGATGTCATTAACGTTACGCACGAGAAACACGCGTTTCAGAAAAAAATTTTTCGTGAAATCATTGTGGTCTGACGTGCGCAAAGTTGTCATAGAATTAAACATGTTCACTGAAAATATCTCGTTGATATTGGTGTTAAGTAGTTTTGTTTATACTCCGCTAAATACGGGTTATATTTGACTTATATAACGATCATGAAAATAGGTGGGAATTGAAGGCGTGAATCGCACGTAAACGACTAAATTCACACGTCGACTTTTGGTCTCACGAGTTAGGAAAATCCTGGTAGCCTTGTATAGTCGTAATCACATGTTATAACACTTGTTTTTTATCGCCCGTGTTTCGACTGAAGTTCGCCACTATGAACGCGTATTCCAAGCATTAATGCTTTTGCAAATAGCACCGAACATATTCCTGGCATAATAGTATATTTACACCATACTTGTTTATTGGTAATGTTTTTCATGTTCTGAAGGAAAATTTCATTTGCTTATCAACACAAACACACGTATATAGTGCGTCTGAACTAGCCTCTATTATCTGAAGTGATACATCTCGGCTTGATATTTTACATGGCTTATAACAAATCGCGTTTCTCTGCCAGACGTACCTTCATCTCTATCGCAATTTCTGATTCATCTAACATGACAACATGGCACACAATTGCCTTATTCTCTCCACCAAAACACGACATTGTTGTGGTAAAAATCCCACGATAATCAACCAGATTGTTCTGAAAAAAACCACACTGTTATCTCTCAGATCAAGCTTGAACTTCTACCAGGCGTTGGTAATGAATTTCCGCACCGATTTGGCAAAAACCCCGAAGACACAAGATGTTATGTATTACACGTAAATCTCAGTCACTTTGCGACTTTCTTAGTTTGTTTACTTCAGAGTCGCAATTAAATTGAAATTGACAACACATGTATGTTGCAAAGACGCTTTGATTAAACCCGACAGACCTTATATGGAATGTTCATTGTTTTGAACCGCCTTATATGGAGCGCGCCGGAAGTGATAAAGGAAGTTCGAAACAGTAGCGTTTTGAATCAAAGCTTGATTTTAGAAACGATGAAGTTTCATGTTCTCATATGAATGTACTTTTGGAAAGTAGGACCACAAAACTGTCAAAACAAACAGTAAGATATATTTTGTGCAGTTTAATTGTCTAACCACCATTAACGACTAGGCACTACAATCAATACTATCAGAATTATATCTAAATGGCACATATATTACCTCTGATTATATTTAAATATAGTAATAATAATGCCAACTAATTATTTGTATATTACACAAATTGCCACTTCTAAAACTGATATGTACAGTTATGTATAAGTTCCAATTCCTGGAAACAAATAAATAAACATCTCAGATAAATACACTATTTTTGTACATTTACTTTTTTTTCTTTTTTTTTAAAGGTGACAGGCAATGCTAACACCAGTTTCAGACAATTTTTTCCACCTAATAAGTGTTTGGATGATTGAAGTGTTGGATCTAGAGGTGTTTTGTACTTAATCGCTAGCTAAAATAGATGTTTGATTGCAGCAGTTGATCAGGGTTCAAAATCAACAAATTGGAATATCTAAAAGCTCTCAGAATTTCTCTGATGCCCCATTTGACTTGCATATGTCAGCCTTGGTTGCCTTTTTCACCAGGAGAAACACATTCACATGGAAGTCCAAAAGCGGAGACCGATCTAACCAGTATTTAACCAGACTTACAAGTTCTGCAACATAGGGTGACTTCATGCTTTCTTCAGTAGGGTGTAGCTCGGCGTAGCAAGTGTACAGAGCGTAAAAGGCGTTTTCTCTGCATGACTTACGCTCGTCATAGACACCATCAGGGAAGACAAGGTTCTCAATAAATCTGGTCACACTGTGATGGGCATTATCAACAAACAGGAACATGGAGCCAGCCGGAGTGAGCTTTAGTAATTCACGGAAACGAGTTGTGGATTTCTTCAGGAAATGAATGGCAGACACAAATTTCACAAATGCATACAAAGTTGCCTAAAGAGAAAGAAGGATTTAGTACATAAAGAACACCACAACCCAGCCACAACCAAGGTCCTAACAGGCACAACCACTCACTCACCTTCCTGAAAATATGAGCTGGATGAAATCTTGCTGTTATGTCGAATGCTCCATAGTTGAACTTGATTCCTGGGATATTCTGCAACAGCAACTGTGCCGAATGTGACCACTGTTCACAGCTGTCCATGAGGTACCAATGTGTGTCCTTTGGAAGTACTTCATGTAGGCCTAGAACTTCACTGCCTGGTCCCGCACCGATGCAGCACACATGTAGAGGTCTACAGAGAAAATGTGATACATTTAGTGTGATTGAAACAAAAAAGTATTTTATACAGTGATAGTCTGCTTCTATCCTTTCAAATGATGAGACATACTTTTGTGATTCATTGGCTGTTCGAATGAATTCATTCAGCGGTGGAAAACATCCAGATTTCACAGCAGCTTGGACCAAACTTGCATGAGAACAACAATATGTACCCAGGTACGCAGATCTGATCTCAGCCTCTTGGAAGGATGTGCGACTGGTGGCTTGCGTAGAGAATTTCTGGGACATTTGAACAAGCTTGCTTCGGAGTACAACCTCCCAGAAGCTTGGGTCTTGATGAAGGATCTTGAGTTCCAACCTTGTTTTGCCCTCAAGTTCACAAAGCGACCGCTTAAAGGCAACTAACACCATCTGACAAATGTCCACTATAAAATAAAACCATGAATATGTTAAAACTTAGTCAAGTGTTACTGTTAGATTTCAAAATGAAAGACAATATTTATCCCTCATTACTGCCATGGACCCTTGTAGTGTCCAATCATGCCCACACCTGTCTGTTTGAACCAATTATTTCTATCTATTCAGAAATCATACAGTTTACAGGTGTTCGTTTCACAAAAGCAATGTCAACAAAGAAGTAATTACACCCTAAGCCATAAAAACTTGAACTTGTCTACTTAAGAAATAAAAATTGTTTGATTTTCAGATAGGAGTTAAAAAACTTACCGTCCATAGCCGTCTGGAAGAAGGAAGGGGCATCCATTGAAGGGAAGTTCACAGCCAAAACATCCGGTTTTTTGAGTGCGATTTCTTCCTTTATTGGTTTAGGGCCGTCAACTAAAACCCTGGCATATGATACTGAAGGTTTCTCCAAGGAAAGAATAGCATTTCGATCCACTTGTACTTGCGTTAGGGCCGGGGAAAGGCTTAAATTTTGAGCGTATCTAGCATTTAACTCGACATGATACCATTGAATGTCTTTGTAGATACGACACTCGAGACAGATTACATCGAATTGTTTGAAATTGCACAACGACAGAAAGGAATAGATGGATTTAAACGTAGAGCATTCAAAACATTGGTTTAAGGTATCTTTAAGATTCAGACCGTTACGAAATGCGACTTGAGTTGCTTGGATCGCCGTGCATTCCTGGCAAACACGTTCGCTTGAAGTTTTGAACCATTCTTCAATATTATACAAACTCAAAGGAACTTTTCGTGAACATCGCTGGCAATTCTGTAGTCTGTCGTACACACAGTCGGCACAAACACTAGGCCTTTGCCCTCCAAACAATGCTTTCAGTCCGTTATATGATATATATTCCTCCAAAGGCTGTCGTTGATTTTCATGGAGGCAAAAATCCACTGCGTTGTAGCTGACACGACGACAATTGAAGCAGCGTTTCGCCTCCATTTTACTCTGAATATTTCACTCTCTCTGTGTTGCTGGCCCCTTCAATTCAATGACAAGACTTTCCATTATACGTTGTGCTACAAGATGTACAAAAATCGTCTATAATTTCATTTTAAAAAGTCAATATTTCTGGTTTTCATCTTTGACAACTGCTGACATGGCTTCACGATCAAGGAATGACGACACCAACAGCGACGTCATTTTGCCGCATTTTTTCACCACGAACATTGTGCGCGAAATATTTTGCGGGAAGCTGCAAATTAAAATAGCTCTTTTCGCAAATTGTATGGAATCGTAATGCATTGTGGACCTATTGTAATTAGGCAGAAATTAGAACCGCCCAAATGTCCTCATTAAAAAGCAATAATTACATGTTGCTGGTAGAAATTTTATTACGAAGACTTAGAGAAGTAAGCGATATAACAATACTTTATTTTTTAGTTTCTACCTGCAAACAATTTCGTAAGAAACAAGAGAGAATTATGCTCCAGAAAGAAAAGTCAAGATATGAGTTGTTTAAAAACAATGCTGGGTGCTTCATGTTTGCTGTTTTAATTATGCATACAGGGAGAATTTTCAACCACTTATTTGCCCGCATTATTAAATATTAATCATTGAAAACATTAGTCTTGACAACTCACTGTATAGCTTAATCCACAAGTATTCATCAAACTAATCCAGAAACTAATCCTCAGTCAGCCTATAAATGCTAAGTGTTAAAGCACAAAAGGGTTAAAACAGGCATTCACTGGGAACATTCATTTTGGTAGACAGTTTTACTTTTATGATTTAAATGAGTGGCAATTCTCGAGAGAAACTGGACTCCCACTGAGAGGTCTTGCAAGGTCAGGTCTACGTTGTAGTTTCAAATAACTAGTCGCCACTGGCAACCAACTAAACATATAATTTTGCATCTATTTGAACAACTTATCGACCGGTGTCGCTTTCAGTCTTTCACAGTTCGGATCGTCGTAATAATATTGTGGACTTTTTGTTGTGACAGTTAATTTTTTGTTCCAGCAAACTCTAAAGTGGAATTGTATATTCATTTGACCTGATTCTAAACATCTCTTATCATCTACGACTTCCCAAATACAGCTGGACATTCATTGTCTTCATACAATCGTATAAACGGTATACAATATTGATTACTTTTTGATTTTAAAGAGTCTATAGACATGATATTATAGTTAGTTCGAGAGAAAGTTTTTTATTTTTGATAACGAGACATGGACAGAAAAAGTTTAAGGAAGAAAAAGATTTTTTTAATCTTTAAATCTGCCACTAAGATGATATAAACTTTGTTTGTATTTCAAAGACATTTATCACTAGTTAGAAAGGCTTTCCTTGCGCCAGTGTTAATGTTTGTTACTACAGGGGACTAAAAAGAACTCGGAGATCTTTCGCATCAGGAAAATGCATTAGTCGCAGGAATGAAGCCATTGACCGTTATCCGTGAAACCGTGAACTTTACTTATTTGGTCTGACGTTAATCCTCAGTGTATCTATCCATTTTGATTCCTAGACCACCAGTATGTGTGCTGCTCTCCGGTTTCTCCCCCAAGAAGCCTAAGGAAATCACCCACTCTAAAGATCCACTATTATCCAAATCAAAATGCCCTCTCTGTACTTCAGTCACCCCCAACTCTCGGAGAAACTGTTACGCAGTCGATATCAGACGACGTATCTGAAAAAATTCTGCAGAGATTCAAAACCTGTACTCCACGGCCATCGTCAACTTCCAGAGCATGTTTGGCTCGAACAGAGGCCTGTGGGATCCCCTACATTCTGTGTAGATGAGGTACCCGAGGCCACATACCTCAGACCACCGTACGCATCAAGATTGACTTACTATGATGAACTAAATAAACGGTCAAGACTTCCAGAAGACAGCGAGGCTCGACGCAAATGCAGAACAACCCAGCCAACACACTACCCTGAAAAGAACAAGTTCCATAGCTCTAGACCATCCAGTGAAGGAGGTCAGAGCTTTTTACCAGCATCAATGAACGCTCAAGAAACCATCAACAAAATGACTTTACAAAAATATCGCGAAACAAGTTACGAGAACATGATTGGTCCGCGAGTGTTTTTCCGTCCGACTGTCCCGCCACATCGTCATGATTACGTCATACATCCTGCATTTCATTCCGAAGTCAGGAAACTCCCGCGCGACGTTCCGGTGAGGAAACATCCAGTGATGAATAGATCAGCAAGAAGATAAAGCGAAATTAGTTGAATAGTCTAATTATGGGTCTTATAACTACCAAAAATTACTTTGAAAGATTAGTTGATCATATAACTGCAGGGGAGAGCTAAAACAGCACTAGCTAGCTTGATCCATCATCGTCTTTTATTCTTCATATTTAATGGTCTGAATTTGCAAAGATAAAGCAAGATTTGTCATGAAGCTATACAGCATGACTACTAACTTATAAAATCATACAGCTGCTTAATCAAAGGTTAATATTATTTACAAGTTCAGATTGACTGAAAACCACCATCATATTACCACCGTCGAGGACTTATTTAAATCCATTTCACAGTTCAGTCATTGTAAACTATATTATAAACTATAAGATGTACAGTATTGTTCATATCTGGTCATTAAAATCAACGAATATAAAGTCTTCAGTCACTAAACTTGTCCGCACTGATCGAAACAACTGAACTAACGATTGAAAATGGACTCGATCTTTGTGCTATGTGAATGGATCGCTCACAGACAAAAGTTTCACTTTGCAATTCTTGAAATGATCAGGAAAATGGATTGTTCTTTCGCACTGGTTTCTCTGACACCCAGTCAAGTCCGAGGGTGAAATATTGCCGGTCATACTTCAATGGGTGGTAGAACGAACGCGCATGTATGAAATTATAATCTTGCAATCCTCCTGTGATGGTTCTGGGGACAAAACCGGCTGGCTTCACTTCGCGGGGTTTTTGCCTGTCGAAACTCATCGAGTTTTGGTAGAGGAAGGTTGGGGATAGTTTGATTCCAGGATTGATAACACGATGCTTTGGTGAAAACGATGTTGCGTATTCTGATGCTCGTTTAGGGTTTTTCAGCGTCATGCACAATAATGGTGGCAACTTTATGTCATCTTCTTTGGATTTCACGGAGGTTAAACTTTGCTTCGAAGACATTTTCAAAAAGAGCTTGTCGAGTATTAATGATTATGCACTCGTTGTTAACGTTGTTACTTTTGAAGCCAGATGTTTCATATGTAAACAGGGTTTGTCTTAGTTCTAACAATAAATGGTAACTACAGAAATCTGGGTTTATAACGGCCCATTAACACCGATTACCTTTGTTTTAGAAAAGTAATTACAAGATTTTTTAAAGGAAAACAAACTTTGAAAGACAACGTTGAAAACTCTATGCATTTGATTGAAAATGTTCTGTCGTACAATGAAATCTGCAGGGCAAATTTTGGACGATTGACGAAGCCAAATATAAGCAATAGATGCAGTAATAATCTTTGGTGTTTCAGAAAGTACGAGGTGATTCGCTTTAAAATATAAATAAATCATTAAAGTGTTGTTATGGCAACAATAAGTTCCAATTCGTATTTAAAAGTAATAAAAACCTATTTTTATAACATTAGACAAGTTGTGTAATCAATTCATAAAAGTTTCCACTTCAAAGAAATTAATCGATGTAAACTCACGCTTTACTCTGAAGAAATTGTGGTAATAACCTGGATAAATACGATAGATATCTTTCAAAACTAATAACCAGCGGTTGCTTTTCTCTTTATATTCATGTCAATCCAATCTTATGTATACTTGCTCTTTATTACGCCTGAGGGCTTGGGCAAAACATCGATAAACATTGGGAAATTCTGAAAAGAAAATCCATCATTACGAGGAGTTTTAAAAGATCGGTTGATGCATCATTTTTTACTACTGGATTTTGGCTGTATATAGACGTGCATTTATAGACGAAGCTAGGTCGTGATAGTGGATATTTTGTATAGAGATATTGTTGTCTAAGTCTCTTTCACTCCAAGCAACAAGGATACTTGAAATGACTTTATCTTAGACATTTTATTCTCCTTTCTCTTCTCGGCTCAAATACGGTATGAGAGAAACCATAATGAGAGCGATTCATAGAGAAAGGGGTTTTGTGAATACCAGTTTTAAACAATATTTCTCGGCAACCGAGAAGTGAAAAGATAAAAGATCTTACCATTATTGCGAGATAAAACAAACCAACATAACAGGCAATTCCTGCCGCAAGAAACAGATCAAAGATCGCTGGTTTTACTCTGAAATGAAAAGTGAAAACAACTCTGTGAATGTTCACTTCAAAACACATATATACACATAAACATAACTATGATATTAAAAATGTTTTCAATAAAGATTCTTAACCAACCTGTAAGCAAATATTGTTGTTTCCAACACATCGTAAAATACAAAATCAGGATCCCTGAAAATGATAAAATCGTCAGTAAACGTGATCTTGTCATTCCAAAAAAAGAATTGAAGGAACTGGGATATACAAAGAGAAACCAGGTGACATAATGTCCCTAAACAGGACACAATCCACATGCAATTAATACCTTTTATCAGCTTTAACAGCCACCCTCCTCACTTCTTTAACATACTTTGATAGATGCTGAAGAAACCAATAAATATGAAATGTTTATTACACCTGGATATAATCCACTTCTAAGACAACCAAATTACGTTTATATTCACGCGACTTGTCGAATCAATTTCAGCTTTAGCTAGATGTTAATGATAAATTTCGGCTGTTCATAGCGTCTTTCTGATCACGTTTTCTACGCAAATCCCAAATATAATCAACGTAGGTCTGCACCTATTATTATATTTCACTTCTTTACAGTTTATGTTGCTTATTCAATGGCTTTTAGGATATTTCAGTCACACTCCACTCCGTTGTAGTTATTTTACCTGTTCAAAGGCTTTCAACAAAGGATGATTCTTCGTGATCAATTGCACCGCCCGAGGATTGCTGGTTAAATGCGACAGCCAAGTGTTAACGAGGTCCATATGCAAACTCTGAATAAAAATGAAACATTCACAATAGAAAGAGATCAACACAGCGGCTCTAAACCCAAGTTAGGCCCAAGAGTTCATTATAAAACCCATCAAAATTACATACCATTCCACCGCTGAATACTTCAAGACGAGATCTGAAAACCTTAAAAGCAATAAAAAATAGTTAAATATGTCTAGACACAGTGATTTGTGTACATACAATAACACAGAATGTTGAATTTCGTCTAAGTCTCTTTCACTCCAAGCAACAAGGATATTTGAAATGACTTTATCTTAGACATTTTACTCTCCTTTCTCATCTCGGCTCAAATACGGTACGAGAGAAACCATAATGAGAGCGATTCATAAAGAAAGGGCAGACATGTTTGAATGTTGTAAAATGATGCTGATATTTCACATCACTTTATTTTGCTGCTAGTTTGATACAACAAGAAGCAAACTTGCTGTTGTAACCAGTGATTTGAGTGGAGTTATTCATGACATAATTTAAAGAATTATATTGACATGTATGATAAGAATACCTTTGATGATGTATTGTAAACATGTCTTGCTAAGGCTTCTGCTATGAATTTGATATGGTTTTCTAACATGTTGGAGTTCACAGGTCTAGTAAAAGAGGAGTCTTGTCAGTACTGGCAATGAAATCATAACATCAAACTGATTTTAAAAAAGGATTGTACAAAGTGTTGCATTCCTATTTGCTACATACTTGGTTTGAAACATGGACATTCTACCAAGGTCCTTGGGTTGACTGTAATGAGACAAGGTTCCAGCAGGCAGTCTTCGTAACGAGAAGCGTTCATGCTCCCAAGCTACGATTTCCTCAGCCAAATTTACTTTTTTATGAACCATGGTAAAATTAACATCAGGATAAAGTTCCCCAACTTCTTTAAATGCTTCAACTAGTCTGAATCCAGGAGAGTTGTCTTTTGGTGGCTTTGAAACATGCATAAACAGCTGGTCAGAACCACCAATGCTGTCCAGACAGAGGACATAGTCCATTTCATTCAAAACACTAGTTTCTGAGTTGTCTAGTTGGTCTTCAAGCCATTTTCGTGTCCCAAGATAATTAAACTTTCCTCCACCGGACAACAAGAAGACTATATTGTATCTGGTGATGTTGAATCAAAGAAATAAACAATGAATACAGTCTCCTAATACAAAACTCAACCAGCTGTAGTTCTATTAACCTGAAATCTCAAATCTAGACAAAAAATCTTTGAAATCTTTCATTATAATTATTCAAAGGATACTTTCCCTTGGTTTCCTCATCATTGTAGAGCCGTGAAAATATCCTGGCAATCTCTAGCAATGCTACAACACCACTTGCATTTGAGTCAGATCCAGTTGTTAAACCCTTAAAGATCAAAGCATATTATAATGAACTTATGTATATTTGGGTCCTAAATTGTGCTTGTTTAACAAATAATGATATAATATTCACTTTAGTGTAAACATATCTAAATACGAACACTAGCTATGGCCAGTACTTACAGGAGCAATCCCAAAAGAGTCGTAATGGGTGACAATAGCTATGGTAGGTAACTGTTCATCAATCCCTTCACCAACAAGACGGCCTTGAATGTTTGTGAGAACCATATCCTTGATTTGTTTTGCCTCACTGGTACTAGCAACAAACTGATAACCGCTGGTTGAAGCCACATCAAACAAGGCTAAAATATAATAAAATTTAAGAGTTCATTGCTTGTACTTCCCTTGCTTCTTCAATTGATAAACGGAACTTGTTGCTAAAACATTTTCAAATAATAAAAACCAACCTTCAACAGCTGATCCAGCTTGGTCACTTGTTGTTGCCTTCCCAATGTGGTCATAAATCTGAAGTAGTTCTGGATCTTCTTGAGCAAAATATACTGATGGTTGAACCTCTTCTTGCAGCATCTGGTTCTCAAGTTCTTGCAATCTCTACAAGAATTAATCCCTTTGTTCAACCTCGTGTTTCTGCAGTGATACACATAGATACAATTGCTATGCATACCTGTACTTCTTCAAGAGAATACCGAGATATATTTTGTGGCAAAAGAAAGAGAACTGAGCCAGCACCTTGTCCCAGAATTTCTCTAAAGCGGTCATACGCTAGCTCTCCAATTTTGGCAACAATGCATCGTCGTGTCATCGTTCCAGCAGTGATTGGTCGAGCCTCCATGTTGACAAGCGCACTTCTCGAACCTAAAGCAATGTTGTTGTGAGCTCTTTAAAAGTTATAAACTAGTTGCAGAGTATGGAAACAGCGACTGGCTTGCTATGCAGGACCATGATGGTCAACTAATCAGTAAATTTAAGTATAACTTATAACAAATACACACAAAACATTAACATAATTAACATAATCAATTGAAATAATTATAGTAATTTTATCACGTGATAAGCCAATCACCAACACACAGAACCATGTGGTGGTTGTTCTCAGCCCACAATCACTAAACTACAAGCACGATTCCTCTTAAAACAATCAGTTACGACTCAACACAATGCTTCTTAAGCAAATCCTTGTATGCAGACCACAACACTGATTGATCGTTAAAATATTATTTCTTTCACACAACCTACCGTAATGTATTCCGTGGAGATCGTAATGCTGCATCCGAAATGCCTTGAATTCATGCGCGCTTTGCGCTGGAGAAGTTAGAAAAGCGACTGGAATCACGACTAAGACTGTCATACACATTGGAAATGTCTTAAAAAGCTCCAATAAGTCCAGATCCAACATTTTTAGCACGGTTTTTTGATAGCAAACACGATTTTTAAGTTTGGAAACTTTTACACAATGTGGCGGACGCTGAGCCCAGGACAACGCATTGCCAGCGGTATCTCGTCGGGTGTCAAAAGATAGGTACGCATCGCGAACAAGGGGAAGTGCGCATGAAAGTGCGCATGTCAGTGCGCATGGTTCGTGGTTATCTTCTAAAGACAATTTATACGCAGCAATCAACGCAGCAATTTGTCGAGGTGATTTATTTCAGAGCGAGCAAGGTTCATCGTGCTTGAAATATATCTTGCTACCATCAATAATTGATCAATCAATGTTTGCCATTAGACAAAATAAGAGCTCGATAATAGGTCAAGGGACTGTTTTGAGGACGCAGACAGTCACCTCTTTCCCAAGGCAGCGATGACGCAATGCCAATTACCAGTCTTTTACTGCTAATAGAAGGAACAAAAGCCTAGCATGACACAACCTTAACTCGCTTGCTCGTTGTTTTTTGCTACAAGTTAAATAACACGAGAATTAAGTTGATGGTGACACTATCAGCATATTAATCACTCATTTCAGTAGTATTTACCATTGCTAAGCAATAGCAACATGCGTTGCAGATGAGATCTTTACCAAAATAGTTATTCCCATAGTTTTATCCTCTCGTAATGATTAATAGGCAGGTAGGGTTTCCGACATTTGTAATTGCCTGGCAGGATTAACTTTTTAATGATAAGTTAAACCAATTACAAGGTTTGAGGTTCAAGTTTATCGTATGTAGATAGCTTGCGGGGTTTGTTTTGGCCTTAATAATCAAGAAACTCCATAAGCTTCCCAATTTACAATAAAGTTTTAATGTAAATAAAACTAGGAGTCTTAGGAAGAAGCCCAAATTGGTTTTAACAGTCCTTAATCCCTCTGTAATGACATTAATGTAATATCAGAAATCATCATCTCACTGAATGGGTTGTAATGTTCGAATATGCAGTCAAATGTAAAAAAAGAAGTAAAGAGATGATTTACGAAACTGATTTTCAATATAGGAGTTGGAGGAGGGTTGAGTTGCCTCTAAATAACATATTTTCAGACGTTAGTATCATTATTGAACTAATCTTGTAGCATTATAGTAGATTCAGCCATGATATCGAACATTCTAGTAGCGGCCACTTAATCGAGAGACGGGCATTTCAAATTAACAAACATTTATCGACTGTTTGCAAACGATACGTCATCACGTCTCTTCGCGTCCCGACCAGTCGACGTCTCGATCTTGACTTAAATGGAAACTGTAGAAGTTCTGAATTCTTTTCCTTTGTGCAGACAAACCCTTTTGATTGTGTTAATGGACAGGCAGTTGTTTTTTGTGCACTAAAATTTTCAGCGATTGTAAGTAAACTCAGTTAAGACTTAAGACAGTAAGGCTAGGGCGCACAAAGGGGGAATAGAGAGTGTAATAACCACTTTCAGACTCAGTGTTTTCAAAATGGTTGGATAATTGATACGTGCTGGTAAGAAATTCGGGCTGAAGTAGTAGACAATTTGTGTTATGCATCCAAAATTCCTAAGAATGCAAGAGTCTCGAGTGCGTATTTTTCGTCGCTTATATTTCACCATAAAACAACCCCTCAGTTGGCAAGACTCCTTGTCTGTGACAATAATGATTTATAAACTACTAATTTGAAGCTATTTATTCGTAGACCTTCACTAATCTTGGTTTTAGAAATTTTGAGATGATTATTGTGATGACGTAAATACACTCAGGTCATACGACTGACCTCGACCTTTTATGCCGCCAAATTTGCACGAAATTCGGCACTAGTGCTGACGTGATAGCGAGGATTCAATCAGCCAATCAATGAATAGAAAATGATGAAGTTATTAGTTGGGTTTCTTGTTAATGACGAATGCCAGATGGTCAGCGACTATTGTTCATGGGGCATTGCACAGTATTTATCTTTCATCGATACCTTTCACATGTAGACAGTCTGTCATTGAGCATTTCTTGTGAGAAGTGGCATTAATTAAACCATAACTGACTTGCTTTATTCAGAGTAGATAGGCTTCATCATTTCTAAAACAGCTAACAGGTCTTCTTAAACATACAGAAAAAGGGTTGTAAGTGTACCTAAGCTAAACTAATTCATTTCATATGGGATAGTTTTATCATTATTGTATCAGCAACTGTTCCTCGCAAAGAGTAGAATCCAATCTTATTTTTTATAATGTGATTACAGAAAGACAGCCCGTTTATGTAATGTTGATCGATCGTTATTAGCGCAGGAAAAGCCCAACAAAACCCAACAGACCCTGGATTCAGCAATCTCTGATTCCTGTGCAAGGTTTTGGACAAGGGAGCCGAGTGCTGTGTATATTTAGTGGAATTGAAAACACTCTCGTTTAGAGGAGGATTGTGGAGGACAGGCAGTTGTGAAAAAATGAAGCATGACCGACACGTGGCAACCGTGTGCCTCTTTCATCAGCACAGACGCAAATTCAAAAATTCCTGGGAAGAAAAATTGTTTCATTCATTCAGTGACCGACTTTTTGTCATCATTTAAAAAACAATTCTGCCAAAAAATTAATCAACAACAGAAAAAATTATTATCTCGTTCGTAATTCGTCTTATTTATTGTTGTCAAGGTGATTACAGAATGGGGGAACCGTATGGAGATAATTATCTCCTAAGAACACACAACAGGAATGGTTTTATTTTCTTCTTTCAATTGACACTGCTCAGAGATTGTTTCCAACCAACAACATAACAACATGCACTGCAGAAAAGGGAATATATTTTGCAAAAGATCTAGAGTAAATCGAATTTTTTGATGAGATTGTGAACGCGTGAATATCAAGTAACAGCTCTTTTCTGCCCTAAAAAAGTCGCAATAAGAAGTAATGAACGCGATGCGGTCTTTATTTTACACATATATTATCATGCGTGCATACGTTAATTCATGGTGCGAATATATTTTGAGGTTTTCGGCATCAGAGCTGTTATTGCCTGTTAATGATTCTTGATGGAGTCAGTTGCTACACACGGCAGGATCAAAATGACATTGGCAGACGACAGATGAATAGAAAAAATTGTTGGTTTCCCCATTAAGAATTATCTAGGCGTCCATTTTACTCTGTAAGAATCAGATTAATGCGATAGCATTACGCTTACTTATGAGAGGAGAATGTTTTGAGATGAACGTTGTCTTCTCTGCTGTTCCACATGATGCTAAAGTGTGAATAAATGCATCTTTGACTGGACTTTTGACAGCTCACAATCTCACTCCCCCAACGATATTTAAGTCCCCTAAGGTTAAAAAGGGCCCCGACTCAACACAGCCAGGCAATTGGCCTTTGTGTTTTAAGACAACACCTTTTGAGGAATGGTTTTCCCGTCAACACACAAAGGAAAACGCTAGTCACAGGGCTGTGTAAACAAATTAGGTTCTATGAATTTGTTTATTTACTGGCTAATTATAAGTAGGCCCTAAAATTAAACGCCTTTAATCTAGACATTACTATATTAGAGAGACGATTTTGCCATATATGTTCGAAGAATTTCTTATCTTCAACTATTAACTACTTCAGTGTGCAACACGAAATACTATTATCTTGCATCATATCGGTCCGATCTCCGGAGAAATACACACATGTTAAGTGGAAAATATTGTAATATTTACACAAAGTCGAGGATTTAGTGAATAGCTGCAAACTACTAAGTACACCATGAAATATTATTTCTACACTTTGTTTATGTAGAGCGATGGCGGTACAGTCATGAAATTTTATACCAAAACAGATATAAAGTAAACTCAAGCTTTGAGAAAAATGTTCACACTTTCTGGTATAGTCTGTATCCTAAAAGGATGAGTAAAGCCGTAGGTAAATTCTACCAAGAGCTGTCGAAGAACGTGTCTAAATTACATTCAAAAGAATGAACCATTACCTTTGAAATCTGTTTTGAACAAAGGAGGTTCTTCTTCCTTACCGTAAAACTAAATTTTTACGCACTTCCTTCTGTTTGTCTAGACACAAACCACGACAGCTTCGTATCCTTTACATATTTCAATTAAAAAGCTGTTTTCAAAGAAACTTTCATGTATTTCAATGCAGATTTTTAACGACGATTTTAAGCGGAAAATGTCCGAGCACATGGATGCACTGAGCAAATTCATGAATGACCTCGAAGATATGCCACTGTTATTATACAACACGCTCGTGTGGCTCCCTTCTCAAAAGCTGTGCAAATGTTTTGCGTAGAAAAACACCTTTGAGAGATATGTTTTGTACAAATGCGCACACTTATGCGGCATCAAATCGTCGTTAGAAATCATTTCGGTGCGTATAAACACAGTTGCATGTAACAACGTGAACAGCTTCCAGCTTGGGCCGAACAAGTACCGCCATCGATCATCATTTGTGGATGAAAATTCGATGGAAGAATGTTCCTATGTTTCATGAATGTCTAGTCTGAGATCCACTTTGATCGGCATGTTTCTTTCGTGGTTGTTACCAATATGTACAAATATAGTTCACGAAAGAGAATGATCGAGCACAGCTAGGCTGGAAAAACCAGTTCCATTTCGTGGGCATATGATCCCGAAAGAACAGCAGACTAATTAACGAGTCCTAAAGGAAACAATTAGTTAATAACAATGCTATACTTACAAATATATTTATATCTAAACAAACATTGCTGGGACAACCTAGCTAAACAATTCAGGCTGAAAACACCAGATCATAGTAGAAAGATCATTAAAAGCAGTGCCAAAAGCGTCCGCGACGATCCTTGACGAATCCCAACGGCTCTGGTAGGTTCCTTTATTTCTGATCCTCCGTGTATTTTGGTGTCTTCAATGTATGTGAATGCAGGTGTACCATTTCTGTCCATTCCTGGCTCACATCGTAATTGTTTTGAATGTGCACGTATAGCACGGCAGTAAGCCTCAGTTGGTCCATCGCATTCGCAGTCCGCGAGATTTTTAGCTTCCTTGTACAGTCTTTGTTGTATATCCTGACATTTCTTTTCACACTGGACACCATTGATCATATGGTGACAATCCCTAAGAAATTGCTCCTGCAACGAAGCGCACTTTTGATCTAGTGAACAGTTCAACAGCGCCAGAGTGCAACTGATCGTAGGACGATGCCTTGTCGTCGTGTTCAGACACTTCGCGACGCGAGCTTTGAAGCTGAGACATTTCCCGTCCAAATGACAATCACACTTCTGCAGTGCTTTGCCTCGTTTCGTACGTTTTAATCTCCTGATGGCTCTCACACACTCGTGGTTACATGGTTTACGAAACGGCGGCACGACGAATCTGGTCAAGTTCTTGTCGTTTCTTGTCGATGTTGGAGTTACGCGCAAGTCACAAGCAGTTAAGAATCGACCATATTCAATTGCACAGTTGAACACGTCTTCTTCGCATTTCATGAACGCCGTTATACAATTATTTGAGGGATTGTTGGCGTTTAGTACTTGAAAAAAGCCGAAGACAAACGGGAGAATGATTCTGTACATAGCGAATGGTGTTTTCGAGTGGAACTGAATACAAAATGTTTCTTTTCGACTTTCAGCTTGTAATTCAATCTCGCAGCTCGTACACCTTCCGGAGTGAAATTTGAAGCTTATCTTCTGACCTCAAAGGTTATATATATAGTTGAAAAAAGCGGAAATACTCAAGTTTGTAAGAACCTCTAATGACAAAATGATGCTCATTGTAAAAATTCAATATGACATTCGTGCACATGGTTTGACTAAATTTACTCCAACTTAAGATTTGCTTGTACAAAAATAGCACAAGGATAGCTAAAATAGTTAACCACAAGTGCGTTATGGGCTGGAATATTGGTTGTTCAGAAAAAGAACAATAAGAAATATTATTATAACGAGTGGCTTTGTATGGTTGACTTACTATTATTGTCACGAAAACTATAATTATACATATAAGAAATGTATAACTGTGTGACGGTATTCTCTCAAATCGTATCATGTTGTGGTTGGGCTAAACAAGCTGAACTGTCACACAATAGGAGAGCATGATAAACCTGTTGGTGAACATGCATAGTCTTCCACTCTTCCTATAAATAAACCTCATCAAATTTGGCATAACAACAGCCTGAAATAAGCAAACAGTTCTCGACGTTTCGTCCTAAGGATCACAAGCATCTTCGTGGTCAGGGGCGGTAATGACCTGATAGGTTTATTTTTATCATATCAGATTGACCACGGATGATAAAATGTATTCTGAGAGCTTTCTAGTGGTGACCTGTCTTCTGAAACTATTGTAAACTAATTCCATCACAAGGAGAAACTAAGGCTCTGGTCTTTACCTCCTCAAAATCTCAACCGGCAGCCGGTCTAGAGCGCAAAGGTCATTAATCTAATCTCACAAAGTTTCCTAAGTTTGCCATTTATTTTCGAACACCTTTTTCGACTCAAAAGAGTTCCCCACTGTATAGGTTAGTTCGTGGCTTCAGTCATCCCCGAAACATAATTTTTCTATAAGGAACCACTAAAACCCACACCACAGAGAGCCTCAGTTTAGTGCATGGGCACAAAGACAACGAAGTCTATTACAAATTAAACAAATTTCCTGTTAATACAAAGGCAATAAATCGGTTTTATTACTTTTCATAACGAGTGTCTTACTCGTCTTAAAATGAGTGAAATTTTATTGATTCCGCACAGGCGTCAAAAATATAATGAACGACGATGTTCGAGAATGTTCCTAATCAATATATATACATATATATTTTAAGGGTCTTTAACCAAAGGAAGGTCAAAAGCTGATGATTTCTTCTAGATGAGAAGTTGAAAATAATGTCATCAATTACTGTTGCTAACAAATGTATACATTGAAATATCATTACTTCTTCACGCGATGAAGACTGCAGATGATTTAATCATTCTTCACCTGAGCTTCATAAAATGCGCCCAAAATATCCAAACTCATGCACGCGCTGTTCTTACAAAAGCCTATAAGATGCCTTTTTATATCAAGTATAAATTCACCAACCGCGGGCTGGCAGCATTTACGCATGCATTTACTTTTGGGAACGAAATTCAGCCGTAAATCTTTACGGAAGAATGTTTATTTTCGTCTTAAAATGATTAACATATATAGTAGTTCTTAATTGCCTTTCTTTCAAGTATCAAGTTGATGCTACGAATAGCATTTAACATAATATACTTATCGGGAAAAACATACAATATTTTGTTTTTTTGATAAATAAACCAATATTTATATGTATTAACGAATTTACATAACCACAATTAGAGCGATCAGTGCGGAAATTAATGCTTTGAATGCCCCACTTTTTGATTACACGCGTGAGGTGTGCGTGGCTTCCCACTGGACCCGCGAAATACCTGCCCGGTTTGAGCCTGGAACTAGACTCTTACACGTTGGGCGTTTACAAGAGCTACTGAGCAGTGAAGGCAACAAACAGTTGGCTATCCAGGGGTCACTATTAAGTGGATTTAGGTTTCCTCAAATTGCATTCATGCCAGTTCCTCCGGTATTATCACTGGATCAATAAGAGATGATCCTTACTGGACCTCTAGGAAGAACAGTTTAGAACTGATAGAGCTATCCAGTATAAATAAAGTTAGTTTAGGTTTCCTCCTGTAGTAACACTGGATCAATAAGAGATGATCCTTACTGGACCTCTAGGAAGAACAGTTTAGAACTGAAAGAGTTATCCAGTATAAATAAAGTTAGTTTAGTTTAAGTTTTCTGTAAAAATAACACTAGATCAACTAATAAGCAAAGATGCTAATTGAATTTAATAATTAGGTATAAATTTAATCGGCACAGACCCATGCAGTCACAAACCACGTCTTAAGGAAGTTTTAGTGTCCAAAATTAGTTCCTTACCTACTGTGTGTGAGTTGTGCTCCAGTTAAACAAACAAAATACTGCTTTAAACGAGCGGAAAGATCTCAGCGCCAGCACTGACTCAAGCTACGCCACGCTAAATAGCATAACCTGGGTTTAAATGCAACACAAACTTCAACATGACAGCTAAATCTAGAAGCTTGCCGGGCGCTTATCATTCTCGCAATGCAAAGTATTTAATTATACGACACGATAATACAACGTCTCATCTTGAAACATTTGTCATTATTTGCAGTAAAAACATTCTCATACTACTTGACGTCTTCACATTTTATCATTGTGTGATTTTATCTATTTTCGCTTACACTAGCCTTGGTTGCACGAGACGTTTCACAATCACGCGAGGGGGGGCGATGGGGGGCAAAGGGGGGCGAAGGGGGGCGATGGAGACGTACTCTTAAAGGCACACAAAAGACCCGGACTGATTGATTCAAATGTTGATTTCGATCAAGTCGAGGACTGGATGAATTTTGAATTCACTCAAATTCACAGAACTTGTGGTATGAAATTTCCGACGATTTCCCCATCACATCGTATGGACTACATTGCAATACCCCTCTCAATCACGGTTAATGAGCCCCGTCATCGTATATTCTCAACTGTTATACATCTTTCACTACATGATAGAGAAGAGAGCCAGACTTCTAGACCAAAAAAGTTTGTTTAATTGTAAGATATTCATCGTAAGAGTGTACTGAAGCGATGATTTGTTACTAAAAGATGCGTCTTTGCGTCTCGATACTTAGAATGGTATAAGTGGACAATTTTTGCGACTGAGCCAGGAAACGATTCAATGTACACACTTTGTTTGCCCACTGCAGTCAGAGATATTTCATCAACAAACTGAACTCCCTGGCTACTTTCAAACGAGGCTCCGGTGTTTGGATTCGTCCAGGTGTTCACAAGGTGGAAACAGATGGAAATTTGAGGTGCTACGTGTTGTACACGAGGAAGCCGAACGAAACCCTCTCCTGAATTCTTCCGTCAATGTTTCGTGTCATTATAGCCCTAGAGTCCTCAGATCTTGATACTTGAACGTTTATTTGTTCTGGTCAGACACGCAGGACGCAATGAAAACCAAACGAATTCAAACTGTGCGAGCTAATCTCCACTAAAACACGTCTTTCTTGTCCTTATATTTACGAGACTTTCAGCTTGAAACTTACAGTTTTAATTGTCCTGTCAAAATGCGCAATGCCCGACAAAGCTTCGAAGGATATCAGCCCATTTTGCTTCGATGTGGCAAAGCAAAGGTTTTTCATTTATCTTAAAAGCTCGTATGCAAGTGTTTTCATCGAAATAAGTCAACACAAAAGCACTTTGATTGGATAAAAACGTACTCATAAAAAGCTTGCAGGTTGTTTTTTTTTGATAAGTGAAAAAAGCATGAAACTGTCAAAGAAGTGAAATGTGACAAACAGGAGGGATCACTAAAACATTTTCCAGCAAAAATTCTAACTTTCTACGTCTCATTTATGATTCCTATTGAAAATCTATCAGTTCAACCAACCTTGGTCAGATTCTGAACGTTTGTTTGTCAACCTTTGCGTTCGTTGATGACGCTTTTTTGGAGGTGTCTCAACCCCCATATTTCCCGTGTATTTCTCCGTTAGTGACTCTGAATTACTGGTCGAAAGTTGACTGCTATCTGGCGTGTGCTAAGCAGCTTATTACGACCAGTGAGTAATCCCCACATAGAGCTTTGGCTCATAAATGATAAATCCAGTCTCAAACAAAAACAAGCAGTCCATAATATAGTTCAGAATTTACTCTCTTCCGCGAGAACGCGTTCGATTGCAATTCTGCTGGTCGACAACTATAAATATACAGTTGAATTGATTTATTTACAATGAATATGCAGTATGATCTATTATAATGTGTCGTGATTAGCATATTCTACGCCACTGCAGACAGACATTGCGTCATGCCATCGTGATCATCCTGTACGAGATTTACACTAAACATTTGTAAATAATATATTTCAGCACGTTTGAAAACGCAGTTTACTATTGATAATAATCAGTGAAATATTCGGAATGTTATCGGTACAAGCCTTGAAGGTGATGCTTAAAATAAACCAGAAATTCCGCGGCTCTCAGGGAAGACAACAAGCATGTGTCTCAACAAGTGGTTTTCGCTGAGCTCTGTAGTGCAACAGATGGGAGTCAGTCAAGTGTGAGAAAGTCTAATTATCAGTGTGAGAAAATATTGTTATACTTTTCATTTCAAAGGGTAGTCTGGTATTTGAAGGCAAATCAATGATAGTGAAGGAGATAACGAAAGTAAACCTATCGTTCAACCCGTTGATCTTTAAAACCTTACAAGTGTCAGTATTTCTGAAATTGATCGTTTTAAAAGTAGCTGTTAACTTAAAACCGGTTGAACACGATAAAATTTTTAGCGTAAATCATAAAATAGAGTGATACAAGCTATTCGAGCGACGTTTTGAGCCGTTTCGACTATCTTAATAACCTATGCGTAAAGGTGACCAACTGACCCATCGCAATTATAAAAACCGAGGGCTTCTATCGCTCGTTTCTTTCTATCTTTTGATCTCAACTCTACAGATCTGAATACGACCACCACTTAGTAATGAAAAGAATTAATCGGCGACAATTTTTTTCTCGCTGATATCATTCAGTTACCCACCATCTGTCGTAGGACAGTTTTTGTAAAACCTATTTTATAAACTAACTCCGTGTGTATTCTAAGCAAACAACACCAAATCATACTACAATCTCTTGAGCTTTGCGCAGGAAATGTTAACTGGACGATGCTACGTGTGAATGAGTTTCCTTTTTCAATGACATGCATCTTTAAATTCGTTCAATCTCTGACATATGGTTTTGTATTAAAACAACAACTTTCTCTGATATGATCAAGTTATTTCCTGTCGCTTGCAGGCATTTTCTTCTTGTAAACTCACCAAACGTCTTTGAATAATTCAACGCAATGCTTCGAGATCCGATCCGATGTCAAAATCTGCATAATTTGCGTGCTTAAAGACGACTTTGTGAATACACTCCAGCTATTCGCCATCGTTTGTTTTTCTACGGACGTGACCCTATTATTGACTCAAGTTCGGAACTTTTATGAATTTTAACGTCGTTACTGTAAACCAACACGGGTGTGATTTGACGCAGGTCCAAACGAATAGTCTAGTAGTTACTCATGAGACTTTCCAACGTTGAAGATATTTTGCGCACAATCTTTGGCTGTTTTCGTTTTGTACCAGAGGAAGTCTCGAAAGGCTCCTATATTGCGATCCAAAAAGTCGGCGGTGCACTTTAATCTTATCCTGACATACGTTTGTCTTTACCATTTAATGTACAAAATAGAGGGTCAATCTAATCGCCCATTTATAACATTAAAAACATGTTTGCAAGAGGAACATATGTGTCTCCCGAGAAGCGAGTTTCTTAGCGGCTTAATATTGAAGTAGTGCGCGCTAGACCATCCCGAATGCCTGCCTAAAGTTATGTAAAATATTTGACATGTACATTTGTACAAGCGCATTTGCGCACAAAATTATGTTTTCCATTATGAAAGAGGCGAATTTATCAGATACGCCGAAAACTAGGCTAAACTCTATCTCTCTTTTTCGATCTATCTCGTCTCCCACATCTTTCTCCTTTCGATTTTCTCTGCTTGCATCGTCTACAGCGTTTTCGCAAGCGTTTTCGGTTGCTTCTCTTTTTCCAACTGCACTTCATGTAGTCCGCATGTGCGCGGAGACCAAGGCAGTACAGCTCGTCAGATCCATCACATTCACAATCCATTAACGGTTGACCGACCGCCAAACTGAACAATCGTTTCTGACTGCAAAGGCAGTGATTAGTGCAAGCGGTCAACGTAAATATCTTCGCGCATTTTGTTAAGAAGTCTATTTGCGCGGTTTTACAAATCGGATCCATCATGCACTTATAGTAAGCGTAGGAACATCCCACCGTTTTACGATAAGTGCCGTTCGCGATCGCGAGACATTTCTCCGTTCTCGTTTTCAACGCAATACACCGCGCGTCCAGGAGGCAATCGCATAACCACAGCGCGTTTCCTTTCTCTGTTTTTCTCAGAGATTTGATCGATTTTATACATGATTTGGAACACGGGTACATGCTGGTGTTGGTCATTGTAGTATAGGTGTAGAACGCATCCACATCCACGATCGTCTCGCAATCTCTTGTGTACTTCTTCAGCTTGTTGGCACATATCCCGTCAGTGTTACAATCAGCAAGAGCCTGGTAGCAATTTAACCTTGCGCACGCCACGATATTCTCCCTCAGTACGTACAGAAACAGTACGAGTAGTTTTGCCAGAACTTCAGCCATTCGCATTGCGTGTTTCGGCGACGATAGTCAAAATATAAAGTCCTGCTTGTCTGGCGATTTCTGCCGTCTAGATGAAACTTAATCCCTCTGAGGTATGACCGCGACTTTTTCATGCATATTTCGATGCTATCATTAAAAACAAGAGGAAAAATAAACAAGATCTGACATTGTCGTGACCGCCTGGAGTTCGCTGCGCGCTATCGTTGTGACGACGGGAGTTTTGTTTTAGTATTGTGCGTGGTGTTGGTATTGTAAACCACGGCTTGACAATCGCTTAAGCTTCATTTATGCTTCGTGATGAAAAAATAATCTGTACTTTGCTTGTAGAATCAAAGTTTTTTCGGAAAGGCTTTCATCTGCGCGGATCTGGATGTCTGAAATGTTTATTAAGTGGTCTTGACGGATCTTAAGTTGTCAACTCGACCGGATTTGATCGTTTAAGATCACTTGATCGAGGAACGTCGAGTATTTTGGGCGAAACCTCAAAAACCATATTTCACATACTGTGTGACAGGGATAAATCCCGCTTTTTCCAAAGGACTTGACACAATATCATTGAATGAAATTCAAAGTACTTTAAAATCAAGCGTTATTGAATGTTTTCTTCAAGCTCAGCTCTCAAAGAGCCCGAATGCTGGCTTGTCAGAAACATGTCAAACTAAATCACTAATGGTTTTGTAAACACTTAAAGGTGCATAGGATTGCGAGTAGAATTTGTATTCGACCGAATTGCGACTGCGCAGACCCTAGTAGTTTAAACAAACAATGTGATCTGGCAGAAATCGTGTGAACAATCTTCGCTCTATTTCGTTTGTTCAATAAAGCTAGCATTCAACCTCTATCAAGATCTTTATCCTTGAGAAAACTACAGGATGCGAAGAGGTTTGTCCTCTGGGGGCGCTCTTTTCAAAGGAAAATATTTGCAAATGAAGAATGCATCAAATTCATTATAGACTAAACGTCGCTTCATTTCCCGTCATGATAACCAAGCAAATAACGGAATGAAAATTCCATTCACGGATTAGTTTTTCCGATGCCCACCATTAAAAATATTTAAGCCTCTTTGCGTAACATCGCTCTGACGTTTTTTGTGTTTAATTAGGGCAAAGCTGCTTTGGAACTAGTTTTGGAAGGAAAGATAAAATTATTGCAATATCTATAATGTACATCAAAAGTGGTTGTGTATTTTCCTATCTAGTTCACTAATGACGTGCTCAGGGGCGTGTGAACGCGGCAAAGGCCATTCTTAGTAAAATTTTAGCCTGAGAAAATTCCTTCTATGGGAATATATGAATCAGAGAGTCCAGCAATCTATTTACTGCCCCACTTGAGCGAAATTCCTGGCCATGCCACTGTAGTTTATGTAGCCTCTCTAATCAAAGGATTACGGTGATCCATAGTACCATTCCAATGCTGTGAAATAACAAACTGATATTACAGTTACTACCCCAGCTTAATTAAAGCCCACACACATACACAGCAACTCTTTATCACGCAAATCTTCAGAACTTGAAGGGAAACTACAAAAACATATCGAAAGACGGAGTGAATTCTTCACAGATATAAGAGCAAAAAACCTCAAAATACAGAACTTCGAAACATGTAGAAAACGTTAATCCGGATTATACATCCATCAAGATTGAGGTACCATGATCACGTCGTATTAAAAAATTGTCACGCAAAATTTGCTAAGTTTAGTCAAGTCATAGTCAGGCACTGCGCTAACACTGCATTGCACAAGACTAAACTCAATCTTTCAAAACGTTTACAGCGAATGACACCTACTAGTTTAAAGTATATGTGATTGTCTATTTCAGCCAAATGGCAAACTCTATCATTACCCACAGTTTACGCATATTCCTTGACGTCGTGCTTATGGTGAAGTTGAGGGAACCTAGGAACGAGGATGACGTAGCAATCTTTGTAACCTTGTCTTGAGCTGAAACCAAATCCTATCAAATCCTTCCCAACACTAATCCAGATTTATTGCGCTATTATTTTTTTGAAGATTAAAGAAAAAATTCATCTAGAAAGCACGACAACAAAGTGCTTAAGTATTCAAACTATTTTTTATAATAGCAATACGTAAAGAAACTAAAATAATCTGTCTCTTTCTGCGTTTACAGTCATCTTCAAAGTCCAGCCAAAGCTCGATTTTTCTTGTCTCAGTCCTTCATTTCTTCTCTTTGTGATTTGTCCCTTCTGTAGATTTTGTTCGGCTCCACGTTGATGGTATTTGAAATATACATGCGATACGTCACCATGACGACGTCAGACTGTCAAAATTCGTAAAATTTTGGCAAAATCCAAAACTGACGCCAAAAATTGTTGTGTGAAAAACTGTAATGTTTCATTAATTTTTACTGACTAGGTACTAATTGATATTTCTTTTTACTGCTTGCACAGAATGGCACAATTGAACTGGTGTTCATCTAACCACCAGGGGCCGGTTGTATCAAGCCCGTTTAGCTTAAACGGTGGATAAGTCAAAATTAAATAACACTCTTACATCTCTCTTGAATGAGTCAACTTGAATATTATTCGCTGAATATGTAGTTGTAAACAATATCTTTGTATTAAGGTTAAAAACATTTAGTTCTCTTGTTGAAAAAAAAAAAAGACTTGATTTCTATTTTGAACTTATCCACCGTTTAAGCTAAACGGGCTTGATACAACCGACCCCAGGCCGCTCTCAGAGCTAAAAAAATGTTTGCCATATATGTAGTATTCTGAAAACGATAAAAACTCTTTTATGGATGTTATTGAAAGTCGTTGTAATCATAGACGATTCCCCGATATATTTGTCGTTGAGCACAATATGCTAATGAAATATAGCGCCATGCCTGTAAAACGCTTATTATCAAGTCAGTGTCGATTGTGAAAAAAATGATTGATTACAAAATATTTCAAGTTTGGCATAGCAGGACCAGGCGAAGTCCTGTCGCGATTGTAAAAGGTGTTTTAATAAAAAGCAATTGGGTCACCTTTGGTTTATTTAAGATGATTTGCATTAGCGCGTCGTGGCTTTTCGATATAATCTTCTCTGCGAATTTAACCAAACTTCGTGGGGTCTGAATGTTGACATTAGATTAGTTCTATGGATAAGCAATTCTTTATCGCAGTCTTATTCATCGTGAGTCCTAATGCAGTGATTTCTCACGAGAAGATTAGTCAGCTGAGATTAGGGTAAATTTATGTTAAAGTAATTGATATACAATTTCCATCAAATATTTGTGTTCGTCTGTGAACGTGATTTATCGCCGTTCGTCTTTGCCACAGGGCATATGATATCAACCTCGAACTGGATCTTGAATCATTTCAGTGAATTTGTGACTGATCTTTAATCGGAGATTGGATTAAATCAAATTAAGATTGTTTAACTGATCACAATCTCAATATCGACTCGACTGCTTTGAACCGCGATGCCTGCATGTCTTCCTAATGCTCGTATAGCGATGCTTCAGTATTTCTCATGGCCAGGAGCCGATGGGATGACAATGTTTATAAAATCATTGTATGCAGCACATTCCTTGAAATAATAGAAAAATCGAGTTGATTTTGCGCAGATTAATGGATTGAAGATCAAAAGAGATGAAATAGTCATATTCTAAGTCCTTACTTTCGTCTACTTCTTGACCAATTGCTAGTGTTTTTTCTTCAGATGTCTGCAAAATAAGGAATGTTGAACTAACTTTGAACACAGTGAAATGATGTAAGCTTTTAAATTCTTGCATTCTTGAAAGCTAGCTAAGTTCTAAGTCTCTTTTTTTTAGTTTTCTGGAGCCGTCCTTTGATCAAACATCGTGTAGGATCAGGCTATCTGCGTTTGACGTCATTATGAAAAAGGTCTGTTTACCTTCAAATAAGCCTTGATCTCTTCAGCCCTGCGCATAAATCTTTGTACCTTTGATTAAAAAGGTTTTATTCAAGGTGATGGGGGTGACAAGAGGATCTTGAAGTTCAGTTTTTACACTCTACTAGTACTAGTTTCTTGTTTTGATAGATGTGAACGAGTAGATAAGTTACGGGTGTTCACATCAGACCACTCATAACTATTCGCTCGTTCACATCTATCAAAGGACGAAAAACACATCTAAGTTCACTGGCATCAAGTGGTAAGCTTGAAATTACCTCAGAGCCGAGAACATCCTTCACTTTGCTGCTTGGTAAATCTAGACAGTTAAAATATGAAATATTATAGCGTTATGGTGCGATTGTTTTATAAAAATTATATTTCACTCTCAACATTACCTTTTAATATCGGTATGAGCACGGCCAGTGCAGTCCTATATTGCTCCAGAGCTGCAGGAAATACACCGTTTTCATCCTAGTGAAAACACAATCGTTCAACAAACGAAGCCTTGTGTTACAAACTAAGACTTGATCATGAATAAAATACTACCCTAATTTCAGCAATTTCAGCCAGTTTTAAGCCATCTGCAAGCTGTGGATTAGTTTTCGCGTATTGTCCTTAAAATAGAATAAGAATGAGACAAGACCATTGAAGGAAACTCAAACACGAACTTTGACTTACTCAAAACATGCATTGGTTCACGCGAGGCTTGGGATGCGGATCTTTGTTTCAAAAGCTGTTTGATTTCTTCAGCTCTTGCTACGTAACCATTGACCTGAAATAACAGAGAAAAATAAGAGGAGTGTGAATATTTAGTGTGAATATTTCACGCTGGGTCTTGAATGATTCATGACTTCTACGATACCTACGGTGTTGACCTACTTTTTCTCTTAATGAATTCCTCTTCGAACTATTCTGCTCGTCTAAAAATATCACAAAACGGAATGTAAGAAGATGTGAAAGTGACATATGCAGTGTTTATGGCATCTCATCTTTGAGATCCGGGCTAAATCTCAACAACCACTACTCACATTGCAAAGCTGGGACGAAATAATCCAATGCCTGGCAGTACATCTTTACAGCGTCTTTGTAATTCAATGCCTGGTCAAGTTTTACCGCTTCAGCAACAAGGGAAATCTGGAAAAAAACGACAACAAAATAAATGGATTAAATTTGGTGGTCGGTTTTACCAGAAACTCAAATTTAGCTCCAGTATTTGACTCCAGGAATTGTCTGTTATATAGGGTCATTTGTTTTCCCTGTAGGGATAGCGAGTACTAACACAAATAAAGCTGCGCCCTTTTGTAGCGTCGCGTTAGACGCATCTTACTCCAAGTACAGCGTCAACTCACCGCTTGCGGCAAACACGACGCTGACGGCGCATGTTCCAAGTCAAGAAATGGGTGTGCAAAAAATTCATCAAATGATATCCTCTGTTTTGGATCCCTTTGTAAAAGAGAGAGAAGCAATTCTTTGCATGCTTGGGAGACATTAGAGTCTTGTGGAAGCTGAAATAGAAATAGTTTAAAAAGTTTGGTCAGTGTGAGAATTTTTATGGATAGAATTACCTTAACTTTCTTCAATCAATGCTCTAACACTTGCAATAGTATCTTTGCTAAAAGAGGAAAATTGGAGGGGAATATTTTCAGTTATATGGAGACAAGGGGACATACCCTAATTTCCTGAGTTGATCTGATCTTTTTCTCCAATTCTGAGAATGTTCGGGATCTGAAAGGAGCCACGCCAAAGAGCGCTTCTAATTTTCAAAGAATAGCAAATGTATATCTTAGAAATATGGAGCAATTGTACTTGAAATTGTTAGCAAAGTTATAAGTAATGTTACCATAAAGGATAACTCCCACAGACCACAAGTCCACAGATGCATCGTAGGTGGTCGAACAAAACATTTCTGGTGCCTTGAATATTGGAAAGATGAAATAGAACAAGTTTATGTCAAGAAAATTGTGAAAACAACCACAAGAATCAGAACTAAAGGCATTATGCACTAACCATGTATAGAGGAGAGCCACGAAGATTTGAGCTGTCCATTTCATCTTTGAGGTACTGAGCAAAACCAAAATCTAAGAGAAAGTTATGCATCTGAAATGTCAGCGGTGTGAAAGGTAACAGGGGAATCAAATGGTCTTCTTTGGATATATTTGATATTGTTACCTGCGATTTTTAATGTGGGATTATCTTTTGATGATAACAATATATTTTGAGGTTTGAGGTCCATGTGAGCAATGTCTCTGCTGTGTAGGCATTGTAGAGCAAGTGCTGGGAATACAGACAAATATATTTTAATTGCATCGAGTTTTCTTTGATAAAGCAATATGTTTTATCAAAATTACCTAGTTGTTGAAGAAAACGTTTGGCAATATTTTCTGGTAGTTGTCGTCTTGTTTGAATGAATCTGGATAAGTCACCTCCACTGCAGTATTCCATAATCAAGAATAGATAATCTTTGTTCCACTAAAAATGATGATCAATGGCTATTTAAAGTTCTTCAATACTTTCTATGGTGTAATAATTTCATTGATAATAATAGATGATGGTATTGTGGGCAAGGGTGGATGAACTAGTAATGGTAATTATTCATGATGATGATGATGACGATGATGACGATGATGGCAATGATGATCATGACGATGATCATGATGATGATCATGATGATGATAATGATCATGTGACTGTCAGGTGAAGATGGTGATAATCACGTAAAGATTTATGAATGGTGTTCATGGTGAAAGCATTCTACAAACCTCAAAATCTTTAAGTTGAACTACATGATCATGATTGATTTCCTTCAATAACTTAATTTCGGTGAATAGATTTTCAATGGCAGCTTTGCCGAGCCTCTTTAAATAAATACACTTGATTGCTACAACCTCTCGTGCTTGTCCCTAAAAAACAATTATAGAAAGCCTTTCACTCGTTGTAAACGCTGGGAATAGTAGTTTATATAAGTACAGTACAAACTATATTTAAAGTATATAACGATTTCGAAATATTCCGATCAATCGGAGGAAAGATAAATCGAATACGCCCAACCTTTCTATAAGCTTTATACACAGAAGCATACGTTCCTTGACCTAGTTTTTCTGTCATAACAAAATGCTCCAATCTAGGTGGGGGAAGTGAATTAACTCCACCTCCAGTGGTCTTTAAATGAATATTATGATTGTCCACCATCTTGAATTTGACCGAGGAAACAACTGGAGCGAGCAGCATGATTACCAGCCTATACCACTGGCCTATACTTTGCTGGAAATGAGTAGAATTTGACAGAAAATGGCTGAAAAGTCCTTTTTTGAAACTGCGCAGAGCAATTACCTTAGCGTAATCATAAACTTCAATAACCTACGATTCATGGTAAGTTTAGAAACTTAAAAATCGAAGTAAATGTTTTTTTTAATTCTGTTGGGAAATGTAGCAAAATAGTTGTCGCACGTGGTACGGTATGGGCTTCTGATACTTGTACCCCTCTGGGCCTCTGATGCCCCGCAAGAGCCGATGAGAGGGTGGGGTGCTATGGTCTGCCCCCACTGGCCTTGGTAACCACTGACCAGGGCTAAATTCTAGGAAATGACATCAGTGACAGCGAATGCCCATGATATGATCAACCAGTACAATACCATGTAAATCAGATCAACCAGTTATACCTTTTTCTTCAACAGACTCTGGTCAAAGATAATGCTCTCATATCAGATTTAATGAAAGAAATAGAAAAAACATATTCAAAACTCTGTTCTGCTAAGTACGTTGAGTTGATCATTGTTGTTTCATCAGCTGAAATTGGTGCCAGAATTGACTGGAAAAAGTTTAAAATATTTTTCATCCTTTAGAGTTAATATCAAGACGTTAAAGAACTCAGCGAATGCAGTTCTTCCATCCTGGTATCCTATTGCTCCTTTGGTCAAAAATCAGGATGAGATTTATGCCTTTTCTGGTATTAATATTTGTCAAATACAACACACATGTAGATGTGATTTGCCAGTTTTAATTCATCCACTTTGTGGACACTTTTTTGCAGCTGTTCATTCCTTAATGCATCAAATTATACAACCATTTTCTTTAGGTGACGCGACAGAGGTTTTTGGTATTCATTTGAGAATGCATGGGAACACTGGCCCAAATGATGTGGTCATGCCAACCATATCACCTTCAGCCTCACTTCTCAGAACTGACTCTGGATTTACAAGTCCTCTGACGAAGCCTGGGACATCTGGGGAAAGAGATGGATCACCTGAGATAACAGGAGTAAACGAGGGATACCAAGGTCAACAATTGATCAGTTCTGATAGGAATGTAAGCCAAGATGAAGGCAATGAATTATTAAGTGAAATATTTAGCTTTAAGGGTAATACACCAAAGAAGAATGAAGAAAACTCTGGAAAGGACAATATTGAGGTAGAAAGGATTATTCCACAGGGCTCCAAAAGCATCAAAGAAACTAAAAATTCACCAAGAAAAAGAGATGGTGCTTTAGGAGTGCAATCAAGCTCTGTTGGAGGAAAGGCATTGGACAAGGGAAAGGATACAGCTGTGGTTTTGCCAGAGAAGACTGCTTCAAGTTGTGATGGAAGCAGTTGGGGGACAGATTATTCGTCTGAGAAAGGTAAGAAAGACAAGACCAAACAGACACAACCTGAAAAAAACAAGAGTTTGAAATCTGAAGAGCTAAGAAAGGATCCCAACAAAAAATCTCAACAACTTGAACCTTCTGAAAAAAATCAAATGAAAAAGAATCCTATTCTGAAAATACAAGTTAAGAGAAAGAGTTCTTCACGAACGAAAACTGTTGAAAAAGACCACAAAAGCGACTCTAGCGATACCTCAACAGATGATGAGGATTTTGACAAAGATCTTGGTAACAAGAAAGCATCAGTTGTGAACACACAGCCTACGAAATCCAAGTCGCCTTTCAAAAAGCCGGCCGAGGATTCGAGCAAAAAGGAGAAGCGTTGCAGTGAAAATATGGAAGATGGTGTTGTTGACGGCGTGCGGAAGGAATTTAGCAAGAAGACAGCCGCTGAAACCGTTTCCAAAGATACCTTACCAAAGCCAGAAACTATGGACAGTGAAAGTTGGAGCGATAGTTCCTCTGAGAGTGAAGTAATAATCGACAAAAAGGTTGATGTTGTTCAAAAGACGTCGGACAAAACAACCGAGGGCGAGGCAGAAAAATCAAAAGATAGAAAGAATAATTCGCCTAAGGTGTCTGCGAAAAAAGGAAATATCTCAATCTCTGGCCAGAAGAAAAAACAACTCGGCAACACAAAAGAAAAGGTCGAGGATTCCTCAAGTAGTGGTTCAGACATTAGTCGCTCGGATTCCGAGAAGGAAGACAGTTTAATTGAGAAAAAGGGCGATAAAAACAAGAACGACGGTATAACGGAAAGCAGCTGGAGTACAAGTGAAGATGAAGAAACCAGAATCAAAACAATAACAAAAGACAAAAATGAAACGAAACAGAACGATCGCAGTGATAAAAGGAATCCTAATCATCCCACATCTGTACACAAGAAAATGGAGGGAAATACAATGAACAGCAAAGAGAAAAATGAAGTTAAAACCAACGAGAAAAACAAGCAAACTAATTTGAAAATTGCGCCATCACCGGCGAAGAGTGTCAGGAGTAAGAAGGGTAAAGAAGATGGTACAACTAACATGGCTAAATCTCCTGCTAACACAAAGACTCGAGGTAAAGAGAACACTTCAGCCAAGAATGAAACCGACCATTTAAAACGTGAAAAGCTTAAAGGCAAAGAAATTGAAACGCAGTCAAACAGCGAAAGCTCGCTTTCAACGTTGAAACCTCCGTTTACTCAACTTTCTGCCAAAGAAAAAATAAAGACGAGCGAAGATAATGCAGCGAAGAAGGGTGATGAAATAATCAAAACACCAAAATCGAAGAGAAAACATAGTTTGGCTGACGAGGGAAAAAACCGTCGTAAGTATAATGTTAAATTTTACGCAGATATTTTCTACACAGTGCCAACGGCAGACTGAATGAAGTCCAGACTAGTCCCATTAAACTCAACAATAAAAAGACAGTGAATAAAACTGTTCTTACCTTTCGTTTTTATCTCAGAACAACTGGATGATTCCAACATATGGTCCTCTCAATCACCATCGAAATCTCAAAAGTCGTCTGTCATGTCGTCAGCAAGTAAGGTCGCATCTTGGCTCTTGTCAAATCCTGTGTTGGACACTGTAGACGATGGCGTACCTAGCAACGATTCTCCAAATAAGAGAAAGAAACATTCAAAGAATAAAAGCAAAGGTGAAGCCCCTGGTGGTGAGCTTGGAGACGCTCAGAAAACGAAGTCGGATTCAAAAAACAAAACAAATGAAGAGTCGACTGTGAATGATATCGAAAGTGCTAAAACAAAGGATAAAAATCAGGCGCAAAAGAGGAAGATGGAGGATAATAGCAAAGAAAAGCAAGGAAATAAGAAGAACAAGAAAAATAAATTGGATGAAAAAGACGGTAAACAAGAAATTGAGGAAAAAGTTCAAGGTGACTATCGTCAGTTCGGATGTTAGAAATATTATAGAAAGTTTTATTTTGTGTAAATATTTTAGTGAGAGTACTGATGTGATTGTTGAGAACTAAGATTACATTTTATCATCATTTTGAACCTTTTAGATAAACAAGAAAATACCCCGATCAAACCTGAGAAATCCTCAAAGAGGAAGAATACGTTGCTTTCGTTACCAAAGGTCTCCAAGGGATTGTCAGCTTTAATGGAGGATGGTAAGAAGATGGTTGTTCATGATGGTTGTTCATGATTGTAGTTGACTCTAACCTAAAACTTAAAATAAACAGCACGAGCCAGCCTTACGAACCATTTTGTACGAGTCAAGATAGTTATTTGCCGCTTGTAAGCACGCTTTTTTTTGTTTTTATTCCGTTAAAGAAAGTGATTACAACCGGAAGAGCAACAATAAAGGAAAGAAATCCAAACTCATTCCGCCAGCAGTGACTCGTGAGGTGAAATCAACTGGATTTCTGACGCCATCGGACAGCGTTGCACGAAAAACCAGCGGATCCAAAACACCAAAATCACGAATCAAAAAAATCTCATCTTCACAACCGAGTAAAACGATTGAATTGAACGCAAAAGAAAAAGAATTTCTCGATAATGGAGCTCTAAACCTGGAAACACTACTGAACGATGAAAGTATCAAATGGTAGCACACATGAATTGTACTGGATTTGAAAAATACTCCTTGGTATAATATATTATACTTTAAAAGATTATTCATATGAAGTTCATATTATTTATTATAATTTATGTTGTGTTAATACGAACGTTGTTCTTATTAAAATTCTGGTGAATACTTTGCATTAAATCATTCTCATTCCAGACTTTTGAGATCTGTTAACTATTCCTGACCCATTTTAAAAACGTTCCTAAAACATTATCTAAAGTTCTTAAACCCGGATGCAGGTTATCTAGGGCCGCCTTAATTGACGCAGCCTGCACCGTATGACCTGTTTCGTGTAGTTCACGCACCACCTCATTTACACGCGACTCTCGCGAGTGTTCCGTGTTAATCTCGCCTTTCAACAAGTAGTTTACATAGGCATTAAAATATGGTGTTTCCACGATGTGCGAAGATAGTTTGTTTTTGTAAAGAAGCTCTAAGAATTCATTGTCCCACGCGGCCTCTTCACGCTGTTTTACAAAGATAATAAATATGATTAAGTGATATTTCGTGTTTTAAGCATGTTTTTACCTGAGACCTACCTCAGTTGTTTTCATCTGATCTGTAACAAAATTCAAAATCTCTTCATCCCCAACGAGAAGGCCAAACTTGTAACCCGACAATGGCTCATAATTTTCAATAAGTTTATTCAAAATATGTTGGCTTTCCTAAACAAAACAAGAATTTAAATTTGAACCAGCTCAAAATGATGAAATGGAGTACAATGATTCAACTTCACAATACATTCAACACAAACCACGGTCGTATAATAGTAATTCAAACCTTTTTATTTAATCGGATACTGTCAGCTTTTTCCCGAACAATTTTCACGACTGACGATCCATCTTTAACTTGACTAATCATCTTCGACAGGACCAGGTACCACGCTCCTTCACCGTCTTTCTCGTCTTCAAGTGGGGGCCAAATACTGAGCAATGTGGCCACGGCTAATAACTCTTTTTCGTGCACAGTTTTTCCGAATATTTGTAGAAACAGTTGATGAAGTCTTTCACGCGATTCCACGTCTTCAATTGAAAGCTACAAATATGAAAAAGGATTGCATTTAAAGGCTCCTCTCATCGGCCAATTAAAAAGATAAGATAAGAAAGATAAACGTCCAGGAAGAACAACAGAAAACGACTAACTTTTTCTTTTACTTTCATACCTCAATTTGCCAATGTCGATGGACAATCGCCTGTGTCTGATGAAATAGCAACAATGTTTTATCTTCTCCAGTTAACTTGACAGTTTTCTCAATGAGTTGAAGGACTTCATGTTTCACTTCAGGAGAAACGGTCTCGTCTGCACAGAAAGTCCTAATTTCCTGCAAAATATCCTCATCTTTAACTAGTTTCTTATTCTCGTCGTTTATATGTTCACGAAGCGTCGCTAGAAGTTTAGCGAGAATCTTGAAAGGTGAATCAACCGTGGAAAGATATCCTGGACGCTCGCCAGGACTGCTAAAGAAAGAGAAGAGTAAAACAAATATATGAGCATTCTTTGAAAATAACACAGAGAAAATAACACTGGTATAAAACACACCTGTATGACTTCAATACAATCATCAAAGATTCTTTGACTATATCCTTTGTTTTAAAACCTTGAGCTCGTTGTTGATTGGCCAGCTCAATCAGATTTTTCACAATGCTCAAGGAATCGCCATTACACAGCACTTGCGTACACAGTTCTTTGATTTTCTTTGGTTCAGACCGTGAAAGATCATAAAGTCTAGCGTATTTCACATACTGTATCTGTTGAAAGACAAAATTCATGCATGGTAGGTCAGTTAAGTATAGTTCACAGCGCTTAGTGTATGGTTTCTTATCAAAATTAGTTCAAATATGGCGAAGTAAACATTATTACAACAGTTTGTTCATACTTGTTCGGATTCCTCAAAGTTAAGAATCATTTTGTTGTCCAAAGAAGCTAAATGCTTCAACGACTGTTCAAAATGTTGCGTAACTTCAGCAATAGTAACACCGTTTTCTTCATATCTAAAAAACAGGCCACAAAAGATGAAGAAATGAAACATAATAATGCGAGAAAATGTCGTTTGCAAACATACATATTTTCTTTGGATTTCTTCCGCTGTCCACCAGCACTTCTCTGGCGGGAGAACTTTACAGCTCGTCTCAAGATCTCGTCTCGAAGGTCAGTATTTAAAGTATTAATAGCTTGCTCTGAGAACGTGAATGAATCAATCAAGACGATGAGGTCAGAGAATGTCAGACGATCCAAGTAGCTATGAACTTCTTCATAACGATGAATCCAGTCAACCTGAAATATACGACATTTTGATCAATTCAACTTTGTCATGAAAGGTCGAAAAAGAGTGTAAACAAAGAGTGGAATATTTTCAACTACAATACAGCACCTCCTTCCCCACAGTTTTTCGCTCTCCTTCCCAAAAGATCTTCTCAGCAAACACCTTGAAAACCTGGCTTGGGTTAAGTAATTCACCGTCCTAATAAGCCCACGAATAAACGAAACAAACATTATGGTCGGTCAATGTACCTCAACTTTTGTTTAGAAGAAGTTTAGTTATTTTACAACAGTTTACAAACCTTGCCCCGAAGTTTGTTTGCCATTTTAGCGAAGACATGAACATTCGAACTGAGAAGATGAGGTCTCAACGTCAGCAGAGGATCACCGCCTTCTATCAAACTCTTGTAGTTTACACCTGGAACAGAATGGTATCAATTGAATCAACTTTAATTCACGATACTGACGGCTTTCTTTTCATATCGTAGTAACAATGGAGCAATACGAGATATTCTTTATTCTGGGTTAACAGCTGGTAGAAAAGCACTTCTATAGACTAAATTTAGGTCGAACCTTGCGACGAGGCTTTGATCTTCTTTATCAGTCGAATGTGCATCTGAGGGTCCAAATCATCCTGAAATTCACACAATACAGTTTCTTAGCAGACGAACTCGTTTCCAGTTCACCAATGGTTCACTCACCTCGTATGATAGTCCCCCGCTTTGAACGCAATCGTTGAACAACATGAAGTAATAGAGAAGACGAGCCAACTGCTTACCATCGATCGAAGGATAAATATATTCCTGCAGTCGACTGATCATCTAAACCCCAAACAGCATTGATCACAACGAGACGTGGGTTTGTTAAATAATTTGCGGATTAATTTCGTACCTTTTCTGGTTGCGTCAGAAGCGTTGTCATTAAGTCTTTTTCACCGACACGTTCCTGAAGCTGTTTTGTCGAAAGGCTGGAAAATATTTTGAGAATTAATTTAAATTGAATAACTTCAACAAAAGGAGAGATTATGTCCAGTGGACAAAGACTCACTCGCCGTCAGTGAAGAGCCATTCGAGATGAGACATGAACATTTCCCATTTTGAAATGTCGTATCGTTCTGCCAGAGAAACTGCTGTTTCAAATATCTTATCGTCCGCGCTCCTAGGAAAAGGAATTAGGAGAGATTAAATTGTAAGATTTATGTTAACAGGAAGGTATAAATATATACACACAAACATACATGGTCAATCCTAGGATCGTTTCTTTCTTGTATTCCTCGTCTTGGGTGAAGCGATTGATGTCCACACCTGATTAACAGAACCCACATTAGACATGCAGTTAAAAATATTCCGTATCTTAACTGGAAAAACCAACAAACCTCGTCCCAGTCCTTGGAGAAGTCGTGCCTGGGCGAAATCCGCGAGTTGCGTGTGATATCTCTTAAGATGAGCCATCAGAAACTTCGTATCATCATCCCCAGTCTCCACATGATCACGAAGGCTGTTGATCACGTGGTCTACCACATGGTCAGGTGGATGCAGGTACAGTGACGCCTGAGAGTCTTTGAATTGCGGGCTGAGGGTGCTGTACACTTGAAGAGCGTAGTAATAGGAAGCCAGCTTTAACGTCAATGCAGAATTTGGCAGCTTTTCAAAACACTCGTACGCGTTGGTCGACTGTAAATACAGAGATATTCTCATGTTAGCAATGGTTCACTTCACACATCTTGAAGCGATGATTGCCGCCATTGCCGCCTGGGTTATTTTCATCAATTTACTCACCTCAGGAAGGGAAAGAAGGTAGGCCATAGCAAGCGGTGTATCATTGAGAAAACATTCATCTGCGAGTTGAATCAGGACTGAAAGAAATAGAATTACATCAAACAGTTTACTCCTTAGGTTCTGAACAGTTCTCGATACACACCGCCTCAAAATAATAAGTTTTCAACAACAATGCATAGTGACCTTCAGTGGCTGGTTCCTCAATGGAACCTTCAGCTCTTTCTTCAGCAATCTTTTGCGTTTGAAGAAGAAGCTCGCTGACGTGGACAGAGTTCTTGTTTGTCTTCCAAGAAACCGTGTTTTCATTCTTCAAAGAAGATATTTTGTAAGTGGCAGATCAATACCAGTTACCACAAAGTAATACGAAATATCACTCTCTATCAAAAGAGAAGTTTAGTATTCTAAGGACGGCTTACCTCGGCTAATTTCTCGTGAACTGTTTCGTAAAACGGATGGTTATGAAACTCAAGTTCCTTTTGGTGACGTTTCTGTTGTCTGTTCGTCATCTTTATCGCTAGGTTTGTGTAACGGTCTTACCCATTGTAAAGTGTCTGACCACCAACCAACGTCACTAACGTTGGATAAAATCGTCTTTGTTGTTTTGGTTATTTGACCAGCAGCTGTAAGATCATCCTAAAAACGTAACCGTAAAACTATTCTGGCGTTTTCAAATTCATCCGGCATCGTGTGGACGGGGTCTTGATACGCAAACGAATCACAAACTTACCGAGTCCATAGGATCTCCAATTTCCTCCATCAATTCACTGAGATCACGATACAGAATCTGAGACAAAAGCAGAGAGTTGTTTTTTCTAAAAGCAATGATCGAAGTCCTTATCCTTTAGAAAGATACGCACCTCAGTCTGCAATAGACTTCTGGAGTGTAGCAATGCTTCGATAGCATTTGGTTCGCAATGGGACAGGGAGAAGTTGAGCAACTTTTGTCTGAAATAAAGACTGGTTTTATATATTTTTTTTCAACAAAGATCGTGCAAGTAGTCGTGACATGAGACAAGTGAAGAATCATATTCTCGTCTTTCAAGCCTCACCTTGCCTTGAGATTCGTGAATTCAGTGTTTTGGCCCAAAGTCCTAGGAAATGTACGATATTTTGACCTTGAGTTCAGAACTGAATACACATTCAATAAACGTCACTTGAATGTTAATTGATGTCCCACCTGCAAATCTTCCAGCCTGGAATATAACCAGTTTTCACCAGCTCTGCGCATGTGTTGTAAGCTACAGTAAAATCATCGTGGTCTAGGGCTCGCTGTGCCACCAAGCTAAGAACTCGACCTCGTCTGGTCTTCTCGTCTGAACCAGACATTTGCAGCAAAGACGCCAAACGAAGAAGCTGAAATAAACATACAAGTCGTTGTATTAGCTTTAGTTGAAATCTCCAGCATCTCAGACTCGATCATAGATGGCAATTTCCATCAGTAAAATACCTTCCCAGGATCTTTATAAGAAGCAGGAGACGAATCTAATGATTTTTCAATCAATTCAGCTTTATCTTGACATAAACGAACTAGAAAAGAAAAAGAACAACTTTGCTGTATAGAACTCAGCGTACTTACGGGAAATTGACTCGCCTTTGTTTGAATTGACTTCAATCTATATAAGCTTATGAACTAACCACACTGTCTCATCAGAAATCATGAATCTCTAAGAGTCACTCTAAATCATGTTTTTTTAAAACTAATTTGTACCTTGTAGTGGTAATACGGAGACGTTGTATTCAGCAAACATTGATAAGGCTGTAATTAAATCAAGTTCCTCTTGAACAGACGCTTCATTTGGCTGAACCAAATCTAAACAAGCCCTAGGAAATAGAGCCACACACATTTTAAAAAACTGAAAAGGATAACATGAAGAAAGGTGAGATTCTAAAAACATTGGCAATGGACACAGGAGAGTTATGCCCGGCGCTAAGTGCAACGACAGCAACGTGAAAGTCAATTTGACAGGGGACAAAATACGACTCACTTTGCCAAGTTCATACACGGGTCTTTAACATCATTTGCAGAGTTAAAATATTCCCTCGACGCTTTCACAACGAGCTCTACGAATCTATGATATTCCATTCCGTCATCTCGAGTTGCCCGTACGAGTTCTGCATGTTTGATATTTTCTTTATTTCCCGAAGTGAGTAAGCAATCAACACATGCCTTAAACAGGAGAATAACAATCTAGTTCGTAGCAAATGGTGGGATTTTTAAGAAATTTTTCAAAGAATGCAACGCCATGTACCTCGTAACAGATACTGGCAGGAATAACATCAAATATATCGTTGCGTAATTTTAACATATCTGCTAATAAATTGTCCCAATCTGCTGGCTTTAACGGTGGCTCTCTGTAAAAGAAAGGCTCTCAGAATAGGATATGGTAGAGTTACATTTACTGGTGGTAGATAAGAAGAATTCGGCATATGGTGGGCTTACGACATAATTCATTACTAACATTCTAGAACCACCTTAATGAAAATTAGAGTTCTAATTCACTTGAGCCACCTTAATAGTAATTCGTACAACACTCCTTTAACTACAGTAACTTTGACACACTCATACATCAAGTTCTCGTAGTGTAGTGGTTATCACATCCGCTTAACACGCGGAAGGTCGCAGGTTCGAGCCCTGCCGAGAACACTTTTTCATCTTCACAATAATTTTTTAATTTAATATATTTACGCTATTTCAAAGCTCGGATACAAAGATCAACATATTTGGATATAGATAAATTCAATATCGGACGAAACCCAATTCATTTAAAACATTTTTGAATCAATGAAACATTTTCAAACTAGTCCCAGGTTCTGAAACACGGATCACCGCGAGCCGTAACCTGAATCTACCTGATTCTTCCCGCCTGACACCAAACGGGAAGGACGAGAACATTACAGTTACTAACCTGTGTTTAGCAATGCTGGATAAAGAAAGCATGAGAGATGTTGCTGTCTCTTTGTTAGCCTAAAAGACAGCAAAAAATTACAGAAAATTACACAAAAAGAACGGCTTCAGAGCAAATAAAACTACAAAAAAAATTATTAAAGACAAAATTGTCTGCGAGGAATGCAACAAACCTTAGTGTCCACCAAATATGAAACAGGTTTCGCAAAACCGTTTTCTGATAGGATTTCTGCCCCGCTGAAAGATGAAACAAACAATATCTAGTGATACATCAGGTTGAGTGTAGAATTTATTAAATATGAGCTAAAAATATTGATGATATTGATCTAAATATGTTCATGATAGACGCAACTTACTTTAAATGTAATTTGAGTTCGTCTAGCTTCTCTCGAAGTTCCACAATTTGTTGTGATGAAACACTATATAAGATAACGTGCCCACATACGATATATATATATATATATATATTAATATATATATATATATATATACAGAAGAAGTTAAACGAATCATAGAAGAAATGGCTAAATTCATTACGATACCTTTCTGTGTCTGATGAAAAGCACTTTAAAATCATTCTGGCTTCCTCCAGTTGGTCATCCCTAAACAACAAGGCAAACATAAAAGCGTTCAATTGTTTTATTTATTGTCACAAATGAGGGGGAGAATATATTTACCTGCTGCAAAGATAGATACAGTCGATCGCCATCTTCATCTGCCTTGCAACATCTGGGATGAACGGCTCCGTCGACTAGGAAAGAAATGAAATTGAAAAACGATGTTTGTTAAGACACAAATGAGATATTAAATTATCACCTCGGATGCTGATTGCTGAAGTATTTTAAGCGGAAAGGTTAGATCCATCTGGAAATAAATGCAAAATGTTCGTTAAAACCGCATCAACAAGAAATGGTTCTGAGTGGATCTTTAGAGAGAACAGATCCGTGGGGTAGTTTACAAACCTTTGCTGTTTCTATCATATATTGTTGTATCAACTTCGTTTTGCTGCCTCGGTTTCGTTTCTCTAGTCTGTCCAAGAATGGAACAGCCCATTCTTTAAAATTCCTTATAAACGACTTCTCCGTGGACTAAAATATTACAGACAGCAGTTGTTAGGAAGATGACACTCTATGTCATAAAGCCATCTGTAAAAGTACCACAAGAGTCAAGAGCTCACCTTTGATAGCAAAAGTCTCATTTTTTCCAGGTTATTTAAGTTTTGGAACGACTTTAGGTCAACACTAGCGTCTGTTTGGCACTACAAAATATAGAAACATGTTTAGAAAAGTGTCTCTCATGTTTGAGAAGTGCAAAATTTCGTGCATGCGTGCATACCTCGTAAACCAGGACACTGAGGGTAATCAAGTCATCCCGTAAGTACGCTAAGCCCTAGGTGAAGAGAGACTTGATAAACATCTGAAACGTCACATCAAAATCATCGAGTTAATCTAGTCAACATGAAAACATGAGAAAGCTTGTATACATACCTTCACTCCTCTTTCTTGGCCAAGTTTAACAAGTTCTAGAGCATTGTCGATCTAAATATTTTCAAATACATGTTTTTAAACACAATTTCCACGACTCCACGATACACGTCGTACAAACTTGAATTTAAAACGCAGTGGTTTACTGCACCTGGCCGGAACATTGCTCTATTTCATGAGCACGATATTTGTACCATTCTGTAAGCATCTTGCTGTCTAAAACGCCGCTAAAAACAACGAGATACCTTCGTCAAAAGAATAGTTATTGAGACACTTATCCCCACGACCATATTACATACCTGAAGGGCTTAAGTTCTTCATTTTCGCGGTATAAAAACTCTCCAGGATCGTCCACGGTATCGTCTTTATACGTTTTCAAATATCGCGGGTTCTCCACCCAATCTTGTGTCCGCCATGTTTTTTCTTCCCACTCATACACCTCAGGTTCGTCGTCATCGATGCTGAGAAAAGACAAACCACCATCGTTGTTTCTTTTACTGAACTTAGGCACAAACAACGATTGTATGAACAGTTAACACAACACAAACGTGTTCATGAATGATAACTAAAACTGATAATAATGAAAACTGTACCCTGCTTCAGGAAGAAGGCTTCTGTAGTCGAAAGGTGAAGTAGTTTCAGGGAAGTTTGACAAAATAGAAAGATAGTGTGGCAAAGTTTGTTTTCCGTGATACGTCAGCAGGCAATCAACTGCATTCCAGTCGTTATCCTGTATGAAATATAAACACGGGATAAATGGGTTTATTCCGTTGCTAGACCGAGTCCTCCTTTCTTCATCAAGTCCTCCTCACCCTGGCAAAATTCACGGACGATTCAACAATATTACTGTCTCGAAATGAGGTGAAGAAAACGCTGTCAAAATTATCGTGTGCAACTGCAGGACCGCCAAGGATTGTCTCATATGTCGAGAGACGGTCGCAGTAGGTTAAGAAGCGTAGACGGTAGCGACATATGTTACGTTGTTCAACTGACAGTCTGAAATAGATGGTGTAAATAAAGTTAGTTTAGTTTAGATTTCCCCCTGTAGTAACACTGGATCAATAAGAGATGATCCTTACTGGACTTCTAGGAAGAACAGTTTAGAACTATCAGAGTTGTCCGGAAAAACACATTTCGTTCCGTTTATCAAAATACACGAACTTGTTAAAATCAATCTTCTTCAATAACTTCTTCTCAGTCTCTTGCTCGTCACGTTCTTCCACTTCATCTTCTTCATTTTCCTCGATTAAAAACGGATGTTCCGTGTCACCCATAGCAACCAACACATGAAGCCCAGTTCCATGCAAACCATACTTCAACAAAGCTTTAGTGGACTCCAGGTCCTCAGCGACTCGCTCAAGGCATTCATGTAGAACCCATACACGCTTGGTCACCTTACTCTAATAAAACACAGAGATACTCCGTATTTATTCCCTGGGTACAGCACAGTATGCACGACCCTGCCGATCGTACTGTAATTATATCGAGCATGAATCAGCTTCAAAACACTCTCAACAGATCTACGACTCGTTCAACGAAATAAACAGCAAAAGAAAAGCTCAAACAATATTACTCTCACCAGGTAATCGTGTATGCTTGAAAGAGTAACTTTAGATTTCCTCCATTGCTTTTGATACACAAGATCACAATCGAGGTCATAGGACTGGGCAAGAGCTAATGCTTCGCCATATTCTTCAAGTTCAATCTAGAAGTTCAAGCAATCCTGTATTGAAACCTGAACATTACATATGACTATAACTCAAGCTAGCAATTTCAGCACAATTCACTTTGGTTAACCCTCGAAGCTTCTAGCCATTTAAAGGGTTACAAAAGGATAACTAAAGGGTACCGAAAGTTGTCCCCTTTTTTTCCCTTTAGTTGTCTTTTTGTTACCCTTTTGTCTACCCATATGATCTGATATGTTTTGTAATATATTTTTCACCTTTCTTGCGTAAAGTTCCTCCGGGGTTGTTGAGCGAAGACAGAGAAGTCTGTAGGTTTGTTTCAGAATTCTAAATAACACAAGTGGTTCAGGTTAATTCTGTTGTTGATAGGACTTAACAGTCGTAAAAAGGAAGTGTACACAAACTAACTTGGGTCGTCGTACTGGCGGACGGAATCTTTCGCTTTCAGTTAGAAAGTACAGGACCTAAAAGAGTTCAAAGCTGGCGTGTTTAGCGACTCGAAGTTTCTATGTAATCTCACACAACGCTTCTGTCTTACATGTTTCGCAAGTTCCCGAGTTTTTGTGACCATGTGATGTTCCTCATCATCCTCATCATCACGATGTTCCCCCTGTTCACCCTCATCATCCACAGTTTTCCGTACTGGACTTAGAGACACGACATTGTTCTCACACTACAGGATAGAAAATCTTCCTTTAAACGTCGGAACAACAAACCATTTCATATATAACCCAGTTTACGTATTCAACATCTTCCAAGACTCACCTCCAAGATAAGGAAACCACCATTGTGGGCACTGGTAACTAACGGACATGGTTCGCACCATTCAGCATATTGGCCAAGGATATTCTTCAAACTGAAAATAAAAAAGCACTTTTACGCACAAGAATTTCTCGAGTCAACCAGATCCACGTCAGTGATATTTGAAATAGACATGACCAACAATGTCAAATGCCAATCAACCGCCAAAGCACAGAGTATATAAGCACAGAGTATATAAGCACAGAGTATATAAGCACAGAGTATATAATCACATATAATAGATATATTTTAATTTGTGACCAAAGTTCCTTAGAATTCAAAAGTTCAGAACAAACCTTTTGTCAAAACTTGATACAGTCAAAGCACCTGAACGACGGGCTAAAACTATTGCCTAAATTCAGAGAATTATTAAGGGGAGGAATACTATTTTTGATACAATGAAATAACTATGATCTATTAAAACACTCACCTCGTTTGACCACCAACCAATGTCGTATACAAAATTATTCTGTTCAACTGTAAAATATAGAAATTGAACTTAATAGTGCCAAGCGCAGATTATTTAATATTTACTTTGGTTGCTCGTAAATGGTAGGTTATGGGAGAACGAAGGAGCAGTGATGCATCTTAGATCAGAACAGAAGGTTGGAAAAACTGTATCTCAGGTTTCTTGCGGGAATACACCACAGATGCGCTCTAATAATTTTCTAACATTTCTTATCATAACCATGGCAAATCATACCTTTTCGTTTTGAATGATTTAAACTTGGAAACTGAACATGGACATCTTCGCTCTTGTATTCCGGCTAAATAAGTTGAAATGTTATCATCAGTTCTCAAAGGATCATGGATTGTCAGGTTTACTTCAGGTTTACTTCAGAGTCCTTCACCTGTTCCGTTTGTTCCCAGGTCTCTCGCTGTTTCAACGAGGGGAGTTCCCACAACGATAATCTTCCTGAAAAATGCAACGCCAGTAGCGTTTTACCGTCTAAAGCTAAACTCATCTTCCATACGCCATGCTGAAAGAGATGTGTTTAAAAACTTTGTTTAGAACTAAGCAATGACTCGAGAGCCTACCGTCTTCGGAATATGTACCTGTCTATTGTTAAACCTTCGTGGAAAGAGTTTCCCAACTAGACCTGTTGCTTGTTGAATCTGAAACGAATAAATACGATATCATTATCCTTTAAAACCTGCCTTGACTATGAAATGGTGACTTTTGGTTCGTTTTTTCGATAGATTTCAAACATACCTTTTTTATTTCTAATGCTTGATCTTCGATAAGTTTGAAATGCGGTTGACCAGACAGCAATCTCCACAGAGTAATGCCATTTCCCAAGGCTGATTTGCCCTTCACCCGAGTGGCGGGGGTCCCTAGAAGGAGAAGTTTTGTAGGAGGGTAATACACAGCACAGGACACGCCATGAGGTAGAACTGATTGGAAAGAGAAACTGCACTTCTTGCTGTGTTCTCCGCTGTGACTGCTGCAAATCGAAAGAACATGAAAGTTTTAAAACTTGTACGCCGGTAGTGCAAAATCTATTTCCATCAGCTGAACTAAACAGGCTTCGCTGTGCTCTGCACGACCGAACAAAGATGGTTTTGAAATCATAGAAGAATAAAATACGTTACTTGATAATGTAGCTGTCCAGTTGTCCTTGGTAGGAAATAACGAGAAGCTCCAGCTCACTACAATCGAAACGATTCACGATTTCAGAAGTACAGTCGTAGTACTGTAGTTAAACTCACGTTTGTTGAGTTCAAAACCAAAAGCGATTACAAGAATCCGCACCTTTCATTATTCTGATCTTTCTCAAGAAATAAAAGACCAGAAATACTCTTGCAGTGGTGAAAAAGACCACCAGTGTTAGATGACACGTTATTCTGTTAATAAAAATAAATGGTTCTCAAACTACGCGAACATGACTGGAATCACGTTAAATGGAAGGTGTAAATTCCGCTTCAGACGATGAACAAACCTTTAGAGTACATAGAGAGGTCCCTGATAGATCAAATACGACAACCTCTCCCCAACTAAAAAGTATTTTCGTCCATAACTTAGTTTGTCAGCAAAATCAAACATTAAAAGCATTTCTTGTGAAAGACGATTACTTCATGTGTTTACCTGTGCGCAAATGCCAAGAGAGAGGAGTCGCTACTCCATGCCAACCTTCTCCAGCTCAGAAACGGATCCTTATGAACTGAACAGCAAAAAATTGCAGTTTCATTTAAAAGGAAACGTCTCAAATGCACTTAAGTTTGCATCTAGCTTATATTTACCCTGGCATTTTGAAATCACAGACGAGAAGTTATCCCTGGAAGATCTTTAAGAGACAAAGTGGGTGAATGAGGTTTGGTTGAAGTTCAGAAAAAACTAACCACAGGAAACACAAACCTTATTTCAATACATTGCTCTTGTAAAACTGCAACAAAATTTCCTTCACTGAGATATAAAAGGAAGAAGCAGAGAACTTGTGAAGAATGTGTTCAATGATGCTGTGAGAATGTTTCATGTCTAACCTTGACAGTGCAAAGTCCCATGATTGAGAAGTTTCATGAAGTTTTAGGAGTTCTTCTGGTAAAATACAGGAGGCAGCAAAACCACTGATTCAATGAAAAATGAATAAGTTATTTACAAGCTGAGGTATTGATTGGAGTACAATGGATTTCACATTCGATCTATTGATTGTATAAGTTATTGATTGATCTCTTGATTACACTAATTAATTGATTGATATGACTTTATGAATTATTCATTTTTTAATCACAAGATCATACCTAAAAGGATATTTAATGATTTTCCAGACACCCCACACAGAGCCTTTATAAAGAAAACAAATAATAAAATAATGGAAATTGAAGCTGAGATGATGCGCTTTTTAAATATGAGTTTCGAAAAAGATTCTACAGGCATTCACCTTCAACGATGGACAAGAGCTTTTTCCCAAATGAACCACGCTGTTGTAAGATATCTAGGCCGCTTTTGCTCTAAGAAAAGCACGTTATATAACATTATAATGGACTTTTGTTGAAAAATACAATGGACACGCACAACTCTTTACAAACATCTTACCACAATATAAATGACCTGAAAACAACAATATGCGAGCAATAGGTTCCCAAAATATCCGATTCCTCACCTGAATCTCCTCGTCCAAATTCCATTCAGCGTGCACGAGTAAATTGTACAAAATGTGATCATTATTTTCATCTTTTTTTTTCAATCCAGCGGCCATTTTGTTTTTTATTTTGATACACGTCTCTCGTTCTTTTCATTTCCAGCGATCTGATTGGTTCAACGCCGTCATGACGTCATTCACCGCCATGTTTAAAAGGACAAACCGCCATCTTGTTTGTGGTTCTGTGCAAAAGCATTGTAAACACAAAACTGACTCAAGTTTGGAGGTGAATATCAAGTGTTTTTAACTCCGATCTTGCTCCATTTTTGCAGAATATTTACTTTATAGCAATAGGAAATGGCTACCAGCTTTCAGGCGCATATTGATAGAGAAAACATTGGCAATTCTGGGTTGAAAAAGAACGTGACTAAAGCAAGCCAAGGTGTGTATTTGTAGAAAAATAATTTCATTTCGTGTAAAGACACGTGTCTAAAGGTTTATTATTTTAAGGACAAAGAGGATTATCTACAAAAACACCAAGAAAAGCTTTGGGAGATCTTGGAAACATACAAAATGGCACGGGAAAGAAAAATTTCCAGACGCCAAAACCTTCAAAAGTGAAAATATCTGATGAGAATCAAAAATCAAAATCATCCGTAAAACCAAAGAGAGGAACATTCTCTGTTCTCAATACTCATAAAAAACAAAACAAGACATTAAGTGATGTTAAAATCAAAACAAACAATGAAAGTGTACTGCCAGAAATAGGAACGATGATACCATTTGTTGATGAAGGTTTGTATTGGCATCATTGCATTTCATTCTTGTAATATCTTCAGACAGTTATTTATAAGCTTTGAATATTTTTTAGAAAAGGATCTGCCAAGACCAGAGCATATTACAAAACTGTTAAAGCACACTGGACTTTTAAATCCATCGCTTCTGATTCCACCAGTGACCTACCAAGATGACATCAAACTACCATCATCGTTTTATGAATTTGACTCCCATGAGATACCATTATTTGGTAAGGAAATGGTTCTTTCAAGAGGCGCTTTTAGTTTGGTGTTACCCTAAAGAAATAGGGAAGAAGTTATTCAAACTGAAAGCATTATCAATTCAAATGTCATAACACTAACCATTCTTGATATTTCATTTTCAGATGACACCATTGCCAACATTCTTGGTTTTGATGAAAAACCAGAACTTGTCGAAGTGGATCCACTGCTTCCTGTTCTGGAACCATTACCACCTTTTGAAGAAGACCTAGATCATTGGTTATGTCATGACTAAATATTACATGACAATTTCATTTCTTTTGTTAATGATAGACATTCGAAAATGGTAGATTAGTTACATCTTTATAACAATCCAAAAAAGTTTGTAAATAGTTTTGTTCATTATTTAAATAACTGTATAAATTTTAGGTAATAAATCAATTTTGTAAATGGTTAAACTTGTGTTACTAAAGCTTTCAGTAAAATGTTGGGGATTTTATCTTCAAGTTCTAGAACCACAATACCTATCCAAAATATTGCAGTCCACAAGTAATTTGTACGTTGGTAATGGTCCCAATGAAATTGTGCTTGTAGTTTTCAATTTTCTCAAAAAATATTCAAGGAACATTGCAGCATTTTTGAAGTTCATCATATAGGTTTTTACACCAACTACCTTAAACACACAATTGTTATTTCTTGTATATTTCTGGGCAGTTCCATAACCTGTCAGTTTTTTTTTGGTTAAAAATCTTTAAGCTAATCATAAGTTGATATCAAATAATAAACTAGTCAAGACAACGTTATTACAATTGATTTGTTATTAAAAATACTTGAGCATACAATGGTTGCATGCATTAACTTTTGAGTGAACAACAAATGTAACATTTGCCATGATATAGTATATTACAGTTCAATAAGCATAAAGTAACATCTCGTTAAGAAGAATTGCATTGAAAAACTTCACATCTTGTCTACAAGTGGCGCTAATTGTATATGGCATAAAGACGTGAAATTTTGCTATATTCAATTATTCAGCGTGATTAATTAAAAAAAATTCTAACACTATCTACGAATTTCTATTGCAATAACATTTCATTTCCAGTATTTTCACGTGAAGCTAGTCAAGAAATCTCCAGCTTCTAAAACTAGTACGATGAAATAGGTATAGACATTGGTAATCAGAAATAGCAAAACCAACTATGGCAATGAACTAACATGGTACGTTGTTTATCAAGATAGCAGTTGAACTAGATGAGGTGAACCAGTCAACAAGTATAACGAGATATGTGAAACCTATACAACCTGATATACAAGATATGTAAAACCAGTTTGACAAGATATGCTAAACTGGAATAACGAGATATGTAAAACCAGCATGACTGGAATAACCAGTAAAACGAGATATTCAGAATTGACGATCAAATTACAGTGGGGCAACGACCATTATCGTCGAATTTGTCAAGTGTTTCTACAATTGTTTTAAAGCTTGGTCTTTCTCTGGGATAAAGTTCCCAACACGAGCTCATGAGGGAAAACATTTCCGGTAAACATGCGTCCGGTTGCTCCATTCTGTAACCTCTGACAACTCGTGTTAGAACATCCGTCAGTGGCTAGGATTGCGAGGAAAGAATTGTTAGGAAACAAAAGAATATTCATTGCCAGATAATAGATTAGAAACTCGAAAATAGTTCACTTACAATTCGCGGATACGGAACACGTCCGAAGGAATAGATTTCCCAAAGAAAGATACTAAAACTCCATACATCAGACTTTGACGAAAATGTCTGGAAAAGAAAAAATGTCAGATATGGTTGTTGAAGTAGTAGAAGATACGAGTGTCAACGACATGACTTCTGTGGAGAACAATCATTTTGATGTTGATAATGACAACCAATATTCAAAGATCTGAAAGTCCTTTGCCCCTTGAAGATGGCTCCACTGGCAAGTTTTTGCTCCATGTTAAAAATTTTCACCAAAAAAGCACTCACCCCTTCTTTCAAAGCCTCTGGGGCAGTCCATTTGATCGGGAGCTTCCCAGAGATGCTAATATTCTGCTGACGAGCGTGACCAAAATCTGCCACTTTTGCCATACAATTTTCGTCCAGTAACACATTCCTTGCCGCTAAATCTCTGCGTTAAAAATTCCAACAATTACTTCCAAAGCCATGTCGGGTAATATATACTATAATAACATCGCAGATCTTTAAATATTATACAAATTTTTAACCTGTGGATGAAGTTTTTTGATTCCAAATAGTGCATTCCTGCTGCAACATCCCTGGGAAAAAACCAATCGCAAGTTAGTGGAATCTTTGTGGATTTCAGTAGAATAGATATTGATTATCTGTGATTATATTGATTTTCATTACATAACCATCGAGAAAGACATAAATTTGGCTGAATTTACTTCGAAGAACAACTTTGAACTTAGGTAACGTACTTTGCAAAACCTATAAGATCCTTCTGAGTTATAACAGCGCGCCCTCTGGATCTCAAGTATTCAACTAAACTTCCTTTATCACAAAATTCAGTAATGATATATATTGGTGATTCGTCCAAGGAAACTCCCAGTAACATTACGAGATTCTTATGATTGAGATCCCTGTGTAAAAGGAAAAAGAATCATTCATATGCTGCACTATTTCAAAATCAAAACTATTTTGTCAATCAGACCACGACATGCATGATAAATGGTGTTGTGGACATACGTCATAACAGAAGCTTCTGTCAGGAATGTCTGGGCAGCTCTTCCTTCTTCTTTCATAGATTTCACAGCGACTCTTTTTTGTCTAAATCTTCCTTCCCATACATCTAGTAAAACACAACAGAAAGGTATAAGACCCTGTCAATTTTTGTAAACACCAAAAGGACAAAAGATGACAGAATTATATTACAAAGCTATACGCCTTCCGTATACCTCCAAATTCACCGTGACCAACCACTTTCATCAGGTCTATATCTTTCCTTCGTATATGCCAACCAGCTAAAACAATCATATTTGTGAGTGCATAGTTGAAAATTATATCTACACAATCTGTCTACTGAAGACCCAGCAAATCTAGGGAACTTGTATAAAAATATATCTTACAATTTTTAAAAGATTCTGCATCTACAGACACAGCCTGTGTCCCTTCTTTTTTTAAAGGTCTGTTCAAGCGGCAAATCAAACCATCAGCTCCTTCTAAATAGTGCTAAACAGATGAAGAGTTCAACATTTTAACTGTTAGATATATATTCAAGGTTGGTGTGTGTGTGTGTGTGGGACTTTGATAAAAGTTGGATTTTCAGGGCCTTACAGCTATGGCATTGCTTACATTGACCAGTTGGGTTAAATTAGTAAACGATGAATCTTCATCAACGGTTAGCTTGTCATCTTGGTACATAACACGGTAATGTTCAACCTTTCGTAGATAGCTGGGGAGACGGAGAGATATGTTGTTATATCTAAGATGATCAGGTGATGGTGTCCAAGTGATGGTACCATTGTAATAGTATTTTGGTGATAGTGTTACAGTGATGGTACCAATTTTGATAGTATTATGGTGATAGTGTTACGGTGATGGTACCATTGTGATAGCATTTTGGTGATAGTGTTACGGTGATGGTACCATTGTGATAGCATTTTGGTGATAGTGTTACAGTGATGGTACCAATTTTGATAGTATTATGGTGATAGTGTTACAGTGATGGTACCAAATTTGATAGTATTATGGTGATAGTGTTACGGTGATGGTACCATTGTGATAGCATTTTGGTGATAGTGTTACGGTGATGGTACAATTGTCATGATATCATGATGGTATCATTGTTGCTTATGATATTATTAGAAAACCTTACCAAACACACAAAGCAAAATCCCCAGGATAGTTGGTGCTTTCACGAACAAGAAAGAGGCCGTCTTCTGGTTTTTTCAACAACAAATTCTCAGCTTGCAGTCGGTCAATTCTCCCATGGAACCAACTATGAAGAACATTTCAAAAATGATTGAACAATCCAGTAAAAATTTAAAGGAAATTCAGATAAGTTTACGTACAGTTGAACAAAAAAAATGCACAATTAATGTCAACTCACGGCATCTTGTGAAGCTGTATTGCCTCCTTTCCCTTCTTTTTTTCAATGTAATTGACTGGTATATAACCAACATCTCCTCTAAGATTTTGTGCTTTCAACCAATTTGGATCCTAAAAACAGTAATATATGTTATTATTTGCTAGCTAAAAAACAAAAGAATCAGATATTTCTCCCATATTACATATGTGGGGCACAAGTTTATATCCCAGCAATTCATCACAATGTAGAATCTGTAAAAATCTTAAGACGCATCTTGTATAATGTTTCCATTAATAATAAGTTTACCTCAGTTTTTTCAACCACAATCAATGTGTCACCTTTTTCAAATGGCAAATCCTATTGAACAAGTAGAAGAATTGAAATGGATGGATCAAATTCTCACAGATAAAATGTAAAAATAAATCCATCAGGACTTGCAGTTTCTATCGTTACGCAAATCAGTTTATTTATTATACCCTGTGGCTTCCTTTTCTAAATGCAAATTTTGCTGTGACTTCTGTCCCCGGGGCGAACTGTGGGAAAAAAGATTGTATAAATAAAGGGTGTAGAACTTTTGAGAGGTGGACAAAGGCACGAAGAGTAAAGGCTGGAAGAGATACAAAGTAAATTTAGATGGAGAGCAAAGTACTCATATCAAAATCAGCTACATTTGGCTATGCACCCACTGGGAGGCACATGCTCACTACCACACTGGTTTGTCAGGGTTCTAGGCAGTCTCTCTCCAACTTTTTAATCATGCAAATGAGCTTGGGATAAAATTAGCATAAAAAGCTGTCATCTATTAAAGTTTTTTGATAATATACCAGGTAAATACCAATTGATAAAACTCAACACATTCATGTAGTGATTCCTTGCGTACTTGCCATTGTAACTTACCATCAGGGCTGAGCTTTTGTGGTCCAGATTCTGCGAAATCTGCAAAATGAATATCCCCTCAAATTTCACTTTTCAACTCTATAAATCCAAGTGCAGCTTGAAGCACGAAATGATAGACATATATTATGTAAATATTAGAGCAATTTAGGAATGAGATTTATAGACTTCTTAATGTTTACACTTTTTGATTTGTATCTATTTACTAAAATGCTACAAAAAGAGATTCCTAAATATTCTAATTAACCGCTAATGAAAACAACTTTATAGAGAAATTTCGGATGAAGTAAATTCATACTTTATTTGGTAAACAACATCAGATACCCATTGTTGTAGTAGGCACTTTGCATCCGCACAGCGACCAGGAAATGTTCTAAACTAGTATTTCTTTGAAAAACGATTTCAATTTAAGATAGATTCCTTGTATATGGCCGGCAAATTCGAGCTGGAATCTTCTCAAGCTAAGCGCAATTTTACGATCAAAGCGATATCAATATTCCTTCAGGAATATTTCCTTATCATCTATAAAGGCCAACACCATTATTTTGATTTTAAAGGATAAACATTTGTCCTCTCAGAAAAAGTACAAGAGTCTCCAAGAGTCTTGGGAATAACCTGTGAGAGACTCGTATAAAAAGTCGCTTACTTTTTTGAATTCTTGTGACATATTTCAACCTTGTTATGACTGGTAAATATTCATAAAATTACAAGGCATAATTTCTAATCAATAAAACACGAATTCCGGTTTAAATTATTTTCATTTTTTCAGTAATGCTGTAGTGTAACAACGACCTCTCTAAATCCTTTTTTCCACATACAAATAAGGTCTAAAAAACCTCCAAATTTGAACGGAATGAACAGCACTTGTAACATTGGCTGTGCATTTTGAAAACAAGATTATGTCATGCCAAGAAAATGTGCACTTTGATTATACAAATAGACCACTTTATAGGAACGAAGTCGCACTTACTTTTAGTTATATGGATCCCAAAATGGTCCAAGTTTGTAGATGCAAAATATGAGCGGCCGATCTTTCCTCAAACGGTGTTTATTTCGGCGATGAAATGTTTTATATTTCTGACAAGTATTCGATTAGTTTGTCTCGAATGTCGCTTTGTGCGGAAGTAAATGCAGACCAACCTCGATATCGAGTTGTGGATTCGGGCATGCGCGGGCTAGGTTTAGGAAAATGCATAAAATGCGATCCATTCGCGGAATTTATTCTAAATTATATTTCATCTCTTAGAAGAGTTGCAGATGTATCGAAAATATAAAAAAAATGCCAAAATATCTTTCGACAAATTTCGACATCATTTCATTTTAATTTTAATAGCTTAAATGTCCGAAGGCTTTAACAACACGTATTTTTGTTGCAAACGTTCATTCATATAGATCCAAGAAAATATTTTGTTGAATAGTGCTTTAAAACATGGATGTATTCGGGGAAAGACTCAAAAATAGAAAAAAGAACTGAATCAAAATAATGTCGGAAGAGTTCCATAACCCATGATGAATAACGTCTGCATCGTTCCAAAGAAGTTCAAATTGCTTCCTCTGGAAAAATATTTGCATCTTCCCTATAACTCACAATTGATATAACTCACAACATTGTCGTATTGGCCGGAAAATGGCGAATACGACCATGGTCGTATCATGGTCGTATTGGCAAGAAAATGATGAATACGACCATGGTCGTATCATGGTCGTATTAGCCGGAAAATGACGAATACGACCATGGTCGTATTGGCCGGAAAATGACGAATACGACCATGGTCGTATCATGGTCGTATTGGCCGGAAAATGACGAATACGACCATGGTCGTATTGGCCAGAAAATGACGAATACGACCATGGTCGTATCATGGTCGTATTGGCCGGAAAATGACGAATACGACCATGGTCGTATTGGCCGGAAAATGACGAATACGACCATGGTCGTATTAGCCGGAAAATGACGAATACGACCATGGTCGTATTAGCCGAAAAATGACGAATAATGACACAAAATTTACAAAACAGTTTAGCAAACTAAGTGCTAAGTGCCGTTCAGTCATTTATATTGAGTTTCCTTTCGAGAATGACGATTATTTTGACGTTAAAAACCAACAAGGATTGTTTCAAAACACTAAACGAATATCAAAACACTAAAATTTCTCGCTAAAAACACTTAAAAAACGTTTAGGCGTTTAAATCTTGTTATTTCCAAGCGTGTGCTTTATTAGTCGTTTTCTATGCATATGCTTGTTAGATACCACCTCCCGAGACCAGGAAAGCTTAAATACGTTAAATTTATCTTCGCTCTTAGGGCTAGCCACTGTAGCTGATTCGTCTATGACGCTAGACTTGTGGCGATGCATACTCTGTTTCTCACTGAGACGTAACGGTTAGGTGCACATACATCATGGTCTGGGGGCCGTAGTGCATCTCCCCCTTAGACGGCCGTTAAGATGTGAGTTATGGGGGGAGTTCTTCCTATAGCAACTGTCCTTGCACCTTTCGTAGTTGTAACTATGTTGGTATATTGCAGCCGGTTGTATAACCAGGTTAGATTGTGGCATAGGTTGGATGATCTCTTTTGGGTGTTTTTAGGTTATTCCCAAATTTTTTTTCTTTCCAAATTTTTCTTTTACATACAAAAAACACTGTTATTAAACATATATGGAACGGATATAGTTCGAAAAAAAATTATATCGACTTAAAACCACCTTAATAAAACCCCTGAATACTCTCCCCAGTCTCTGCATGTTATAGGAGGCAATGAATTAAACAATAGCAGAGTTCATTCAGAAATCAGAAACATCAAACATTTACTGTATTATCAGCATGGTCGTATCATGGTCGTATTGGCCAGAAAATGACGAATACGACCATGGTCGTATTGGCCAGAAAATGACGAATACGATCATGGTCGTATCATGGTCGTATTGGCCGGAAAATGACGAATACGACCATGGTCGTATTGGCCGGAAAATGACGAATACGACCATGGTCGTATTGGCCGGAAAATGACGAATACGACCATGGTCGTATTAGCCGGAAAATGACGAATAATGACACAAAATTTACAAAACAGTTTAGCAAACTAAGTGCTAAGTGCCGTTCAGTCATTTATATTGAGTTTCCTTTCAAGAATGACGATTATTTTGACGTTAAAAACCAACAAGGATTGTTTCAAAACACTAAAAGAATATCAAAACACTAAAATTTCTCGCTAAAAACACTTAAAAAACGTTTAGGCGTTTAAATCTTGTCATTTCCAAGCGTGTGCTTTATTAGTCGTTTTCTATGCATATGCTTGTTAGATACCGCCTCCCGAGACCAGGAAAAGCTTAAATACGTTAAATTTATCTTCGCTCTTAGGGCTAGCCACTGTAGCTGATTCGTCTATGACGCTAGACTTGTGGCGATGCATACTCTGTTTCTCACTGAGACGTAACGGTTAGGTGCACATACATCATGGTCTGGGGGCCGTAGTGCATCTCCCCCTTAGACGGCCGTTAAGATGTGAGTTATGGGGGGGAGTTCTTCCTATAGCAACTGTCCTTGCACCTTTCGTAGTTGTAACTATGTTGGTATATTGCAGCCGGTTGTATAACCAGGTTAGATTGTGGCATAGGCTGGATGATCTCTTTTGGGTGTTTTTAGGTTATTTCCAAAATTTTTTTTTCTTTCCAAATTTTTCTTTTACATACAAAAAACACTGTTATTAAACATATATGGAACGGATATAGTTCGAAAAAAAATTATATCGACTTAAAACCACCTTAATAAACCCCTGAATACTCTCCCCAGTCTCTGCATGTTATAGGAGGCAATGAAGTTAAACAATAGCAGAGTTCATTCAGAAATCAGAAACATCAAACATTTACTGTATTATCAGCATGGTCGTATCATGGTCGTATTGGCCGGAAAATGACGAATACGATCATGGTCGTATTTACTGGAAAATGACGAATACGACTACGACCATGGTCGTATTGGCCAGAAAATGACGAATACGACCATGGTCGTATCATGGTCGTATTGGCCGGAAAATGACGAATACGACCATGGTCGTATCATGGTCGTATTAGCCGGAAAATGACAAATACGACCATGGTCGTATCATGGTCGTATTAGCCGGAAAATGACGAATACAACCATGGTCGTATCATGGTCGTAATGGCCGGAAAATGACGAATGCGACCATGGTCGTATCATGGTCGTATTTGCCGGAAAATGACGAATACGACCATGGTCGTATCATGGTCGTATTGGCCGGAAAATGACGAATACGACCATGGTCGTATCATGGTCGTATTGGCCGGAAAATGACGAATACGACCATGGTCGTATCATGGTCGTATTAGCCGGAAAATGACGAATACGACCATGGTCGTATCATGGTCGTATTGGCCGGAAAATGACGAATGCCAACATGGTCGTATTAGCCGGAAAATGACGAATACGACCATGGTCGTATCATGGTCGTATTAGCCGGAAAATGACGAATACAACCATGGTCGTATCATGGTCGTATATAATGGCCGGAAAATGACGAATGCGACCATGGTCGTATCATGGTCGTATTAGCCGGAAAATGACGAATACAACCATGTCGTGTCATGGTCGTATTGGCCGGAAAATGACGAATGCGACCATGGTCGTATCATAGTCGTATTGGCCGGAAAATGACGAATACGACCATGGTCGAATTAGTCGTTTTCCGGCGGACTCGACCATGGTCGAATTAGTCGTTTTCCGGCGAATACGACCATGGTCGAATTAGTCGTTTTCCGGCGAACTCGACCATGGTCGAATGTGCCATTTCCAACACCGTTATATCATGGATAGTCAGTAAAAGAAATAAAGAAGAACAAATATAGAAAAATAGAACAGAATCAACGAAGATAAAAAAATAAAAACTTGTGAAATAAATACAAACAATTTTGGCCCAAATTGTACCGGCGAATCAAGCGGACAAAATTAACAAAAAATTTTAGCAAACTAAGCCGTTCAGTCATTTTTATTGAGTTTCCTTTCGAGAATGACGATTATTTTGACGTTGAAAACCAACAAGGATTGTTTCAAAACACTAAAATTTCTCGCTAAAAACACTTAAAAAACGTTTAGACGTTTAAATCTTGTCATTTCCAAGCGTGTGCCTTATTAGTCGTTTTCTGTCCATATACTTGCTAGAGACCGCCTTCGGAGACCAGGAAAAGCTTAAATACGTTAAATTTATCTTCGGTCTCAGGGCTAGCCACTGTAGCTGATTCGTCTATGACGCTAGGCTTGTGGCAAAGCATACTCTGTTTCTCACTGAGACGTAACGGTTAGGTGCACATACATCATGGTCTGGGGGCCGTAGTGCATCTCCCCCTTAGACGGCCGTTAAGATGTGAGTTATGGGGGGGAGTTCTTCCTATAGCAACTGTCCTTGCACCTTTCGCAGTTGTAATCATGTTGGTATATTGCAGCCGGTTGTATCACCAGGTTAGATTGTGGCATGAGCTGGATGATCTCTTTTGGGTGTTTTTAGGTTCTTTCCAAATTTATTTTTTCTTTCCAAATTTTTCTTTTACATACAAAAAACACTGTTATTAAAGATATATGGAACGGATATGGTTCGAAAAAAAATTATATCGACTAAAAACCACCTTAATTAACCCCTGAATACTCTCCCCAGTCTCTGCATGGCTGATTCTTCTGAATTAAACAATACCAGAAATTATTCATAAACATCAAACATTTACTTTCAACATCTTCATCAACCTTACAGCAGTAAAACAGCAACAAAGACATTCAGACAGTGAACTCTGCATTCTCGTTAGTGCCTTCAGCCCGAGAACTGTCAATTAAAGTCTGGATAAATCTGCTGGCTTTCCCTGCGAGTTTTCAAATTCATATTTCAAAATATCTTGCATTGAAAACAACTCAAGATTTTCTACTAATTGTGGACTTGGTTTATTCATTAATACTGATCAATAAGATAGTTTGATCAGGATGACCTGGTCAACCATGGTCGAATGCACCGTTTTCCGGCCGACTCAACTATGCGGTCGAATATGCCGTTTTCCGGCGGACTCAACCATGGTCGAAAGAAATTAATTAAGAAATTAATTAATTA